CAGGCCAGATTTGCAGGCTATCAGATTACGCCATAGGGAAATGTCCACTGTAAGGAAAGTGTAGGGTAATGCTTAGCCTTATTAGCCCGTGCTATTATTCGTCAAAAAAGGAAGAACACGTCGGCCTTGCTGATCAACATCAGTCTCGAACCTCACCAAGCGCCTTAGCAAGTACGGCATCTCGTCTTCCGCTCTTCCATTGTCTTCTGCCAAGAACGTATTATTCCACGATGCTCCCCCAACAAGATAAGCCGTGAACGAATCAGAAGTCGGGGATGATTCACTCTCCTCCGTCCTGCATGCTGCTTCAACATGTGCTTAAATGGGAAGGACCCATCAAACGGACAATACTCCGTTGAATATTTGGTGATTACAACCTCATTATCACACGACAACTCGAAAAAGCAAGAGATCAATTCGACTTTCTGTGCCGCACGGGTGCCTCTAGGATATCATAAAAATACGAAGCCATGCATGGCTTTGACATTGCTCTACTATCCGTTAGCTCCCGCTCCAAAAACCCCGACCTCGTGTGATAATTTCCGTTATCAAAGTGCTATAGCCTTGCGGCACGATCATGTCCCAGGGATGGTCCTGTTGCCCAGGACTGTAGGGCTCGTGCATTTTGTGCACTTAACAGTCTGAGCCAGCCCGTGCTGAATTGGTGAGACTCGTAGCTCTTTTTTTCCCTATCATTTTTCCTCTTTCTCCATGTAGTAATCAGTCGCAACCTATATACAGTCGCCTGCCTGGTTAACGCAGAACGTCTCGCGTCAAAACATCCTCCGTGGGTTTGTCATGACCGACAAATCACAGGGCCTTTCACATCCTCAACAAAGTGGAGTCGCATTCGGGTTGGTTCTTGATGCTCGATCGGGTTTATCTGCCGACATTGTAGTAACCCTGACGGCAACGTTGGGCGGAGGGGGCGATTGTGGCGCAGATCTGCAGCTAAAGGGAGAGAGGGCTGGGCGATAATTAGGACTGGTTTTTCTTTTTGTTTTTTTTTTCCTTCCCGTTTTTTTTCCTCCTCTTCTTTTTTCGCCTCTTCTGTCGGGCACTTGGTCGGAGATTGTGAAGGGCTGACACGCTATTATGATGAGGTCAACTAGAGCCGCATATGTGGATACCCACGGCCGGCCCTTGGGTGGCAGTTGGAAAGCGGTCTTGTTGAGTAAGTAAGTACTGAGTGTACTATACTGTAGTGGTGAAAGCTGCCGGGACCAAGACTCTGCCCTGACATGCCCGCGACGCCCAAGTTCGCCATGTAGATCCCAAATGCCGTCAATGGCAAGATCTGTGGGCCCAAGAAACCCACCAGGGTGTAGATATGCGCTCTGCTTGCGCGTTACATTGCGTTTGACCGCTTCTTGTGCCAGGGCCAGAAAGTTTATAGAGTGAGCTGAAAGATTGAAGAAAGAGGCTGTGAGAGGATAGGCGCGATAGAGGAAAGGGAGGGGGAAAAAACGTGAGAGGAAAAAAAAACAAACCAGGTAACTTTTGCTTATGACTCAGTCATTGGACAGACTTAGCCTTACAGCTCGCGATCACCAAATGATTATAGTATGATTCATCTGTCTATTCTATACACAGTGTCTCAAGGACTGGGTATATTTCTTCCTTCTTCTTGGGTGACTCGCATGGGTTTCCCTTCTTTCATTACTCAATACGAATCAGATGTGGCTGCACCACACTGTTGACCAGGCAAGAAAAGCAAAATTGCTACACTGTGTTTGTGTGCCGAATCGTAGCGCGGCGGGAGATTTTGTACCACCAACCCGCGTGTATACAACAATGCAGATCCGTCGGAGTCTCCATTTTATTGTCGGCAGTGCGTCGCCTCTGTGCTTAGTGACCCATTGTTTGGGCCACGCAGCACATGCACAATTAAGTTCAGCTACGGTCTAGCCCTTCATTTCAGCCAAAGAGGAAGGATGCTTTTTCACAATCGCCATTTTAGTCGAAAGCCACATGGAGTAGTCTTACTGGCCATACTTTACGGAATGTGGGATGCTTTTGTGTTTCCCTCTTCCTCTCATCTCCAATCCCCTAACGTGGATGACTGAGGCCAGAATACCACCATAATATGCTCCGAATGTAGCCCTGTAGATAGAGAAGAGGGGGTCGGGGGAGAACGAAAATGTCAGGGTTTAAGGTTCAATCTAATCTAAGAGAGGAGAAGTGTTGTTCATGGGCAAGCTGAGTCCAGATCTCCAATAGCAGACTATGGGTGCGTCGTCGCCCCCCTCGCCCCTCGCCCCTCGCACTTCGACCCTCGACCTTGAGAAGAGAAAACGTCAAGGGCATTTATTTATCATGTTCACATCTTATGATATATTTTATGAAGCAGGGAACGTTCGTTCAATTCCTGACGTGCTGTAACTGCAGAAAGTGATTTCTTTAGTAATCCCTCCACTTGGTACCCTCCTCACTCATATAAGGTAAATGAGGTTAAGAATTAAAAGTAGGCAGTCTCAGAAGGGGGGCGGAGACTCCATCCGGGATGAGACTCTATCTGAGCTTGAATAAAAGTATTTTTTGAGTGAATACTACGTATGTATGTGACCATCATGGCATTCCAGGTTGTTGTGCAGTGTTGCATTTTTAGGAACCCCGAGCCAGGAACCAAGAAAACAAGGACAGAAGCATCATCTTTCTTTATCGAGATGCCCATCAGTGCTGCGCTACCTGGTCAATTAGTGAAATCCCCAATGCTACCTCGCACCACCCGGCACCCGAAAAGATTGCCAAGATCCTCGCAGGGTTGACGGGGGCGCGATGCAACTCGAGATTTGTTGAAAGACCTATCGCCACAACTGTCGCTGTCGATATCGCTGTCGCTATTCACTCAACATGCTACGCATCGTCTAGACTGCAGGAACAACGGGTGGAAAAACCAGAAAAGGGGCAACCCTCCTAACCCTGCTTCCTGCAGCTAACAGTTTTGTTGGCCATCCAACCTCACTACCTCGCAGTCTACGCGATGCGACTTGCAAGATTGAACTTTGCCGCTAGGTCGCGCCAACAACCAAACTTGCTTCACAACGACGTCGTCATGCAGCATATACTATCACGTTTTTCTCTGTGTGTGTGTGCTACCATAGTAAGCTGTTGCTAAAAATGGGCGACCGAAGAAAAAGAAAGAAAGAGGGGGCGGAAGGGTCACATCCAACAATTGCATCTTAAGCGGCTGCGACCCAGAATCCCTTGTCGCCTTTCCTCCCTCCCCCCTGCCTCTCCCCTGCATTGGGATTTCCTCCTTGATCCTCGCCTTCTTTTTGTGAAAGAATTTCCTTCGGGCCTTCTTGATCTAGGCTTATCGTCGTTTGGATTCTCGGTTCCAGTTTTTGCTTCATGGGGGATCCTGCAAAATGTTTACACAAAACTTCCATCAAGCTGAGAGCGCCCCACGAAACGGCTCAGCTTCCACTTAGCCAGCTTTCGGCATCGGGGTCCACGGGAGGTTGACGTGTGCATCTCCTTTTTTCATCTTTTTTTTTTCTTTCATTTCTTTCCACAGTCCTGATAATGTGCACCCACGTTGCGCTAGCCCTGCCTCCCGTGGGTGGGTCGAGGCCATTCGGCTCAGGAACAAGGATTTGATAGGTCAGCACGTGGGTGGTAGAGCCAGCTCGGCCGGTGCCGTTATCTAGACGCGAGGATGATGCCTGTTTTGTCCACGGCGATCGAGCTCGTCCTTGAGATGAATTAACCCGGGGATGATGCAGGCTTCGCTCTCTCCCTCTCCCCTACTCCCTCTCTCTCTCTTTGCCTCTCAAACGTCCAAGATCCTCCTCCTACTAAGTATGATGATGTATACTTTGATACTTACATGGGGGTATGTCATAGGATAGTACAATAGAGTGACACCCCATGTCAGTTGAAAAGGAGCCTTTACGCAACCGGTGTGGATAAGTCCTGTCCTTACTCCCATTGTAGAGCTTTTCTTGTTTTCTCTCTCTCTCTCTCTCTCTCTTCTCTTTACTGACAATCGTGGGTATGATGACAGAGCGGCAGTACAAGGCTGTCGAGCCAAAAGCACACCCCCTCCCGTTCACTCGATGACAGCTGAAAGGACGCGTATATGCTCCGTTGTGGCTTGTGAAATGCCGCAGCGATCTAAACGCTCTTCTCTTACGAGCCTGTGTGGGACTGATCTGAGTATATTAGCGCCGTCCAAAACACGTCTAGATAGCGGCCATACGGCACACTACGATGGTGCGGTACCTGGTGGCTATCATAGTCAGGAGTCTTCCCGTCAGAGGAGGAATCTGGGTGTATATGTGCCCCACTGGTACTTACTTTGGCCCCATCTCATCTAGGGAGCTAGCAAGGAGTGGACGAGCCGCATGGACCGACCGTATACGACTCCAGTAGAAGATCATTGCTTTCTCTGACTAGGGTGCCATCCCCTTGCCAGTCCCAGCAACAATCAAACACTGAGAGGAGGGCTGGCGGGATGGTGTGGTCGAAAAGGACGAGAGACCCCCCTCTCTCCAGGGCTGGGATGAGGGGCGAGGGGTACGACAGCGAAAATTAAAAACAAAAAAGATCAACCGGAGGAAAAAAGGTGGGCTCATCCGAGCAATTCAGCTGTGGCCCAACATGCTGGTTTTTTGAGATGGCAAACGCCATGTCTCCGAACGAGGGCCGGGTTCGACTCACTCAGTCCCCCAATGAGGCAGGGAAGAGGACAAGGAGGAAGACGAGGAGGAGAAGGGAGCTCCAGATCGTCCCCAGACATACAAACAGAACCTTGTGAATATATCTCCACGGCTCCGCCATGTCGTCGTCTCCACCGTTCCTTTTCGTGGTCCCCCAGCTTCTGTCTCTCCTCCTACTACTCCTCTTCCTCCTTCTCCTCCCCCGCCATTGTCGTGTAGAGCTTTCTCTCCCTCTTACACACGTCTTGGGGCCAAACTTTTTGTCTACCTCCTTCCCTTCAAGCACGCTATTTGGGAGAGGCCGCCACCTGGCCGCGTAGCTCATCCATCATCATTATGGACAGCTTCTCTCGCGTGCTCGTGGCCGTCGTCGCCGCCTGGTGGTTTGCCGCGACGACACAAGCTTTCCCATATGATCCCTCCCAGGTTGACTGGAACCTCAACCAGGTGCAGGGCACGTACGACGTCCTCAACTACTCGGGCGTATGGGAGAATCACACCTTCAACCCTTCCCCCGACAACTGGCGCATGCCCACGTACACCGTCTCCCTGGATCGATATGCCGACGGAAACCCATCCAACAATGAGGCCAACGGGACCCAATTCGAGTATGACTGGATGAGTAATCAGTTCAGGTTCGGCGGAGACGTCAAGGGCCTGATGAACGATCTGGACTATATTCAGGGCATGGGCATCAAGACTATCTATCTTATGGGCAGCCCGTTCATCAACATGCCCTGGGCCGCAGACAGCTTCTCTCCTCTGGATCTTACCATTATTGACCACCACCATGGTAGTATCGAGGAGTGGAGAGAGCTCATCACTGCCATTCACGAACGGGACATGTACATCATTCTGGACAACACCATGGGAACGTAAGTGAACTTATATATATATATATATATACAATACCCCGCCAGACTGCGTTTTCCTGCAATTCTTTGCTAACCTATTCTTTCTTTATACATGACAGCCTCGGAGATCTCATCGGATTCGAGGGGTCCATGAACGAGACGGCGGCTTTCGAGTGGGGCGAGTACGACTACGGCTGGAAGACGGACCGTCGTTATGTAGACTTCACGCCCGGCAACGACGTGGTCGACTGCACGTACCCTCGCATGTGGGACGACACCGGCTCCCTAATCACCGTGAACCAGACCACCTGCCGCGACAGCGAGTTTGACTCGTACGGCGATCTCCAGAACATTGGTAGCGTTGCCGTCTACAAGAACCAGCTGGCCAAGTACGGCTCTGTCCAGGACAGACTGAGGGAGTGGCGGAGCGATGTGCTCGACAAGATCAAGCATCTGTCGTGTATGGAGATCGCCATGCTCGACATTGATGGCTTCCGTATGGATAAGGCACTGCAGACGACAGTGGACGCCATGGCCAGCTTTTCTGATCATCAGAGGCGTAAGTTATCACCTTTTCTTTTTGATGCTTGTGTTTTACAAGAATGTACGAAACCACAAAAACATCGACTAACAATATCCCGATTTCTCTTCCAGAATGCGCAAGAAAGTACGGCAAGGAGAACTTCCTGATCATTGGTGAGATTGTCGGTACAGACCAGCAGCAGGCCGTGTACATTGGTCGAGGCAAAGAGCCTGGTATGTACAGCGGAAACAGCACAGCATCTATGATGCTCACCAACGTTACCGCCGACGATGATGTGTATATTCGCGAGTCTGGCCTCGCTGCACTAGACGCTGCCGCATTTACATACACAATCTATGGTGCTCTTACAAGAGTTCTCGGGTAAGTGTCCTCTTATTATGTTTGTACAAGAAAAGAAGAAAAAATGAAGGAAATTTTGCTAACAATGAATGTCCTCTATACCCACACACAGCCTCTCTGGTTATATCGGCATCGAAGGCACAAGCTTTGTTCAATTCTGGACAGACTTGGTCCTGGATAATGATTTCATCAACTCCAACACTGGTCTCTTTGACCCTCGCCACATGATGGGCACCACAACACAGGATGTGTTCCGGTGGCCAGCCATCGCCAACGGCACCCAGAGGCAACTTCTCGGCCAGTTTATCACCTATCTCATCCTTCCTGGATCACCGATGCTATACTGGGGCGAGGAACAGGCTCTGTATATTGTTGACTCTACCGCTAGCAACTACATTTAGTAAGTCTTACATCATCAAAAACAAGAAGCATTTCCTTTTCTCACTCAGTCTCGACAAGAGAATGTTTTATCCAATACTGACCTGCAAATAGTGGCCGTCAGCCCATGAGCAGCAGCCGCGCATGGCAGCTCCATGGCTGTTACAAGCTGGGAGACGACACATACACCGGCCAGCCTCTGCTTCACGGTCCCGCAGCGGTAGGCTGTGAGGACAACGGTGTCAGTCTGGACCACAAGGACCCATCGCACCCTACAAGAAACGTCCTCAAGAGATTCTTTGAACTGCGGCAACAGTACCCGGTGCTGAACGACGGCTGGGGCCTGCAGGCACTGTCCAACCAGACGACTGATGTCTACCTCGAGGGCAGCGGAGATATTCCCACACCGTTTGGCATGTGGAGTATATACCGCCATGAGGCCTCTGCAGCACAGGATCTCAGCTCGTCTGGTGGTCAAGCTGACCAGGGTGTCTGGCTGCTGTACTCCAACCTGAACTACACAGAGGATTTCTCCTTTGACTGCCAGAGCGAGGAGAACGCCCTGGTGGCCCCTTTTGCTCCAGGCACCACGGTGATGAACCTTCTCTACCCTTACGATGTGCACACTGTCGAGAACACCTCAAGCACCGTCATCATCAATGGTACCACGCACACAGGCGGCTGTATGTCCAACCTGACCCTCGAGGCCTGGGGCTACAAGGCCTTTGTCCCTGTCGATTACTACAGCTCCCCCAAACCTTCCATCACCCAGGTTGTGCCGTCCCACGACGAGAGAGTCCTGTCGACTGTGTCAAGTAGCGAGACACAGACGGTGCGCATCGAGATCCACTTCTCTCAGCAGATGGACTGCACTGCGGTGCAAGATGCCATCTCCGTCAACTCTTCCACGCTGGAGGGCACTGTGGCCCAGCTCGACAGCGACAGCGTGGCATGCAGCACTCTCGATACACCAGATGCAACCGCCTACTCTGGTCAGCCAGCTGGGTTGTGGAAGTTCACGGCCACCCTCGAGAACGTTGCTCACGGCATCCACACTGTAACCATCACCAACGCCACCAGCGCCAACGGGACTTTCACCGGCGCCGTGGACCGCTTCATGTTCCGGCTCGGCTCCTCAGACAACCCAATCATTTTCCCTTTGACGGGCAATTACTCGACCGACTTGCTCCACAAGGACGACTCGACTGGCGACCTGTACATCACCCAGCGCGCCGCAGGGGCGGACAAGTTCCGGTATTCGCTGACGTACGGCTCAAGCTGGAGTGACTGGCTGGACTACACAACCACGACCGTCAACAGGACCCTGGAGAGCCAGGCCTGGTCTGGCACCTCGGCCCAGGCCTGGAGCGGCGAGCATGTCATGGTGCAGTACTGGTCCAGCGTGGCGGGAAGCGCGACACACATGCAGCACGGCGATTTGTCTTCAACCCAGGCCCGCCGCTGGCCTCATGCGCATGTGATGGGCGAGTGGAACACCTGGGGCTTTGATGGGGGCCTGGCGAGTGCCATGCACCTGGCCAAGTCGGCAGTGGACTTCAACGAGACGGTGTGGGCGTTTGGCCTAGCTGCTGAGTGGCCTACGCAGGTGCAGATCAATATCTGGGGTATGGATCCTGATGGCCAGCCGGACAAGACGATGGAATATGGCGACGTGGACGGCGACAATGTGCTCGACTGGCTGCCGCCCAACACCCTGGCGTCCAACGTGATCAACATCACCGAGGGCCCTGGCATGCCGCACGTGGGCTGGCGCATCGAGGTCAACGATGGCTCGTACAGGTACAATGTGGTGCCTACGGGCAATGCCTGGCACCAGCTCGCGCTCTCCTTCCTGTTGGCCTTGATCCCAGTGCTTACAGGTGGCCTGGCCGTCTGGATCTACTTCCGCTCCTACTACACCATCAGGATGAACCAGATCGGCACTGCTGATGTTGGCGGCTTCTGGGGCCGGGTCAAGACGAGGGTGCTCGAGTCTGCCGCCATGGCGCCCCTGCGCAAGCCCGTTCCTGAAGACAAGGGGAAGTCCATCGAGGCCATGGCTCTGTCTGCGAGCCGCCGGACCACCCTGATCGCCACCATGGAGTACGAGATTGACGACTGGAACATCAAGATCAAGATTGGCGGCCTCGGAAAGATGGCCTCGCTGATGGGCAGCGAGGCTCTCGCGCACCAGAACCTGATCTGGGTCGTCCCTTGTGTCGGTGGCATCGACTATCCCGCCGATACCCCAGCCGAGCCCATGATCATCACCATCAACAAACAGCAGTATATTGTGTCTGTGCAGTACCACGTCGTGCGCAACATCACCTATGTCCTCCTTGACGCGCCCGTCTTCCGACAGCGGACCAAGTCTGACCCGTACCCACCTCGTATGGACGATATCGAGTCGGCCATCTACTACAGCGCCTGGAATGCCTGCATTGCGGAGGCCATCAAGCGGTTCCCCGTCGATCTGTACTATATCAATGACTACCACGGCACGCTGGCCCCTCTCTACCTGCTGCCTCGTACGATCCCAGTCTCCCTGGCCCTGCACAATGCCGAGTTTCAGGGTCTGTGGGCCCTCCGCAGCAAGAGCGAGATGGCCGAGGTCTGTGATGTCTTCAACCTTCCCAAGGAGACTATCAAGCGGTTCGCCCAGTTCGACAAGGTGTTCAACATGCTGTATGCCGGTGCTAGTTATCTTCGTGAGTTCCAGGGCGGCTATGGCGCTGTGGGTGTCTCCAAGAAATACGGCTCGAGGGCGTACAAGCGGTATCCCATCTTCTGGGGCCTCTCTGAGATCGGCTCTCTGCCAAACCCCGACCCAGATGACATGGCTGATTTCAACACGGTGACCGAGAAAGAAAAGAACCAGGATATTGTCATCGACGAGGAGGCCGAGAAACAAAGAGGCGCCCTGCGTGAACAGGCGCAGCAGTGGGCAGGACTGAACATCGACCCTACCGCCGAGCTTTTTGTGTTTGTTGGCCGTTGGTCTCTGCAAAAGGGCGTTGACCTGATTGCAGACGTATTCCCTGCTATCATGGACAAGCACAAGAACGTCCAGCTCATCTGCATCGGCCCCACCATCGACAACCACGGCCGGTTTGCTGCCCTCAAGCTCGAGAAGATGATGCACCGCTACCCAGGGCGTGTCTATTCCAAGCCAGAGTTTACACCCATCCCTTCCTTTGTCCACAGCGGAGCAGAGTTTGCGCTGATGCCCTCGCGTGACGAGCCATTTGGTCTTGTTGCTGTCGAGTTTGGTCGCAAGGGCGCGCTGGGCGTGGGCTCTCGTGTGGGTGGTCTGGGTTCCATGCCTGGGTGGTGGTTCACAATCGAATCGACCGAGACAAAACATCTCCTGCGGCAGTTCAAGTCGGCTATCAAGTCAGCCCTCGCGTCTTCACTGGAGACAAGAAAGGTCATGCGTGCGCGGTCCCTCCTGCAGAGATTCCCTGTGGTGCAGTGGGTGCACGACCTCGAGATCCTGCAGAGCCAGTCCATACGAGCCCACAGCAGCATCAAGAAGGGCAAGAGGCTTACCAGTCTGCTGATGCCTGGTGCCTCCGCCTCGGCGATTCCCTCGGGCAGCTCGACGCCCATCCCACCTCCACCACCCGTGGTCACCCTGCCCAACACAGCCCTGCCCTCGCCCAACACCACAGCTCCTCCCACAGCCGCGCCGTCCATCGGGGGCAGCCGAGCCTCGAGTCCCACACGTGCCCGCTCCGACTCGTTTGGCGCGCACAGCAGAAACGCCCCCTATTACATCGCCATGACCGCCGACTCGTCCGAGACAGCCTCGGGGGCCATGACACCAGCCTCGCTCATCTCGCCCGCAACGCCCAGATTCGCCTCTGGCTTCCCTCGTAACAAGTCGGCGACTGCTATGGGCCACCTCCTTGCCTCGAGGCTCACCGCCCTTGCAGAGTTCGAGAGGACGAGCTCGCAGTCTGATCTCCCACAGGCATACCCGTCCGAGAGGTCGAGCGATGGCGCCAGCGAGATCCATAGCAGCCGGCACAGCGGACTCGGCGACCATGGCGAGACCGTTGACCCTTACTGGCGTTCCTTCTTCGCAAGTCTCCCGACCAACAATGCCTCTGTTCTCTCGCTCGACACGGTGGTGGGCGAACGCAAGGACTTCCAGCTGCAAAAGGTCGAGCCCTTCTTCAACGATCCCAAGAAGGAATACTACAACACCTTTGGGCAGATGCTGGACGCCCACGATGGCAGTCTCTCGTCGGACAAGCTGTGCGTGGAGGGCTACATCAGGCAGTCGGAGAAGGACTGGTTCGAGAAGTTCTATGATGCCAAGCTGGGCAAGAAACCGCCGAGGGTGTTCAATATGGCGCTGAGATCGGCGTCGTCCCTGGAGGAAGGCGCCAGCAACCGCGGTGAAAACGACAACAATGACGAGTTCAACTTGGGTCCAGACTATGCGCCGCCTACAGGGCTGAAGAAGTTCTTGCTGGTCAAGATCGGGGAGTGGCCTCTGTACGCCTACCTATTGGCAATGGTAAGTCTCTTTCTGCACCAGTCACATTCCAAGATAGCCTTCTTCCTGAAACAAGGAAGACATGAAGACGAAAGAAAGAAAAAAAAAAAAAACCAAGATCCTCCTTTACTAACTCTTGTATCTTCTCAACAGGGCCAAATCCTCAGTGCCAACTCGTATCAGATCACCCTCCTGACCGGCCAGAACGGCCAGTCTGCCGAGCAGGTCTACATCACCTCAGGCATCTACCTAGGCGGCTCTATCTTCTGGTGGCTCCTCTTCCGCCGCTTCCAGCTCGTCATCGCCGTCTCCCTCGCCTTCGTCCTCTACGGCACCGCCTTCTTCGTCCTCGCCATCTGCCCCTACGCCGCCAGCTCGTCCCAGGCCACCACCGTCCTGCACTACCTCGCCACGGCCCTCTACGCCGTGGCCTCCTCCAGCGGATTCCTCTTCTTCACCCAGAACTTCCTCACCGAGGGCGGCAACCCCGTCAAGACCTGGATGTTCCGCGCCTGCACCATCCAGGGCACCCAGCAGATCTACATCGCCGCCCTGTGGTACTGGGGCACGTACGCTAGCACGCTGACCAACGAGGGGTCCACCCTCATCAGCTCCTCGTCCCGCGTCGTCACCGCCGTGTGCATCCCCATCGCCGTCCTTCTCTGGGCCGTCGCGACGATCCTCTTCGTGGGCCTGCCGGACGCCTACAGGCGCAAGCCAGGCTACGTCTCGGCCTTTTACCGCTCCCTGCTGCGCCGCAAGGTCGTCGTCTGGTTCCTCGTCGCCGCCTTCATCCAGAACTACTTCCTCTCGACCCAGTACGGCCGCAGCTGGAGCTACCTCTGGAACTCCAGCTCCGCCCCGGCCTGGGCCATCGCCCTGCTCATCCTCCTCTTCTTCGTCGTCGTCTGGGCCGTCCTCCTCGCCGGCATGGCCTACTTCTCCACCGAGCACTCCTGGCTGCTTCCCATCGTCGCCATCGGCCTCGGCGCCCCGCGCTGGGCTCAGGAGCTGTGGGGCACCTCGGGCGTCGCCCTCTACATGCCCTGGGCCGGCGCCCACGTCGTCGCCGGTGCCCTGCTCGGCAGGTGTCTGTGGCTCTGGCTCGGCGTCCTCGACACCCTGCAGGGCGTGGGCTTCGGCATGATCCTGCTGCAGACCCTCGGCCGGTTCCACGTCAGCTGGGCCGTCCTGGGCGCGCAGGTCATTGGCTCGGCCGGCACCATCTTGGCCCGCGCCACGGCCCCGGATAAGATTGGCCCGGGGTCGGTATTTCCTAATCTTGCTATGGACCTGTCGGGCGGCGTGAACAATGTTTGGTTCTGGGTGCCGCTATTGTTCCAGCTGGCTGTTTGTGTTGGCTTCTTCGTCTTCTTCCGCAAGGAACAGCTTATGAAACCTTAAGTGAGAGACTGGAAAATAATGGCTTTACGTACTAGTATTATGACTGGACAGGTCTAGTTGTTGTCTTTTTTTTTCTTTTTTTTTTTTTCTTCTTTTTTTCTTTCTTTTTTTCTTGGTCTGGGGGAGAGAGACTGTCTATTTTCACCCCTCCCATTCTCACCCTTTTCTTTTGAAGGTCATGTGGCGTTTTTGAGGCAAAATATAGACATTTAGATAGACCTTAATCTGGTCGCAGTATAACTATAATTTCTTTTAAGTAATGATAGATACCCATATACAAAAAGAATATTCTGATCATGTATAGTGCTAGTGAGACGAGTAAGCAGGTCGCACAACTTGTGATACCACCTGTTCAGCCCTTCAGAAAAAGAAATAACTTTTATACTATATGACGATCTAGGTAACAAAGCAATTGTTGAGCTGTGTCCTAAAGAGTTGTCAGTAAACATTACAAGCAACTGACTGACCAGCCATGGGGTTAGCAGGCTGATCATGCTCAGCCTACAGTAATTCTCAAATCATACGGCTGGCTGCCGTTTCCTTCCTTTCTACAACAGCAGTTCAAGAGATGAACTAAGATGCACCCCACGCAGCCATTTTCAAATCCCCGTCCATGTTCTTTACCGAACATGTGCGCCGGGTAACTGGCACACACAAGGCTGTGACTATGCGAATCAAGTGGAGGTTCTGTGCTCTGGATCGGCGGGATCCTACCGCTCTGCAGGGAAGCTGAACGCTGATCTAGCAGCTGTAATACATGGCCAGACGCGTAAGCACTACTTGGGCCCGTCAGAAGCAGGAGCGCGCTGCGGTGCGCAGGTGTCAGGTCATACATAGCCAGTGCTCCACCGCCGTAGTGGGGATTCAATAATGAACATACACTTGATGAATATGCACTCTTGTGATCAACCCTGATTTACACAGGGTTGAGAGAGATAGAGAGAGAGCAATTCAAACAGGTCATAGCACACTATCACTAGGATATCGAGCTCAAAGATTCTTAGAAGGACCCATACTTCGTACGCGTGCAATTGATTCGAAGATCAGCACAGATCAGCACGGCATTAGCCCTGAACATTTCGTACATTACTATGGTACATCCAAATCCTACGTCGGCATGTAACCGATGCTGGAGCCACTGAACCCACTATCTGGGTGGAAAAGATAACAAGATGCACTGTATGCATCGAAAGTGATCAGGCTGGGGGTCAAGAAGCTGGGGCCCCGACATGGCGTCCGTGCATATGTCAATAGATCTTTTGGTCCGACTCAATGATAGCTGAGACATGCGGAATCTTCCCGAGGGGGAGTGCATTGTGGCACTGAGTGGATGGTTGTCCACTTGGATCTCAACTCAGCTCAGCAGTAACGAACTCCAGAGGCCCACACTGGCCCTCGATTAGTCAAGAGGACCCAAGCGGTCACTTGAATATCAGCAGCATGGATAGCAGATTCAATGTAGTCCATAGCGGCTTCGAAAAGATGTTTGAGGAACCAAAATTCATGCACGGGAGAGTCTCGTAGGCATGACTACACCTGATAGCCTTATGTCTCGTCCTTTTTTCTTCTTCTTTCTTCTTTCCTCGTTTACACTGAGATGCACTCCAGTTTGTCTCGGTATGGCATCCTCGTTTAAGCCGGGATTCAAATCCATCTCTACATCCCCGGGGCTTGTACTATAGTATGACCAACATCAGGGGCAAACCCATAATGAAAGAGCCGTGAGGCTACGATGACTAGACTGCCTAAAGTCCTTCACGATGCTCTGTAACATATTACCTCCTGTTCTTGACGGCTTCCTTTTTCCCAGTGGGGTCTCATCTGGCCTGACCAGCTTTTCTTTTCGCTCACACCACGGCGGTCGACTTGGTCAAAATGTTGTGTCTTTTTTCCATGAGTTCCAAATTCGCTTTTTCTTCTATTCCAATAGACGATTTTGTCGAGTCAGGGCCGTTTGTGAAATAAGCATGTTGTTACGCTTGGTACTGGAATTGTATTTAGTCCCGCTGTCAACAGCCAGGAGCTCGCCTTCGCATCCGAGGCAGATCGATGGAGCAGTATCAGAGTCCGCATTTCACCGAAGAGGCTATCACATCTGTAATTTGCTCCAGGTTCAGGCCCATACAAGTGAGATCTTCACAGAGATCTTGCTAGACGGATGTTTCCATACTCATCTCATAGCTGCGATATTAAATGACGTGGTCTATATCAACGGTGGCCAATTTTCATAGGCAAACGGTGGCAGTATAGAATATGACTACTGTAACTTCCAAAACAGCTTTCTCTACTACTCGCTATGGGGGCTTTTACACTGGACCTACATCACTTTGATTTGGCTGATAGTATTCAGCCACTGCTCTGCTGTCCATCGACCTCTGGGACTGGAACAACGAGATGCTCACCTTAGGATCAATTGCCAGAGCTTCTGGGGTTCCCAATCTCATAAGGAGTGGCTTGTGGGCAGACACAAAGAGCAGCTTATTTTGCAATGATTTTGCCGGTGACGTATCGAGTGGGATGGGCTCCGAGTCTGTCCAGCTGCACGGTCTCCGGGTCTTCTCCCCGAGCCGTAGCACCTGGACCAATTTGAACGACCGCGCATCCTCTGTGTTCTTCATACAGCCGAGGCCGTATACAGGCTCCAGTGCCTTCGGAGGAGGAGCAGGCTACTGGCTAGAAGGTGATTAAAAATTGACTTCGTATTTACACCACTGCGATTTGACCATGGACTGACAATTCTTTTCTTCTTTGTCTCCCCTAGGCTTCTATTCCAACCAAGACAGCAAGACAACATACGACATGCTGCAAACTTACGTCTTCGACAGCAAATGTTTAAGGACGTTGAACATCACAGGAGTCCCGTCCCTTGGGTTGAGGCAGAGGGCCGCATGCTCTACGTCCCCGACTTCTGTACCAAGGGTATTCTCGTCTCCTTAGGCGGGGCATGGCAACCCGTGGTCGATGAGCACTGTGGAGATCTACGCCCGGCTACGCAGACGTAGTAAGAAATCAGAGGCTGAGCCTACGGTACTTATGTTGGCCGAATAACTGGATGTACGAGAAAATAGGTCATTAGAAGAGAATCCTCGCTCATCAGGATGGGTGAAGGAATGGCCTACACAACGCCGCCTTCCATAACGCAGGCCGAAATGCGGTCAACTCAACGTGCACATAGCCCACCCGAAATTACAAGAACCAGAATCTTGACGCGCTTTTTTCATTCATCAAGTGACTATTCCAATTACATCAACTTATCAAGCATACTGCACCCCAAAATCTCGAAACGTTGTGGAGGCGTGAGAATCATGGATGATTGCAAAACACCAAATATGGTCGCTTTCAGCTGTCAGGGCTGTAATGTTGGAAAAACATCGCTCTTTGCATAAAGGAGGCTACACGGCCTCAAGCCTAGATTTTAAGAAAATGATATTTGAACTAAGATCCGCCCGAATTTTGAAATTTGGGATCTACAAAGACCCAGCAAACCTATCCAGCCACATAAGCCCGCCACGCCAGGAACGCCCCTGAGGATATCTCTCAAGCCGAAAGATGCCAAGAGAAAGATGCTGCATATCATACAACTTTCCCCCACAGCCGGTGGAACGCCGTCACCAATGAATCTGGAAACCAATTTATGCGTCTGCCTTGCTCTTCTTCTTCTTCTTGGGCTTCACCTCGCCATCCTCGCCACGCTTCCGCTTGCCGCCGGCTTCCTTCTCCTCGGCCTTCTTCAATTTCTTAAGCTCCTTCTTGGAGAGAACCTTTGGTGTGCCGTCCTCGGCAAGGTCCACGTCACCGCGCTCATACTTGCGCTTGAACTTTGACACGGAGATGCCGGCAGCCTCGGCATACTTTTCATAGTCGGCCTCGGACAGCTTCTTGGGTGTTTTGGCTAGAACAAGAAGTTAGTTAGCAAGAGTTTTAAGGGCAGTATTAGTGGCATGAGAGCTGGGTACTGTACCTGTGCCGTTGGTGCCGTTCGAAATCGGCGCATCATCCATTTCCTCATCATCAACCTCTTGGATGAGAGGCTTCTCCTTCTTGGACTTCTTCTCCTTCTTGTCCTTCTTATCTTTCTTTTCCTTCTTGGGCGTAGGCTCAGCCGCCGCAGGCTCATCTCCTGTCAGGCCATCGGCATCGATGTTGTACTTCCGCGCCTCCTTGATGTCGAACTTGGAGGGAGCATCCGCAGCCTGACCATTGGGACCCACCGCAATGCCCTTGGGAACAAGCGGCCTGCCCTCGAGCCGGCGCAGGTTGTTCTCGATCTTGGCACGGGCAGCAACACCGAGCGCCGTTCGCTCCTCCTCGTCTGCCTCCTCACCGTCCTCGTTCACCCACTCGCTCAGGGCATCGGCGCGGATGCCAAGAGCGGTCTTGGCAGCAAGCTGACGAGCGATCTTGCCCTTATTCTTGCCAGTTGCCTGGCCGACCAGGGAAGAATGGTAGATCAGACCGTACTTGGGGGTGGCATGCTTAGTCTTGAGAGCACGGAAGAGGGCCTTCTCGGCACCAAGAATCTGGATGGTGGAACCAGGGTTTTTGGCCAAGCTCATGAGGGAGCCGGCGTGGGCGATAAGCCGTGCGCCGACAAGCGTACCGACAAGCTCTGTCAGGTTGGGGGCGATAGCCTTCATTCTAGACTCCAGGTAGCTTGACAGCTGCTGACGGACCTCGGTGTACCGCACGACATGATCAGCCAGCATGCTGATGTTGAGCAGATCCTCCTCGCTGATCTCGGTGCCCATGCTGACTTCGGCGGCAGCCTTGACAGCAGTTTCAATTTCCTCGGGCAATATGTCGGACAGGTCGGTCTTGGATGTGTTTGTGCGCAGACCAACGGCCAGAATGACACGCGCATAGGCGAGATTGTCATTGAGGATCTTGCCCAGCTCAGGGAAGTGCCAGCCGTACCATTCTTTCACTCTCATGGCGTACGTGTTCAGCTCCTTGTCCAGATCGTCCAGCAGAGAGATAGCCTGAACAATCATCACATCGACCTTGTCGGGCGAGAATCGCAACTTGTGGCGAGACAACGAGTGGGACAGACCCAGGGCGAGCGATCGAATGTTCTCGGACTGCAGGCCAGGAATGAGGTCGGTGAGATGGGCACGGATATTACGGTAGAGTTCGGTGGTCGAAGAATCGGCGACAGGAGTGATGTTGAACTGAGGGAGCTTGTTGATGGCGCTGCCAAGCTTTGCGTCAGAGACAGCAAGAGAAACCTTCTTCTCGTCCTTAATGGACTCGAGCAGCTGGGTCAGCATTGGCGTGACCTTGCCCTCGACAAGGCCAGCCACTTCTTCAAGACCCTGTGCTGCGCTGTCCCATTTCACAATCTCCTTGAGCTTGAGCCTGCAACACAATTAGATCATCTATTATTCCTAGTCGAATGCGCTGTGTATTGGATGAGGGCAACATACTCATTGTTGATCTTATCAGCAGACTGCAGACGGGAATCCAGATCGCCATCATCGAGTAGCTTCTTGTCCTTGGCTTTGAAGAGGGCGTAGCTGATTATGGTGTTAGTCGTCAATTATTCTCAATCTTTTGGGGGTTTGATTTTCAGGTCGGCAACATTGCTCCCGCAACTTACCCCACGCTCGTCTCAGAGAGGACGAAAAGAGGCATCTTCAATAGCTTGATATGTCTCTTGCGCTACTCTCCTTAGGAAGGTCCTCCTGATTGTGTGGGAAGGCACGCAGCGGCGTGTTAATGGAATTTTGTGGTATTGGGTGAGGAAGTCGTGATGGGTAGCAGAAATATTGCACACCAAAATTTTTTGAAGAAGCTGCTTTACCCGGCCTAGACAGATGTGGGGGTCCGAGCAATCGTTATCGATACTCTAAGCCTAGATAGGTATAGAGCCACTCAGCGCTTAAGAGCCAATCATAGGACAGTTCAAGCTCGCTAGGATGACTGGCGGCTATTGTCAGCAGTGCATCCTCCAGGAGACAGTCGTCACTGCTCTGGGCATTGTGCCTCCTGGTCTCAGAGACAGCTCTAACTAAAGACACACACACAAAACCCTTAGCATCTTTGCCGGCATCAAAATGGAGGGTCTCTTCTTCAACGTCAATAATGGGTATGTCCGTTTGGTGTTTCGATGATGAAGAGTATCTAGTAGCTGACTGAAAATGTAGCTATGTTGAGGGTATTGTGCGAGGATACCGGAATGGCCTCCTCACCAATGCTAACTATAGTAACATGACCCAGTGCGAGACAATAGATGGTCCGTCCAACCTCTACAACCCATCACCCGCGCGCGCAATACATCTACTGACAGAAGCGCAGACCTCAAGCTCCAGCTCGGTCCAGCCTACGGCGATTTCCTTGCTTCCCTCCCTCCCAACCCCTCCACCTCCAGCCTCGCGGCCAAGACCACGGAGAAGCTCGTCTCTGAGTTCCGATACGTCCGCGCCAACGCAACAGGGACTCTGGCCAAGTTCATGGACTACCTGACCTATGGCTACATGATCGACAATGTCGCCCTCCTGATCACCGGCACGCTGCACGAAAGAGATACGAGGGAACTGTTGGACAGATGCCATCCTCTGGGCTGGTTCGAGACCATGCCAGTGCTCTGCGTCGCCACGAACATCGAGGAGCTGTACAACAGCGTGCTTATTGAGACGCCGCTGGCACCCTTCTTTAAGGGCAGTCTGAGCCACCAAGATCTGGATGAGCTGAACATCGAGATTGTCCGGAACACCCTCTACAAGAACTACCTCGAGGAGTTCCACAACTTTGTCAACACTCATCCTGACATGTCCGGTACCCCTACTGCCGAAGTCATGTCCGAGATCCTTGAGTTCGAGGCTGACCGAAGAGCCATCAACATCACGCTTAACTCCTTCGGTACCGAGCTGTCCAAGCAGGACCGTAAGAAGCTGTACCCCAATTTCGGCCGACTCTATCCTGAGGGCACGCTAATGCTCTCCCGCGCCGATGACTTTGAGGGCGTACGTCTTGCGGTCGATGGTATTCAGGACTACAAGGCCTTCTTCGACGCTGCTGGTCTAGGCGGCGGCCCCGCTGGCCCCGGCAACATGGCAGGCGGCTCTAGCTCCGAGGGCCGAAGTTTGGAGGATATGTTCTACCAGAAGGAAATGGAGATCTCCAAGGAGGCTTTCACTAGACAGTTCACCTTTGCTATTGTCTATGCGTGGGTGAAGCTTAGGGAGCAGGTATGTTGGAAACCAGCACTATCATAAATGGGGCATTCCGCTAACGTCAACACAGGAAATCCGAAACATCACATGGATCGCTGAGTGCATAGCACAGAACCAGAAGGAGCGGATCGGCAACTACATCAGCGTGTTCTAAAGATGAAGAAAAGCGTTTGGTTTCCTCTTCCTGTGTAGAGTTTGAGGCAGGCAGTGTGGAGCCGTGTTTGAATTTACGAGGGCATACCATGGCAGGCGCATGAGGGTTCAGCAGGTCTAATTTGCATAAAGAAGACAGTCAATCGTGACTGGATTGTAAACAAGATTTACACGCCACTCTATTGATTGTGCATGTGTTTTCGCCCAATATGGCATACATGGTCCTACCGCACCACGATCTCGCCCTTCCAGGTAGCCGGCGACAAGCCCAGCGTCTCGATCATATGCTCCCACCGTCCACTACCCCTCTCCTTCCTCTCCATATACTTCAGCAGCTTCTGCCTTCTGTGCAAGAGCAACCTCAGGTTCTTCTTGTTGTGCTTGTCCTTGTTTCCCTTTGGACCCGCCAGCATCTTGCTCAACGCCCGTATCTTGGCCGTCAGGATCGCAATCTGCACCTCGCTGCTGCCCGTGTCGGGGCCACCCCGTATCTTCTCAAATCTCTCCTCCTGGCCAAACGCAAGTGCCTTTTGCCGCACTGTCTGGTCCGTATTGTGCCGTCCAAACGTCTCCACGATCCGCCTGGTGTTGGCGTGCCGCCTGTCCCTGCTGCTCCCATTCTCGAGCGTCGTGATCCTTCTCAGCGCCTCGACGGCCTTGCGGTGCCTCGCCATATGGGCTTCCGGATCCGCCGTCATCTTCGCCATTTCGGGATCCAGCACGGCCGTTCCAGAGATCCCCGGTACAGGCTTCGTAAGCTGGTACGACGCCTCGATGGCCTCTTCGAGCTCGGCTTGCGACAGCTGGTAGTTGAGGATGTGTTTCGAGGTAGGGAGCTCGTGCGGCTGCTCGAGCGGGTTGCCATCATCGTCACGCTTCACTTGGGACTCGGCAGCCTGACCACCACTGTCGAAAGACTCGACGAAGGGCGTGACAATGCCCTGGACGGGATCGCCCCAGGAGGTCACGCGCTGATCGGCGAGCTCGGCGCGCCGTTGGAGGTTGGCGTTGCGGCGATTCTGGGCGAGCTGCCAGCGGTAGGGGTCGATCTTCATCTGCCGCAGCTTGTCTCTTTCCCGCTGGGTAAGTGTGGCCTTCTGGATGAGAGGCTGAAGGGAAGGTGTTGCCGGTATGGTTGACGGCGTGGGCCTCAGACATACTACGATGGGTCCGTCAGTATTTCGATTGTAGACGAGATAAAAACTGCCTGCAGTAAAAGTCAACACCACGTACATGTCATGCTCTTCAGCCCTTGTGGGCCTGATATTCTGGGCGGCATGGTGGGCTGGCCGTCGCGTGCGTTGCTCGACAAAGTCAACTTCGTCCACGCCCGGCTGGCTGTCTTCTGATCGCGGCTGCGGTTTGCTATCAAAATTTCCCCCGGGCGCGGCCGCTTGACACCTGCGGATGGGGGTCTCCCATTTAGGTTAAGCGTTACTTGACGTCGGCCGCTGAGTTTCCCCAGTTCCGTTTGAGGGCCAGCAGCAAACCGAGTGCTTTGCTTGCTTACTAAGGGGTGCACGAACCAGACTGGCGCTTAGCGCATTTTCTCATGCTTTGGCTTGTAGGTGGTAGGCTGGTAGGCTGGTAGGGTAGTAGGGTAGTAGGGTCTTGGTGGGGTGCACGGCTGCCACCTCCCAATCGAAACCCACACTTTTTTTTTTGCGGTTGCAGGAAATCCCATCCCGACCTCAATCCTCAACCTCCTCCAGTTCGCAAAACTTCGCGCAACAACCACCAACTGCCAACACCTCGATTGCGGTCTCTGTCTCGACAATTACCCCAGACATTTCGCAATCATGGCTCCCGCGAACCTGCCCAGCGTCTTTGACGCCACCAGCCAGGACATCGAGACGCTCCTGGCGGCCCAGGCTCACCTCGGTTCCAAGAACCTGCAGGTTCACATGAACCCCTACCTCTGGAAGACTCGGTATGTTTTCACGATGTCCACAACCTCTGAACTCTATTCCCGATAATTGCGCAAAGCTGACAGCTTTTTTCTCTAGCCCTGACGGTGTCAACATCATCAACGTTGGCAAGACCTGGTAAGTTGTCCCAACGGCTACCTAGCACGACGTCGATCTCGAGAGAAAGAAGAAAATGAAGAGGCGACGACTCGCGTCAGGAAACAGACCAATGAATAGGCATCTGATTTTGGTTTACTATATAGGGAGAAGATTGTCCTGGCCGCCCGTATCATCACTGCCGTGGACAACCCCTCCGACGTCTGTGTCATCTCTGCCCGTCCCTACGGTCAGCGTGCCGTCCTCAAGTTCGCCGCCCACACCGGCGCGCAGGCCATCGCTGGTCGCTTCACCCCCGGTTCTTTCACCAACTACATCACCCGCTCGTTCAAGGAGCCCCGTCTGATCGTCGTCACCGACCCTCGCACCGATGCTCAGGCCATCAAGGAGGCTTCGTACGTCAACATCCCCGTCATCGCTCTGTGCGACACCGACTCCCCCACCGAGTACGTCGACGTTGCCATCCCCACCAACAACAAGGGTCGCCACGCCATCGGCACCATCTGGTGGATGCTGGCCCGTGAGGTCCTCCGCCTGCGGGGCACCATCTACAACCGCGAGACTCCCTGGGACGTCATGGTCGATCTCTACTTCTGTATGTCCTAACAATCTTACGCCCTGATGCATTTCTTTGTTGTTGGCAATACTAATAGTCTGGCTCTACAGACCGTGACCCTGAGGCTGAGGCCGAGGAGAAGGTTGAGGAGGAGAAGCTCATCGAGGCTGAGCCTGAGCCCGTTGCCGACACCTGGGCCGCCACCGGTGGCTTCGAGGCTGCTCCCACTGGTGAGTGGGCTGCCACCGAGGCCGGCGCCCCTGCTACTGAGTGGAGTGCTGCCGAGGGTACTGGCGCCACCGCTGAGTGGAGCGCTGAGGCGGCTGCCCCTACCCAACAGTGGTAGAAAATCAAACAAAATTGGCGCTGCCGAGTGAGAGGGCCAGAACTTCGGGGCCGGAGTGGCTCAACATGGGTTCGGGTGGTTGAGAATTCATTCGAGAGCAAAAGTCAACCCAAACCTGCACCATGAAGGGAAAGAAGCCCGAGCAGGACCACCCGTTCTGTGAGGGAGAAAGCCCGGTGCGTTTGGGTTTTAAGGGTGGACGTAACAGTTACTCTGCTTTTGCTCAAAAAGAAGATCAGCTCTCATCTTTTTGAGGCCAGTTAGGTTCTAGACCAAAAGGGATGGATGGTACAGAAGACGCAGGAACAAAAAAATAATGCAAAATCCGAGTTACTGGCTCCTCTACACCTATTCGCCTTGATTATCGGTAGATCCTCTGTGCTTCCTTTTAGGTTATTTCTCAAGAACACGCAGTTGATTCCCGCATTACATCCATGAGTATCAAGATTATCGGCGAGTACCAGTGGGCTCTGGAGGTCGTGATGGCGTTCGCGGTGTCAAAGGTTCGCCTGTCATCATAGGATGATGTCCAGTCTGGCAACAGGAGCATTATTCCATGCTGAGTTCATTGCGGCGAAGAGGTTAACTCGCTCTCCTTTGTCTTCCGAGGTGTCCAGCCCGGTCACAATCACAATGCCCCACCCCCCATGCCTGGAAACTGATCCGCCGCTTTTGCAACCGAGAGATCATCTTATGCAGCCCTTATGTAATTGCGTGTCTATTCGCACGCCCAAGTGATCTACTGGCTTACACTCCTCTAGCATGTACGTCCATAGTGGGGGACTACCGCATTATGGAGCCTGGCTTGATTCGTCTCCTCGGAAAAGTATTTAGTTAGTCGTCTGTCTGCCTGTCCCGACCCGACCGACAGCACAAACAGGAATTCAGCAGCCTGATGAATCCGACTAGGCCAGCGAGCGACAAGAGGTATCGCTAACCAGCCAGCCCGCTCGGTCTGCTGTGTGTATATGTATATTATTTTTGGAGCAGGAGTAAGTCTAGCGTGAAGTATGATTGAATCACCACTGACATGGTCGGATGGCTTCTCTTTTATACCCTTGCCGCCGGCCATTTTCCGGCATTTTCCACAGTAATACTCCCGAGTTTTGCGAGGCCTGGTAAGCAAAGATCTGGAAAGGGACACTCGCGCAACCTTCAACGTTCGAGAATAAGAAAATGATGCATTGCATATACTAAACACTCTGCGATAACCAGGAAGATAGAGATAAAGAAAAAGGTGATAAAATCATAAATGAAGATGGCATGTGACGAGGGTGGCTGATTGATTAATGAGAGGTAGATAGGGCATGAAGCTAGCATGAAAGTGATGAATAGGATTTGGGCGTGACGCAAGCTTACAACTGTGGCGAAACGAGCATTTGTGACCATTGTATAAGTGTACTTTTGGTGCTTGTGTAACCTGGATTGGAAGAGGAAAATAAGCCTGGCGTATAGAAGAACAGTTGGCACGATACTTCTTTTTATATACTTACCCTTGCACCGGCATTTTGACCCGGTAATTTTTTTCGTTTCTTTTCAGTTCTCTGTCAGGCATAAATAGCGATGCTCGCATTATTTTAAATATTAGAATATATCTAATACCCTCGGAGGTGCAGTGTGTCAATCCCTGTTCAGCCATATACCCCCAAGAATACCTAATAGAATGACGAACGAATTTGACCAGCTTCTTGCCGAGTGCACAAAGAAGGGGTCGGCTACTGTGCACGGCGCGCTCATGAAATGTGTCGACAAAAATGGTCGGTGTTTGTCTTTGGGAGCCCTCTGAATATTGAACACTGCGCAACATGGATTGGCTGACGGACCAAACCCAAACCACCGTATAGGAAAGGTATTGTACCAAAAGACGGTGGGCTACAACTCCCTCTCTGAGGATGCCGCCCCCCTGCGCGAAGACGCGACTCTGAGGGTGGCGAGCGCCACCAAGTTCATAACCAGCGTCGCGCTGCTCCAGTGCGTGGAGAGGGGTCAGATCGGCCTGGATGAGCCCATGACCAGCATCCTCCCGGAGCTGCAGGGCAAGGAAATCCTTGAGCGCGCCATCGAGGGCAGCGCCGAGGCCCTGACTACACGCCCCAGCCAGACGGCCATCACCGCCCGCCACCTGCTCACGCACATGTCTGGGCTGGGCTACGCATTCATGCATCCCCTTCTCACGCAATGGATGGAGACCGGGGCCGCAAGCCGATCTGACCGGCTCACAGAGAGGTACAACCAGCCTCTCGCCTTCGAGCCGGGCCAGGGGTGGCTGTACGGCACCAGCCTGGACTGGGCCGGCGTCGCCGTGAGCCGGATGAACGGCGGCGTCACGCTCGAGGAGTACATGGTCGAGAACATCTGGAAGGCGGTGGGCCGCCCGGCGCCCTATCCGGTGTTTCACGTCTCCCAGCACCCCGAGTACGAGGCGCGGCTCATGCGGGCTGCCGAGCGGACAGAGGACGGCGGCCTGAAGCCCTCGCCCGGCACGGCTTTCCTCGCCGGTCTGGTCGACGATGAGGGCGGTGCCGGGCTGACTCTGACGGCGGACGACTACGTGGCGGTCCTGCAGGACCTGGTCTCGGACGCGCCGAGGCTGTTGAGGCCCGAGACCATCGCGAGGATGCTGGAGCCGCAGATCCCAGACGGCTCGCCTGCGCACCCGATGCTGATCGAGTTGAAGCCGGCCTGGGAGATGGTCGCGGGCCCCGCGAGGGATGAGCACGTCAATCATGGCCTGGGGGGTCTGCTGGTCTTGGAAGAGGTGCCGGAGATTGCGCAGCCGAAGAACATACTCTGCTGGGGAGGGGCCTCGAACATCTCGTGGTTTATCTGCAAGGAGCGTGGGGTTGCGGGGTTCTTTGCGACGCAGATGTCGCCTTTTGGGGATCCAGTGGTGAGGGAGCTCGTCAATGGGTGGAAGAAGGATTTCTGGACCAGTCTGGGGAAACTGTAGGGGATCTGTGTTATTGTTTCGCCTCTCTCGGATGAGAATTGAAGTGTCTCAGTTGTGACTGATACTTGGGACGGCAACTGACTTTGTACTGGAAATCACGAGTTACTTTTGTCTGTCTATAACATTACGGATGGCCTGAAGTCTGTCGAATGACTCGGCTTGGGACAACACAATGCCTCTTCTCCTGGACTGAAAACCACCGATCGGAAAGACGTTCTTGACAGAGACAACAATTTAGATCCAAAATGTCTGGGCGTCTATTGATCCTAGGCACAGCTACGCTCTATAATTCCACCGTCCATATACTAATAATGGCATAAATCCCACCGTGTCAAGGTTAATATTGCGGGGTGGCCAAGCTGGCCATTGCAGTGCGCATCTCCTCAGCGAACCAGTTGACCTTCTGGTCTTCGTTCCTCAGAGACTTTGCAGATCCCGCAATCTCCAGGATGCCCTTAATACCCACGTTCACCTGGTTGGAACCCTGGGTCGCCTCTGCCACCATGTTCATGGCTTCGACCAGATAACTCTTGTCCTCGAATACCTGCTGGTCCTCCAGAACGTACTCCAGCTCGTTGAGACTGTGCAGGCTAGGTACAGGGATCTCCTTGTTGAAGATGGAGGTGAAGTCGAGCTGCTGAAGAATACTGCGTCGAGACGTTGTGCCCATAATGAGAAGGCGGTGGCCCTTGGGCGGGATGGCGCGGATGAGTGTCCGCAGCGTCTGGAGGATTGTATTGGACATGCGGGGGCCAACAGGGTTCCATTCGATTAGACCTTCAATGTCATCGCTAGAATCGAGGTCAGCAGTGATCCTGATTTAAGAGGGGGGGGAGGTGGGGGGGGGGGGGGTAATGCAGCCAGGGGATACTTACACAATCAGAATGCTCAGAGGAGACTTTGTAGCATCCGTGAAGATTTTGTGGATGTGGTCTCGCTTGGCCATCTCATCGCGATAGCCGACCAAGGATTCTGGGGAGATGATCTTGATGAATGGGAACTCGGATGCTTTGGCGATATGTGATGCCAGGGACGTCTTGCCGCTCCCGTCGGGGCCATGGAAGAGTAGAGAAAATGAGGGCGACCTCGACGTCTGATCCCGGAGTGCGTCCAGATAGATCATGCACGAGTTGATGATCTGGTCGACGCTGGACGAGAAATGTACGATGCCGTAGATAATAGACTTGGTGAGCTCTTCGTCCGAAACACCAAACGCCGGTGTCACCTCCGAGAGTGCCGCCATAAAGTCTTGTCGAGTAATCACGAGGTTGCTCACGTCCTTTGACACGGCTGCCATGCTTCCGGCTTGCGTGTGTCTATTAAATGCGAAGGACGCCGCACTCTTGGCAAGACCGTTGAGCTCGGCACCGGAGAAGTTCTTGGTCAGTGCAGCGAGCTCGGCGAGGTTCACATCATCCGCTATACGGCCGTTCTCTCTCATCTTGCTCGTGTGGATCTTGAGAATCTGCTGTCGGCCTTTCTCGTCGGGGAGGCTGATTTCAACCTGGACCTCGAGACGACCCGGACGGAGGAGTGCATCATCGATCATATCCTTCCGGTTCGTCATGCCGATGAGGAGAATGTTGTTCAGCTGGTCCACACCGTCAAGCTTGCTGAGCAGCTGGTTCACCACGCTGTCACCAACGCCGGTGCCGCCACCAGCGCCGGAGCCACGCTGCTTGCACACGGCATCCAACTCGTCAAAGATGATGACGTGCAGCTCACTCTCGTCGCCCTTCTCCTTGTACTCCTTCTCGGCGTCTGCGAACATCTTTCTGATGTTCTCTTCCGACTGACCGACATACTTGTTCAAGACCTCGGGACCGTTGATGACCTTTGGCTCGCGGGCCTGCAGCATCTTACCAATCTGGCGGGCGATCAACGTCTTTCCTGTTCCAGGGGGACCATACAGCAGGATACCCTTGACGTGCATAATGCCGAGCTGTTCAATCAGATTGGGAGGAAAGATTCGGGAGGCGAAAGCACGCCGGAAGATAACACTGAACTCATCATCCAGACCACCGATGCCCAGCGTCTCGAACTTGAAATCGGGCCGCACAATGGCATTGGCGCTTCGCTTGGCGCTGCCCTTGAGGTTCATCGGCTTGGTCGCAGAGGCCGGTGCCCTGATGAAGGTCACCTCGGACTGGCGTGTCAAGATTCCCCTGGCGCGTGGATTGCTGTCTGCTGGTGATCCGCCTTCTCCGGGCTTCTCCAGGCTCATGTCGATCAGCTCCACGGTAGAGACTGTGCCGCGCAGCGGAATATTCTGGTACATCATGATGACCTGCTGACCCGGGGCGAAGATCTGGTTCTCGTACGTCTTGATGAACTGCTTTGCAAGGGAGTCTTGGTCGTACGGGGCGTCGGTCACCTTGTTCTTCAGCGCGAACTCGATGGCGATCTCTACGGAGCCCAGGTAGCCCTTTTGGCCGAGCTCGATGGGGTTGAAGCTTTCCACAATTACCACGTCTCCAGGACTGGTATTGTTCATCCACACCCGCTGGGGCTCGCCGAACGCAATCTTGCCCGGCTCAATCATGGAGAAGCCCTTGGCGTTGAGGATGTAATCTTCTCCTCGAAGACGATCACCACTGACCCGGATGGCGACCTCCTCCATATCACCAATATTCCAGTCACGAGGGTGGACCGCAGCATAGTTGCTGAAGATGAACTCGGCGTCCCTCGTGGCTTTGGGTATAGCGTCCATGTTGGTGACGAGGACCTGTCTCCCCGGGCCGCGTTGGGGTTGGGTTTGGGACTGGGGACGATAGCCGCTCGGAGGCTGTCGAGGGCTCGGTTGAGGAGGAGGAGGCTGCTGTCTGTAAGGATCTTGGCCGTAGGACCCGCGAGGTGGCGGCTGCTGCGACTGGCCCCGCGGGCCTGAGGGCAGCCCACCTCGTCCGCCGAAGAGACTCATAGCAGCGATGTGGTGAAGGTGGCAGGAGGCGGTCGAGAGTAGGAGAAGCAGACACAGTGTCTGTATTTGAAGAGAGTCTTGAGGAACTGACAAGCTCCGTCGCAACGAAGGTGGGATGTCTTGTCTCGACGCTCGTGGTGGTGTAGCGGTGTCGGGAGAGGCGGTCTACCGTATTCACAGAAGGACAGATGGTTGGGAAGATGTCGATTCCTTTTAAATGGCCAGCAGTTGAGGCTAGTGGTGTTTCAACGTGGCTTGTTGAGTCGAGGAAGGGGATGCGAGCAGATGCGACTGGTTTGTGCTGTGCTCATGTTTGAGAAGTCACCAATGCGCTGGGGGGTCAGTCAGTCCAGCCAGCTCAGCCTTCCAACGATGAGACCGCAGTACGCGGGGCCGCCCCATGACGTTGCATGATGAGTACCTTTCCATATATTGTGTGGCTGTAAGGTACTTCCTTGTCACTTGACACCTAGTCGACCTACCCCTGTAGGGCACCTGCAGGGTCAGGCACATGGTGCAGTCGAGACCTACCGCCAGAACGACCCTGACTGTGCTTGCACTTGGACATTGGAAGGGCATACACCATCTATTCTAGACGTCCGCCCTATCCCATGCAATACTCTACGTGCAGGTTGCTCAACTCGCCAGTGTCTAGGTATATCAATGCAGTATTTGTGTGGTCATCTCTTTATTAACCTCAGGGCTACTACTATCTGGTATTAAGCCTATCGGCGTGGCGCTCAATGTCTCTCAACTTGGGAAGATATTCCTATGTCTCTGTTGGTCACCACCACTGCTGAGCTCAGATCAAGATGCCTCTGTATGTTTTACCTCCTTCTTTTCTTCCTCGGCGTTCTTTTAACTGGCCACTGACACCACTTCAGCCACCTTCTAGGAAAGAAGTCCTGGAATGTCTACAATACAGACAACGTCGCCCGCGTCCGGCGCGACGAGGAAGCAGCAGCCGCCGCCGAGCATGCCGCCGAGCAGCGCATGCAGGAGGCTGATGCCGCACGAAGGCTCGCCATCCTGCGCGGCGAGACACCGCCACCCCTACCCGAGGCCGAGCCTGAGAACGATCCCTCAGATAAGAACTTCGCGCGCCAGGATAGGGGAAGAAGTGCCTCGGGATTCACCTCCCGCAAACGGAAGCGCGCGGGTGAGGACGATACCGACTTTGAGATGAGGCTGGTGAGGGAGAGGGCTGAGATTGGAGCGAATGTGGCGGCTGAGCTCGCGATTCCGGGTGGCGCCAAGAAGGGCGACACGCAGATTGTCGATGGGCGTGGGCATATTGACCTGATCGGACCGCCTCCGGAGACCGGGAAGGAGAAGAATGCGGAGTACGAGCGAGAGAAGGCGAAGAAGCAGCGGGAGATGGAGGATCAGTATACCATGCGCTTCTCGAATGCGGCCGGTAGAGATGGCATCGCGGCTGGTGACCCTTGGTATACAAAGTCTGACAGCCGATCGCGGGTTGCTCTCACCAAGGAGGAGCTCGCCGCAGAGACCGGGATCGAGGCTCCGACCAAGAATGTTTGGGGCACAGATGATCCTCGGAGGAAGGCTCGTGAGACGCAGAGAATGGCCTCGAATGACCCGCTGGCCATGATGAGGAGGGGCGCGCAAAAGATCCGCGAGATCGAGAAGGAGAGAAGGCAGGAAAACGAGCAGAGAGAGCGAGAGCTTAAAGAGCTTCGCAGGGAGGAGCGCAGGCGAGAAAAGCGCCGCAGGAAAAACAGGCGCGAAGAAGAAGACGAAGAAGAGAGCGGATATCGCAGTAGGCGTGAATCTCACCGTTCAGAACATTCGGAACGACGACGACGACTAGACGATGCAGATGGAAATCGGGAGAGGCACAGGCACCGCCACCGTCATCGGCACGGTGACGAGGAGGAATATGAAGACAGCAAGGATAGATACCGTCCTAGAGGCGAAGATCGAGACGAGGAGCGGGGACGAGACCGGTCTACTCGGTCACCCCGTCACGCTGATGAAGGACGGCGACACCATCGTAGACAGCATGACGATGGGAGTCAAGGAGAGACGAGATGATAACTTTCATGCCCAAGATACCCAACACATCAGAAGCCGCGTGGCTTATCGACCTTTGCCGTTGATAACTTATATCATACATTTTCTCTCTCTTTCAATATAATCATGCCTCTTGTTACACCACAGCTTGATAGTCCCCAGATTGAGAAACTCTATCTTTCTGCAGACATGCCTCGCATGTTCCAATCACTGCTCCTTCCAGGGTAATTGAATCTGTACTTCTTTCATATCTGCCTTGACCATCCCCACGACATCATTCGCACCTAGGCCCTTGAGCTTCTCCAGGATCTCCTCGGCCAGCTTTGGGCTCATTCCCTCCCGTCGGCTCGAGTACAGGTCCACGCCCTCCTTGGTGAACAGCGTCGGCGCGAACCACGTCACCACCCATGCCTCCGTCCCCTCGCCGCCCTCGACCTCTCGCTCACCCCATCCCAGAACCTCCCAATGGCTCGTGACGAAGCCTAGCAGTCCCTTTCCCCGCCAATCCCATGAGCCAGTATCGCTCTGCCCGCATGCGGTGTCAATCCCAGCTACGGTCTTGAGCCCGCCCTTGCCCGATGACTTCTCGTACTCGACGAGGTCATCCACGCGCGGGCGCGGCCCGTCGGCCGAAGGGGGTGATGGTGGGAGGGAGGTGTAGGTGATGCGCACGTTGCGGGCGGAGCGCCACATGGCGAGGGTGGAGTGGGTCACCGTCCAGGTACGGGCGAGCCAGTCCAGTGGGGGGTTTGTGAAGTCTGATGTTGCCTCATGGGCAGGTGGTTGTGCTGGTGTTGATGGGGTCTTGGGAGGTGGGCCGTATTTGGAGGGAATACGGAGGTTGATGTCATTGCTGGCCATCTTGGCACACAAGTGATAATGACGTTTTCTGGTGAAAAGAAATATAGAAATGGCTTGGCTTGGCTTTCAGACCGTTGAGTTTATTTGAATGGCAGAAGGGTGTGAAAGGAAATGAAGAGAAATGAAGAGAAATAAAGAAGAAAAACTTCATGAGACAAGATAAGTGAGATTGATGTTGTGCCTGGGCAGGAACCATCTGAGCGCTGCCCCTGGCTGGGCAATGTCTTAGCGGGTGATGTCAGAAATGCCGCCGCCCCTTCCTCATGGCACAGCGCCAGAACTTTAATTCAGTATAGAGGAATGCCTATCCTATTTCAAGAACAGAGTTCAAATTCTTCACCTTACCTCAGCTTGAGTTTGAAATGAGCCAATGGGTAAATTCCCTCACCAAGTAAAATCTGTCTTGGTTGGGATGAAACCACGATCTCTGGACGCAGGTTTGCGAGAGAGAGAGAGAGAGAGAGAGAGAGAGAGAGAGAGTGTGTGTGTGTGTGTGTGTGTGTGTGTGTGTGTAGGTGTAAGCAGTTGCATTGATTTTTGGAAGCTCCACACTACAGTGGTAATTGCAAGTTTGTTATTGTTGCGGTTGTTGCATGGGTTGTGAACGCTAACCCTCTAGGGCCACAGGCGACACCACACCCTGTTCCGCTCCTCTTTCCTTTCTGTGATGGTGGCGGAAATACTCCCTACTTGCTTCATTCATTCATGTGGAAGCTCTTCTCTGTTCCTTCGGCAACAACCTCACCTTCACTCGAAATACTGACATCGAAGAGACAAGATGGCAGCATATCACAGCAGCTGCTAAGAACACATCATTCGCTGCTTCAAATTCTATCATACCATTCCCGACTCGTTTCAGTGGCCCACTATCGATAGTCCTTGCGCTGTCAGAATCTGGGCACAAACAGACTGTGAAAACACTCAGGAGGTTGATCAGCCCCTATCATCTTGCTACATCAGCGTATCTCAAAAAAAAAATATGGCAGAAATTCCCCTCGACGAGGATATGGATTCAACTGCCATGGCAGAGGCGATGGGTTTCTCCGGCTTTGGGATGCAGCCAGGGGCCAAAAAGCGCAAGTTCAACCCTCATGCAGACGCCTCCGTCTCTGGCCTTCCAAAGAAGCCCAGCGCAGCCGGCAGCAGAAATACCACGGGCGCCAATTCTGCGCCGCTGGGCCAGAGATCTCTCCCGCCGCCGTCTGCCAGCCTGCCCTCCCGGCCTCCTATCGCGGCTGTTGCAGGCAGTACGGGAAATGCAGAAGAGATTGACCTTGATGACGACGAAAACGGCGTGGGCGCGGTGGATAGAGACGTCCAAGTTCCGGCTGGTCTCGAAGAGGCTGATGATGACCCGCGGTATCTCGACACATCGCGGCCGTCACGTGGATATATTCCCGAAGACATCGTGGACATGGAGGCACAAGTCCGGCCCGGCCATCAAATCAGCTCCCAAGCCAACGCAGCGGGCCTATCTCAGAAGCCCCAGGTCCCGAGACATGCGCAGAATCAACGCCAATCTGGGAGACGGATGCGGGGATCGGACCAGAATGCGGATGATCAGCCTTGGTGGGAAGGTTATTACGACGCCAAGATGAATCAAAATCCATGGGAGAGGCTGGAGAAGCAAAGAGGGCTAGAGCCGCGTGGTACGTGGCTGACGAGACACACCAATGCGAATGCTGGACCGTCAGAGACAGAGACAGTGCAGGGTCCCAAGACGGTCGATGAGGGCGGGCAGGAAATCCCGGACGTGGAGGCTGGAGACGAGCCGTGACCCGGCTTCTCGATTAGCTGTTGTTTCATTGGCAGTCTGAGCACAATCGCTGTTGGTTCAATGTGATCAAAGCCCCTTTCTCGGGCCAGTCTCAGGCCTTGTCAAGACCCCTGTGTCGGCAGCCTCCAGCCGGGGATGTTGGGGCAGTATGGACGGGTCTTGGATTGGGAAATAAGGCGAACCTTAATTTATTTGGACAGGTAAGACACGGACCACCGAGGCGAACCACTGCTACGCAGCCGTTTTCCACTACATCCTTTCCAATATCCAAGAACGACGATATCAGCATTACTTCTCTTCTTTTTATAGTGATTCGATGCACGAGCTCTCGGTCCGGGCCGGACGATGTGGAAGAGCAAAGATGAAGCTTCGAAAAGCCAGAAGTTTGTCACGTGATGTACAGAACGGGTAAACGCCCAGCCGCAACACCAAGCCGCTGTGAAGGAAGAGGGCACCACATCGTCACATGACGCAGCCCATGTCGTCTTCACAGTGTGCCTCTTGGCCCGACAGCACACGAGGGCCTCTTGTACCTGCCTACCCGCGTGGAAAGCCACACTGTACGGTCAGGCTTCACGTCAGCAGCGCGTGGGACGACCGACAGGTGATTACAAGGGATCGGGCAAGGGTGGTGGCAGGTCACAGCACCTGTTACTACGTTTCCTAGGCTCGAGGGAGGGGGTGAGGGCCGGTCAGACCCCCTCAGAGACCTCAGAGACCTCAACAGAAGTGTACGACAGTGGCATTGACCTATGAGCTACGGAGAATAAATCATCAAGCAACCTGAGAACCCCCCACAACGCCGTCCCCTCCGTCCAATGAGAAAGGGGAGCAGAGACCTGCGTGGACAGAGAGGGAGACACGACGACAGTAGCCCCATGGGGGCGCTGCCCTTCCAGAAGGGGCAGTATCCACGGCCCCGAAGAGGCAAGGTGCCTGTTCTCTCTCCCTCCATCTCGCCCATCCCTGTCCCGACCCGTCCTGATCACACGTCCACGCCCTCCTCAGCCCTGGCTCCCTGCCGCAGTGTAGCTCTCGGCTCGGGCCTTGGGAGGGGGTGTGGTAGGGGGTGTGGTAGGAAGGGCGGGTGCTCCCTTCGCGCGCGAACCATGATTTGCCGCAGCCGCTCCACCTAATTGTGTGCTCGTGGGCTCCGCTTGTCAGGCTGCGAGATCAGAGATCAGATCTCGCACCCCCTCCCAACCCCTCTCTTCTAAACGGTCCTGTTCGGCTCCTTCCAGGAATTTCACACCACGCGCCCCTCATCCATACTTGCAGAGAGAGGGGGCTTTCACACCTGAATGTACCTGTACTTTTGCGGCCCTTTCGTCCAATCATGAGTTTGTGAAATAGCAGTGCCCATCAGGGGAAACCATGGAGAGGAAGTATGAATTTCCCAACCGCCAAATGGGGGGAGAAGAAGCAAAAAAGAAAAGAACAAGAACAAAACCCCCAGTAAACGCCTGCCTATCCGTTGTCATGTAACTCATATACCCTCCCCAAAGACCCTGCGGCAGACGCACGTGGACGTCCGCTCGCTTGCCGCCCAACGTCATCTCCACCCTCATCCACCTATGATCTGCCCCCAGCACTCATGCAAGCAGCCAGGGCCGCTGGAGAGCGTGTGCAGATGGCAGGGGAGGGGAGGGGTGAGTCGAGCGGGCGGTATGCAGCCCTATGTGCAATGCGTGAAACCCAAGATCTGTGGTGTGCGGCAAAGTGAGATCCGTGGGCCCCTAGCCAATTTTTCGACAAGGGGGTTGTCGATTTTCCTTTGAAGGTGGGTACTTGCTGTGACGTTTTGGTTAATTTTGTCGTGTATTTTTGGTCGAAATGAAACGTTAATCCTGGGAAATGAGATTTTGATGGGTTAGGGGAGTTTTGTGTGTTTGTCTCTTTTTTTGGCCCATTTTGAGCCTCCCAACTCAAATTGGACAATGGCTGAAAAGCCAGGCGCCTAATAACCGTCTGGAGACGGGTATCGAGCGCGGGCCTTGCTGTACTCCTTGCCGTGCTTTTTCGACGCCTTGGTCTTCAGAGATCTGGAAAATTTCAATTTTGATTAGTTTCTTGTCTCTTTCTTTCTTTTTCTTTTTCTTTTTTTGTGTCATTTTGCTGGTGGTCTTTTGCACAGGCTGGCCAGTTCTGCGGGTACTGCAGCCGCGCCCGCCTCCTCCCACGAGAGAGGAGACACAGTCGCGGCGCCCCAAATTCCCGACAACGCCGAGTCCTGAGAACTAGGGCGAAAAAACTCTTTTGGCGAAAGATAATACTCACGAGACTTTCTTCTGCGTCCATTCGAGATTCTGGCGCACTTCGCGCGCATCCTCCATACCCTCAGCAAAGCGAGCCCGCGACCTGGCGAGGCGGGCCTGCGCCTGCTTCTGCAGCTCCAGGAGCTCGCGGTGCTTGGCGTTGAGACGACCAGAACTGTTTCGCAAAAAGTATCATGTCAGCCAATCCGTCTTGTCAATCTCTCAGAAACATCAAAAAACTCTGGACTCGTGCGAGTCCTCAAAATCATCGCGTGACCCAAAAGGTCTCGTAAGTGACCTCGGCCGCCAAAATCGGAGCCGAGACCCGTCCACGATGCAACCGAATCCTGCCAATTTGCGGGTTTCGGCGCGGAGACGGTAAGCAAACTGGGGGGGGGGAGCTGAAATGCCAAAAACTTACGTCTGTGCTTGCGTAGCCACGGCCTTGTCCAGAGGGAGAGGGTCGAAGGCGTTAGCCAAGTGCTCGTGCATGTACTCATTGAAGTCCACGCCACTGGCGGAACGCTCTGACTCGTAGTCACCATGGCTACTACAGGCATAGCTGGCGGTGGCTGAGTAGCCAGAGTTGCTGTACGAGGGGACGGCGGAGCCGGAGCTCACAGACGCGTCGGCCTCGGGAGGGGAGACGGAGTAGGTACTCTCTGAGTGATAATAGGTTGGGTAGTGCTGGCCCTTGTTGGGCACGGGCATGGGAAGAGTCCCAGAGTAGAACTGCGTTGGGGAGTAGGAAGACATGGTGGTGGTGAGGTGATGACGGCCTGTAAACGAAATAGTATGATGATGATGGCGGAAGGGTAGGTGTGCTGGAGCTCTGAGGCAGACTGCTTGTGGAGAGATGAAGAGAGGTAGGTTCGTCTGATATGGTTTGTGTGTATGTGTGGGCGTGGGTAGGTGAAGGGGACTTGCTGTGAGGTTGTTGAAGGTCTGACTGACGGGGCAGGACTTGTGCTGGGAGCCTGAGAGCTGATGTTCTTGAGGAGGAAGTTGAAAGAAAAAAAGAAGAAAGAAGAAGAAGGAGAAAACTGATCAGACTCGATCAAGAGCCACCCTTTTATAGTTTTTCCCATGGCTTCCCCTGTCAACAAGAAGCTCAAGTCCCGTGATCAGAGGATAAGACAGGTTGACTTTATTCGTCGAGCGAGGAGGGAAGGCCCCCGCCCGAGATGAGGCCAAGATAGCATGACGAAGGGGGACGATGATGGCCAGTATCCCTGCCACGGGTACTGGATGGCCTCCTACCCACACCCCCTTACCACGAAAGTTGGACCAACGGGAACGAGGAGAATGATGCCGGTTGGGGGTTAATCCCTGAAGGAGGAGGAGGAGGAAAAGGACGGGTCCGGATTGGCCTGCTGATGATTTTCTTTGGTCAGAAGAAAGGCAGAATGAAAGGAACTGGAGGTCAACATATGCATGTGCCGAGAGGCAAATATCACAGGCTAACATTGGTGGGATGAGACAGGGTGGAGGGGTGGAGGGGGGGGCCGGACTGGGGGAAGGGAACGGTCTGGTTCGGGACCGCATAGCTTGAAGAAGCTGGAAGCAAAAGAACGGGGGGTGAAAGGATGGGGCAAAATTCTTTCAAGACGGGCTCCAGAGGAGAGCCTGGAGCCTCGGAGAGACAGAGAGACAGGTACGTTGCAGCGTATGAAATGCACATGAGAGTGAGGGTAGGAGGGTGGAGGGGTGTACGTATCGGAATGGGGAATGAAATGGACATGAATTTGAACCAGGGTTCATGGCTGGCAGAACGTTGGGATGGAAGAGGAAAGGCCGGGTATGATCGAGGTGACCAGGGTAGAGCACGAATTTCAAAGCGTGTGACAGGTTCTAGGGGCTCTGATTCTTTGGAGGAGATGTGGGCAGAGGCTGGAAGGGGGAAGGGCAACACAGTGTACAGAGCCGACCAGACCAGGGAAGTACAAAGTACAGGACAGGGCAGAGAGGGTTCAAGGAGGGGCAAGAATCGGTTAACTGGGGCTCTGTTGGCCTGTAGTATGTGTGTGTGCGTGTGTGCGTGCGTGCCTGCGTATGTGGCCGACGAGTGGGAAAGTACAATATGCAAGATGTAAGATGGACGATGTAATCCCAGGTAGCTCGGTGGTCCGGGCGACAAGGCCCTCCTTCCCTCCCGTCTTGGATTGTCTGATAGCGTGTACACCCAGGCGGGTATTGGAGGGAAGAGGGTACGAGACGGGACGAGACGGAGAACCGAAAGAAGAAGGGGAAAAAGGACGATCGTTGACCACAGACAGAGGACATCAAGGATTCGAGGCTGAGAGTGGGAGCGAGCATTGGTTGAGCACCTGCACCATCCATCCGTTTTCACCCTCCTCGCGTACAAAGTCCACATCCTCGGAACGACTGTGTGTCGTGTCTGCTAGCAACAGAGGTAAAGTACAGGTACATGGGGGAAGAATACTGCCCTGCCGGATGGTGTGCCCAATGGCTGGCCTCAATGCAACAGGAACAGCATCATCTTTTTTGCGATGTACGATGCACCAAGGAGTACAATAGGAAAAAAGATCTAGAAGAAAGAAAAAGTAACTTTGGTTGTGGTACACAAGAGGTACAGATGCGCCCCACGGCCTGTGTGGGCCCTATCCCTGGGAGATTGAGAAAGAGAGGAAAAGGAACTCGGACAAGCTCAGACGGTGGCCAAAGTTGGACAGCGACAGCGACAGCGAACGTTTGTTGTCCAGGTCCCGCAGATCTGTAACGCCGACGGGGTAGCACACCCAAGACAACAAGGTAAATGGCGGCCGGCATGCAAGGACTGGTCGTCGTCAAAAAGAAAGAGATCCTGAGCTGCATAGTCAGCCTCCTCTCCCTTCCTCCAGAGCGGTCAGGTAAGGTCAGTAAGGTCAGGTCAGGTCAGGTCAGATCAGAGTCGGGCCGGGAGGTCAGGCATGAGTGCAGCAGAGTGGCTTCTTAGTCTTTGCGCGATGATGTTTTTAGTGTTGAACGTTGCAGGTCAAGTGCGGCACGAAGCAGTTCCAGTGCAGCCCAGCCCAAGCCCAAGACCAAGCCAAATGGCCACAGTAGGTAGGCCCAGCCCCCCGACCGGTGGGTGGGTGCGCATTGCTTGTGTCAATCCAAAAGTGGGTGGGTGAGTTGGCGAGGAGAGGTTCAAGCCACGCACCTAAAAAAGTTCAGAAGTAGTAGCCCGAGACGAACTGCTTGGGGAAATATTTTCTGCAGCGGCAGGGGCCCAAGAAGCAGGGGCTGGGGCCGCTCTCTAGAAACGGCAAAAGGTTTTACAAGGCAAAGTGCGTGTGTCTGCAGTAGGCACTTGCCGTGGCATTTTCCAGCGAGTAAGAAATGCGCTGGAAAATACGTACATGGACCACTTCGAATTAAGGCACGGACCTGGACGGGCTATGATTGGCTGTACACCATCAATTGACGTGGGGTGCTCCCCTGTGTCCAGGGATATCCCCTCGTGACTTTTCGCCAATCCATTTTATCTTGCGAGTGCTGCCCAAAAACGCCCCCTGCCACGGCTTCTGACGACATTCCTTCTTAAACAAGTCTTCCTTCGGCTTGCATCAAGGTCCCTTCACTTGTTCATTTTTTGTTGCCTCTCCATTTCGTTTTCATTTTCAATTTTTTTTTATATGTTCTTCTGAATTGCTCCATACGAGGTACCTAATTCATCTAAATTCTTAATTCAAGATTTAACGTGTAATCTTGAACGAGAGCAACTTGTTCCAAAACTTTTGCCTCAATCACTGATCAACTGGCCAATACCAAAAAGGCATGCAGTATACGAATAAGTGCATCACGTTGCAGCTTGCTTTGCTTGCATCGTCTCTCTGGTGGGCCTTGCCGATCCAAGCAAAGGTGGTGGGGCCAAAGGTACCTCAACCGGCTAGGACCTGCGTATGTACTGGCTGGCTGACTGACTTTCTCTCGTCTGGCTTGATCGTATAAGTCTTGGGCACAAACGAGTACCTGCAGATACTTCAACTGTCGAACCCCTGCGACGGAGCCTGTCCCGTACAGTACTTACCATATACACTTGCCGCACCCCAAGGAACAGAACTTGACGCTCATGTTGCCGTTCGCCTCTTTCCCCTCCCGATTTTTTTTCTTTCTTCTTGATGTCCTTGAGAATTATGAAATGGCACTCGACATCTTTCCAAAATGTTTCCGGCGTGACCTCGACAGTCTGGTCGTGAGAACCCTTGGGGATCAGTCCGAATCGTTTGTTGTCCACACCGTGTTGGGGCTTGACCTGCGAGATGCGAGGAGTCCGCGGTCTCGTCAAAAACCTGTATGCAAGCTGCAGAAGGATGGGGCAAAGAAGATTATGGGCAGTCTCAGACTTACAGGCTGCGTCTCATCATTTCCTCTTGGAGGAATCGCCACAACGGACGGCTCGTGGGCACTTGGTGGTTGGAGTGGGCATTGGACCTGCGAGGTTGGACACACCGTCCTCGACTAGCCTTGGCCTCCCTCTCGCCAGGCCGTACCTGAGCGTATCGCAGTCCAAGGTCATGGGCACTGCCCGCACTTCAGTCTGACACACCGGCGCGTGAGGCTTGGTTCTTTCCCGTGGACTGGTCTCAAATCGTATCAGGCCATACCTGCTGATTCTCGAAGGACCAGATGCAGCTACTCGGTATGATCCTCCCTTGGGGCTGCCACGACTCTTCCCTCTTCCCTGATCCGAGTCCGGTGGCTTTCCCCCCACATGATAGTCGATGCTACCTTCGTCTTCACCGCCACGTGCTGGCAGCCCTCCTGCCTCTAGTCGACATCACGAAGGCGTGAGGCACAACAAGCCCGGCACTAAAGAATCTGGAGAGAGAAAGGGGCCCCAGTCCTGGGGAAGCCAGGCATTTTGAGGCCATGGATCCTCAGTCAACGACACAACGGCCACACGAGTTACAAGGTCACTCACCACTGCAGCTGGATCTGCAGAGTCCGTGTCGAGTCTAGCCCGAAGATATGGTTGCGCTCAAGTGTGCTCTCGACACTAACCTTCCTGCTGGTAGTCTTCTGATTGCCTGCTTGCACCAAATAAAAATAGAAAAAGGAAGGCCGGAGCCTTGTTCCTTTCTGGGGCTTGTTTAGTGCCTGTGTTGTGCATTTGTCTTAATTTCGAGCTTCGAGACAGCTGCAAGAGGCGCACAACGGCCAATGTTCACTACCACACCACGTGCAGAGCTAACAAAATGCATCAAGCGTGATAATATGCACGCTCGGAATCAAAGTGACCGCCACATGCCAGGACTTTTATCATCGTTCGGATGGCTGTACTGCGGCAGGCTAGAAGATGATGGGCGTTTGATGGCTTCCACCCCCCTCGTGCGTCCTTGATTCTTGGTGAATGAATGAACAAGGCATGATGCGGAGGGCTTGTGACAGCTATGGCTCGTCAACTTGTGTTGTCGACGTCAAGCTTGCACGAATGGATAACAACGGGAACATGAGCACACACTCATCTCTGACTAGACAGTCTTTCGGCGATAGTTTACCGACTCGGCAAACCAAGCACATTGGCAAGTTGCCGGTCGAAGGGAGCCACTTCTCGTTCCGACATGCTCGAAGACACCCACAAGTCAGCTGCAGTTCCATCAGGTGTAACTTGCCAATACCAAACAGGCATCAGCAGGCGCCTGGCCGCCCGGCAGGGCAGACCACTCGGATCTAGCCCAGCTACAGGCTTGTTGTGACACGAAAGGTTCTAGGCCACGAACAGTCCAGGAACCGTCCCCACGGTGTGGGCAACACCACTCATTAACTTCCTCCGGTAAGGTCATCTTATGATCCTCAAGAGGGTAATGTTTCTCTGGTCATGACAATATTCTCCCCTTGAATCTGGAGAAATATAGTGTCCACGATGGCATGGCATTTTCCATGGCCCCACAAGGTACCAGTTGGACTTGGTAGGCTGCTCAGTGTACATGGCCACCATATGGTTGATAATGTATCTCGCCGGCATCATCTTCATTCCAGTTCCAGAGATTAGAACTCTGAGTCTCGTCGCTATCTCGTGTGTATTTACAGTAAGGGGGTCACTGCTAATGTTATAGATAATAGACGATCGTCTTGGGCGCAGTGGTCCTGGAGAGGCAACCCGTTTCTTTCAAGATCTTGAACAGAGACAAAAGGTAAGACGCACAAAAGCACGAATTCGTACCTGGTAATTGAAGCTTTCTCTCAGTAGCCATCTCACGACACATTGCAGTCCAGCGATCTCGACACGGACATGATCTTCCTATCGTGTTGGACTCCATGAAGGCTCCCACATTTCAGCACTGTGCTATGACAAAGTAAGGGCGGCTGAGCGGTTAACCTGCCCCACGGATCATTTAACAATAGCGCTCAGTGAGTAGCTTGCAGTTCCAATTAGAGGCCAACACCACCACATGTACGAGTTGGGATCCCTTTGAGCATGGCTTGAACCATTCCTCTCAAACGTACAACTCTCCCAAGTCTCAACTACTCAGGCCGAGATATTTTCAGATCTTTATGACCATGGCCATGCCATGACGAATGCGGCACGGAGACGTTGGGCCCTGAAAGCTTCAGCTGGAGACGACTGCCACCTTGTAGGGATTCATCTCATGAACAAATGCCTGCTCATCATTCTTCTCCTCTGTGGTACTATAACGTCGAGTGCTGCAGCCTTCAGCGCCTAGCCCTCCGTGAGTGTGCCAAGTAGCAACACGACTTCTCATCCACGCTTTGATAAGATCGAATCTAATGAGTCTGGTGTCAGCGTCAGTCGTACAGGCGATATCGAGGTTGGGAGCCTCCGGAGACGGAACAGGCACGGCGCCACTGGCAATGAGCATGTGGCCAAGTTGAACCGGCGGGAAGATGCTCGAGTTCCGGGTTCTTTTCCAGGGATGGGAAGGACGGCGACTGAGATTCCCATTCTTCCCTGTATCGGAAACAGGCATGTTTCATGGTTGACTGGACGGGTATGTCTATTGGAAGAGCCGTCGTGAGCAACATATCCTGCGTATTGCCATTCTAATTGCGTTCGTGACTGACAAGATCTGAACCGTCGAGTATCGCAACAATAGATCTTCTCTACATCACCAGCCAGTTCTCAATGATCATCATCAACTTCGGCGCACAGCTTGTCGTCCCTGTGTTCGTAGACATCTTCAACGAAAATCCTCCTCTCCATCTTCGTCTACGCGACCGCGCCAGCAAGCGGTGGGCACATGAGCCCCGTGATCACGATTGCAACATTTCTGTGTGGTCTTTGTCCAGCGCCTCGGGCTGCCGCCTACAATTTGTATCAGACGATCGGAGCGGCGATTGCGAGTGCTTTTTTTCGTGGGAGCTGGGGCACGGACAAGGCTGCCGCGTAAGGTGGTATCATGAACATCGGCCACTGATCCTCAAGGAAGTCGGAACCTGAACCACTGAATGGAGCTTGAAGACACCACGGCACAGGATTTTTCTTCAATAGTGCATCCATAAGTATGGGGTAGGTCTTCCTGGTGGGGTTCATATCTTCAGACATCCTCCTCCTAGCCATCCCCCCAGTGCCTCTGAATAATTCAACTCGATGCAACTTTCCCCTGGCTGACCGAGTTTCTTCCACTCTCAGCTTCCTCACCTTTGGAACAAGTCTCGATCCCAGCCAGTCTGCCATATTTGGGCCACAACTTGGACTCTTCCTCACCGGTCTCTCCCTCGGCGTCGTCACAGCGTTAACTACCGGAGGCGCCACAAGCTACGGTGGCGCAAGTGTCAACCCAGCGAGATGCATGGCGTTTTCTGTGGCGCGGAATAGCTTTGACCTTAATCACGCCCGCGGTCTGTCAATATTCCTCTCCCCCACCTCTCAGTTTTTCTTCAATTTTCAGTGTGCGTGACGCTACATACTCCTCGTTCACAGACCATTAGATCTAGTTGTCTAGCACGGTAGGTGCTCGGCACCGTGTTAGATTTTGCGACCTAAAGGCTGACGATGAGATCAGGTTGCCGGTGCGATTTTCTGTGCACTGATATAAATCTTGTATCGCCGTGTCACCAAGCGCCCAACAACGGCCGTTCTGGGCCCGAGAGAGAGAATACAAACGAGCATGCCACTCGATGGAGATGGTTACTCGTGGCGGTCGAGACTTGTTTCGATAGGACCTAATTCGCTGATCTGCTGCTGCTTTACCAAGTTGAGAGACCTTACATGTTTGTCTACTTTCTTGGTTGACTTTTTAAGCACTTGGCGTCATCATTCGCAAAAGTCAGAGCAATGGAAAGAAATCGAGCCAAAAATTGTTGGATGTTTAAATACCTGGTTCCTATCACCCATCTTGCTCCAAGATATGATCTCGTTCTTTCTTATCGAATCCCCATTTTAATCACAGCATGCCAACTCTATATAATCACTGCCATCTCTTCTCGCGATCAGCAGGACTTCAACACGCTTATTTGGGCTACCTTTATAGACGTAAAGAAACACTCAACGACATACATCCAGCCCCATGTACTTCTACACTTTACCCTGCCCCTTTTAAATCACCCTACAAACAACTGACAACACAACGGTTACGACCTTCTCCACCATCTCTGCTAGCGCCAGCAGCTGGCCCTCTTAGGCATGAGTAACAAGGGGCGAGAGGATGGAGCGAAAGGCCCCAGACAGTGACAACGCATCTCCGCCTCTTCCGGCATCGCACCTGGAGGCCATTTTCATGGCTGCGTGACTGCAGGCTAGGGGGAGGCACGCACGTGTAGCGCTCACCGTCGAACCTCGGAGGTTTTTTGTGAAGCTCGCCACGGATCCAGGCGAAACCTAGGAGGGAAAGAGGGATCCAGAATGGAATGGTCTGTCCTAATAGGTGTTATGGGCGCTTGGGAGGGGTGGAAATTATTCTGTCGGCTTGGGGCTCCCGGGGCAGCGTTGATCTTTGGGGGAGGGGGAGGGGTGGGAATAACCCGTCTCCATCATGCCTTCGGTCGGAATATGCTTGAGTATGGCGATACGGATTCTTTTTCTAATGAAATTTTTGTCTACACCTTAGCTGTACCGGAGGGATGTTTGAGCACATGAACATAGTCATTGGGAAGGCCTTCCCTTCTTTCTTCTTCATCTTTCATGGTAGGTCAGCATTGTTGGCCACATGAGGTCCGAGAACTATGGAAAATGTTTATTTGAACCTGGGATGAGCTGGTAGATGTTTGGGCAAGTATATAGACCACCAGGAATCTCGTGAACTCCATCTCGTCTATTATCTTGTCCAAATTATGAGTGGGTACGCATTTATGGATTCTGATAATCATGGTATTACTAGTTGCACATAGTCAGATATATGTTTGAGATAGACACATGAATATATTTTCTATACTCTTCAAGATCATCTGGGAGATTGGTCTAAATTTCGGGTGCCCAAGCCCTATTGTCTAGTCCCAAGCTGTCGCCGACATCGAAACCACAAGAACGCCAGCCACTGAACTTCGAATAATTCGTTCCAAAACGTCGCTCATGAGGACATCATGTTTAAACCACACACAAAATTACGCGAGATATGCCGACCATAAGTCATGAAATTCAAACCAACCAGATCATTCAGCATAGCCAAGGGCCTCGGGCACAAAAGACAGGACCGATGTGTTTTCCAAGATCCATACGATGACACTAGTGACGAGATGTTTCCTGATGGTGTTTATCCTGATAAGATGGATCCCTTGTTCTTATCCAAAAATCTTCAAGAACCCCCAAATACCGAGCCCACTCAGGACGGGTATCGTCAGGTTATCGTCCCAACCGAAGATGTCGACAACCTCACCCGCGGCGGCGGCGAATCCGGACCAGGCACTCATGAGAGCGAGTGCAAAGCCACCAGATACTGTGGCCTGTGTATCGGTCAGACCCACGGCATTCGATAGGACAGGGGGAAGGCGGAGAGAGCCTGTAAACATGAAGGTCTCGTCGCCGGGCATCGGCCCAACAGTGGGAGCCAGCCATCCCCAGAAGCACCAGGCGGTGATGACGCCTGTGACGAAGGCGGCGGTGGAGCCCGCGAGGGACTTGCCCTTCCTGATGCGGGGTGTGTAGCGCCCGTACAGTCTGCCAAAAGTGCTAGCGGCGGTATCACACCAGCTCAACAGCAGAACGCCCATGACGCCAACGTCCTTGGGAAAGGAGTAGAGCACAATCCAGGCACCCAGCAGGTAGAAGACGACGCCGTTCCAGCCGGCGAACTCGCTCTCGCGCATGAAGGCGCCCATGACCTTGACGTAGAACCTGTTGAACGAGTCGTTGGCGTGGCGGATGTAGTCGACGGTGGCGATAGGGAGCAGGGCGCCCATCAGCCAGGGGCAGACGGAGGCGGTCTGCGTACCAGAGACATAAAGCCAGGTGACGAGGAAGCCGATGGACGTGTGGAGCAGTTTCCGCGGCACCTCGTGCTTGTGCACGAACGTGCGCCAGTGTCGATGTATAGGAATCAGCCCCAGGGGACTCGGGCTGCGGCTGAAGTCCCGCCAGCTCCAGCCTGAAGACCGGGCCGAGTTTGGCGACAGGTGTCCGTTCGCCTCGGGAGCCTTCTTGCCATTCGCTGCTGTAGCTGTCGATGCTACTGCGCTGGCGGTACCGTTGTCGGTAGACACAGGCGTCAAGCCGTTCAGCTTCTTGGTGGCCAGCGGGCTCCTGCTCCTCGTGCGTGACCTGCGCAGGCCGTTGCGTCCCTCCTCCTCCTCATCTGGGCTCTCCTCTACAGGCTGCGGCGTGGCGAGCCGTTTCCTCCTTGCCGCAGACCTTGTAGTTGGACCAAAGTAGGAGCCATCTTGGGAGGATTCTCGTTCAGAGGGTGTCGGACTGGGGGATATGACACGAGGGGTCGCCGGAATGACCGGCTTCGCTGCGAAAGACATGACTTGGGTCGGGAAGGGCGGCAGGACCGGATAGGCGACGGTGCCGGAAAAGGACTTGCGGACGACGTCGTGCACTCTGACAAAGGGCCAGAGAGAGAAGGTAGCAGTAGAGTGGAGATGTATGTCCCTGCGAGACTGACGCGCGCTGGCTGCGTTGAGGGAGGAGGAGGGAGGGACGTGTTTGTAGTGGTGCAAATTCAGGCGAAGGCAAGCCGCGCTATCGTCGATGGAATCCAGATTGAAAACGGGTCTTTTTATTGCGGCAGAGCGTACCAACTCCACCGCATGATCGATAAAGAAGAGGAGGGGATGAAGGGGATTTGATAGATAAATAAAAAATGACCGCAGGTCAAGTCAGATCAGGTCCAGGTAGGATGACACCCTAGGAGGGTGGGTGGTGCACTCCGGGGCGGCGGCCTCTCTCAGCACCCCGAAAATGGCTTGACTGATGGACCTTTATGTGACTGACTGACTGACGGACGGGATAGTGTGGAAAGTACTAGACAACAAATCCAGGAGAATTTGTGCATATGCACGCACATGAGAGGGAAGAGGGAGAAGAGAGAAGACAGGTGGATAGATGACATCGACTTGTCACTTTTGCTTGTTTCTGTTCTCGCTTGTTCACTGGCGCTCAACTGGCTCAGGCCCTCCTAAAAATCTTTGACAGGGCCCCTCGAGGACCCCCCAAGGCAAGTACATGAGTCCCTTGTTGGCCTGTGCACGAGACCAAAACACCCCACTACACAGGAGGAGGAGCAATGTACTGTGTACAGTCCAACTAAAGCATGTGACAGGTCCAACACTGCTTTTAGATCCTTCCGCTGTGCTCAAATAGCATTTGAAAAAGTGTATCGCACGCAGACAGTGTTGTGCTCAACAAATTAGTTCATAGCAAGTTTCAACCTCCTTTTTCTGTATTTTTTATGGGAAACTGCATTACCTATCTGCACTGTGACAGTGTCAACTGTACATCTCATACAGCAGTTTTTGGAGACAGGCACGAGGTAGGGCCCGAGAAAAACCATGACGCTAGAAAGATACAAAGTACATGAAGTACAGCTAGAGGCGATAAGATAACCTTATTTTTGTTTCTGCGGCTGGCAAAGAAAGGGAAGAAAAAGTTCTTGGCTTGTCCGTCATTCTCAAGGCTGTCTGTCCAAACATTGTCAAGCACCTCGCCAGCTTCGACGGCATCTGCGAAACGATTCGGGGACTGATCGGATTTGTCGTCTCAACAGGAAGGGAGGAAGAAAGAAAAAGACTCAATGCCTCCCAAGGCCACGAGCAAAAAGGACCCACGAGCCTGGGATGCCCTCACTCCACCGCTGGCAGACTGGATCCTCGACTCGGTCAACAGCAATGGCTGGGGCGCGCGCATGACACCCGTCCAGGCGGCAACCATCCCACTCTTTCGAAGGCATACTGATGTGGTCGTCGAGGCCGTTACTGGCAGCGGCAAGACCCTCTCCTACCTGATCCCCGTTCTCGACAAGATATTACGAGCAGACGAGTCCCTAAAACCACACAATGTCACGGGCATTATCGTCAGCCCCACGAGGGAGCTGGCACAGCAGATCTACGACGTCCTCACGACAAACCTCCTCCCCTTCCACCCGCCGTCCGCCGAGATATTACCCACCCTGAAGGAGGATGATGACAAGAGGCCTCTCGCCAAGGAGCCCGTGGTCGTACCGCAACTGCTCATAGCAGGCCTGACGAAACCACGTGCTGACCTCTCCTTCTTTGTGCGAAAATCGCCGAACCTCCTCATCGCCACTCCAGGCCGCCTTGCCGAGCTGTTATCGTCCCCCCTTGTCAAGACTTCCAACCTCGAAGTGCTGGTCATGGACGAGGCGGACCGTCTGCTGGATCTGGGTTTCAAGCCACAGCTTAATACCATATTGGGATACTTGCCCAAACAGAGGAGAACTGGTCTGTTCAGCGCCTCCATGAGCGAGGCGGTGTCTGAGCTGATCAGGGCGGGGTTGAGAAATCCTCAGAGGATAGCTGTCACCGTCAAGAGCCTGAAGGATGGCAGCATAATAGAAGAGGTCGGTTCCCATTTGTATCATCAAGTAAAAGAGAAAACTTATGTGTGCTAATTTCTTTCCGTACAGAGAAAAACACCGGCCTCTCTCCAGCTGACGTATCTTGTGCTCAAAGCATCTCACAAATTTCCTGCTCTTGCACAGCTGCTGGAGAGTGTATCTCCACGGCCTACCAAAAGCATCCTGTTTTTGAACACTTGCGAGTCGGTCAGGTACTTTGCCAAGGTTCTGCCAGCCGTCATGCCCGCAGGTTTCGAATTAATTTCGCTCCATGGCAAGCTGCGGCCCGAAACTCGAGACAAGAATTTCGCCCGTTTTCTCGCATCCACATCGCCTACGATCCTTCTTTGCACAGACGTGGCAGCGCGGGGTTTGGATATCCCACAAGTCGATCTGGTCGTCCAGGATCCGCCGCAGGATCCCAAGACCTACATACACCGCGCGGGCCGAGCAGGACGAGCTGGCAGGAGGGGTCTGGCAGTGGTCATGCTCCATCCGGGCCGGGAAGAAGACTTTATACATTTCTTGGATGTGCGCAAGACGCCCGTACAGCCATTGAAAGACCCCAGAATCTCTATCACAGACCAAGAAGCCGAAGAAGCAGCGGGCAAGATCAGGGCACTGGCCATCGCTGACCGCGAGGTATTTGACATGTCTCATAAAGCTTTCCCTGGTTTCGTCAGAAGCTACAGCAAGCATGAGGCCTCGTCAATCTTCCGCGTCCAGGACTTGGACTGGTACGAGCTCGCGAAACAGTACGGTCTAGTCCAGCTGCCTAAGATGCCGGAGCTGAAGGGGCTCGATATCGACCGTACACTGGGGCTTGACATCAGCATCCAAGCCATTCCATATAAAGACAAGGTCCGTGAGAGGAAGCGGCAGGCTGCGCTTGTGGAGTGGCAGGCTGCGATAGAGAATGGCGACGTGGCTGCTGCGGCGCAGAGGGCCGTTGCTCAGAAAAAGAAGAATGAGGCGTGGAGCGGTAAGGCAGAGAGGGAGGACGATCGCAGAAAGAGACGCGAGAAGAAGGAGAAGAAGAGGGAGGCCGCCAGGCTAGCTAGCCTAACGGATGAGGGCAAGCAAGAGCAGCAGAAGCTAGAGGAGCTTCTTGCGCAGGTCAGGGCCAAAGTCAGGAAGGAGACGGGAGGGGACAAGATGGAAGTGGACGGAGGAGGTGGTGATGATGGTTTCGACGGATTTGACGACTGAAGTCTCTGTCCTCCCTAAAGAGAACTTCAACGGCTGTGCTCCAAATGTCAACCTTATCATAACGTTTTTCCTTCCCCTTGTGCGCGCGGTCTAGATGGGGTGTGGATGGTCTCACCGTTGTGTGTGCCATAGCAAGTCCCTATTCCGACAACGTAGCACTCACCAGTTCCATTTCTGATGAACATACTCATGCTTCATGCAGCCAGCCAAATAAATTTTCTAACAAGACCACGAGAGTTGCCCTGCCATCCATTTTCTCTCACACTGCTCTACTACACACCAGCCATGACGTACCGGCGCACCGGCTCCCGCTGGATTCTGGGCGACAAGTTTGACCAGCTCTACGGCTATCTCACCTCCATCTCGGCCCTCTGGCACAAAAGTCCCTGCCACCACGGTCTCTACCCTTCCACGACGATGCATACGAGAACTTCACCCCGTCTTCGAGGCGCTCATCGAGAAGGCCATCCATGACGACTACATGAACGGGTACACGGGTGTTCCTCCCCACAACAGAGGACCTCATACGGCGCGGCGACGAGAGCCTGGTGCGTGGATGGAGTGGGTGCTGGCTATGGCGGGCTGAGGAAACAGAAAGTTATGGGAATAGAAGAACAAAAGAACGGCTGACAGGTATGCAATATGAATGAAACACATATGAAATTGAGATAGGAGTATACTGGTTGTCGCTGGCTAATTCGTTGTCACTGAAGTAGCAGCTCTGAAAGCATCCAAACAGAGTGGGCTACGGAGGAGGATATTGTTAGAGAGAAAGAAGAAATCGTACAAGGGAAGATTGAACGGACAGCTGGCAGAGTTTGAAATTGTGAAGCGCTCAGCTGAATGCAAAACCTTCTCCCAGAAGCCGGAACACAAAGTTATCCCGGGCTGAAACTCTCCAACAATGCGATTCAAAGGGCCAGCCTTTGGTCTTCACTTGTCGATAATATAATGATTTATGACGACTCGTATTTGGAGCAAAGAGTGGTTACTTATTTCAAGCATAGGCACATAGGTAACCATACTATGCACAATATCTAGGTAGCATACATTATTCAGGAAAGCTATCATGATGTGGCGTTGAAACGGTGGACAAAGTTACATTGTATCCGGTCGGGCTGTGCGCTGTTCTCAGAATATGGTTTCTTTCTGAGAACGGCCCATTACATATTTGTAAGACCATATACATATATACGGCTGCGTACGCACTTTAGAATTGTATAGATCCTCAGAACCTGGAGTGTTCCAGTTCAGCAGGCCTGACCACACCACATACCTCACCACCAGGCTCACTACCTGGTCCGCTATCAAGCGTCCAGGATCATTTCTCACTCTTCTCACCACCGTCGAAGAAGGGAGAAGTGGGGGAGAACAGCACCCATCGAGAACGGCTTTGCACTTCTCAACATGCCCACCGTCCACCACTGTCCAGGACGTCGGGGCTACATGCCTGGCAGATGTTCCATATTGAGACGGACCCCGAGAAACCCTCGGTACTGCAAAACCCACCAGATGCTATGCCCCCAGCACCCTCGTGTCCATCACATGAAGACAGAACCTTGCCCTAAGTGTGAGACGGATTCGGTCCTGGAGACCAGACGGAGTGCTTAGCAGCCAGGAACCTACCCACGCAACCCGTGAGATTGCAAGTGGTAGTGTGGTCCTTGCTAGGGAAGACGCCGAAGCCAGAGTGTCTCAGAAACTCTTTGTCTGCCGCGATCAGAAAGAGCGCTGTTGTTGTTGTTGTTGTTGTTGTTGTTGCTGCTGCTGCTGCTGCTGCTGCTGCTGCAGGCCTTGGGAGCTGGCCTCTCCAAAGGGTGCTCAGCCAGCATGCAGGCTGCCTCTGAGATCTCTTTCGCTTACCCAGGAAGAGGTCGTGGTTGCTGCCGACTTGCATACCAATAAGTTGGGAAAACAACATAAGAGGTTGCTTGACGGAAATTGAAAAAAAATAAAAAAATGGATATAGGTTGTCATGTATTCTTATACTCATAGATTCATGAATCATCCATGTTCATTCAGCCTGTCCAACCGTAATCAGCAAGTAGATATTGAAGATGGTGCTTTTGGGTCGCTGGGCACCTGAGCTCGTGAGCTGTACGAGACCCTTTGTGAGAGCACCTTTATATATGGCTTGATGCTCAAAATAAGTACTGGTGCCATTTAATGTTCCTGTGCAGAGCAGACAAATGCCTTCATCCTGACACTGGCTGTATCTTATATTTCTCCACAATTCCTGCCGCCCATCATGCGAGATTGGTTGTTGAGGGTGAGAAGTATACTGTCAGGGATTTCTGTTTCAAACGACCATGATTCGCCTCCAGGGCTCGAATGTGTATACCAGTGAAGAATGAGGAGTGACTTCTAATTACTCTGTATGCTTCTGCCAAGAATCGAAGAATCCATCAAATTTTTTTATTATATGACCCAAGTCCCAGAAATCCAGGAAATAAGGGAAAGCGTGAATACTATGATGCGCTGTGGATCTGGGACTTCCTTATTCACGAGTGGTCTGGAAATTTTGACGAGTGCTTCCGTGACCTCCAAAATATATCACACTCAGGACTATAATACCTGAAGACCAGTAACGAGGACTCAGTTCCCTGCTCTGTGAGGCCTGCCATAGCCAGCCAAGGGACGTCTCGCACTGTATTCCCTTACCTAAGCGATCCTCCGCGGAGATCGGATCGGAGTACTCGGTGCTACAAGTATAAATCAACACGCTACCCTCCGACAATTCGGTTGCGTAGAAAGACTTTGTATGAGACAAAAAACTTAACGAAACTCGAATACTCCACCAGCCTAGCCGTGACGGAAACGATTATGACCATATCAGCATGTCGACTTCAAGCATCGGGTGCACTTCAACTGATAATGGGCTTCAACTGTTAGCATCCAAAGGGCCAGTCTCTGTCTCGCCATCGGACAGCAGTACTAGAAAACCATCTTCTTCTTCGATGCGCCGTGACAAGCCCCAGCTCAGTTGTAACATGTGTCGAAGAAGAAAGTAAGTAGCAATTATTACTCAACTTATTCAGTACCATGGCCACTCTCTGGTTTTCAAGCCCACATGAAAGAAGTTTCCAATCTGAAATACTCGGTCTCTCACAGGCAAAGATGTGATCGTCAACATCCTTGTAGCAATTGCTCAAGCAGAGGGGTTGGAGCATTATGTGTCTACCCAAGCTCTTCCACCACTGTCGTCGGCACAAGACCACCAAGGCGGATGACTGGGACAGCCGAAGTACAAGATAGGCTGAAAACGCTTGAGAATATGGTTGTCAGCCTCATGCAGCAATCTCAGGCTGCTCCAGAGCGATCGTCGCCCCCGTCGAGTGACATGGCACCCGAGGAAGCAGGCAAACTGGGTCCCAAAACGACGACGGAACAGCACCCAGTCTCACCTTTGTTGAAGACAACAAAGACTTCAAGCTCAGTCTCACCATCACCATCCGATTACGGAAGTATCAGAGTTCACCAGAGTAGTGTGAGCTATAGTGGCTCTACGCATTGGTCGGCTGTCCTTGACAGTATTGCTGAATTGAAAAGTCTCTTTATTGAAGAGGACGACGAACAATTGCAAGATTTCGACCCTGATCCTGTCGGCTTGCAGTCAAGCTTTGCACAGCCAACGCTGTTGTACAGCGGATTGACGCACGAGTCTCTGTCATCAATCCTTCAAGCTTTACCAGAACGAAGTATTGTGGATAGACTGGTGTCTCGTTATTTCAACATACTGGATATGGTACCAGGTGAGGAACTGCTGCCCCCTATGAGTGGCTAAATCTTTATTATTATTATTTTTCAGCTTACCTTAGAATGCAGGTATGATACACAGCGGCCAATTCCTCCGGGAGGTATGTCTGACTAAACTGATCCGTACTGATCTGTCCAACCCCTTTCTGACTTTGTGTGCAATAATTAGTATGCTAAGTTCTGGGAATGCCCAGAAGCTGCACCCATCATGTGGATTGGCCTCCTTTTCGCTATGCTGTGTGTTTCTGCCCAACTTCCTCAGGCCTTCACTGATCCTGCTTATGCACTACCCCTAAACGGCGGAGAATACCCCCGCCAGTCCCCTCAAGCTGCGAGAACACAGGCCGAAGTAGATTTACTCAGAGAAAAGGCAACACAATGCCTCAAGCTAGGCGAGTACACCAGAGGCGGACCGTACGTCCTGGAGACCTTGATCATCTACTTCCTTGGAGAAGTGTTCCACAAGCGGGGGGTGAATCTTGGTCTCTGGATTATTGTGGGCAATATAGTACAAATCGCCCTGCACATGGGATACCACCGAGATGCTTGTCACTACACCAATATCTCTCCTTTTGCAGGCGAGATACGGAGACGTGTCTGGGCCGTGATTCTCCAGCTGGACTGGAGCTTCGCGACGCAACTCGGTCTCCCCAGACTGATCAAAGAGACCCACGCTGATACTCTGGAGCCGCGGAATCTGTACGATTCGGATTTCCACGAGGATACGGCCGAGATGCCTCCATCACGCCCTGAAACCGAGGTCACGCCCACGCTCTACGTTCTCGCCAAACTTCGGCTGCGGGCCGCGGGTCTTGCTATTCTCGACAAGGCTACCGTGGCCAGCCCGCGATCCTACGATGAAGTTCTCGAGCTCGACGGTCGGATCGAAGCAGCCAGGGAGACTATTCCGCCCATATTCAAATGGACAGGACTCTCATCTTCTCTCGGCGTATCATCGCAGATCATCATCCAACGGATGTGGCTGGAGCTATGTATCCAGGAGATGAAGATGATGGTCCACCGCAAATTCCTCGAGTTACCTTACAATAAAGACCAGCAGTACGCTAAGCCGCGCACCGCCTGCCTTACTGCAGCCATGAAGTGTCTCGACTTCCAACAGCTCGTCAACGAGGAGACACAGGTGGATGGCCTCTTATACCAAGATCGTTGGAGGATCTCCTCAGCAGTCATGAACACCTTTCTTCTCGCCACAAGTATCTTGTGCTTTTACTTGAAGACACATACTGGAATAGATGGTCAAGGAGGAGGTCTTGGAGATGTTGCTTCCGTGCCTCTGGACAAAATCAGGAAGCTCCTGGAAAAATCTCTTGTCGTATGGAGCCGTCAGAGCGTGACCTCGAGAGAAGCTCGAAAAGCGGTCGCAGCTCTACGATATGTGCTGGGCCATTCTGATAATAATGCACGATCAGACTCTCAACCATCATCTCACGAGGCAGCACCGCCAACTACCCTTGACGGGTATAGCATTCCTCAATTTTCAGGTAAGTTGAGAACCGAAGACCCTTAACTAAATTTTGTGTTACTCTTGGTGAGTGTAATATCAAAGCTCACTTATGACAGGGTTTTCGGACTTGATGCCAGATTATGAGCTCCTCAGCCTGGGCCTGGAACCCTCTAATATGGGATCGTCATGGCAAACCTTTCCGGCAAATAATGTTGATATGGATGTTCACATGGGTCCTTTGGCTTCTGTGGTGGATTCTCAACAGATGGACACGATGTAGCGAGCTGGATACTTCAGAAGAGCCAAATTTTGAAGTTAGCAGTTCATTATATACTTGCAACGCGAGCAGACAGACTTTCGTGATAATTTCGTGGTGAGATGGCATTTTCCCAAGTACACGAATCCAGTCTCATTATGCCTCTTCCGATGGTGCAGTCTTTGTAGCTTCTCTCTCCGTCTTCAAGAAGAACGTCATCAAGCCCAGATCATATGACGCCTTCAACATACCCGCCACTGTGAACGCAATCCAAAATCGCCCCTCTCCAGCCAACACACCTGTGACCGTAGGCCCGCCACTCTGGCTCAGGGTCTTGACCACGTTAACGATGCCCATGACGGCAGTTCTCTCTTCAGCCTGCACTACTTTGCTCAAGAAAGCCGACCTGGGCGCCTGGTCCATACTCGCCAGCGTACCTCTGGCGACCAACAAGACGACGGTGAGCCAGACGACGTTCGGTGCGGGCAGCAGGGCGAGGAAGATGGCCGAGGGCAGGTGGGTGAAGACCATAGTCTTGATGAGACCGATGCGCTTAGAGATGGCGGAGGCGAAGATGTTGCCGATGCTGCTCATGATCCACACAACGGACATGATGTCGCCAAGGGTGCTTTTCGGCATGTGAAACTTGCGATCCATGTAAAAGTTGATGAGAGAGTAAGGGACCATGCCGCTGGCGATGGAGTCGATGGCGAAGAGCGCGCAGAGTCTGAGGAGGGTCCAGCGTGTTTTTGTCGAGAGCTGTGCAAAACCTCGTTTCGGCTTTGGAGGAGATGGGGAAGGGCTTCTTGTGGCAGCAGCTGGCGTTGGTGTTGTTGCAGAGAGCTCAGCCATCTCGTGACCAGAGTCTTCCTCGTCATCTGACGATCCGACGAGAAATCCAGCTCGTTCACTCTCATCAGCATCATCCTCTCCTTCCGCTCCAGCCGTATTTGCTGTGGAATTTCCACTTTGTCTCGTCCCGCCCCTCACAGGTTTGTAGCCATCCGCACCACCGTTGACTTCACATTTGGCGCTCAAAAGTCCCGTCAGGACCGCCTTGGCCACACCCACCAGCGCATATCCCCAAAAGACCACCCGAAAGGCGTCAAGTTCGACCCAGCCTCGTCCCTTCAGCCCTTCCACCACCCATCCTGCCCCCGTGAGGCCCAGCGCGCTCCCCAGTGTGCCCACAACCACGTACCAGGCAAAGACATCACTCCGCCCGTCCTCAGCGACCAGACCCGCCAAGACACTCTCCTCCACCGCGCGAAACGGCCCGATTTCGTTGCCCGAGACGGAAATCACACCGACGACCGCGGCCACGAGCAGGATCCAGTAGCTGCTCGCCAGCGCAAACGCCGTGCCTGCGACGGCCATGCAGGCGCAGCCCAGGAGCAGGATCTTTCTGCGGCCCACGGCGTCGGCGACTAGGGTGAGCAGCAGCGAGAGGCCGACGTCGCCGAGCAGGGTGAGTGTCATAAACAGGCCGATGCGCGCCTCGGAGATGCCCAGCGCCGAGAAGAAGAGAGCTAGGACGAGTGAGGCGCCGCCGTATGCCGCCATCCTCAGGCAGCGCGTTAGCAGGATGAAGTGTAGGTCGCGCGGGGCCGCGAGAATTGTCGTGATGCCGAGCTCGGCGGCGAGGCTGTGGAGGCTGATGGCCATCTTTGGAGAATCGTGTTGCGCTGATAAGAAAGGAGGTGAAACAATAAGAATCAAATGAAGAGAAATCAAGACTTTTCGTGAGAATGTTCTCTTTCTCGCTTATGAGAATTTCTGATGGGATGTGGAGTTCGCTGGGTGTGACGACCCATTTACTTTTTATGTGACAGCAAGAAACGCCGAATTTCAGGAACGACTTTGAGACGAGTCAAGCAAAGGAAAGAGAGCAATGGAGATGAAGGCTCAAAGGCGGCCCACCGACGGCGAAAAAGAAGATTCTTATATGTGATTAATTATTAATTCATTCTGTATGTCTCCTGATACTGTATGTGTGGGTGAAGCTGGAGAAGGCCTCTTGACTTGTTAGGCAAAATTCTCGGAGCTCCGCAGCGGCCGATCGGCCTCGTCCCGCAGCGAAAGCGTTCCCACCCACTCTTAGTCAAGCTCGTGGCCTATGTACGTGTATCTGAACCACTTCGTCGGAGGTGATGTCATGCATGGAATTGTCATGAACAACACGCCAAATGCAGAGCACATCCGATAGAAAAGTCGGAAAATAGAGGAGAGGAGAGAAAAATTGGGAGAGAGAGAGAGACGAGTTTTGAGGATACAAACAGCAAAAGAAGGAGTAAGAGGGAGAGAACAACAAAGGGAGGACCAAGAAGTTTCTTGCTTCAGAAGTATTGGCCCGAATTATGAGATTACCTTTGGTTTGAAATCATGTACAAGGTTTTCAGGCCTGTCTCAGGCGTTTGTTGAGAATGATTACTTACTTAAGTATTCAGAGAAACGTGATACAAGTGCAATTAATTGAAAGCCGCACGAAATAACGAGAAACTAAAGAAATCATTGTGGCAACGAACAACGGTGGAGTTTCGCGTTGAGAAACTCTTCGACGTGCTCAACACTGATGTCCTATCTGTAGTGAAATACTCGTCAGCAGGTCGATGATCCAAGAGAAGAAAGTGTGTATAATATTTAGGTGTCAGGCACCCTCGCACACTCACACTCACTTGAACTTCACAATAAAATCAGGGTAGTTCTCACCCTCCTCCCAGATAAATTGGAAGGACTCGATCTGCACGCCAGCAAACTCGTCGTACTCGGAAAGCATCTGCTGGGCGCCGTTGCCGAAAGGCGTGCCGTTGGCGATCATCTGAAAAACCTCCTCGTCTCCGCTGCTGATGAGGAGGTCAGTGAACAAGCCCGCGCCCATCTTGTTGTATATCTGGATGATGAGGTTGGTCAGGCTGGTCTCCTGAACATAGACGTAGGTGATTTGCTTCAGGTCGCGGGGGTTGTGGCCCAGGGTGAATTTCCAGAAGCCCAGCAGCAGCTGCCGCAGGGACAGCTTTTCGTGGCGCGCACGCTCGTCCAGCCCGTTCCACGCGCACACGATGTCGAGGGAGCCTTCGTCCTCAGCGCTGTATCGGAAAACATCGATCTCGCCGTTGATTTTTCCAAAGATGTCCTTGTACTCGGGGTGCGTGATGGAGTAAATTAGGGGCGACCCGTTGCTCTGGGGACTGCGTCGCTTGACTTCGTATCCCCATTTGACAGGTTCTTGCACCTCCTTGGAGGCGCGTTTCTCGGCAAGGGTCTCAGGAGTAGCCATTGTTGGGAACAGGACCGTTTGGGTAGTGAGGAAAACAGGAAGTCAGTGAATCCAGTAGAGGCAGATTGTTGGATTCAACTGATCTGAAAGTTCTGCTTTGGTAAGCACAGACTTCATCAAAGCTCAAGGCTGTCGACTAAGCAACTATAAAGCTGAGTTCTAGAATATCGACACCAAATGCTATACAAATATTTATGTCGTCAAGAAACTACCCATGTTTTCCACTGTCTTCCTCGTGTTGTGTGTTGAGTATGATCTAGTGTACAATGTGCAGGTTATACGAAGAAAGGCTCTCGACCTTTATCTGTCCTTTGAGATCATAGAGGAAAGAAACAACACGCTACTTCTGCTGATGAACACAAAATTTGATAGATATTCCTTCAAATAGAATTCTGTTTCCTTAGGCTCACAGTCCTCAAAGTCTATAAAGGGCCTGTTGTCACAAAGACAGCCGAAGAACTCAATAGCCTTATGCAGACACAATTCTATTGTTTGTCTTTGCCAATGACAATAAGCATGCACAATGCATAAATGAAAATGTTGAAGATGAGGCCCAGGTTATGCTGATGCCAGGCGATGCAACTCGGTGCATGATAGACTCATCTCCATTAATCAACAGCTCCTTTACAATTTGTGCAATCCACTTGGACTTGAGATTAGAAAAGGCAAGAAATAATGATGCTGAGTGTATCGCATAAAATTGTAATCATCATTGTGCCTACTGGTGATACATTGTGCAGTCATTGCAGTCATTGCAAAGCTGTTTGTCCATCTGGATCGATTGATACACACACACACACACAGACACTCAAATACATGCTGCTCACTACACCCTGACACATATGACATTATCTCCATACACACATCTGGCACTTCACTCCGGTACCAATTCGCCCATTGACCTCCAAAAGTCGCATCGAAACCCTCGCCCTGCTTCCCAGTCATAGGCATCAGCAAGACGGAAGGTATTATTCCCACGGCAGTAGTACAGCCCGCTGAATTCCTCGCCGGAGGTGCAGGTAGTATTGACATCCATGAGGGTGGGGTTGTAGATCGTATACGGTGGCCAGTCGCTAACCGGGTTGTAGGTAGCATTGCCTGTGGTGAGGCCGTTTAGTGCCAGGCTGTTGGTCCTTGGGCTGTCGCTCACAATAAAGTTGCCTAGCATGAGCATGAAGGCGTATATCTAGGATAGATCACTTAGCATACGATTGAAGGCTTATACCTTTTCTCTTTTTCCTTGAAGAAAGATATCGAGTCCTCCCTCCCAGCTGAAGAAGCTCTGGGCACAAGAAATACGTACAAGGTCGGCATTGTAATATGTGCTGGTCTCAGGCCACGAAAAGTATGCTGCACCGTCGGCACCGTGGTATGCGTTGGGGACAGACCACTGGTACTTGTAGCCCTGTCCTCCAAGACCATTATCGCTGTATGCCTCGGCGAGCCAGTACGAGGGGCATATGAATGTGGTTTCGCCATAGATAGCAATGGCCCGCTCCTGTTGGCCGGTGGCGGCGGTGCTCTCGTTGATATTGGTCGGCCCATAACTACCCTCGGTAGCAAACTTTAGCGCACTAGGGTTGGTAGAGGCGTTGTTTGCAGGATAGTACCGCAGAATCTTGGCGATGTCGTTGTTCGAGAACATGGGAAACACATCCTGGAGGTATGCGACGAGGTCGTCGACGGTGTCGATATTGGTCGGTACCCAGGCAGCCCCCTCGAGCGCGTTGTTCCCGGCCAAATGGTTCAGCCCGTTTACACGGCCTCTGGCGAGCTGCTTGCTAGGGCGCTCCTGGATGAGGACGCCGTCCGTCACTGGCAAAAAGGCCCAGGTGCCATAGGTGCCGCTCTGAGACACGACGGCGCTGGCATTCATAAGCGTGGCGGAATCTGTGCCGACGAGGCAGTCAAAGATGCCGAGCGAGCCGTTTGATAGGTAAGCGTCCTTGGCGTCACAGCCTGCGGCGGCGGCGAAGGCGTAGTATGCTTGTGATGGTTGCCAGTCCTCTGATGAGACAAGTTCTCAGTGCCGATCACTAAGCGGAGAAGGGGGGGGGGGGGTGGGTTGGTCATACTATAGCCATATTGAAATGCGAGATAGGGACTGGCTGAGATAGAGTTCCTAAACAGCTGTGTTCCTAATGTTCCACCATAGGCGAGACTGTGAATAAACAATGGGTTAGAAATACTGCACTTAAACGAGCGAAAGCCAGGTGTTCTCAGTTGACCCTGAAATCAAGCACCAATCTTACTCGTGTAGCGTGACACTGCCACCACCAGAACTCTCTCCAAAGATCGTGACTCTGGTATTATCGCCGTTGAATAGGTGTATGTACTGCTGCACCCACTGCAGCGCCATCTGTTGGTCCAGCAGACCAGCATTGACAACGCCCTTCCTGTAGACCTCATCCGACGAGAGGAATCCGAACGCTCCGAGCTGAGGGTAAGTCATTCATCGCCCTCGTCAATACACAGCCGTATCACGTTACAAGCAGCCCATAAGTTGTCCAACTCAGGTTGCGGGTCAAAAGGATGCTTACCCTGTACTGGATATCCACACCGATAAAATGGTTGCCATGGCCTCCGTTGGTGCTGATCAGCGCAGTGAGGTCATATGCGCCATTGCCCTCGCCATAGCCACCGCCATGAATCCAGACCATGACTGGCATCCCGGGGCTCGCCAAGGTGTTGTTCCCATAAGTCGTGATGTTGTTCGGCGCATAAACCTAGTAAGTTCAACAGCGGTGTCAATGAGCGAGGAAAACTCAAGCAGAAAGAACAGCAGCAGCAAAGCTTGAACGGGGAGAAGAAGAAACAAAACCCTTGTCTTACATTGATGAAAAGACAGTCCTCGCTGCTGGCAGAGTTGTTCGCAGTCGTAAAGGAGCCCGAGTTATCCGGGCTCTGGGGGCACTGGGCGCCATACGCGTCCGCCTGGATGACGGCAGAGCGGTTCACGAAGGGTGCACGCGGTGGCTGCCATCGATTCTTGCCACCTGTATCTTGTGCGAACCGTATGCTACGGTGCAGGTTTGTGGTTCGTTAGACAGAGAACTAATCGAGAACGCTATCTCATCGCTGTCATCTCCCTTCTCTCTCTCTCTCTATATATATATCTGTGCCCAGAGGTAATACTCTGTTTGTCCGTGCTCTAACACCTGGGCAAATATCGGGTGCATTTATTTATTAATTAATATAGACAAACATACCCTTGCCAGATATTGAGAGACGCCGATTCGTTGGTCCACCCTCTGTAGATACCATATCCCAAATCGACTGTCAATGAGTCCTCCGTGAGATTTGCAACAGCGGTCTCCTGGGCCGCGTATTGGTGGAAGCCGAGGTAAGGAGATGGAGGAGGCAGAGCTGCTGCTGCCACAGTCAAGAAGACCACGCCAAGAACAATCATGATGTGTGTTGATACCTTCTAAAAGCTTAAGAACTTACTTACTTAATCATGTAACACGACAAGTAATATTGATCACACGAAAGCAATTATTGGAGAAAAACAAAAGGGTAAAAGGGAGTTGCCCCCCTTTCCATGGAATATCAACACCGCTGCAGGCGTGCATGTAAGTAATGTAAAGACAAGTTGCTGTTTGATTAGAATCGTTCTCGGCCACCGATGACCCGAGCCTGGATATCATAAACATGCAGGAAATGACACAGTTGGGCCTGAATACGTTAAAACTGGGATGTCAATATAATTAGCCTATCTCCTAGGTCTCCTAAAGGTTTTGTCATTTTGAAAAGTACTCTAGATCTCTCTGCAAGGCGCTGGCTGAGTGTTATCATTGCTTAGAAAGATTGGACATGTCCGCAACATTGATACAAAGCGGCCCCCCGAGGCGGTGGATGGAATTGTATAAATTGTATACCTAACTTGATTAATGTTTCTCAATTCCTTCTGATTTTTGACCTGATTCCTGATTCATGTGCTTCTCTACAGATGTGCACAAATGTGGATAAATCCAGCTATCATGTTCTGCCACATAGTAGGTAAACCACCAGTGGCCCTGAGATAGCTTTCCCACCCTCTTTTGTCCCTTCATATGCGTGAAAGGCTATTTAGGGCATGAGGAATTTATTGAGTGAGCTCTGAAACATTTCAATTGATATCATCATGTCAGAATGAACCTTTGGGTCAAACACTGCTGCTCCCCTCAATTGTATCTACTGAACTTGGGATATTCATAACAGAGGTAAGCATTTCTAGCAACGTTGCTTCCACCTAAAGTCGAGGAGGTTCGGTCCCATAGCACACATGCCGCCCCCCCCTCTAAATTCGCTTGGACTGGTCTAAGCCAGGTTCCCAGACGTTGTTCCTTGACAGATTCATCCTGCCTAGAAGCGCTGTGGGTCTGGTGCTGTAAATGCCCAACCCTGCAAGCTCCCCCCCCCCCCCAAAAAAATGCCTTACCTCGGTGCCTAGATAGCTCCAACAAGAAGTGGAACCGCCTGGAGAAGAACAGCAGTAGCATACATAGAAAGGCAAGGCACACACCACGCGGTGTGGAACACCATCTGCTCGTGATGATAAGGCGTACTCACCTCCTCCCCTAACCTCTGAACTTTTTTATGAGTGGCAAGTAGCAGAACCCATCTTTCACGGATGTTGTATGCAAGAATTGTGTATGTGTGTGTGAGTGTGTGTCTGCCTGTGCTTGATTGTGGCAGAGGTTTTACCAGCCTCGTGACCATTACCTCCAGGATCGTCCCAGTCAAGTCTTGCGACCAGGGGTCAGAATGCCTGCTGAGCAAGACACTTGCGAACATCGTGAGTGATATTACCCAGAACCACCACAAGACGTGGTGGAACCTAGGGCTAATTGTGAGATGGTACGAGGCTGAGGCAATGTCGGCCAGACTCAGCAGGTGAATGGCTGACTCGGATTCCCCTGCTGCCAAATTGACAAGCTTCTAGAAAGCTTCCATGTTTGGCCTCTCATCGGAGCCAAATTTGGGCCATGGCTATGCTTAAGGAGCGTGTGGCACTGTGATTCCTGACCCAGGGACCGGTTTTCGGACCGTGCGTTGTCTAAAGGATCGTAAGATCTACGTACGTAGTACAAGCTCGATCAGCAACACAATTAAGTCCGCAAACAGACGGCTGACCCTAGAAGGGTAAATAGCGGTATCTTTTCGTCAGTGTGAGGATTATCCATTTGTTTGTCTTGGCATAGGATGAGCTGTTGAGGCTGTGCTGGGATCACGCTGGCAGCTAACAAAGGGACCAGAGTAAGATACCGATGAGTGGCCAAAAAAACCACCGTCTCATCCCGAGCCATACAGACTGAGATGACATTTCTCTAACAAGTCGGGCGTAGATGTCATGGCTGCAGGTAGTAATTAAGCCGACCTTCGAGATGCCTCACAATTATGGTGGGGGAGGACCGCAAGTGGCAGGTCGACGCGAGGACGGCAAGCTCTCCAAGGGCAGAGAGACGAGGCTTGGATCTTACTCACGTGTCTGAAAAGGGTCTTAATTTTTCGAGGGGTTGATCGACTTGGACGACGGCAGAGATGATATCAGTATCAATTCAGAAGCGTGAACGACCCCTTCGCCTTGCGCCAGGAACACATGCCTTTCGACCGCAAGATGTATTCAATTCTCGCATCTGTCTTGATGAGCGGTATTATTCAATAATATGACTCGGATAATAGTTTAGCTTTGGGATAAAGCTATGGGGGCGCAGTATCGCCAGTAGTAGCTCATGACCGGACTGTCGGGCTTAGAGACGATTTGACCGGAGAGCTACCCTCTTTGATCGACGGGGTCGAGTGAGACCAGGAGGGGGAGCGCGATGGAACTTCATAGCGTAAAGAGATTAGTCTGTAGCGAAAGGTTTCATGGCCCCGGATCGCCAGAGATGCCGTGCGCGGAAGAAGGGGGGGGGGGTAGACGGGCTGATCTTCGATTTGCTGGGAACCATTCTTCCGATTCTGCCATTGGGGGTTTTCTGGTTCTGCTGCGGCAACTCGGCACGTTAGCACTCGATATCAAATTTCTAGTGCAGAACTGTAGAGGTTGCATCGAGTACCTCCTGTCCCAATGGAGGAGGAGCTGACAGGAGTGGTGCGGGCGAGTGGCGTGCCTCCGCTGTCTGAATGCCATCAACAGTGGCACTAGTCTGGCAGTCATAGAACGTCCTGTGACATGCTTGATTGATAGTCGATTGGACAAAGAGGACAGACGTTGACAACCCACACCAAGGTGCGTGCGGTAATAAAAGCCAAGAGGCAAAGATGATGATGGCGATGATGCAAAAGACTTTGGAGGGAGGCAGTGCCCGCGGATATAACTCGGGCGAGAACCAGGGCAACACGCTATGAAAGAAAGAAAGAAAATCCCTGTCTAGTCGGTGCTGAAAAGTTCAAGAAGCTCGAGAGCTGGTGTTTCGGATCTGCCTTTGGAGCGTTTGAAGGGGGAAGACGGGAGGCACTGGAGATAATGATGGTGTCCATTGGCTCCAACTCTCTATCGCTGTGGTAGGAAGGTTGACCCCTGCAGAGAAGGCACTGAAGACCCAAGAAATCCGCTGTGGCTCAGGGTCCTCGCCACTTCCCCAGGCCCATATGATAGTAGAGGTCCCCACCAGCACCCCGTAGTAGTCACGGGTCAGCGTGCCGTACTGTTAGATGCTGAGGCGGTGCCCTCATGTGGGACACTAACAGTGAAGCTTAGCTCGGGTGCAGGGGTTGAGTTGCTTCCGAGGTGCAAGCGTTCCCTGGGGTGTCACTGTCACCTGCATCTCATGTACCTTTGTACCACAATACTGCGTGTCATAGCAACGAACGAGCGATCTGCCTCGCCGCAAGCGAGCACTCATCCTTTCTTCTCCTTAGTTTTCCCCTCTTTTGACAAAAGGAACAGAACAGTCAGTCAATCAGTCCACAGTAAGCTTATTCTCCGTCTGAGCAGGGAAGAACAAACAGGGCTATATACGAAATACGCTGGACACAGCCAAATACGCCCTCGATCATCCTTTACACACACATACTACCATAGTGCATACAACAACCCTGGGCCTAGACAAGGGCAGCTAGATTGGATTTGAGGTCGCGCCACCTGCGCCAGATCGTCACAGCACTGCTCACCCAACCTTCCATCCTCCACCTCAATCAATAGATAAATCCTCGACCTCCTCCAATTCTTCCTCTCGCCCACATTTTTTATATCTTCCCGTCTCACCACCTCATTATCTCTCAACTGTCTATCTACAACCGTCACAGTGACACCATCTCTTCCCATCGGCAACTGTTTATCTACCAATTCAGGATTGCATCGTGCAAACATAAAACACCTACACCATGGACAACCGAGACACAACCCCCAGCTCGTCCAAGGCCCCCGAGCTCAACGGACAACACGGTTTTAGGCCCCAGGCCAACATGACCGTGCAGCCTCCCCGCCAGGAGGATCTGCAGAGGAGTTATGCCAGCGTTGTTGGAAACGATGCGAACCCGAAGGGATGGTACGGAAGCATGAGTATGTGATTCCAACCAGCACCGTTCCCAAAGGCCCAATCCAAAGCGTCAAACATATCCTCGCGACAACGAGAGTACTGACAACCATTCACACGTACAGTCAACAGCCTTGGCGCCGTCATTGGTACCTGTGGCGCTATTCCGTGCTGCATCTGTTGTCCCAACCCTTACAAGAACGTGAATCAGGGCAATGTCGGTCTCGTCACGAAGTTTGGTCGTTTCTACAAGGCGGTCGACCCTGGTCTGGTCAAGATTAACCCCCTGTCCGAGCGCCTGATCCAGGTCGACGTCAAGATTCAGATCGTCGAGGTTCCCAAGCAGGTCTGCATGACCAAGGACAATGTCACCCTCCACCTGACGTCTGTTATCTACTACCACATTGTCAGCCCGCACAAGGCCGCCTTCGGCATCGCCAACGTCCGCCAGGCTCTCATCGAGCGTACTCAGACCACTCTACGCCACGTCGTTGGTGCTCGCATCCTGCAGGACGTTATTGAGCGCCGTGAGGAGATTGCCCAGTCCATTGGCGAGATCATCGAGGACGTCGCTGCCGGCTGGGGTGTACAGGTCGAGAGCATGCTCATCAAGGATATCGTCTTCAGCCAGGAGCTCCAGGAGTCGCTGTCCATGGCCGCCCAGAGCAAGCGGATTGGTGAGAGCAAGATCATTGCCGCCAAGGCTGAGGTTCGTCTCACATAAAAGCTACCCCTGCAATGCGCTCTTTTCGGTGACGAATCAATGCTGACACTGTTGCTGCACCCGAATAGGTTGAGAGCGCCAAGCTTATGCGCCAGGCCGCCGATATTCTGTCCTCTGCGCCTGCCATGCAGATCCGCTACCTGGAGGCGATGCAGGCTATGGCTAAGAGTGCTAATTCCAAGGTCATCTTCCTGCCTGCGCAGAATACTTCCACCATGAGTGGCCTGTCGGCTCCGTACATCAGCAACAAGGACCAGGAAGAAATTGGAGAAGGCAGCAACTTCAGGGACTTCGGAGGTCAGGATCCCGGCTTGCAACAAGCCATCAACGCTCGCGTTGTCGAGAGCATCTAGATTCCTCTTTCCTCCTTTTCATACTCCGCTATGACTGGTTGAAGGGCTGTCCAGTTGTGCTGACTTGAAGTCTTTTTTCGGTTGCCCGGCCCCTTGCAGGCTGGTCAACATGATCCTGCACCGTCTTTCTGAGGCCCCTTTTAGGGGTTCCCACAGAGCCAGGGACGAGAAAGGGTAATGGCAGCTCACTGAGAGATAGGATTCCTGGTGGCGATGATTGTACGATATGAGTGATACTGCTCGGGCCAGTTTGGCAAAGCGGGAGGATTCCCTTGGACTGGATAACGAGATACCACAGATGGATGGAACGAGCCCTTCGGGGGCAAAGGTTGCTCTTCTGCCGACATGGATACCCAAAATACCTTCTTTGATTTTCTCTGATCGTCTTCGTTGTTTTATCATGATTGGTTTCAGGCCAGACAAGGGGGGGAACACCGGGATTGAGTTGTTACTGGTCTGAGGCTTGCGCTCTTGCATTCTAATTTTGATAGTTGATGAATATTACGACATTCGTTTACTTTAGCTCTTGTCAGTCTGCGAACTCGCCCTCGTTCTAGCAGTGTCGAAATATAACACTCGTGATATGTATATTAAGATTTCAAGTGATTATTGATGTTAAGCATAGGTCTCCAGTGCCACAAGACTTTCAACAGCTGAGTGGCTATCATCGGGGTTGTAGGGAGGATCAGAAAAAGCAACCTCTCTCCGCTTTCCCTTTCTCATACAAGACAATTCGTCCGTCTCCACGTTCACGCATCCAGTTCAATTCAAGTCCACCAAACCTTGAGAGATAGAAAGAAGAAAACCGAACTCGCTGGATGAATTTCAACCCCCTCATTCTGCCTGAGCGATTTTCTACCTCATCCAGCTCCCCCCCCCCCCCCCAGGCCACCCAAGCTTGAGCCATGCCCAAAACCTAAAGTTAGCTTTTAACCCACCATCCTTAACCCACCCACCATCCTCTAACCCCTCCACCCTCCCCCCCCCCTCCTCAAGGTTGTCTTCTCGGCCACCCTCCATCTACCTATTAAGAACACTCCCGGTGACGTTTGCGCCCCGTTGGGCCCATTCCTCTTCATACCAACGTCCCGAAAAGCACTGCCACCCCCGCCCAGATTGGAGGGAGGGGAAGGGGAGGAAAGAAAGTGTACGAACCGCATCTTACTACTGCTTTTGCCTCCCGGGACCCCCCCCCCCTCCTCTTTATACCCATTCCTCGTTTTCAAATTAATCCCTCAATCGCGCATTCTGTACTGTTACTCGTTGAAAATGACCTGGTCGACCGTTACAGACTTGTCGTGCATAGAAGAGGTAGAGGTGAGTGAAGGGAGCAAGGCACCACACGCAACAACATACAGTAGCAATTTAGAACAACACAAGGTCTTATGGGATTTTGTGCCTTCTCCCTTTCCCGTCATAGTATCTTGGGTTTAACTGATGCCTTGCCTCATAAACCCTGAGGTGCTGTGTCTTCATGCTATCCTACGACAAGGACGCCAACACACTGCCAATTCATAGACGCACGAAGCCATGCATGTCCCAACCCAGGACTTGAAATACTCATGAGGTGGGTGTGCTCACGAACGTTCATGAATTCGTGTATGTTCCAAAGCCGCCGGCCTGGTTGGTCGAGGGCCAACACATCAACTCTATTCACTCTCACGGGTCGTCTTTGTCACCTGGAAAGGCTGCCGGGTGCGTGGGACTTTTTATTTAAGATCGATGCTCATATTGCCTTATTCTTCCCTCAATCTTCCCAACCGCTGTCATATGCCTTCAAGCTCGGCCCGCGCCCTCCATCCCAACGAGAAAGAAGAAAATAAAAAGGAAAACAAGGGGTATTTTGGGTAAAAATCGCTCCACGCTTCACGACGCCTCTACCACTGTTCGCAGCAACACAATCAAACAAGGACAAGATGCAGTGTAATGGGGCTCCAGAAACAAGAAGCAAGGTCGGTCTTATCTCTCTTCTCACACGAGTTTCAATGAAACTCGATATGTCCATTCTCTCAATTGCACGCCAACTCCGAAGAAACTCATCCGCCCGTCTTCTGCTGGGATTCAAGAAATATCCCACTTCCTGCCAATCCATCCAAAAAAAAATCTTCAAATCTGCTAAATAATTCGAAAGCGGAAAATGAGATCGTTTATGTGTGTTAAAAGCGATTGTTGCCACGATATTGATGCTTTGATGATATGGTATGCTTCATAAACGGGCGTAACGACGTAATGATTAGGTATTAGTCAACTTTTGTTGCTCGGGGTTGGATTCGTGATGGAAGCCACTGCTTCTGCACCGTCATCCAGTACATCCTCCCGCAGCGCGACTGCTAACCAAGCCCATGCGGGAAGCGAAGACTGAAGAGCTATTCAGCTTGCACGGATGGAAGCGGCAGCTGCACGTTGGAATATTTCGGGATCATAGTCTATGTGTCGGATCTTATCTGGGCGTCTCGCTCAGGTTCGGTGTGGTCGGCCGTGAACAGCAATGTACAGGGTATCATAAAATGTAGAGCTGGCGAGTCTCTCTTGTCAAGATGCATGCGTGTGTAGCTTTGTCGAGTCCCAAGCCTGAGCCTGCACTACTCCAAGCCTTGAGAGTGCCGTCGGATTTCTTCGTCGGTCAAAGCGCTCATCCAGAGGCAGCGTTCTGTAATGCCCTCGATCGGTTGGAAGTTGTACAATGTGCTTGCCTCCAGCAGACGTAGTAAGGCCTTGACAATGCCCGCCGCGATTCTGCAGCGCTCAAAGTTAACTAATGGCGCCGTCGTCGGGCTGCTGGCTATCTCAGCGGGCCGTTGCGAGTTGAAGATGAGATCGTGGGTATAAATTCCCACAAACGGTATGCAACCCATTCCAGCACTCGCAAGACCGCCCCCCTCCATTTCCGCACGCAGGGCATAAAAATTGCGGGTGGGTGAAATGAGAGCTTCGAGCTCGTGCAGTGCCCGAGTGTCGCCAGCAGGGACTAGGTCCCATGTCTTCGCCAAGCGACTGACCTCCGTGCTAGTCAGTGCAATTGCGATCTGGCTCATGGTCGCAAAATTGCGATAGCGCCTGCAGTGAGCGGCAATGTGTATGTACTTGATAATGCAACGGGCTCGTTCCTCGATGTCCTGAGTAAGAACAATTTCGGAGATCGCCCATTTGACCACGATGTTGAAACGCGCAATGACCACCTCGACACCTCGAGCATCTGTGTCACGCAAAAACTGCACCCACGAGCGGGCGTCGTTGTTCTCGGCGTTCTTCCATCGCATGTCGATGAGCTCCTTCCAGTCAATCTCGTTAAGAGCGTCCTTTTCTATGAGCGTGAACTGCTGTGCAAGGACTTCTGAGTCAAAAGCCAATATGAATGGAAGGTGTGCAGAGTATCTCCGCGCGTTTGCGTCGCGCTCTTGGGCATTGGTCGCGATTCGTGGCGCTTCAGTCACGCCAGCAGAGTCTGGAGATGGTTTTGGGTTTGCGGCTGGCTGCGTGAATGTAGGCGTGCATTCAGGTGTCGGAGGCAAGGGCTTGACGCCCCATATCTGTGCGGTGTGAAGCTCCGGAATGTTGTCCACGTGAGAAGCCATGGGAACATCTGGTGCCATGGCAGGCGACGACAACCAATCGTCTTCCATTGGTTGCGACGGGTCCTCAGACGTACGGATCTTGCTCAGTGACACGCCGGGTTGGAGAGATGGGAATGCGATGATATCCTCATCTTCTTCCAGTGGCATCTCAGACATTTCGGACGAAAGCTCATCGTCGTCATCAGTATCGCCAATGTTCAGGAAAAATTGCTGTGACATCTGAGAAACCCTCGTACTGCTGCGTTGCCTGGTCGGCATGGTGTCTCCGGGCTTGATCTTCTCAATGCTCTCAGACCTTTTGACAACCTCATATGAGGCACAATCCTGGGCAGCCTCTCCCTCATCAACGGTGCTAGCGCCACCGTCTGCGGCGTCGCCAAGAATGGACCGGTCCGCCCACACCGCTCTGCTCCGCCGCTCGTCGTCTGTCAACCTGCGTTGGAGCAGAGGGATAGATGCCAGAGAGGCATTTGAGCCCTCAGAGAGGAGCGATATGACTTCCACACGCGGCTCGCGGGCAGATGGGCTGTTCCCAGGACCCGGCTGGCTCAAGAGGCGGTTTGACGAGACGGGCGAAACATCGCCATCGGAGGGAGGGAACGGGCTGACACCCTCATCGCCAATGTGCTCATTCCGATGTTTCTTCTTCTCAGCCTTGAGCTCCGTATTGTCCGAGGCTTTCTGTGACAGATCGTCGGCGTTTTCAAACTCTCTGAGTGGAGATTTGGTGGGTTCCATCGACAGTCTGAATACCTTCTTCTGATACTTGCCCTCTAGCTTCAAGAGAGCCGATTCGACCCCGCCATCGTCATCGTCATCAGGGATATTTGCCAGCCGCTGTGCCTCGACCTCGAACGATGGCCTCATGACTGGTTTTGAGGAAAGTGTGCTTAGAAGCGACTGTCTCCGTTTCGACCTATCTGCCATCATACCAACCGAAAATGCCTGTGTCCGATCGCGGGAGGAGGCACTGTTAACCATGTCCAGCAGACCCGTGGAGTCCCGAGCCATGTTCGGGCTCTGAATGAGAGAGGTTCCAAGAGAAGGCGTGTAAGTGCCGGTCGTCAAAGATCCAAGAGATCGTGATCTGCGCAGCTGGGCATGCCCAAGGTCGACCACGTTATTGACTGCTCGAAGATCTCCACCGGGGCGTCTCCTCAAAAGTCGAAGAGGATGTGGCATGGCAACTTCAGACGACTGTTCTGAAAGTCTGTTCGAATCGGATACAGCATCAAAACTGCGGAGCGTCGACCGATGATCCATCCCGCTGTGGAAGGAAGCGCGTCTTCGAGGGCCCATTGTACCATTTGAAAACAGTGACCGGCTGTATCGCTGCCGCGAGAAGCGCGAGACGCCACTCAATGGTGGACGAGACTGCGATTGCGAAAAGGAGTTTGACGACCGACGCCTAGGATACACCGACGGTCTTTCATAATTCTCGCCTCGGCGCAAGCTCGAATCATCGTCAAGAGATTCCAGATCCGGAATAAATGGTGGCAGATTATCGGCAGACTTTGCTGATCGCAGCATGTGTTGCCCGAGCAATTGCGAGGACCTCCTTGGCGTGTCTGTGATCCTACCCGGTGGAGTGTTCGGCGGCGTTGGATCAGCACCAGACGGCATGAACGAGTCAGCGAAGGCTTCGACAGACGGCGTCAACACAGGGATAGCACCGGACATGGCTGGATGCCCGCTGGACGCCCGCGTGCCGTCGAATATGAGAATCGACTTGCTCCCGGCCGTGACCCCCCCTTCACTTGTGGGTCGCCTGTCTTCATCTCCATAGCGGACTCCTAGCAGACTTTCAATGCGTGTTGTGTCGTGCTCTACTAGCCCAACCGGGTTCCTGATGGTGGTTGGTGTTGATGGTGTAGAGCCATGAAAAGTGCGCGCTGCCGCTTCCGCTGCATCCTCACGCACAACTCTTTTGAAGTCTTCGACAATCTCAGCCCCCAACAGATCAATCCGAACAGGCGGTCGAAAGTTGTTTGTTCTTGTGCGGGACTGCGGGACTATTGCGGTCCCCGGTAACCTGTTTGCAGTTACTCCTCGAGGTCCTATGGGCGTGATATTGAAGTTTCCCTGCGTCGGTGACATCTCTTGGCCCCTAGAGGTCAGTGCGCGACGAACACTGCCTATAAGGCGTCGCATGCCCTGGCCTGACATCGCAGAAGGTGGGAACTTGTCCTTGGCAGCTTCGTTGGTCTCTAACCGGAGGTACGTTGTCTGCCTGCTTGGTCCACCGACTGAGTTTGGCGCAAGGACCTCGACAAAGGCCTGGCCGGGCGGCAAGACATTGCCCCTCACAAGACTCCCTGCGTAGGGCAGCGATAGGGTGGTCTCAGTATTTCTCTGAAGCAGCCTCTCCAAGATTGGATCACGCTCTCTCAATGAGTCCGAGGTACTCTTATTGCGCTTGTGCGAGTGCTGTGCGCGCGCACGCTTTCCTGCCAGAGCACGCGGGGTTGGAGCGACTGGTTCAGAGTCAGTGTAGAGCGCACTCGGATCCACCGGGTGTGCAGCAAGAGGATGGTTCGATCGTGGAGCTCCAAATTTTAACGGGATTGAACACGAAAGCGCATCCACACTCGACATGCTTGTGGGCGAGAACTGGGCATTTTGCCTGAGGATTTTCTCGCCCATCTCGTTGCTGGGCGTTCGTGATCGAACTTGTGCGTGCCCATAGTCATTTCCACCGGCTTCGGCGACCTCGCGGTAGAAACTTGTCTCAACATCGGGCGGGTTACTTGTCAGTGGTGCATAGATCGTTTCCAACTGTGGCGGGCCGTCGAGCGAGTATTCCTCCAAGAGACTAGGATCGAGACTCGGGTCACGGTGCCCTGGGATGCCGCCAGGGGTGATGGGAGCTTCCGGTGGCAGATTTGCATCGAATTCGGATCCGTCCCAAAACTGCGCACACACCCGTCTCCAGCATTTCTTCAGTTCAGCCAGGATTTTGAGCTGCACCCGGCGCGCCTTGGCACATTGAGCCATCTCTTCCGCCAGACCATTCATCAGAATGCAAAACTTCACGCGCACATCGTACTCGCAGACGAAGTCATCCACAAAGTAGTTGAGAATCCAGTGCCTCAGCGCCACAAAAGTTCGAACGCGGACAACGGTTCCGATTTCGTCATTTCTGGCAAGAGACCAGCGCATTCTGGCGAACAACATCTTGAGCAGATCAAGGGGTGCCAAGTAAGAGCGGAAAGTAAGGAAGAAGTCGGACAGGAGCTCATAGTCAAGAAAGGTCGGCGATGTGATCTCTGCTACAAGGCGGGGTGGGGTGGCCGCCGTCACCGCAGTCGTGGATGGAGAATATCGGACCAGGGCACGGTCGTCACAGGCCGGCTTGAAGGTCAGAGCATCGAACATGGCGGGTTCAATTGCCTGGTGCGTGGACATGTACGTCGAGCGGAGTGCATGTTCTGGTGACAAACGAACAGAGGTTATGAAAGGGGACCGCAAGGAACTCGATAGACGGGCCGAGGGGATTCTGATGGAGCCTGGGCCGAAACGGGGCGGGAGAGGAGAAGGATGGCTGGAGCGGAATTCTTCGGTCGGTGCGTAACTAGAGCCTCGAAGGAAAGGAGTGCCCCTCGTAGACCATCGCGGAGTACCCAGTTTCCACGAGGGTATAAGTATCTCAAGAAAGGGTGGATCTCGAGGATCGATATCCTCGAGCGTTTTTGACCGGCTCTCGTTCCCGGGCTTGGTGATGACAATCTTAAAACCGCCGGCGTCTGATTCTCGGGCAACGCTGGCGTCCTGGATCGTAGAGTCAGACATGGCTCGGCGGTGCGCTGGTGTCTGCCCCGACCGATCACTGAGAAGGAGTGTTTGTAGCGGTTGGTTCGTAGGTGTGGCGGGTCCCTGGCTCAATGTCCACTCCAAATCGTGCGACTTGCCAACATCGAGGAGGTCTGGCCGCCTGCTCTGCTCGTTGCCCTTCGAACCCAGCCCCGCTGTCTGAGGCGGCGTCATCGGAAAGACAAAACTGGGCGCCTGATGTCGCTCGTGAGCGGGCCGTACGGTGGGTCTGCAGAATGGATGACGGCAAGTTAGTATGCCACTCTCCTCTAGCCATACCCAGAGGTTCTGAAAGTATCGGCCAGGCGCTTTCCATCGTCGTCGTCATGGTCGAAAACCTACCTGAGATAAATCCGCCCATTATTGCCGACATTGGACACAGCAAATCGCCGGCCTTCTCGGCCACCAGAGCCACCATCCGGCGTAATGTCCCATCTCTCCGTCTCCGAGTTGGTCCTCGGCCGCTTCAATGCTGCATCCAGTTCTGGGTTCCTCCGCTCGGCCACCGGTAGGAGAGGCCTCGTTCTCGTATTGACGGTGTCGCGAGGGGCGATGGACGACGGATTCGCAGGAGCCGCTGGCATTGGCGCTGCGGCGCGGTCCAGGGCTCGCCTCGAACTGACAGGAGGGCGCCTCTGGGCTGAAGCTCGGGGTGTCACTGATCTGGCTGAGGCCGGCAACCTTGACACGGGCCCCCTCTGCGATGGTGACGGCTGCGCAATGCGTCTCGCTGGTTGTCGAACATCCGGCTTGCCAGCGGTGCTCTTGGGGTCACTCGTACTTGTCGCAGCCCGGATACGAGAGCCCTGCAGAGGGAGCAGAGGGGGCTCGACATCGGGTTCCATTTCTTCGCTCGTCATTGCTGTGAAGCGCAGACGAGAGTCTGCTGGGTCTCACTGCAGTGCGGGTTAGATTCCGACATTGAGAAATGCTCGCCCCAAGGGCAATCGGTAAATTGTGCTGGTATGAGAATAATTGAAGTGGCGCATCGAGGCCCAAGGCGGAGAGGGATTGGTGGGGGTCGCGATCGCTAAGCATTAAATGGACAGGACAGGGTGCAGGGCAGGGCAATTGGATCCAGGCATTATTATGTGTATAATGCTGAAGAAATCCGCAGTAGAGGGAGCCGAGCCGGGATGTAAGCCCACTGATGCAAATGCAGAGATCCATCCCGGGGCGTGCAGAGCCAGGCATGACAAAAGAGGGAGGGAGGGAGATTTGCGTTGATGCTGGTCAGACAATGACGGCCTGGGCCACACAAACACTGACTGATCCTGCACTACAGGAACGCAGTGGGAATTGATAAGCAACATGCCATGCAAATGCAAATGCAAATGCAATGCAGTAAAAACGCCGTGTAATCTGCCAGTGCGAGGGCGGGAATGCAGGTGGGACTTTCAGGTATGTGGGTGCTCCAAAACATGGGACGAGACGTCACTCTGGGGAGACGAGAGGATATGCGAAATGTTTAAGCGTGCTTGGACAGAAGCTCGACTCACAGAAACGGTCCTCGTGCACCACGCCATAACAACAAATCCAATCCAGCTGGGAAGACAGAGAGGGCAAACTCTAAATGCTCCTGAAAGCCAAACAGATGGTGACAAGATTTGATCTGCAACGACGAGTGCTGATACACTCCAATCGAGGCCAATTGGTGAAGAAGGGTGGATTGGACCAGCCAGTCAGTCTTGTCGGTCGGTTTTCTTTCCCTTCAGTCTCCACGCGCGCCCTCCCAGGATTGCGCGCCCTCGGGCAGCCGGGGGCCCAACAGTGGTCAGATGTTGAGGAAGGCGAGGAACCCGTATGCTGCACCACTACAACCACGCAACAAACTCGAGAGGCGAAGACGGTGGGCGATGGTGGACGAGAGATCGTGTGTGTAAGAAAGGTGGACGTTTGGTAGGAAAGTCTGGGAAGATTGGTGAGAGAGGGCGAGGAGGAACAAGAGGAAGGAAGTAGAGGCAAGTAGAGGCAATAGCAAGGTAGTACCAGCAAGGCAGAGACCGACCGGGGGGAGGGGGGAAAGATGACAAGGATGGTCCGAGCTTGTCCTCACCTGCCTTGCATTTCACAGTCCACACGAGGTCCAGCCCCACCTGGAGGGGGGGAGGGCCACCATTCTGACTTACGAAGTAAGTACTATGGAGACCCCCATACTATGACTATGGTTGCCATGACCTGGTTCTGTCTGGGCCGGTCTTGGCCATATAAATGTTGTTTTTTTCCCTCGTCCCTCGTCCCTCTTCTTTCCTCTGTCCTTTATCCCCCTTCTCTCTTCCCTTTGTGTTTTTTTGGTTTGGATATAGAAAGTATCAGCATCGTAGTAGTGTTGAATGAAAACTTGACCAAAAAGTGATCAACAAGGCCCAACGTTGCCTGATCTTTCATTAAAACTATTGTATACTCTAGTAAAATTGTTCAGTTTTTTATACAGACTCTGGTACCTGATTTTTGGGGGGTCCTGCAGGAAGTAGTGTATGTACTGTATGTACCGCAATACCCACAGTACCATTGTAGTCTTGACTCCTTTTGGAGCCGTGAGTACCTTGGTACCGGCTGTGGTACCGTCATGTCGGTACGTACCGAAAGTGGCACTTTTCATATTACTGAGGGGAAACGAGAGAAAAAGAAAGGCCCCTTGTATCCATGGTGTCTCGTTCGTCTGACCCTCTTGATAAATTACTTACTCCTCAACCACTACTTGACTTGCCACTCAAATACATCCTTGGAGAATGACCAAATACTGAGGCGTGCGACGGCGTGTGGCCATGTTCGTGTGGTACTCGTTCATACTGTGAATGCTACTAGATACGAAGGGCCTGCCCGTGCGCACGGTTGAGGCCAAATTAGCGTCCTGCAAGAAGGATGGGACCCAGAGCAGTGATCAAAGAATTCGCCCACCATCCTGTTCTGGATGAGCAGCTGACCTGCACACTGACTGGCCTGAACCAATTCCTCGCAATCAATTGTGCACACAGTGGTCAGGAGCAGTAGTAGCTGATTTTTCTTTCTTTTTCTTTTGCGTCGTTTCATCATATTTGACGTCTTTTTCCCTTTCCTTTCTTTTTTTTTCCTTCCTTTTCTTCTTTTGGGTTTTGCTGGGTCTCTTTGATTTCTACAAAGAAAGGAAGAAGTAAAAAAATTTACGGGTCTGCAGTGACTTGTTTCATTCAGTCCCAGGTGTTATGATGCATAGTATCAAAACTCCATCCACCTTATTATAACCTTGTTATCGATCCTTTCCCCTCCTCTTCCTCCTCCTTCCTCCACATGCCAACCTCATAAGTAACGGATGATTCCCATGTTGTGGTTTAGTCTCGTTCAAATCTATGGTAACGGTCCGAGCCAGAGCCAGAGAGCTAAAGTACGAGCCAGAGCCAGAATCAAGCGAATCTTAAACAATGACATGGATTCAAACAACACTAATAGGAAGAACAATTATAACAAAACAGAGCCGCAAGGTTATCCTCTGTTGATGAGGGATTTGTCAATGTCATACAAGCCATAGTGGATAGGGTTCTCTGAACCAGCTCTTGGCCACAGGAAGTTTTGACACCCAGCTCCAGTCTATGATGAGACGAAGGACCCAGTCACGACAGTCAGGAGGAGGAGTTGTTGTACCATAGTAGTTGTTGTTGCGCAGCGGTGCTACCGTGCCCATCTGTACAGTACCATCTGGCCTGATGAGAGTGGAGAAGACTGGGTATGAAGGGCCACCACTGGGGAGAACCAAGGAACCCTATCTATTCGGGAAAGGGTCACCGCGGCACAGCAATCAAAGGAGAGTGTCCAGACCCGCAGGCGCACCAGGTTTCCCAGGTCGCATCCGCTAATTGCTGCATGCACGGCCGCTTCCTGCGTGACAGCCTCAAAAAGCCACTCACATCCAATGACGACTATCAATTCGACATGGTGTCAGCCTACTACTGTATGTATATGCTGCAGGCCTTATGCACCTCATCGTCACGGCACCGACTCGACCTGCAGCTTTTTTATCCCCGCCACCAGACATGCGAAGGACTAATTTGTGTCTTTTGCGAACTGCACGGATCCATTCTTAACGCCCTGGTTCTTCCATCACACACAGACACAATTACGGTGGTCACCCCCGAGTCGCTGACCGATTTCTTATGACGGCGGTGCCCGTCCGACCGTCTAGACTTTTTTGCGCCAAAAGGGAGGCTAATCTCTTGTACCACACGTGGCATTCGGGGGGGTTAACGGAGGCCATCCTAATCCAGAAAAGCCCGGGCCGATCATTATCGACGGTACTTAGTAGAGAGGGGGGGCCTTCGGCTACAGCGAGGAGTCAGGAGCTTCTCGCCTACCTTGAGATCTGGTAGTGATGGTGGTGGTGGTGGTGGTGGTGGTGGTGGTGATGATGATGATGATGCTGATCTCGAGAAGGACAACAATATACCCTGCTCCAGGGTACCCAGGCGGAGAGAAGGTCTTTCCCTGAGATACTTGCATCGTCACGATGCTACGGTTGGGCGTGTGTCCCAGCTGGACCGGTGGCGTTCGCGCTGGGACCTCCGTAGAGCGCCGCAAAGCGCAACGAGATGAGATTACTATTTTTGCAGCAAGCTTGAAAAGTACTGTAGTTGGAGAGAAAGACATGAACAGAAACTGCCTATAGTGAACTTTTTTTGACAGAGGAGGATCGTTACGTGGATCCTTCCAGCCCTATCAAAGCACCCGAGCCTGTAGAAGAACGAACAACGAACCTTCGCGAATAAGCTCACTCAAGCCTTGAGCAGATCAGCAAAACCTTCCCCCCCTCCCTCCCTTCCCCCATCCCCCTTGCGTGCTGCCCTCCGGTCCGAAGCGGGACCGTCACCGTCCAAGCTCGTCAATCCCCAGATGTTCCAACACAGCTAGCTCGCTTCTCCCCTCGGTCGTCAGGAGATATTCACGCAAAACGCATCCACATAGGACCGAGAAAGCAAAAGTGTCAAGACGGCAGTTGGATGCCATCATGTCCTCCGCGGCCCACCTACCACGGTTTTGTTTTTGGTTTTTTCATCGTGGACGGCGCTTGGGAGAACCCCAAAGACCCCGCTGAGCCCTGCCCTCGACTCGCACTCTAACCACTAGCGTCAGGATCCCGGGCAGCTCGTGGGAAGTGGTTGTTTCAAACGTCTCACTCCCCACGCCGAGGAGTCGCTGGAGATGTCTTCCTCGGCTAGGATGGTGTGGTCCTCAGGGGAGCTGCGTTAATTACTGTCGCATGTTTAGCCAGGGCGGATGACTCCTACATGGAACATGCCCTTACTATGTTCGTATACTATGGTACACATCATACGAATACCTGTGCATGACGGCATACCTGCAACTTCCTTAAACCCTCAATCTCGTCAGCCGAATCCACGGCGGACTTCCTTCAAGTTCCATCTGCATCACTCCTGAAGTCCTCAGGCCAGACGATGCACACCAAAGGGGAGGAGGGGGTTTAAGGAGAAGACGAGAAACAAACAAAGTAGAAGTCAGCTCGGACTTCGAATTGAAAAAAGCAAGCAGTAAGCGAATCATGAGAAAAGAAGGATCAAAGTGGTACGCCTGATCAGCTGACGCCCCCGATTGGTAACCCTGTTCAGTCAATTCCTGGACATACACCAGTTCAAGCACGTGGAGCAACAATCCATCAAGGCGAATGCCACGAACTTTTTCATCATGTCCAACGAGATTGCAATGACCAGGGAGTGCGTCATGTCAGATCTGGACACTAATGACTTGCTTAGCATTCGGATCTGGATCGGTCGAACGTGTTATACAACGTACCCTGGAACAGACCCAAGCGTCTGGGTCGCTCTAATCGAGAACGATTCATGTCGGCCCGTCCGAGTCAAAAACTTCCCATTTTGCCCTACAGTATGTCACACAGCCCAGAAAATATACAATTTGCGGCCATTCACAGATTTCCAAGGAGACAATTAGGCTAGGCGGAACCGCATTCAGCTCCATCTTCGGACACGGATGTTCGTTGTCATCGCAACCGTGTATAGCATGTTCATGATATCCTCACCAGCACGCTGTCTATTTGATACTGACAGTATAAACCAGAGTCATCAGATAACAATTGAGATCTAACCCAACTATTGCGTAGAGCCCTGATATCGAACTCTGCTAGCTGCCTGCTGGATTGTCACGATCTATATCCATCCTGCTGCAGCGTTCCGTCAAACCATGACGATCCCCCACGCCGAATCACATACCGAGGTAGGCACCACATCTGAGAAACGATCTCATTCGTGCACACCCTACCCTACGACTCTGATTTCTATCCAGTTCGTGGAAAGCGTTGCCCAACAAAACCTCTTCCTCCTCCCTCCTCTTCCCCGGGGGCCCTCCACGATCTAGAGATAGGTCCAGGTCCCCCACCCATAGACTATTTGTTACCTTCCTCCACCGGCACCATAAGCAACAAAGTCTTCCCATATCGGACGGCACTTCTCTGTCACCTACCTTAGCCTGACCGGCGATGCGCACATGCAAATCATTAGATCAAGTGACGAAACTTTCACCGCCCAACAAAATTCTGGCCATATCTACCAGTGGGCCAGACCACCTGCCCATCTGGGCAAGACGTCCACCTGCAGAACCATCCATCAACCCCCTCTTTCCACAGCACTCGCAGTGCGAGGCTGTTGCAACGGCCCTGACGCAGAAGAAGACAAGCCATGGGGCTGCGGCTGGCCACACCGCCCCCGAATTGTGCTGGACACGCCACCCAGGGTCGCACTGCAGCTGCACACTCCGGATGAGAACACCTTTATACGACATGTGGTTTTTTTTTTTTTTTTTGGTTTTTTTGTTCTACAGACGGTATTTCAGCAGCTAAGATGCCCGATGTCTCTCGCCGGGTTGCTCGTCATGTCCTCTTGAGTGAAGGTGCTGCGCCCGCGAAAGGCCCACCACAGACATATGTATGACTATCTTGGGGAGGAGTCGACGGTGGGGGTATTCTCGTGAGGGCAACTGGATCTGTGTCGGCGCTTGCTTGGTCCGAGATGTGTAGCGTGTGGCCACCGAGACCTCTCTTGGGCAACTTGGAATCAAAGTTGTGCTGTACACCCGAAGCGATGCTTCGGTATCATGAAGTTCGCGAGATGGTGGGCACAGGAGAGTATTCATACGATGATCGCATCCTAGTATCAAGCGGAGTTGAGGAGCATATCGCTTAGTTCATGTACTGGAAGAATGTTGTTCAAGGTCGGAGTCAAGTCAATTCATGAAGGACATTCTTATGCCGTATGGCTGGCAAGGTTCTGGGTTTGATCATTTTCTGCAAGGAGTCCTAAGCTTTTCCGAGAGCTTACTGTTCAGTCTGTGTTGAGTAATGCACCGATGACATATATCGCCAGTAGCCTTGCATCAGTGCATGGAAGGCGAGGAGATACAAACCAAGCTCTCGATCTGACATGCCTTCATGGAGCAGACACACTAGATATGAAGCCCGTTCTAGCTCGCAACTGTCCATCTACTACTTCACACAGAATTTATGGACATCTGACGCATTTCTCTCAGAATATCATCTTTTCTTGCTTCCCTTCCCCTCAGTGTCTCTTCCACTGCGCTACAAGCTAGCTAAGGAGGTAAGAAGCCTTTCTTGTGCGTATGGATTCCATCAAACCTGGGCAGAGAAGCACTCGAATGCTGTGCACTAGTAGGGGACTGCACCGTCTGCTTGCAGAAAGATGAGCCAGTCCATACGAGCAGGCAGGTCAGCAGCTGGTCCACTCCTGGATACCAACAATGACATTGAAGCCATTGCTGTCAAATGCCTGGCCCCAGGCTACCTGCTCATCGATGCCGCTGCCTTCAACATCGTTCTCTATCCACTATTTTTCATAGTATATTTCATGATCAGTAATCGATCTGACTCAATTGGCTGATCGGATCCGGTGGTAGTAGTGAATAGCAGTAGACTCACGGCACAAGCAGGCTGGGAAGTATCCTGGTAGTTGATGACGTACTGGGCGTACGCTGCCATGGTGGAGTAGTAGACCCAGATATCGTGCTCGTTGTTGTGGGAAGGAACGACTGCTCGGATAGTAGTTACCCTAACAGCTACCCGTATTTACTACATAAATTGAGCTAGACAGGAGTTCTTCTCTTCTCCTCTTCAATGAAAAACAACAATCAACACCCATCACAGCGAACATCGTACATACGTACTTGCTTAGCAATCACAGATCTGCAAGGTTAAGGAGATACAGGCTCTCAGGAACTCCCTGCACATCGCATACTTACCTAGCTGCCTGTATGCTATATATCGAGCATTATCACTCCAGATCTTCCTGTTGTTAAACTCCCTGAACGAGGCTTGAGAAAGATCGAAGGCACCGACTCACGATGCCGCCTACCCGCAAGACCAAGAGCGCCCATCTGGAGGCCACCAAGCGTGACCTCCCCTTGGTCGTGCAACACCTGGTGTGCATGAAATGTGCTACCATCACTGAGTACGATTGCGTGCCCTCCTGCGAGGAGCCCATCACGCTGGCTTGCCAGCATTCCACGGCCTCGTCGTCCGCCTGCGACGTATGCTCAGCCAATAATAAGGTGTGCCAACAGATAGGTTGCGTCTCGTGTGTGTATTGCCTGCAACTCGCGTCTGATACGTGATCTAGCATCCAATCGTGCTGCAGGGCAACCTGTGGCACCTGCAGGCCCTTCTCCATTACGGCGCTACCTTCTAGCAGAAGAATTCCGTGGAGAATGAGGACGAGGGTGAGGACATGGACGAGGACGACTGTGCCAATCTATTCGATGACGAGGATCGCCTCTTGGTTGCTAAGGTGCAGCACCGACTCGTGTGCGCGTTCCTGGCGGCTCGCTCGGCCCACCTGTCCGAGTGGGCCATGACAAGCAACAAGAAGCCTACTATGGCGGCCTACCAGGCCTACATGGAGTTTGCCGACCGTTGTACCACAATGAGGTTTGACTTCGTTAAGGCTAGTTCTAGCTTCAAGAAGGTGAGTCTCTGATGCGTCTCTGTGGTTGCTCCAGCGATACTATGGCTGATCTCTGGCGATAGTGGTTGATTATCAAGAGAATCTGGGCCCTGCTGCCCCGTCTGATCCCTGTTGACTCGGGTTTTATTATCTAGTTGCTGGCTGTTGAGGAGTATTGCAATGCTTTTCGTGATATTATCATGAGCTATAACAAAATCAGGGAGATTCACGGGCTGACTGAGAAGAAGCTGGAGAATGTTCTCGTTTCTGCTATTAATCGGGCTATGATAGCCTGTCTTGATAACTTCTCTATGGATCTAGCTTTAATTAATTAGAGCGGATTGCATAAATGCAACTCTCTGTTAATATGAGTATTAGTTGGGAATTGCTAGGGAAATGGGGGCGGGAAAGGCTCTGACAGGAATATCGGCGATGATTTGATAATTTGGCGTTTTGATAGCTGTTACCGGTTAGGTAGGGTAGGGAAGCATTCCTATTACAGTAGGCTTTTTTAAGAATGCAAGAACCAATTGTAGCCTAATCTCTTCTGGAACTGTGACTATGCTATCTTCTGATGCTTGCTGTCTCCTCAAGTGCTTTGTAGATTCTTCTTCTTAGCTTATTGCTGTGTAAATTGATATAACTTTTGTAGAGTATTTCTTAGATAATCCTCAGGTTCCCAGGTGTTGTATTCAGATAGCTATCCTTGCTACTTCACCAGATAATGCTTTTTGTAATGATGCACTGCAATATCCGAAGATCCTGAAGTATACAAAGAGTTTATGCTAGCAAGAGCGGTATCAAAGTAAGAACCAATTGAATACAGAAATGTAACTGAGTAATCCGTGCAAGTGCTTTCATTCGCCTTTGGGGCTATTCAAGTATATAACAAATGAATACTTAGATTAACGACTGAAGAGCTATGTTCTGATAGTCTATCTAATAGTAATAAACGTGTTCTTATATATCCTGCTCTTCAGTCCTGTTGACTATGTTTCCGTTGGATTACTTGGATTATCTGAATGATTCTACTGATCCGGATCACCTTGGATCAGCTACTAATTCATACTGATCCTGTGATTCTAACCCTTGATTATCTAATCCTAATTAATCTTATTCATATGCTGAGCTGTATTGCTAGCTTCTTGTTAGCAGGGCCTGTTTCATGATCTGTATATTGGATGGATTATAACATCATCTTTCTTCTATTAGTTATTATTCTCAATGATCTTCTGTAAGTATTCTAGCAAATTGCTTATATGTTTGATCATGCCTTCCTGATCGAGATATCAAATAGAATCAACAAAACTTATTTTGTCGGAATAAAGGCATTGGTCTCATGTGGGTGAAAGGGCCTTTCAGGCCCCTGACACCAGGGCCCTTTCACTAGGTTTCGGGCTAGCCGGCCCTTTGTTGTACTTTTCCTATAGAAACGGGTGCACCAGTACCTCTGGCCCCAGGATAGTTAGAAGGATTAGTGCAAGTGAACTATGACCTGGCTTTTCACCCATCCTTCACCCCGATGAGTTCACTGCCCCACATTTGACATATTTCAATCATTCAGTGAAAATCCAAGAGCGCTATTGTCTTGCTAAGCTTATTTCTATCTTTGGTATCGAAATGCCTGCTTGTGCTTATTGCTAAGAAACGAAAGCTTCCTGCTGTTTTGCTAACAACTCTTCTCGTTATAGAGAGTATATTTCCTTGAGCTAAAGTTGCAATACTGGTTGTTTTTCAGCATCTGCTAGTTGGTATTTCTCTTTCCTAGTTATCTGCACATGCTAATGATCCTTTGTTCTTTAGCAGAACGCCTGATTCATAAAAAGTATAAGATCTTAAGCAAGGAAGCTGAGTGTAATGATGCACTGCAATATCCGAAGATCCTGAAGTACACAAAGGGTTTATGCTAACAAGAGCAGCGTCAAAGTAATAACCAATTGAATACGGAAATATAACTGAGTAATCCGTGCAAGTGCTTTCATTCGCCTTTGGAGCTATTCAAGTGTGTGACAAAAGAATACTTAGATTGACGACTGAAGAGCTATGTCCTGGTGGTCATCTAATGGTAATGAACGTGTTCTTATATATCCGGCTCTTCAGTGTGGCTCACTTGGCTCACTGATGATCCAAATGATCCATCCCTGTCATAACCCTAACCCTTGATTACATAATCCTGGTTGGTTGTCCGTCGTCGTGTTGTAATGCTTGGTTCCTGTTGCTGGAGCCTGTTTCGTAACCTGCAAGCCGGGTGGGTTATAACACTTTGTTTGAAACTTGCAATAAATAATAAGCATACTAAGCATATCATTTTAGCTATTATAGCTCTTGTTAGCAATACTGCAATTTCCAGCAAACTTTGGAATTATATTAGCAATACTAAGACTGAGATTAAGAAATGAGTTATTTTTCTGATAGAACTGCAGAGCTTTCTGAACTGAATGAAGATTAAACAACTTTGCTTAGCTAGCATCAAAACTATTGTATGCAAATATATTCCAATCTTCTGCAAGATTACAGCTAAGATTGCTGCTAATCCCAAAACTTCTGCTGCAATGCTTGTTGATCCCGATTACAATAGCAATCCCGATTACAATAATAATCTCTTTGAATTTACAAATCTTAATATGAGCGAATCTGATTATAATAATAATAACAATTCCTTTGTCTGAATCAAAGATGATTGTTATTGGAGGGTGGAGGGATGGAAATTTTGGAACAGTGATAGGGATGAGTGAACTGATGATACTTGTCAAGGTTGGAAGAATGGAGCATTATTACATTTTAAAGACTGCTAGTGTGGGAAGGAATGACTGCTCGGATAGTAGCTATCCTAATAGCTATCCGTATTTACTACATAAATTGAGCTAGACAGGAGTTCTTCTCTTTTCCTCTTCAATGAACAACAACAATCAACACCCATCACAGCGAACATCGTACGTACGTACTTGCTAACCAACAGTTGTCATTGCAGACATACTATGGACCTTGTAAGTAAGTGATTACTCTAGTAGGGTAGAGCTGAACAAGTGCCCGGGAGAGACTTACGATGCCAGAGTCCTTCTCGCAAGAGACACGGGTGCAGCAGCCTCCACCAACCTTCCTGTCCGATGATACAGCATCAGTCATTGTATACATACATTTTACCCCTTCTCTCCCTCCTCATTGGGGAAAAGAGAACGCTTACCAGCCGAACTCAGTGTAGCCGTCTTTGTCGTTCAGGTAGGTGATGCCATCAGCAAGCATCTCGGTGGGAGACCAACCAAATCCAGGGTTTCGGCAGATGACATGAGTGATGTTGGTGGCGAGCCCACCAGTCTATGTTGCATATTAGCATAAGGCCCTTTATGCAGGGTTGAAGGGGACATACCATGCTGTTGTTGAGGGACTTGTCCAGGTCCAAGACGGCAGGGGAGATTGCCTTGGCTGTGTCCGCAAGGACACCAGCTGCAATGGGAGCAATGATGTTGAATACCATGGTCATTGCACATAGGTGGTGAGTGTACATAAGCCTAGGTGCTTGGTAGGGATACAGGTCTGGGCTTTGAAGAAAAGAATTCGACGTTGAAAAGTTAGTAGGTAGGTTAGTGAAGTCTTCGAAGTGACGTCCAGCTGTAGTACAGCCTCGTCATTGAGGCCAGGTGGTCACTTGGACAAGTGAGAAAGATAGAATCACATGAAAATGTTATTTTCAAGCATTCACCTGTGTCCCACGACTCTCGTGATTTGAAATGGAGGTCAGTATTTATAAGTCTTCGTTCACACACACACACACACACACACACACACACAGCGCAACGTGACCTCTGTGCATAAAGGATTCAGACCCCCCTTCCATCTAAGTAATGAAGCAATTCTAGGAATCAACAGGAACGTGGTCTTTCATATATGCACTTCAAAAGGAAATTGCTCTGAACATGACAAAGATTTAGCAAATTGGAATATCCTTCCTTCACCATGAATGTAACTTGAGATAAGTGCTGTCACTTCAAGTGACTGACAAAAGTGTGACTCGCTCCAAAGAATTACAATCAAAGAAAATTGGGGATAGTTTCAGAAGGAACAAGTTGATATATCTGCTCTTGACGTTGCTAAGACTTTCGAGGAAAGGTCTGGACATTCATTAAATATCACTACGAAACGCAGCAGGCTTGCTAGTGTGGTGGGAACCAGACATATCGAAGTATCCAGGGGAATAGATGATTTTTTGAGCCTATTGACCATGTGTAAAAGTGCCACTGAATCTGGGCAACACTTTCTAAAGTTGACAGGTCGACGTTACAGTTTCCAAGTAGCCTGAGGCCGATTCCTTTAACTAGCAACTTTCGCATAAGTAGACAATTTAAAGAAAACCCAGCTCTAAGCTGGAGTGACCTGCACGGCTTTGTGTGAGTAAGTGCTCTTTTAATTTGCTGCTGCCTCTAGGGCTGTGTACACACGCAACTGAGCCATCCCAATCACGTTCCCGCTCAAGCCTACCATCAGTTCACAAGGGCTTGAGAAGCCAAATTGAGTCAAACTAAAAATGCAGTAGATTGGATGAAAGATACTGAACTTAGGGACAAACTAAGCGCACGTCCATTTCACCCTATAATGCGTCTCGAGTCCAATAGTAATCGGCCTGCCAAGATCTATATGAAACATTGCATCACTTCTGGTCATTCGATGAACATAGCATCAAGGAGGATTTTGCCGAGGTTGTGTGGTGGAAGTCTCGTCGCAGCTCAGTTTTTTGGTAGCCCTACCGCCTGGTTTGGAACCTCGGCTCATGAATCAAGGAGCTCACACAGCCTTGGGGGCTTTTGACCAATCGCGATGCTTCCTAGAAACAACCTTCAGTTCCGATGGCATTACGATCGCAGTGAACCTCGTCTCAACACTTATTTTTCATCATCTTGACTTGTTTAAGTATATATTCGGACTCAGATTGCTTTAAAGTACATCGACTTTACTTGCTGCCTTGGGTGCTTAATTAATGCCTAAAGATTAGAGTCTCTGGCATGACTGGATAGCTGTCCCGGTTTCCGAGTTTCCGCTTGCAATTACAGAGGCTGACTTGACAGCTGGATGAGTCTAATCGCAAAATGATGGACCATCAGTGTACCTCGCTCTGATGACACTGTTGCAAGCAGATAGACAGCTGCCACATAAATCAGTCGATTCAGTGGTGTTCGTGCCTGGTCTTCGGTATAGGATGAATCAACTCGAAACAGGGGGGCCTGGGCGGCGCCGCTAGTCCACAAACAAGTTTGACAAGCCGCAAGAAATCCCCAAAGAGGTATTTTATGTATAAGATTGGCCTCAAGAATCTCGAAATTAATCCTTGTTGCATTGTGCCAATGTCTTCTATTCGCTGTAGAATTGCGACAGGAAATCGGACGGTCCTGTTCGAGCAACCATTTATTCGATATAGAACTGAGACGGGGACTGGGCGGAGTCTCGGTCGCGTGCAATGCTTTCCTCGGCGAATATGCAGGACACGCCAACTGCCTTGGAGTCGAATATATAATCTGAGGCGGCCATCATGATGCGAAACAAATCATGAAGAAATATATGCATTCTTTTGGTTCAAGTCTCTCACTGTGTAAATATAAAATTAGCCTTTTACTCTCCTTCTTTGAATTCGATCTAGCCTGGCGCTGTCGACGATATTTCGATAATCAACTTTGTTCCATCTTTTAATACCCCTCACGATGAAGCCATCTATTCCTCTCACCATCCTCACTGGACTTTCAGTCGTGGGTGCTGCCCCGGCAAAAATCGAGGGCCGCCAGCAGGAAACGACTTCCAACGACCTCAAAGACGGCGCGTGCAAACCCGTCACCTTCATTATGGCTCGCGGATCCACAGAAGTGGGCAACATGGTAAGCCGAGAAAACAATACCGTCGCACCCCCATAATTATTCACAGGCAAGCAACTCACACACAAGTCAACCACACAGGGAGAGATTCCCGGACCACCGACCTGTGCCGACCTCAAGCAGCAGCTCGGCGCCGACCAGGTCGCCTGCCAGGGCGTGGGCACCGAGGACGGCTACCCAGCTGCTCTCTCGCCCAACTTCCTCCCCAAGAACACTGACGACACGTCCATCGCAGCCGCTACCACGATCATGAACCTAGCGGCCACCAAGTGCCCCGACACGACGATGCTCGTCGGTGGCTACAGCCAGGGCAGCGCTGTGATGGACAACGCGATCCAAGGGCTGCCCGCAAACATGCAGTCAAAGATCGCCGGCGTCGTCCTCTTCGGCTACACGCGTAATGCCCAGGACAACGCGCAGGTCCCGGGATACCCTCAGGCCCAGACCAAGATCTTTTGCGCGCCAGGGGATCTGGTGTGCGACAACACGCTGACCATCACCCCGGCACATCTTTCGTACGCGGCCAACGCGCCGGAAGCTGCAACGTTCCTTGCCAGCATGATCCAAAACAACGGCACCACCGCTTGAAAGAGCTGAAACGTCAGCAGCAAGCAGCACGATCAGAAGAGCCGAAGAAGGGGGGGGGGGGGGCTTGCGCGTCCCATTACTTTCTTTCTTGTATACCCGACTTCATGGCAGGATCCTGGGGTAATCACCTTTCTGTTGATCATTTCCTTGATACTCCTTGGTGCGATCATAAAACATATTGCCTAGGTACATGTAGCAGATCATTACAACTACTTACTTATGAAGTCTACGGGGGTGTAGTAGCATTACTTGAGCCTGAACGATTTGCAAACTCGTCGATGTCAATGTATCCAATGTGTAGCACATATATTCTACGACGAGAAACCGCGTAGGTATCGGTGGTTAAGGTCTTGTTTAACGTTCCCCTCCCATATTGTCCTTCCCGAGGAATACACTGGAGGCAGTCGCATCCAATGGTGTTGAGGTCCCCCCAAGAGTTGGCTGATGGACCAAGCTAAGTCAGGTTGGGTTTCTCTCAGGTTCTTGTGCAAGAGGACACATGTGCGACGTTCCTTGTGCCCATCTTGAGCCCTTGGGGAAGGAGAGATTCTCAGCAGTCAGTCAGCAGCTTGAATTAAGCTGATCAAAATAAATACTGGAATCTTAATAACATTGATTAGCTTTGCAAGCAGGAGGAGGGATTTTGTAACTCAAAACAAAAGCCAGGCATTGTTGCATAATTCGGGCAGGTGAGGTCGAAGTTTTGTGGCCGTGCAAGGTGTGGCGTATGGCGCTAGCTCTTTGCGGGGTCTGCCTCAGGAGGATTCTCCACTTCAGCTTTTGTGCCAGCCACCAAACCTCCAGTTTCTTCTTCCCTTCTCCATACTTTACTCGTCGCAACAACCTCAACCTTCCCACCTCTCCCACCTCCCAAGCAACAACCCCTATCCTTCTCCCCTACAGCAGCGGCCGTCAGAGTATCCAGTAGCGATTGCTGATGTAGATCCTTTATTCTTTCATACCTTTCCATCAACCTCTAACAACCATCTTGCACGACCTGAAGCTATCCAGATCCAGGTCGCCCACCATGTCTGACTTCATTGGGTTCGTATACCCTGACCCTGCCATGAACCTCTCTGTCTCTTGCTGTGTAGAACCTGCTGACATAGAAATTGACAGATCCGTCATTTCTCTAATATCAAAGAGCGATATTCGGTAGGAGCCTGCTTCTGCGTACCCCGCGCTTCCGGGGGGGGGGGGGGGGAAACAAGCCAAGCTGGTCCTAACTAACCCCACCAACAGCTACGTCGGCACCCTTGTCGAGATCAACCCGACCGAGTCCACCGTCTCTCTCGAAAATGTCAAGTCGCACGGCACAGAGGGCCGCAAGGCTGACCCTGCCGATGAGGTACAAGGCTCGCAGCAGATCTACGAGTTTATCGTCTTCAGGGGCAGCGATGTGAAGGATCTGCGGGTCGAGGAGGCCCCTGCGCCGCCCAAGGAGAATCAGCCTCCTCCTATGCCCAACGATCCTGCTATTGTCGGCGTGAGTATCCCCCTCACCTCGATTCTCCCAATCGCGCAGGCCACTGCGCCTTGTATGATGAACTATTTCGGATGTTAAACAATTTCTTGTCTGAATTGCGCAAACAAACCCCATGTTGATATTTCCGTTGCCTTCCTTCTGATCCTACAAAGCCCCTCTCATCAGTTGACATACCATCCCTCCGAGACCTGTGGGTGCTAACAACTTAATTGGTCAGGCGCGGTCTCATCCAGGACGAGCCCCAAGTGGCCCCAATCCCCAAGGTCCCCAAGGTCCTCCAGGTCCTCCTGGCGCACCCGGTTTCCAGAATCCCAATATGTTTCCCCCCTACCCACCGCAGAACTGGGGTCGGCCCGGTCCTCCTGGTCCTCCTGGTCCTCCAGGGCCTGGTGGATATGGTATGGGTTATCCTCCTCCGGGTTGGTTCCCTCCTGGCCAAGGTGGCTTTCCGCAAAACGCTCCTCCTCCCTGGAACTACCCTTTTCCCGGTGGTCAACCTGGTGGCCCACCTGGGCCCCCCGGCATGCCGCAGCAGCAACAACAAAATCAGCAGCCGCCCGTCCATCCCTCCACTAATGGCGCACCGGAAAACCAGCGACCGACTGCTGGACCAGGTGCTGATCAGCACAAAGGCCCGGCTCCAGTCGAGATGCCCTCTGAGCCTCAGCCTCTCTCTCAAGTGCCCCCCAATCAGGCTGCAATGTCAGCGCCTACTCCCCCAGTCGACTCGAAGCCATCTGTCGAAGAGGTCAAGGTGACGGCGGCTCTGCTGGAGAATCAAAAAGCTGGAGGTCCCGCCAGTGACTCCAAGCAACCTTCCACGGGTCCCACGGGTCCCAGAGGCTTCGCTGGCGTCAATCCCGTCATTCCTGCCACACTCGAGTCAGCTCAACAAGAAGCCGTCAAGGCAGCTATCGCGGCTCTTGGTCAGGCAGGCCAGGCACCTGTTGCCCAGCCTTCCACTGCCAATGGCCTGGACAATCTGGCCAGGAAAGTTGGAGAAATGTCTATGAACGCCGCTCGGACCGGCATTCAAACCAGCAGGGGTCGCGGCCGTGGACGTGGTGGTGCCATTCCTTATTCGCGCGTGGAAATCCCCAAGTCCGACTTTAACTTCGCCGAAGCGAATGCCAAGTTCAACAGGGATGACGTGATCAAGGAGAAGATTGCTGGCACATCGGCTGCTGAGACCTCTGAAAGCGTTGTTGCTGACGGCGAGCTCTCTGAAGATGCTGTCCCAGCATACAACAAGTCGAAGTCGTTCTTCGACAATATTGGAAGTGATTCCAACAAAAACACCGCCAAGGCGCAACACGATCGCAATGCGGAGAGGCAGAAGGATGTTGACACCTTTGGTCAGGCCAGCGTCGACGGTGGCTATCGTGGTCGCGGTCGCGGCAGAGGACGCGGCCGTGGATTCCGTGGTCGTGGGCGTGGTCAAGGCTACAGCGGTCGCGGTAACTACCAGCCTCGTGGTAACGCGCAGCCCATCTCCCAGTAGTGGTCGATGCAATTTCTCACAGAAAAGGGACTTGGCTCCATACTACACGCCGGGTATTCGCCCCGACGCTTCATGCAGGATGTTGGAATGCAAATCATTCCAGTGGATCCTCATTCGACAAGAGCATAACCACGACGGCATTTTCATTTCTATTGGTCTCGAAGCCGAGTGTCTCTCTTGGTGCCTCTGCACGTCATTGCGTCTGACTTGAACAACAAACGATGTCATTGTACACTACTTCTTTCAATTTTCGAGCGTCAGCTGATTTTTTTTCTTCTTTTTGTCTTTTCTTTCCTTTCCGGTGGTGGGCGGCGGCGGATCAGCATGCTAAAGAGGTTGGCTGTGCGATGACGGTGCGGATGCGTCTTTCTTTTTGATTTCGTTGGTGGCGGCGTCGTTTGGCGTAGGGCAGGCATGGGGCGGCCAATGGTTTTAGGCGTACGAGGCAAAATGCACACAGAGCAGGAAAACGTGCGCCATGCAAGAATGACGGCAGCAGTGCAATTGATTACTCATGGGCAGGCTGGCATGTCTGACGGCGAATGCAAACGGAGGTTCTCGTATTGTGGAGGGTTCTAGAGATGCTGGACCCAGCCCTCACATACTGATTGATACTGACGATCATGATGACGAAAGATGGGAGAGAAGCAGAAGCAAGCAATTATGACTTGAAGCAATGAAAAACTGCGAGTGGGCTGTGTGTGGACTGGACTTTGCTCCAAGCAGCCAAGCCGGCCAGCCAGCGGGTAGATGAAGATACTCGTAGCCAGGCAGAATCACAAGTCGCATATTGACCTCATGATCCTGTCGTTGAATTCCTTTGGCATGTGCGTTGAATATAATCAGGACACGATACTATGTTTACTCACCAATGTTCGTATTCTTTTGCAAGAGAATTGTTTTACAACTTTTGCTAGGACCAAGGGTTTTTTTGTGTCTGGGATAATCATTCAGCCTTGCTTGCTCCTATTGCGTATAACTTGGCTTCAACAATTTGATCGAGTCTACTCAATAGGCCATGAGGGGGATTATAAATCTCCCTATGGTATCATGTAAGAAACGTCATGTGGCCTACAACTAGCTATACATTGCGTATCCCAGAGACTTTGAACCCAAGCCGAGCTCATCGTCTTGTGCGTGGGTTGCGAACGTGCATACATACATAAAGCTTGCCTGCCTCTCAAGTCAGGAGGCCCACAATCTCTTGGATAGCACCAGCCACCAGCTCAGGATTCTCAGGCTTTAGCTCCGAGACGTCCACATCCTCCTCACTGCCGCCGCTTTCCGCATCCTCATCGCTGTCTGAACCGTAGTCGACCAGCCCTAAACCCGATGGCTTGCCTGTAGCCGTTGAGCCTGGCCATATCCCCCCGGTGGGTGGGTCGCCCTGCCTCTCGAGGACGCTGTTGTCTTCGTCTCCGGACATGCCGCCAAGGCTACCGTCATTGTCGTCGTCACTCGACGTATCCGGGTCACTACTGGTGGTATCAGCACCATCACCGACGCCCTGTGCAGTGCGGCGGCGGAAGTCATCGCCGTCGCTGTTGATTTCGCCCTCCTCCGCGTCTTCCACGTTGTCACCTCCCCGCCTGTGCTGCTGTCCGCGTCCACCGCCCTGGCCTCGAGGCCCACCACGTCCTCGTCCCCTACCCCGGTCGTGGCGCCCACCCCGCATCGGGATACCATCCTCACCGACAGCCTGGCGCTTGTGTGGTGGCTGTGATGACCTCTCACCGCCTCTCTCGGCCATGGCTTTGCGCTTCTCCGATTTGTTGTTCTTCCTCTCCCGCACCCGGCGCTCTGTCGAGCCTAGGATGAACCCCTCTGGCAGTTGGTTCACTGTGGCGGCCGCCTGCGAAGGAGGAGGAGGGAAGACATAGACCGTAGGGAACTCGAGCACCGTCCGCCCCATGAGCGCCCTGCCGAGGGTCTCTGTGGAATCGAGCGGGATCAGCTCCTTGGGCTTCCCTGCTGGTGTGAGCGGCCTGAGCAGGTAGAAGCTGTGGTGTCGCTTAGCGTCGATGAGCTCGTCAGGGAGCCACGAGGACACGGTAGCTGCGCGGTCGGTGTCCCAGGTGCCGGTATAGGGGTTCTGGCTCGTGTACGGGATCGCAAGCCAGGTGGCCTCGTCGGCATCCTGCATCGCGCTGCGGCGGCCTTCCTCCTTGACCTCTTTGATGAGGACCCGTCGCCTCTTCCTCGCATACGCCGACAAGAAGGTGTCTTCGTCCTCCTCGTCCTCCTCTTCGTCCTTGTACTGCCCCTTGCGAGACCAGGCCAGCGAGTTTCCCAGCGCCTTGTAGAGGGGGATCGTCTCGAGCGCCTTATGTCGTATCCTCGTGCTTGCGCCGCCTGCGCCGCTGCCCGGTGCATCGTAGACGATCCACTCCATGCACCAGTTGATCCGCCCTGCCTTCCTGTTCCAGGCTGTTGTATTCTCGCGCTGCCGCGCCATCCCGACCGGCATGTGCACGACCTCAACGTTGGCCTGGTCGAGCCGCTGGCGGACCCTGCGGGCGAGAGCAGACGGCGGACCACCCCTGGTCATCATCGTCGTCCTCGTCCTCGTCCTTTCCCCTCCCTCCCCGCCGCCGTCCTCTTCACCCTCCTCCTCCTCACCGTCCTCGCCGTCCGAACCGAAGACAGCACCCCTGTGGTTGCGATCATTACTCACAAACCGCACCTCCTCGCCAAACCACATCTTGCGCCACCGCCTCTCCTCGCCCAGCTCGCGCAGCTGCTTCTCGGAGAACAGGCCGCGCTCCTCAACAATCTCGCGCTGGTTGCGGTCGCGCTCGCGCTCGATGGCCGACAGGAAGTTGTAGTCATGGTCCACGCCTGCCGGGGTGCGCAGGCGGGCGGCGGGCATGTAGGCGGTCGGGTCGCGGCGGCCTGTGCAGTTGGCCCAGGCCTTGTGCTTCTGGGAGCAGGCGAGGGAGCAGGTGTGGGTGTGACAGGCGGGGCATGTGTATCTGGGCACGGCGGTGTGGCAGATGGAGCAGAGGGTCGTCAGGAGGGGGTCGGCCATCTTTGGAAAGAGCTGCTTGGGGCAGGGGCAGTGTTGGAAGACGGCGGCGAGGAGGGTCGAGGTTGGCGGAGGGTTCGTGGTGGCACAATGGCCTGTGGTGGTATTGAAGATGTTGATCGAGACACCATAGAAGTCGATAAGCGATAAGGAATTAAAGAGATCTCGTCTGTCTTGACTATATCTTTCGTTGAATATTTGGTGTTGAAGGAAAAGGCAAGTTTAGATTGAGCACTGGGCAAGTAAACATTTTTATGGGGCAAAGCAAACAGAACTCTTCTTTATCTTATCTCCACTGTTGGCTGCAGCCCCCTGCAAGCCTGTATAAACAAGCCTCCTCCGCCTTCCTCCTCCTCAGCAGGAACATCAGCCAGGAAATCTTTGTTTGAAGACAGCTGCGAGCAGAACATTGCTGTGGTAGCAGAATATTTTCTACAACATCGATGCTACATACTCAAACAATCCAGCATGAACTTTTGCGTCTGAACTCACTTTTCTCAAGTCCTGCCAAACAACGAAACAAAATAGAAAGAGCGTCCATGAGACGGAATTCCTAGGAATTCTGAAAGGAAAAAGAAATACTTCTGCAGGCCAATGAACAATATTCGTTATTCCAGGCTGTGCAACATGGTCAATGAATAGCTTCCGAGATCAGGATGGCCATCATGCCCAGGACCGCAGGCCAGCCTTGATCCAAATAGAAAAGATGTATCCTTCAGTCCGGAAGCGCCCCAAATAGTCAACATACGGACACAACCACTTCATAGGAACTGAAAACTTGCAAGATGAAAGCAGGGACCATTCAATGCATGAAGAGCTGCCAACCATCCATCATCATCATGCCGACCATTCCGCTGCATGAAGCTCCCCTGTCAAGAGAGAGCCCGTCCTCTCTTTTTACCGGAACCGCAGCAACCGTGCCAGTCGGCGAAGCCGAGCGGCTATCGAGTCTAGGGAGGAGAGTATCCGAAGCCTCTCATCCCGAGAAAAGTTAATTCTTCCTGAACCCTGAAAGTTTGTTAGCCATTGGGTTTGTGCCAGAGGACGATCAATGTGCCCTGGTCCATTTCACTGGGGTCTGTGCGGTGTGATGATAATGCAGTTAATGCAGTTCGCGAGAGAGGAAAAGGTTTGAACCAGCGAATCCTGCTTCAGTGTCAACAACACTTTGAGCCGTCGTCGGAAGCTGGCAGACTATTGGAGAGGCAAGTAAGTTGTTGAGAACGGTCTGGTTTGGTGAGGTGTCTATGCATGAGATCGCGTCAGTCTAGCTGCAGAGGTCAATTTGTTGATGGGTCAAGTTAAGTAAGTATGTCCTTCAGTGTGTGCTTTTGATAGACAAGGAGGGGGCCCAGATCCCCCTAGTGCAGTTTTCAGCCTCAAATCAAATACTGCTATGCATGTAAGCACTGCATCTTAAGCACCTTGGCGCATCAACTATGATTCAGAGTATGTCGTCGCGCGCCCTCCACTAAGCCGTGAGGGAACGCCCTTTGGTCGCTCGAATACTTACTCGCGATGGGGCCATCATCCTCAGGCCGCACTTCAAGGACCGTCGCACACGCCTAATGCAGGTTGACGGCACAAGGAAATGCACAGATGTGATAAGGTAGACATGCGACGCAGGTGGCCTGCCATGGTACAGGATTTCTCGGAAACTGTTTCAATCTTTTTCGGAGGCGCAAAGCATCACGACGGAGGGGACCATGACAAACTTCTTGCAAGCCAATTACTGAGAGGAATCGACTAGCACAGATGAAATGAAAAGAAAATCTGAAAGAGAGGAGAAGAAATAAAGGACTGCAGTCATTGTTGTTGCGTAAGCGGTTCCATCGTTCGATGGGTCCTGCGCCTTTTCTTTTCTCTTCTTTTCACTTGTTTTCCCTTCCTTATTTTCTTCTTCGCCCAGACCCAAAGTCAATGGCATGTGAAAATCGCCATTCTCGTATAAGTGGAGCAAAAAGATAATTATTATAGACCCCTGCACATCGGGCAAGCAGGGACAATCTCGAGGTTATGAATATGGGACCCGGTAGAAAGGGTGGTCCAAATGCAGCATAGGCAAGGCAAGACATTGTACATACATGATACACATCAAAAATGAATCCATAATATTTCATGATGGACAGACTTGCATGTGAAAATGGGTAACAGAAGTGGATGTTTGTTGGTGGGCCGCCACCATGCAGTAAGGCCGAGGAACGTTCGTTCAAAGGAGGGAGGCTTTTGAATCCCAGGGCGGGGCCGGCGGGATCAAGACACACCCGCGAAGACAAGAACACACATGCAGATGTCAGTTGCAAGCCTGCCGCGTGATCTTATGCTCCAGATCCAAGACAGCCAGCCCACCTACCTGATTCACTGGGTGATGATGACAACGGCGCGTGTGGTGTGAGATGGCCAAAGAGACATGGAACCGTCGGATAAGAGGAGGGTTCGGGCATGGGAAGAGGGGGGGGGGGACCTTGCGAAAAGTAATAGCCATCCAGACTGGGTGTGGTGTGGTGTGGTGTAATGTGGCATTGCGAACTCCTCCAATAGTGGCTGCAGCAATGGCGTGGTATGTGCGGTGACGGTGGTGTGGCCGCATGTCTCAATGAAACACCGGTGAGTATGCCAGTCAAGAGGTTGACTGGCCGCTTGGTGAATTTTTTGGCTTTTTGTGTTTCCTTCCCTTTCCTTTTCTTCATGCCGTTGTGGACCAGTGCCGGGGAGCTCAGGGACCGGGAACCGGTGCGATAGTGCCATCGCCCTTTTCCCAGTTGCCTGTTACGCTACTAAGTTGTACGGAACCTTTCGGAAGACAGAGAAATGGAGAATTAGATCAATTTGCACGGGCTTTTTAGTGATAGTGCGTGTGTGTGGGCTACGTAAGACACCTTTCCAGCACCTTTCCAGCAAGCACATCATCGCAGTCTAAAGTTGTCATCTGTCCCAAGAAGACCGGAACCGCTTGTGTCAGAGAAAAGGAGCGAGGGAAAGGCGAAGGGAGGGGAGGGGGAGTCATTGACACACCCTCGACGATCGCGAATTGAGAGATAAGCAAAAAGACGTCGAGACCATTTACTTGATGGATGTCTCAGAGGGAGGTATGTGTCTGGCCAGTGAGCTCCTCGTCCTCCTGATGGTACTATGGTACTAATGTAGGCTGTCGGGGGGGCGCATAAAAATGGTGAGAGCTGGGAGCCTAGCCACCTTTCACATGCTTTCGATGGGTGATGGGGTGTTTGACTGGTGGGTGTGAGGGAACAGGGGGCTTTGGAACAGGGGCTAACCCCCCTGGGTCTCTCTGCAAGCCATCCTACCCAGCTAAAACGCCCCACTGCGGCAGGGTGTCGAGGGCTCGAAGTTAAACGATCTCCCCCCCCCCCCCAAAATAAAGTCATACTCGTAGTCATACTCGTATAGTAGCGTAGAGAAATAGTCTCAAAAAGACCAGGACTCAACCAGATAGAACAACAGATGCTGTCTATGGTAATGCCTTTTGGAAATATACTTGAGAGACCAGCGGAGCGATAGCTTCCCCCCAGCAGCGACCCCCTGTACTTCAGTACTTAAGGTAAGTATGCAGGCAGGTATACAGCTGCACTGCTCATGGTAACGTTCCGCGCTGAGCGGCCAAGGACGCCCCACCTTCAGAATCGTCAGAATATCATAGCATCCCATAACACCATAGTGCATAGCAGAATACCCTCCTAGGACCCACTCTTCACATGCCAGTAACTGGGTCTTATCAGCGCCAGCACAGCATCACAGGAGCCACCTTTGTGCCTGTGCCTCAAAATCGATGCACGTCGAGCTTGCGACAAAGCCCACTCTCTTGCGTGCGTGGGTGCGTACGTGCGTCTTGTGGTCGCTCTCGTTCCTTTTTGTCTTTCTTTTTCTTGAATTGATACCTAGCCGCGTTACGTCAATTCAAGTCCAATCATCGTCCCTTCGCCCCTCCCCCCCCGGCACCCCTCCTCCCCTCGACTTTCTTTTTAGCTTCCAGTCTGCACTCGAACCCCCCTCCTCCTTTTGCTTTTTTTTCTTCTTCTTTTTCTTCCCCTGCCTCCCCTCCTTCCCATTGATATCAATCTTATCTCCCTCGTTCACACACACACACACACACACACACACACACCAAAAAACCTTCTTCTACTCCTCCTTTATGCTCTATCACACCCATCAGTTTTAGCTTATCCTTTCCACATTCACACTCACCTTGCACTATTGCTCAACAATATCTCCAAGCTCCCTCTAAATTTCATCAGCAAGAGACGCCAGACCTCTAGCGCGAAGTCAGACTTGCCCTCTACTTCTCTACATAACACCATTCTGTTCTCGGCATTCTTGAACCAAGCTGCCCCAAAATGACGACACCTCAAGTTAATGGCGATGTACCGGCATCTTCTTTCCTCAAGGTAAGCTCCGCAGACTACCTACACACAACCCTTACTCTTATATATGATTTCGAACCACAAGTTCGAATCTACACGGCATGGTCTACTAAGGCGTGGGAGGCTGGAAGTCGGGTGTGCGAAGCAGCCTCCCTCATACTTGCTGTCTGGCCACCAAGAAGATGATTGGGTCTGAAGGGTTCCATCTGGAAGCAGCTGTCCCTCATGAGCCAATCCAGTCGCCACTTCTGTGGGGCTATCTCGGCAGTCACGAGATGACCAACACTTGGGAAGGAGTGTCGCACATGTTCTCCCAATATCAGAAAGCTGACGCTGACTTTTTCTTCGTCCCTTCTTCGCAGCACCTGAACGGGTATCCAGTGGTCCACGACGGCGTTGAGACCTTCAAGGCGAACCCGTACGGCCAAAAGTCCCTACAGCTGGGCGACTCGGCTTACAAGACCTTCGCCGCCCCCGTCCTGCCCTACCTCTCGAAACCTTACCAGTATGTCGAGCCCTACGTCAAGAGGGCGGACGACCTCGGTGATAAGGCCCTTGCCAAGGTCGACGAGAAGTTCCCCGTCGTCAAGAAGCCCACCGGCGAGCTGTACTCGGACGCCAAGGGCATCGTGCTCCTCCCCTACAACAAGGCCTTCGAGGGCAGGGACCACGTCCTGAGCGTCTACAGCAGCGAGTACAAGAAGGTCGGCGGCGAGAATGGCTCCGGCCTCATCCTGACCGGCAAGGCTGCTGTCGCCACCGCCCTTATCATCACCTCTGAGACTGTCAAGTTCATCGGAGACTACCTCGGCCAGAAGAAGGAGCAGGCGCATCATGTCATCGACAACAAGACCCGTAACTAGTGCAGGTCGCCTGAGAGTCACCACACCCTCTGTCTGTCGTTCTCCGACAAAACTACCGTTTTCAGATACCCCAATTTCGTGCCGCTGGACGGGGAAGCAGAGAAAGAAGAAGAAGATCATCCTCCTCCCCCCAAGCACAACATTCGACACAGATGGGTCCCTTCGAGATTGAACATGACCTCTTTGGTAGATCAATATGTTTGCAATGGAGAGGGATCGAGCAGCGAGCTTCGAAAATCTAGTCCTCCTCCATTAGAAGCGGCCGGAAATCATTACAATATTCAGTCTTGCTGTGTTTGTTCGACTACCTCTCCTTGTCTCTTTCACTCTCTCCTAACGCGTATCATTTCGCGGGATGATGTCTTGTGCCCGTGACCATGGCTTACAGAGCTGTCAGAAGCAGTGACCGGTCCTCGTGTCAATTTGGCTAGGGCAACCCTCCTTTGTTCGATCTTAAATTTTTTTTTTCTTATTCTGTTTATTTACCGGTGTCTGAAGCAAGACCGATTTTGTCTCTTTTTTCCCTTCTTGGGTGTGCTGGCGGGCAATGGCAAAGTCGGGGATACTCATTGAGATTTGTGTTGCGGAAAACATAGCTAATAGATTTCTGGTTTTTTTAACTCTTATATCGTGAAACGCATTCTTCCCTCCTCCATGTCTTCTTCATGGAGCGTAAGATGGTTCACATCACCCGCGCTGTGAAAAGGTCCAGGTGATGGTGGGTGGTAGGGTGGCCACAGCACGACGCCATAGTCACCGAATTCCCCTACACCTTGGCCAGCTACCTTGCCACGCCTATTAAGAAGACCTATACTACATTACATTGACTGTTTGTCAACCCCTTCTACTCCTGTTGACTTAACCAGATGAGTACACAGTGGATCCCTCTTAACATCTAGTCAGCCAACCACGATACCAAGATAACTCAGGTACTGGCTTTTATTGGTATCCAGTGAACTTGGTGCTCGTGGTCTGCAGATGCGCGAGGCCGACGATATGGGCGGAACAGGCTACCCAGGTTGGATGGGATGGGATGGTGGACCGCGAGCATTTATGAATGTGAGAAGCTGAATTGAAATTCATCTTTGCATATTGAGAAGCCCTTGGTGTCTGGCCCTGGGCGAAGCAAGACTACATACAAAGAAAGAACTCGTCAAGGGGGCCAAAGTAAGTATCAAGCCACACCAGTAGATTGATAGATATCGCTGGTCCTTCACGCCATCACGGGCACGTCGCCAACCCCCATGTCTGCACCAAATCGGCCTGTCCACTCTCCAACATGATAGAAAAGAAGAAAAATAAAATAAAAAAATAAAGAAAGATCCGATGAGTGTGGATCAAAGGAAGGGCATAGGGGGGAATCGGATACGTATCGGTCTTAAAAAAAAATCCACAACGCCCCATTACAAAACAGGTAAAAGAAATAGGTTTTCTTTTTCAGCAAGCCGCCTCTTGGTATAAAAATGTATGATGTGATAGAAATGATGATCAAGAAAGCATCTGAATAAAAAAAAAATGCCCTCAAAGAATCTGGTATCGTGTCGGCATTACCGCCAAAGTTGGAGGTTGTGATCGTAACCTGCCAACAGCTCTAGCGATCGCCTCTTTTTGAAATCGGCGTCGCGTTGCCTTCTCAGCTGTTTAGCCTCTTCGGCCTTTCTTCTTGCCTCTTGTTCAGCCCAGTCCAAGGCTGTCTGTAGTTCCAATGAACGTCGTTTTTTGAAGTCAGGGTCCCCCCGCTTAGGACCCTGCTTCGCCGCGATTCAATGCGAACCTCCTAATGCACTTATTCGAGCACCAGCGGGGCGCTGGACAAGAGTGTTGGCGTGCTTGCCAACAATGTGCTCTGGCTGAGGGGCGTCGCTGTCACTGCGCTCCAAATACTCGTCCTCATCGTCCTCGACGATCTTGGTCGGTATGTCGTGGCTGATGCTGTACTGCTGCGAGGCGCGCTCGGGGGTGGTCCCGCTCGACGTGATGGACATGCTCGTGGAGCTCCGGTTGTGGATCAGGTCCGGAGTGGGAGGAATGCTCGAGGTGCGTCCAGAGTGATGAGCAGCCTCCTCGGTAGCCTCGGAAGTTGTCATGGAACGACCGTCCTCGCTGCTGGCCAAGTTGCTGCTCCTGCGGCGGTTCATCAACAGGCTGCCGTCAGAATCGTTAGCCAGCTGCAGCCCCTCAACAGCAGCCTGGCACTGCTCCGCAATGTTACGGATGATGTGGGCAATGGCATCGGTCTTGTCCTTGAGGTGGCGGTCAGCCACATCGGAGAAGCTAGACTGCGAGAACCGCTGGCTGTTGCGAGCGGCCTTCAGGAGAAGCTTCTTGTCGGCTTCCGACATAGTGCCGTCCTCGTCAGCAGCCGCAATGAAGCCGTTGGCGATCTCCTCCTCGATACCAGCAGGGTTCGAGATGGACTGGACAAGGTGTTCCATGTGGTGGCTCTGTCCACCAATCAAGCTGCGCAGGTGTAGAACGACGCGGTGCGCCTCATCGCGCTGGCGCAGGATGGTCATGTTGGTGTGCTGAAGAGCAGCAAGCTCCTTCTTGTTTCTCTTGCGGTCACGCTCGAGCTCCTCGGCAATCTCCTGTTGAAGGACGAGCGCCTCGAGGGCATCATCACGCTGCTTCTCCGTGCCCGTCAGGCGCACAGACATGCGGGCGGCATCATCCTTTTGCTGGTCAATGAGGGTTGCAAGGCGGCGGTTCTCGCGCTTATGACCCTCAATCTTGACCTTGAGGTCTTGTGTCTCCTTGGTCAGCGTCTCGGCGAAGGCTTGGAACTTGAGGAACTATTGATGTATTGTCAGCTTGCACATCTCCTCCAGCACCCTACAACAGAATGAGACGGGCGATGTGATGCTTACCTGCTGCTTCCAGCTCTCCAGCTCCTCGTTCAGGTAGTTATTACGCTTCGTCACCTTAGCAAGCTCCGTATCCATCCTGCCCTTGAGGTTGATGAAATCCTGCCAAGCCTCGAGAGCATCACGAGAGTACTGGTTCCTCTCACGAACAATCTCGTTGAGGTGCCTCATCGAGACCTTGGTCATGAGTGGCTTCTTCACGGCCCCTCCAAACACAGCCTTCAGGCCGCTGTTGCGGCCCATCTTTTCGCAGACGTGATCCATGACGGCCATGACAGCATCCTGATTCCACCACTCGGGGTCCTGGATGGACTCGACCTCGCCACGCATGACGATGATCTGGCCAGCCGGGACCAGCTTGCCACCACCATATGCAGAGCGTAGGTGCTGTGGGACACCTGATGGCGCAACGTCTCCGTTCAGGGCCTGCGTCAGGCGTGTGACAAACTTATTCCGCTGACCTGGTGTCAAGGCAGTGGGCGGGTCAGATGTCAGGACAAAGTTGCGATCCAGGTCAACCACCAGCGCATCACCAGGCGCCGTGAAGAGCGACCGGCACTCTGCGGTGATACCAAGAATGTAAGGACCAGGCTCCTGAACAAGCTCCTGGGCGTGACGAGCGTGCACTACAGGAACGTACAGACCACTCCACTCATAAACACGGGCGCAGTAACGGACGGTCTCGGCGGCCATGGTGAGCATAGCAGGGTAGTGGCTGACGAAGATGATTCGGCGGGTTGGCGAGATAGCTGCCTCAATAACGCCGACGATGTTCGGAATGGACAAGCAAGCAAATATGGGCCACATGTCGAAGTTCTGGAAGCCAGTAGGCGAGGAAGGAAACTGGTAGCAAAGAGCATAGTCCTTCATATCGATGCGAACAAGGTCATTCAGGCGCGGGGCTGGGAAGCTCAGGATCCTGGAGACCTCCTCGGCGTGGAACAGGTTGGTGGCCTTGTTCCAGTGAATCCACATGCCACGGAGGTAATCGCCAAGCAAGTTGTAGAGAGGATACCTGGAAAGGAAGGACAGGCAGTAGGGGATCCAGTAGGTCTCATCCGTGTTATCGTAGAAATCGGGCTCGGTTCTCTTCCTCAGGTCACGGATCGTCTCGGCCCTCTTCTCGTCGGCGCGGGACCACACTCGCAGACAGATACCGTATAGAGTGTGCGACGAGTCTTGCTGAAGAACGAAAGCGTGGTGGACGCAGTGAGGCTGGCTCCGACCGGTGCAGATCTCGACATCGTGAGGGAAGCATGCCTATCTATTATTAGATTGTATGTCCCCTCTCTCTCTCTCTCTCTCTCTTAGGTTTTCAATGCAACCGAGACAACGCCTCAGTAAAGGGGGTAAAACTTACCCTCATAGCAGCATGCAGAGAGCGAGCGATTTCGTTATCCTGCTCCAACCTAGGACTACTTCCCAGAATCTCTGGGAGCCAGAATTGGCCGACTGCGCCCTTCATGTGGCCAATCTTGCCTTGAGACGGCGGAGGCGCCTTCACCCACTGCGAGGGCTCACGGCCCACGCCACAGACCATGTAGGCATGTGTGAGGGTCTTGGGCGTTCGCTGTTGAGGCTTGGCGCTGAGCGTGGAGGGCATAGGCTGGGTGATTCTGGAATGAAGCGAAGAGGTTCGGCTCGGGATAATGAGGTTACTGTCGGCCTCGCGCGTGACGGGGCGGTCGCTAGTCCGCGGCCGGGTAAACGAGGTGTGCGCCGTAAGTGAGTGAGCCATGGTTGCTGTTGTCTGGCTGCGGAGATCACTTTAGTTTGGTTTGGCTTGATCAGGACCAAGGCGGGGGAGACAGAGAGGTGGAAGACGGTATTCGTGACAGGTCGTCGAGTCGTACGTAGTATGCCGCTACTTGGTTATGATATGAGAGAAGAAGTGTGGTGACAGCAGGTAAAGTTGTCAAGCAATAGTCGTGACTATTCTGTAGCCTGGGACGCTCAAAGAGTGGTTTGGTGGGTCGGTCTTTGAGGTGCTGGTCCGCTTGTGTGGGCTCGATGCTGTCGCGAAAGAGCGGGAGAAGAGAAATAATGAGGACTCGTCGAAGTACTCGTGTGATGTATGAGATGTAGGAAAAAGAGATAGGATCCAAAACCAATCAAGGCCAGGCCGGAAGAATAAAGCGATCAATTCGACATTGATAGTCTCAAGCTGGCGGAGGGCCGTGTGAACTGTGAAGTGATAATCCTTTCGTTTTTTCTCCAACGGGGAGGCGGGGGCGTCTGGACAGAGACCAGAGTCTTTTGCTGTTGGCAGTGACACTTTCAAGCCAGCGCTGTGCAATTGAGAGCTATGAGGTAGGAAAGGAGGGAAAAGGGGGGGGAGAGAGGAGGAGGAGGGCCAAGAGTGCGGTAGGGAAAGGAGCTGTCTAGTTTTGACTGAGCGAAAGAAATGAGGCAAACGGAGAAGCAAGCAGTAAATAGGAGAGCACGACCCCCAAAGACCCAATTGCAGGGCAATTGAGGAGGGGAGACGAGATTGACAGGGGGCCCAAGTCAGGTCAGGTTGATTTCCGAAGAGGGCAAGAAACGAGTGGCACTGTGCACCTTTGCACCTGCAGGTTTCCTCTTCTTCAACCAACGATGCTACCAAATGCCATAGGGTGCTAGTGCATAATAGAATTAGTATCACCACAGTACAGATATGAACTATGTACTATGATTCACTGTTCTTTCTTCTTTCTTTTTCTTTTTGCTTTTCCTGTTTACTTCCCTCTTGCCTCTCTTTTCCCTCTCCCCTTCTTAGTAGCCGTGGTGCCCTAGTCTCTCGGGCAAATGATCAAACACTCGGACACTGCAAGAACCTGCAGAAGTGGAGGGGGCTAGGACCAGGGAGCGGACCCTCTCACCTGCAGCATGTGTGCAGTAAGCACTGCAGGTCGTGATGTCCCCCGGTACCTTGCAGCTGCTGGATACTCTAGGTGCTGGGGCCTCTTTTTCCATGGCTCGGCTTGCCACCTCCTCTTCTCTTTTTCTTTTCCACCCCACCCACCGCCAATGGCCACTTGTATCCATCCCCTCGGTTCACTTTCAGTAGCCATACCCCATTGTAACATCGTAGTAGCATTTCCAAGCGCACAGTTAGTGCAGTATCATCGCAGAGGAGGTCTTCCCGATCGTGCATCATGCTATTGGCCTCGAGATGTGGCACGGCTCCCTCCTGCTCTCCTGTATGCTACCCTACATCATACCATAGTATGTATGTGCTACCATGGCAATCTATCAGTGCGAAGCAGGTCATGACTGGATGAAGCATTGTGACCCGTAGGAATACAGTATGCAATGAAACAGTGACCCATGCAGCTGGAGAGAGGCCCGTGCAGCGCGCCACACACCTGCTCCGTATTCTAGCTGCACTAGCATGTATCTGTTTATACTACTATAGTTGTAGTACTGGCTCATGAGTCGAAGAACAACAATTTCATGGCTGAACCCTTGCACACTGTACTGTACCATAACACTGTAGTATTTCTAATGCCCTTTGGGAAGTAATTGAAGACCCACACAGAGACTAACCAGATAACTTTACACCTGCTGATGATTTTCCCTCCCCTCTCCCCCTCCTCCTCCTCCTCCTCCTCCTCCTCCTCCTTCTCCCCCTTCCAATCCCATGTGAACCCTTTTTTCATCTACTCACCAATGGAATTGTTCCTCTGGTGGTTGAGAAAAGAACATGCTGGACGACTTCTGGAAGAGGTGACCAATCTGGTCCCATGGTGCAAAAATAAGGGCCCCCGCCTTCTGCCCCTGGATTTTGCTGCAGGGCGTGTTCCAAAGTGGTTCTAGTCCCCGGCTTGGTCAGGCACGCAGCAGGGGCCTCCTTGCTGCTTCAGGTTCATCCTGCGTGCATCTCTCATCTCAAAATTTCCCCCCACTTACCCGTCTAACATAGTACCGCCGATCTTGAAGCTCCTTTTAGGGTTGGAGAGGGGAGGAGGAGAATTCCCTCAGCACAACACCAAACTAGCTTGCGCCTCCACTACTACGGCCCCCGTTACCACCACCACTCCGACTTGGGTTTGTTTTTACGCCACATCGCTGGAGAGCTGCTCGCTCAGACATACCAACCTCTACCATGTGCACATGCATACGCATGGATATCCAACGGAGCTGGTGGTGGGATTACTCGTACGGGAGCTCGTGCACTGCGACCCTGAGGACCGGGAGGTGAGACCTTGGCCGATTCGTCATTCACCTCTCCCATATCAGCCTCAACACTACTGCTATGTACAGAGGTACTACTATGGTGGCAGTCCTCCCGGCTCGGTCGTTATCAACTCTTGCTGCAGATCAATCCCCTCCGTTCGGGGGCTTATCTAGTCTTAGCATCATCATCCTCCCCCTCCTCCCCCCGTCTCTCTCTCTCTCTCGCTCGCCCCTTGCCTTGCACAGGCGCTCGAGACTTGTCGAGCAATGATCAGCTAGCAGTTACGATAGCAGCTAACTACGGGCACCAATTAAGCCCTCTCTCCAAGATTAAACAATGGCGGTGATGATGGCCTCCAGGCTGCAGCTAGAGGTCCGCCCAGTCTGCTTAGTTCCTTCTAGCCTGGGCTGTCTGGGCATTGCCAGTGGGTTCGATCTGGGGGAAGAGCCACCAGGCAGCTTCTGTGCGCACACAAGCTTGATGAGGGACATCAGGCCATTTCTTTGGATCGAGGCCGTGCAGTGCTCCGCATGGCGGTCCGGTCGCTATATAGGGTCTAGGGCAAGAGGTACTGCTGGAGGAAACGGAGGGACTGCAGTTGTGGCCGGCTCGATCGTCTCTCGTCACACCCGACCAGCCACAGACACACACACGTTGCCCTACTCGCAACCACAACGTTCTCAAACATTGGCACAACCCTTTCTTCACTCGTGTCCCGCGGGCCATTTTGGCTGTCGAGAACATCAAAGTATCACAAGGGCTTCAGGTGGTTTGGAAATTCAATCTACTATACATAACACGTCCGCAATACCCCCGCCACGAACTGTTCATCCTTTGAACTTTAAACGTCCTCTGGTCACTGCAGGTCAAGGCAGGGGAGCCTTGATGTCGAAACCCCTCTCCTCCGTGGCTGGCCAGCTCCCAAGCTGAATTTAAGTCGATCTTGCCGGCTCCTCACAGTGGCGATTCCGCTTCGCTTCCAAATTATTCACTCCTAGATCCAGACCGCCGGCTTTCGCCCTCCATGTACTATGTACAGGCCAACTATACCGCCCAACTTGAGGCAAGCATCCACGATAAGACTTGAGACGATAACATCACGAGGCTGTCATTGCTCGCTACCCTGCGGTCCAGAAACAATTAATCTCACCTCCACTTCTCGCGGAAGAGAAGCCAAATTCGTGTCCAGATCGCGTGGCAGGACAGGCGGCGTCAGCTCTAAAGTCCGCCAGCACGCAAGCATCTGTAACAGGAAAAAAGACTGTGCGACCGACTCAAGTCTGTTTTCCAGGGTAAACAAAAGTCGGGATCCAACCTCGTGCACGGGTACAATGACCTGCAGAAGGTCCAAACCACGGTCCCCTCGAGCGCTATAGTATCATCGCCGCTTGAACGCAGATCCACCTACTTGGACACCACTATGATCAAATTGCCAGGTCAGTTCTAGACAAAGAACTCGGTACCACGTCGTTTCAGTAACCGGCCCTGCTCTTTTACGACACCATCTTGTGTGATTCCCTACCCAATTGAGACTGTTTTCCGACCACCGACACCGTAGGTTTCTCTGGACATGCCAGTTACTTTGAGTGCTGCTGTACCTTGGACGACACCTTATGTCCATCAACCACTTCAGAGCTTCCGGTGATCTTGGGGGTCTGCCGCTGTCATACTCCCGGCTAGACACGAAAGTCGCAACGGCAGTGCGCTGTGACAGCAGGCGCCCGCTGTGACCACTACGCGAGCTCTACGGTATGCGCGGATCTCCAGATGGCACCGGCTTGGAAGATACGTTTTGCGCTCAGATGTAAGCACTTGAGAATACGAGTTGAGAAAGACAGACATGGTATTGGGATTTCTGACCCAAATCAGACAACCAGACAGGCCTGTGCTTTGCTGGGCGAGACGTCCCAAAAGTCCACCACCACGACCAGTCTTTAGGTGATCGGTGCCAGTTGCCCCCCGAGCCCTGGCCTGAAGGCTTGCCAAGGCCTGCCAAACCAGAATCCACATGCCACGTTCTGGAGCTGTGCCGCAATGCCACGTCCTCTCCGTCCATCGACAAGGGATTGGTGATCACAACAAGCTAGTCATTTTGACGCAAGTCGACTGCGGGCCCCTTTGGACACAGTAACCACTGTTTCAAGCTCACACGGTACGGAATGAACCAGTGTCAATGCAATTACCGACAGGACCCGTTCGACAAATTGCAGAGGCCCCTCACGATTCCAGCTCATAACGACTGCAGAGGGAGAGAGAACAGACAAAGAGGTGTTTTGTCTACCATGACCCTGCCACATTTTCTTGGGACGATTGGCGACCCCAAGAATATATTCTTTTTCCTTCACGCAGATCGATATGGCGTAGATCTCTCACAAGTTCTCGAAGCTTGTTAGGACGAGATTAGACCAGTGCGGAAACAAGAAAAATCCTAACTCGTCCGGCGTCTGCGGTACCGCGTGGCCCCTCCGCCGTCTGTGCAAGACTCCAAACTCTATTGTATACCGACACCTTTATTTCTATGTTTCAACCTATTTTCCGAACCACTCGGTCAACCATTCGCGAGAGAACCTGTCATCAGAACACAAAACCTGGCAGCGACTACGAAGAAACGTCTAAGCGAGGATGCCACCTATATGTGGTCCATCTTCTCCGGTTAACGTCCGCACGCAACGGTCATGACTGCCTGATCCGCCGGACAATTTCAAGGTACTAAAGTACTGCGCCGATGACCCTTGCTGATTGACTGCGGCTTTTGATGCACACACCCTGTCGGATGGCATCTATCCGATTAGGTTTTTCCCCTTGCCAAGGCACACACACACCCTTTGCAATGAATCAGCAATGTCAGATTGATTGATCGAGCCGCACGAGCTTTCGTTGCCCCCGGCGGTGCCGTACCACCAGCCACGAAGTACCATCCCTTCTCTGGGCTGGAGCGGGAGGACGAAGCTTCGTTGTCGTCTGTACGCGTAAGTTGAGGTGAACCAGAGATCATTCCAAGAAACATGCACGACTTGATGGATCAACTTTGCGAGATGAGGGTCGTGGACAAGGTACGAGAACTTACATCTTGAGTGGGTCGGCACTTGTGCACCGCGGGCATTCATTCCTCAAACATGCGCACAGAAAGAGCAGCTTCTTCTAGTCATCACCCCGCCGTCAGGTTGCTGTGTGGCTGCCTCTTGGCTTCCACCATTTGCTCGCCGGTTCGATCATGCATGTTGATATGCCTACTCAAATAATTCTCCGGAGGGAACCCTCCTTTGCCCGCCAAGCTCTCTCGTCACGGTCTGAGCGATGACATTGTCCCAGTCGGCTCGGAAACACCTTTGCAGCAGGTTATATAGCATTGGGATTATTTCGTCACAAACCTGTAACACCATGCCCTCGCACTCCTCGAGGGGATGGCACGGAGTGGAAAAGGGGGGTTGCAACAGTAAGCACTCTTTTTTCTCCCCCCTACCCCCCCCCCCAAAGAAGGCCTCATATACCATAAGAGGTGGGTTATATCAGATTGAAACACGGTTCCCATATGTAGAGGTCACATCGCTCGCTGTCTGGCTGGCCTGGCGAGACCAGCCTCCCTCTAAAATCACTCAGTCCGTCTTTGTGAAATCTCGTGAGGCTGGGCAAGCTGAAAATTTGCCCATCTACTACTACTAGTCGCCATCGCGTGCCGCGTCCGCAGTGGTCTTCATCACAAACTGGGCCAGCTGAGGCGACCCGTGCGTGCATGCATGGTGGCCCCGATAGGAGGAGATGGGGTCTTTTTTTTGGTCTTGATTTTCACCTCTCAGTCGCGGGCCGCCACAACTCCACACGAGTCTTGGGGTTAATTATTTGCTACATCAAAGTTTTTCTTTTTTTTTTTTCCCCATTCTTTCTTTTCTTTTCTCTCTCTCTCTCTCTCTCTCTCTTTGAAGATCTCACGACGATCATCCTCGAGTGACTCTGTAGCGGATATCTCTGGGGTATTCCGCACTAATGGAGTGGAGGTTGTTCGTTCTTTTGATGTGCACAGCAGTGGAGATTAAACATGTTGATCATGGTCCCATTCAGTACTGGCGGGGGAGGGGAAGTTTGGGAGGCTTTGCCAGCTACTAAAAACCTTTCTAGATAAAACAACATGGAGGGACTTGCTGTCCACGATTCCCATCCGGAAATAGACAAAACCAGGGGATTCTATTTTAGTTTGCGCAGGGAGAGGGGGAGGGTTTCGCTCCGTCGCCGAAGCGGTTGTGTGACGAGAGTGAATGACTTTTGGTGAGATGTAATCATGTCCTCGAAAGGAAAAGTATTGTCGTCTAGGCAAGTGTACTGTAATTACATTCCAGCCCGCCCACATTGCAGATCAACTCCCGCGCTGGCTAGGTCCCGAACTCTATCGGTCTTCGTTTTGCCTCTCTCTCCTCAACACAGATGATACCTCGAGTCATTAGAGATGTGCACTTATAGCCTGGTTCATTTTCACATCACCGGATCTTCCTCATGCCGTAAGCTGCTCAGTCCGGCCGCGGAACGTCCTCACATTATGGTCCATCTTGCATCTTGGCAGTTTGTTTTCGAACAGTAGCTGTAGCCCACGGCAATCCTACGCCCGTCCGAGGCCCCCGAAGTCCCGTGTCGGACTGACTGGACGACCTTTTTTCTCTTTCTTATTTTCTATTTTCGATTTAAATAAATCATCTGCACAGTGGTCTCACCCTTGGAAAGGATCACAAACACCTTCGTCACGTGAGAAGTCGCTATAGGTGATGACGTGCATGCAGAACGTCTGGTGAATGGTGATTGATGACACTTTGTGATTACCTAGGTAGCTGTCTACCTGCGGACCACCGCCCCCAACAACAAGACAAGGACTTTTGGTTTCCGGCCAGGAATTTGCCAAAAATCATTTGCTCGAAGCCTGGCTACTCATTGACTGCACCTGGCAGGTCAGACTCGAGGGAAGGCTCAGGCACGCAATATGACTTGCACAGCCGTAGGGTATCAAAGCTGAGCGTGGGTAACGGGTGGACAAAGCTGGGCTGCTCACTCGATCTTGTCATTGTTCGTTATCCCCTCACTTGGGAGGAGGAGGGCAAACGTCTCATCCATCCTGTGCTAGGCATTATTAAGGAGTGGCCTTGATCCAGTTTGATATACCCCTTGCCATTCAAGTACTTGTTGTTTCTTCATAATAACGAGCTTTCTCGGTCAAGTTGACTCTTCTAGTCTTTTGCCTAGTAATTAGCCTTGTTAATCAGAAAGTAGGACGCCGGTCAAGCTTACTCGCTGTGTGTCTGGAAGTCGTGAGACAATGCTAATGAAGGTCCACCCTAATGACTTGAAAGCTCTCTGACTGATTCGAGACGACTGTACATATACAAAACGCTGCCAACGTCTGGTAAGTTCGCATCACCGAGCTTGAGGCTGCTGAGATGTAAATGCATTGAGAACATTCTCATACCTCGAGACAAAAACAAAGTACTTCCTCGTAGAAAAGAAGGTGGGAGTTGTGAGCAATAGTGTAGTCGAGCAGATTAAAGCCTGGGTCCAACAATGGAACTTTTTAAGTCGCTTTCAAATAATGCTACTGCTGTCCTGCGCCCATATTGAGGAGCATTCGTTAGCTTTTTGGGTGAGATATCATAGCATTGTTGATCATGGATAGCGACTATGAATGGGCGACTGAGGAAGGGTGTAAGAAAAGTGCCCCTTTCAAGAGCGCTCATCAGAGTGTCGTCGACACCGAGGCCTTGTCTCTTGAGCAGGCAGGAATGTACACCCGTATGAGGGCATCCCTAATCTCTGTTGAGATTGTGAAGAAATCCAGGGACGATATGGCTCAGAACATGTCAAAGAAAACACCTGCAGTTTAACACAGACTTTCTAGGTGATTAAAGCAGTACATAAGGATGGGTAGAATATTGTCAGATGGCTAGCAATAAGAGATGGGTCGTCTCAATGATAAATAGACCTAGAGAGCTCGAAATAGTATTTTCATGTACACCTTAGAAGCATCTGGAAATAAGGAGAAACGTATGAGCTGAGCACGTGGAAGTGGCTGAATGAGTGTTGAGATTGAATCTATCTAATACAAAAGGAAGATCTTCTAAGTAACTAAACCAGGCTCTGAGATGGTTTATGAGGAGACCAAAACAGAGGGTTAGGGTTAAATATGCCCCATTTTTCACAGGAAATAATGCACATATGGCTTTGAAAGAATGGCTTTGGGAGTATAGCTCCAGCGTCCAAGTAGAGCCCTTGAGATTTGATGGAATTATCTTGAGCCAAATTCCGATGGTGCCCACTCGCGGTATCATAGTTTCTACATGCAGTGCAAGCTCAAAATTCTATGTACATAACACACATTCCTCTAATCAATCCCCAATCCAGCACATCAAGTCTCTTTTTATATCTGGCCTAATGCACCATCGACTTGCCAATCTCACTCGCCCAACCCTCTGCCCTCTCGAATCCGTTCGAGTGTGTCTGGTAGTCAAACATGGCCTCCATGACCTCCTCCCTCGAGGTTACCACGAACGGCCCATACTGCACCACGGGCTGGTCCAGGATCTGGCCCGCCACGATGACGAACCTGGCGTCCTGCGCGCTGTCCTTGTCGTTCTCCGCGACGATCAGGTCGCCCTCCTCCTCAAAGACAACATTGTGGTACCGCCCGACTTCCTTCTTCTCCGCCCCGAACCGGGTCGTTCCCTCGAGCGTGTACACAAACGCGTTGAAACCCTTGGGCACCTCCTGCGCGAGCGTGCCGCCGGGCCGCACCGTCACGTCGAGCAGCCACACAGGCGTATATGCCAGGTCCTGTACCGAGTCGACGCCTTGGCTCTTGCCCGAGATGACCTTCACAGAGACCTTTCCGTCGTCTGCCTCCGCCTTCGGGATCTCGGCCGCGCGCAGGTCGCGGTACCGCGGCTCGCACTTCTTGAGCTCCCGTGGCAGATCCACCCACAGCTGCAGGCCCGTGTTCGCTTCCCCGTCCGGGCTCTCGGGGGCGGGCATCTCGCTGTGCACGATGCCGCGGCCGGCCGTCATGAACTGAAGGTCGCCTGCGTGGATGCGGCCCGCGTTGCCTGCAAAGTCCTCGTGGTCGAACGCGCCGGAGAGCATATAGGTGATGGTCTGTCGCGAGGGGGAACGGAAGAGTAGAATGTTAGCAGAACTGTACATCACACACGGAGGGCGAGAGAAAGAGAGAGGATTTTGGAGGGGGGGGGGGGGGGGCGGATCTGTGACGCACCTCTTGACCACGATGAGGGTGGTCGGGAAACCCAGCGCCGGGCTTCACATTGAAATGATCCAGCATGAGGAACGGGCTAAAGTTGCGCAATTGTGGCGTGCCAATCGACCTCCTGACCCTGGCGCCAGCCCCCTCGGCCGTTTCTACAGCGAGGAAGGCTTTGCGAATTGCGCGTGGGACGCTCATGTTTGTTGTCGTCGCGGGAGGTGTTTGGGGGGGTTGGTGGTGAGATGTCTCGGGCTGCGCGCTCGTTGTGCTGCTGTCGCTGAACCTATCGAAGAGGATCGTTTTTCTAGCTGTCTCGAGAATACTGTCTTTGAACACGAATATCGAAACGATGCCGACGATGATAGAGAGCAAGAACGAGAAGGTCTTCATCGGGGGCGGTAGGGTGTTGTCGAGGTCTTTTGTAGTCTCAGAACATATCCGCAGACAAGAGAGGATAGAAGACTCTTTGTGGTAGAAATGCCAGGAACCTTCGAGCACGAAGTCACCATCCTGGGCGAGCGATTTCTCCCGCCGGTCGACAGGATGGATCCCGTACTATCAATACCACAGCCGCCTGCAACATATTGGGTCGTCGTTTGGGGCTTTCGCCCCGCTTGGTCGCTGGTTAGTAAATGCTGACAAGGCATTGGTGATGGAGCGATCCAGAGCAGGTCTAGCGCCCGCAGCCCGCTGTGCCTGCGTCTTCTGATGTACTATAGGGACCCTGCAGTGGATTTCCAATAGGTGATTACCCACCATAGTGGTAGTACCGTAGGGTCGTGTCAGGGATCTGTAAGCCGCCTTGGCGATAGCACATATCCCACGCGGACTTACGGATATACAACCAGGAACCTCGATGGGGACTTTTTCCCTCTCTTTTTTCTTTCTTCTTCCGTGGTGGCGGAGAGAACACACTCCTCTGTTCTCTTTACTACAATTTCAAATTCTTTGGCAACGCTATGTCAGCAACATACAAGAAAGTCTCCCTCATTTTCCTATTCAGCAGAAGTCCATGGAACATAATGATGAGTGTGACTGAGTATGGAGGGTTCTGTGTAAGTCTGCCCAAAATGCGTATAAAATGCAAAGGACTGTCCAGCACACTCATTTGATAATTGCCACCAAAAAGTAAAGGAAATTGCAATTGGGTATTGAATGTCTCTCTTTTTTTCTGCCTGTCTGATCCCACCTTGTCTTGTACTATCTTTGACTCATCCAGAATCAATAAGAACAGATGGCTGCCTCTCGGACACAATCTGGCCAGCACCCTCTCCTTCCGTGAACAATAATAGTAGACGAACTGCAAATGAGCGACTGTATAAGCATCACTGTTCCCAACCCAGGTAACATATGCCCTGTCCAACCCTGTCGTAGGAATATCAAAAAAGAAAAAGAAAAATTAAAGGGAAAAAAAGAACAAGAAACAAACAAAGTAGCAGTAGACTATTGTCGCCCTTCCAGTCTGCCAGATTAGATAAGAATACCTGATGGTGATGCTGGTAACCATACTAAGACCCAAACCACTTTGTCTATCGCCGTTTTTGAAAAGAATACTTTCAACCTTTGTCTTCCCTGCCATGCCAATTATTCGTAGAGGTGAAAGAGACAGGATCGTCAAGCATGCGCCCGGTGGTTTTATCCCTCTCAGTTACACAAGACACAAAAGACAAAACCAATGAGATCTTTCCTCTTCGATACGGAAAAACACTAGGTCCACCAACGCCAAACGACATGGATGTTCAAACCGTTTCCTATACATTCTGGCGTGTCATAGCCTCGTCAGTCTGATCCTGTAGAGCCGTCTAGTAGCCTCAAACAAGTCTGTCTCGTAGAAATGCAAGTGTAAAATTGACCATCACCCGGTGATAAGGTCGACGTCGATTCGTGTTGGGGGGTGGGGGGTGGGGGGGGGGAGGGCGGAGAATGGAGGATGGAGAATTGGAAATGTAAAGTGTGGTAGAAACAAGAAAACACTGGACGGAGGCCGACGCCTCAGCGGCTATTGAGAGATAGCCCCTGGAACGACCCAATCCAGTCATTCTGGGTGGTCAAAGGCGAGACTGGCTGATCCTGTTGTGCTGTCACGCCCGACTGAGGGAAACCTCCCCGAGTGCGCAATTGATAGTCGCCGCCGCCACTGGGGAAGGCGGTGGCATAAGGGTCGACAGGTGGTACAAAGGAGTTCGCGACGGGGCGAGGTCCGTTGGAGAAGCCAGCATAATTGCCGCCATATGGGTAGGAAGGTTGTGAGTAAGTCGTAGTGCCGCGGTCATTGCCGAACGGGGACGCCGACATCCCTGAGAAGGGGCGACCAGTGGCGGCAGCATTAGCAAAAGCAGCCTGTGGCTCCTGTTGTTGGTTTGCTCGGCGGTCGTTGGGGCCATTTCGGCCCACACCAACAGCACCTGGGCCGATGCCACTCGGCGTCTGTAGTGCGATTGAGGGACTCGCGAAAGATGCTGGGTTGATGGCCGACATCCAGATTCGAGTCTTGTAGATCTTGAAGAGATCGGTGACGAGGGAATTGAAGTTGATGTACGAGTCGGCAAAGTAGTAGAAGGTCAGTTTCTTCCAGTCCCTAGATGAAGTCAGTAAATGCCCTCCTAAATGGACTTGACTGCTTGAAACATACATCTGGAATTCAGCATCCAGGATTTCCATGTTAAGACCGTGATCCTTGACCTTTGACTGGCAGATACGCTTTGCCTTCGCTTCACTACCCTCCTTCTCTCGGAGGGCCTGGATCTCATGGGACTGAGCGTGGCGTTTAATCAGCTTCGGTTTCAGCTCCCCAGCGTTGGGCTCCTGCAAGTGATGTTGGCTTGGTGGACCCATGCCGCCAACGGCGCCGCCGTGCATGCCATTGGCTGCTGCCATGAGACCGGCGGTGGTCCCGTCCTGGGCGGCGGCAGCATTCTGAGAGAACATCATGAGCCACTTATAGTGCTCCTCGGCAAAATGCTCTTTCAGCTCTTTGGCATGGGCCCAGTCCACATTGTCCTTGGCCACGGTTCCAAGGTCGGTCCCTCGGTCCGCCTCCACGATCACCAAGTCGCCTGGCTTGACTGTCAATCCGGTACCTTCCTGAATGTAAAACACATCTGCTCTGTTGCACTTGAACAGCACGATGTGAAGCTTCTGGGCGTGTCGAGGTTGTGGGATCCCATAGAGACCACGGTGTGGAGAAGGCGCTCTATTCGGGAAAGGGGCCTGCATTCCGTACACGGCTGGATACATGTTTCCATACGCCGAGGTTACCATATGCTGCTGAGCGCCAGCGATTCCCGGCCCGTTGAAGTAGGCGCCTGGTGAGAGATGGTCAGCAAGAGAGGGCAAGCGAATCTTTATCAGTGCAACTTACTAGGATTTGCCTGAGTGAGCATTGAGGTGTCGAACTGGCTGGGAGGAAAATCCTGCGCATGTTGAGCCTCAAGAGGACCTGCTTCCTGAGGAGCGACTTGGTCACCAATAGATCCAATAGACGGCTGACGGGTAGGCACATCGGCGAATGAATGGCGTCTGCTCTGGGGAATGTCCACCAGACCACCAAAGCCGAGAGAGCTCGACCAGATCGCCTTCTTGACATTCTCGAGCGGTCGGTTCTCCAGGGAGAAAGAGGACCTAAATGGTCCACTGCCAAACTCGCTCATCCTCCGGCCGAAGGCTCTCTTGGTTGCAGCGTCAGCAGGCATGTCCGTGGAGTCGTCCAGATCAACGGCATAATCAGATGGTTCTTCCATGACAGGGCCGTAGCCGTTGCCCAGAACACCGAAGCCCGTCGACGCTCTTGGTCTCATGCGGTTGGCGTGCAGCTGCTGCTGACGCAACATGGCATTCTCTCGGGTGAGCATTTCGATCTTCTTCGCCTCGGCCGATTGATGCTGTCCCTGAAGAGGATCAACGTCCTCGTCCTCGTCGTCGTCGACCTCCTTGACCTTCCCGAGCATACCGCCTTCGTTCGACATCTCGCTGAGCATGCTGGGTCTCGAGGGTCGATGTTGCAGACCTGGGTGGGCGACACCCCGACCACGGGATCCAATGATGCCAGAAGAGCCGACCATGGTAGCCGACGTCGGGGTCTCGGGGTCCGCTTGGCCCACAGAGTATGACTGTGAGCGGTAGTTCTTCGGGGTTGGGTGGATGGGAATGGCAAAGGGTATCTGAGCATTGGTGCCAGAGTCTCTCGGCGCCGGAGAGGTCTGCAAGGTCGCACCATCCGAACTGAGCAAAGGGTTCGCCGACGGGATGGACGAGGTCGGTGATGGGAGCACTTCAGCCAGGCGAGCAGGTGGCTCCTTCCTGTCATTGTTCCAGATGCCCGCTCCCCAACCGAAGGAGCCCGAACCGTTGTGAGGACGAGCCATCACAGTAGGTGCTGTCGAATGTGTGCCCCATGCGGTAGCACCTGCGTCAGCGGCAGGAGTGCTTGGGTGGGACGTCGTCGGCGACATGGAGCTGCTTGCGAAGGAGCCCTGTCGCGGTCGGATTCCAGCTTGCGAGGGGTCGCTCAACCAAGAGGCTCGCCGGATGGGCTTCTGGGGCTGGATGGCTTGAGGGTACTCTTGGCGATGTGCCTCGGTCTCGTCGTCCGAGCTTGCAACTGCCTCCGAGATAGAGTCGGGAGTGCCCCGACGGGCGTTGATCTTTTCCAGTAGTAGTGCCTGGCTGCTAGGTGTGAGGCCTGGCGGCAGACTAATCGGCCCAGTCTTGTTCTGCTGACCAGGCTTGAGGATACCGGAACTCATCGTACTCAATTCAATAGGCAGATGTTTCGAGTGGATAGGTCGTCTCGGCGACCTCACATTGATGGTATTTGAGGAGGATACTTTGAATAAGCTACCGCGAGATGACGAGTCACCTTGTTATGCACGGTGGCGGACACACTCGGGTGGACAATGCCCCTTGAAGCTTGGACAATCCGACAGATAGATTATGTGGCTCAAGTAAACGAGGCGTCAGGACAGTGAGAGTGGGGCCTACTACTGTGCAAGTCAGCTAAGCAAGCCCACGGCTCGAAAAGATGTGTGTGAGGTGGGCATGACGCTTGGTGGGGGGCGGGGGATACCAGAGAAAGAAGCTCTGGGGAAATACGGAATTTGTTGACGACGGGAAACCGAGACGTACTGGTAGCTGTAACAATAAAAAGGTCTATGATCAAAAACACAACCAGGACTTGTCCTCTAGCGGCAATACTGGTGAGTGCGTTGGGTATCACCACCAATGCAGTGCTGTCGAAATTTGAGCTGAGCCTGAGGTGAGGCTCAGTTGGGGATGAGTCTAGGTTGCTATGGGTAAGGTGGGGGGGGGGGGGGTTATGTTTCGTTGCGTCCAGTTCCCGACCGTAGCTGAGTGAGGCGGGCCTGAGGACTTGATTGAAGAAAGTGTTGAATTGACCAGTCGGTGCGGTCAGCCTGCGACAGAAAAAATAGCAAAGTATTGTGGTGATATGTTGAGGCCAGCGGACCAGACGGCGTCCTTAGGTTTGAGGGGAAGCTCAGTGGAAGAGGGGAAGCCCTTCGCGCATCTCGTGTGATCTGTCTTTCCACGGCCGAGTCGCGACGAAAGTCTACAGGCCCATCTTCCCCGTATGCCGCCGTTTTGCAATGGCACCCCTAACAGAGATTTGTCGCAAAATCGGCGTGGTCTGACTTATGAGGCGGGAACGGCAAGCAAATGGGATGTCTTTTTTCTCGTACGGGAGGAGGGGGTTGTGTGCGAGCTTGGTGTGTGCAGCAAGGAGAGTTGGAGGAGGAGAGGAAGGGTTGTGAAGTGGTTGAGCTGAGATGGAGACCAGCCTAAAAGACGTAGGTGCTCCAACTCGAGGAAGGGTCCCAGTTCCCAGGGGTGGGAGCTAAGGCACGCATCCCTTTAGGTTTAGCACCAGAAGGTCGAGGGCAGAAGAGAAGAGCGCGAGAGAGAGAGAGAAGAGGTACGGCGGAGCCACTGAGCAGGGTGAGAGGGTGCCAGTGGGTTGCTGAGGCCAGCCCCGGCCGGTGCGGCAGGTGCAAACTTGGAGCGGGGCAGGTGAGGGGCCCCACCAGGGCCTAGCCGTCTCCAATACTGCAAAATGACTGGTCACTGAAAGCCTGGTGGGGGAGAGGTGGCGCGTGCTCAGGGTGTGCTCCCCTGGACGACTTTCGGTGGAGCTAAGCCGGCAAGGGGGTTTGCATCCTAGAGGGGAAGAGCACCAGAAATCTGACGCTCTCTCATTCCTCTTGCAGAGCGAAAAATAAAAATAAAAATCGAGTTCCTTTCAGTGATGTGTGCAGCACCTCTGCACAATAAGCACGGGCCTCAACGACGAAGGCGGAGCCCAGATGGCGGAGAAGAAGGGGGGTGGGGAGGATGTGTGTGCATTGCAATTTGACCTGCAGCATACCGGTGGAGATCTTCGAGCTACCGCCGCCCCCTCGCAGCAGACAAGGTTGCAGCCCGAGTTCCCTGATGGGGTGAGAGAGGGGCACAGTTTGGCCAAGGGAGGGGAGGGGGGTGGTCGCTGGAGGAGTACACCATGCTACTGTACGAATCACTATGGCTGTGTGCTGCGTAGCTTGGGGGGGCTTCGGGAGTTGAGAGGGAAAGAGAACCGTTCGGGGGTTCCATCTTGTCGATCACACGGGGAATTTATTCGATATTCGCATATAAACGCCAAGATCAGCTGTGCAGGAAGTCTCCATTGCTAGACTAACAATCCATGTACCATCTTGACTTGGAGACTGCATATTCGAGCGCCATGGGCCAGGTTCAGATGATGCAGGTTGAATACGAGGAACCGACACCTTGATTGCACATTTGATTCATCTGTTGAATATAAACATACTCTATACCTTCAAGACATCTTGACAGCCTGATTTCCTACTTATAGGTATGACAGGCATATCTGTCAGTACATATCAAGTAGATAGCAGTATAGCAGCCACGTACCACAGGCATGCTTTGAAAGACAAGCAAAAGAGACTTCAGTCAAAGCAAAGGATCCACCTTCATGTGAGGGGCGTGTATATATAAAACAGAAAGAGTGTGAGAGAAGAAAAAAGAAGAAAACAGGGTCATGGGTTGGCTGCTCGGCGCAAATGTTTCCTCCTAATGATGGTGCATTGCATTGCATCGCATCGCACCGTTACGTTGCGACTCGACCTCCTCCACTCGGTGTGTTCTACCCCTCCGGATTATTGCAGTGGTGGTTGATCAAAAGCCCGCAGATGCAAGACCTGCTGCACCCTCCAATACTATCAGACCATTTTTCTTTCATTCTCTTGCTTTTGTTGACCCTCTGCCCGCCCCCCCCTCTCACATTGGACCGGTCTGCCGGGGGGAGTGAGTTGGCTTGGGTATAGCAGGCAGATATTACATAGGAGGGGAGCCACTAAGCCATCAGAAGATACAACGCCCTAACCATCAGTGTATGCCGTACCTGCCATAGTACATACCGACCGGGGGGACGCCACCAAAAAGAGGCATCCCTGGGCGCCTAAGGCCAATCATAAGATTGTATTTGCTTCCCCGCAAAACCCATCGAGATCGCCGCAGCCCGAAATCCAGCCCAGAATTTCAAGAAAACCTTCATTCAAAAATGCTTACCACCCTGGACCCTCCCAATTCCCATTCCAGCCAGCCTAGCTCGCCTAGCAAGGCGGCAGAAGGCATGGGCATGACGGCATAGGTATGATCTGGATGGAACATGGGCTTGGCCATGAGTATGTAGAAGTATGAGAGCACCTTGTCTATCCTGTTCTCGACTTGGCCTGCTGCCAGCCAACAGTCTATGCACTTGCGTACAGCTTACTTGCTGCACGATGGAAGAGGGGAGTGAAAATGATGATCTTACTTGTTCTGAATACTTGCCACACGCGACCTTTGCAGCATTCAAGCGAGGCCACGGATAGATGAGAGATGACGAAGGGCCTTTGCCTTCGCAGATCGGACGAGGGTCGTAAAAGAGAGACCAGTCCCTCACGCCACATACGACAAGACAACGTCAAGATCGGCAAGATCTAGCCCGGGCTGGACGTTTCCTCGCATCGAAGAAGGTTTTGCACGTCTGATATCCTGGGCGGCTTGGGAAGGAGGGGTAAAGGGATGTGGGAGGGAAGGGTGATTGTCGAACGTTGCACATCAGTCAACGGTCGTGGAGCTGTATCTATCCTGGCAGGCGGCTGCGAACCCTGAGGCTGAATTCTCAAAGAGGGCAGTGGACTCGATCATCATCCTCTGCCTGGCCCCCACTCATCTTTGTCTGCTTTGTGTGTGTGGAAAAAGAGGGACCCCTTCAGAGAGCAGAGCCAACAGCGCGGGAGCTGCCAGGCGACAAACCTACTACGCCCATGGGAGAAGCTAAAGTGCTTGCAAGACTGAATCACGCGCCTGTCCTAGTGCACCCCTAATTCGTGCGAGACCCGACTGCCTCTCTTCTGATACAGAGCAGGGTTCACGGGTTCACGGGTACGCGGCAGCCAAGCCCAAGCAGCCAAAAGCCCAGAAGATCTTAGCTTTAGGAAGGCATGCCCCATTCTCAGCCGTAAATCCACTACACAAGCGTGCCGTTGTGCAACAGAACCTAGCCTGCCTAAGTAGCTGGCTGGCCAGTTGGCTAACGTACCTTCTCCTCCCTCCCATTGCATATCCCTCCCGCTCGAACAATGCTGTCACGTCTTGTCACCGACCACGGAATCAAGTGTTTGATAGCAGCACCGTGCAACACCCATATCGTACGTTGTAATCACAAGTTTATGCCACCTTGACGGAACAGCCGCCGGCGTCGCTACTTCACTTAATATAGTAGCAGTAAGGAGACCTCCTCACGCGTTGCGGTGGCTGGGCCGACACGCTGTTTTCCACCTCCATGTGCTACTAAAACGTGCAGAAGCATTCATCCTTGCGCTTTTGTGCGCCCATCAAGAAGAGGCGGCCGGGGAGAAATTCTCCGCCTGAGCCGTGTCTCAACTCTGCAGCTCGCTTCCTGGTAATAAGGATAGTCGTCGCCCGTGCAATTTGGCCTCCAGCTGCCGGGTCGTGTCATGAGTGCTTCACGGCGGCCCCTTACCCCCCTCCCACCTCGTCTCCAGCAAGGCTTCTCTCAACGATCGAGTTCATGCTTCTACGATCAAGAGATTTACTGAAACCCGATTATTTTGAAGAGCTCTCCTAGTAAGTATGCTCAGGCCTCCTAGGACACCCGGTCTCCCGCGCTGCCCTACCTGCTCATCTATATTGCTTCTTGCGAACGGCGCAGTCGAGACCCAAAACCATATCACCACGGACAGGAAAACAAAAAGCAAAGACGTGTCCGTCGAATGTGGCTGGGCAGCTCACAGCAAATGAGACAGAAAGCAACGAGGATGGGGCCCACACTTCTGTGCACCAACCGCTCGGCGGCTGCCGGCTGCTGTCAGACCATCCCAGGTGGCCACAGGGCCGGTCGATCTGTTAATAGGCGGCATGGCTGAAGTTTGAGGGCCCGCCGTCTCAATGTCGTGCCTGCAAAAGCCTGGGCCAAAGTATACTGTAGTCTACCCACGCACGCGATTCTTGGTCGGAACCTGGGTCTTAGATTGGCGATGCCGAAGCGTCCGTAGGTACATAGTACGAATCACGGAGTATTATAGGAAGGCAGAGATAATAGCAATTTATGTACTATGGTAGTCCTCCCGAGGGCGTTTAGTGGACACAAATCTAACTGATTCACAAACCTGCCTTTCACTCACGCACCTAATTTAACAAGAATAAAATAGAAAAATATAATTCAATCCTTAATTGCGACTACTAGTCAACGATTGATAGTACTAGAAGTATACCAGGTGGGTATTTGGTTTCCGTGAGCGGTGAATAGGTCCGTCCAATCCATCCATCATCCATGAAATCTTTTGTTTTCCCAACCCATCATCCCTGCAGAACACTCCCCTCCTCCAAGGGGTCAGTCGCTCCGAGATATGCTTTTGCTCTAGAGATGACATCGCTTGCCATTGCCGGCATGCCACCGCATTATAGTATTTCTGTCTGAATGCATAATAATTACCGTGCCAGCCCAGGGCGACCCAAAGGAAGGAGTTGGTCCTCCAAAGAGGTGGGGTATGATCGCGGCATGCAGTGAGAAGGAGGCCGGGCACCATCAGGAGGCCCCCCTGGGCGGGCTGAGTACCACACACACACACACACGCACACGCACACAAATCCTTGATCGTTATGCTCTCCTGAATGGCAAAGTTGGCTGCCCGGGAAGAAAGATGGGAGCCCAGATGCATGTTGAACCAGAACATTGATCTGCCTCGACCTCCTTGCCAGCGAGTAAGACACTTCTAATGCTCAAGCATTGGCATAGATGAGGTCTGATGCCGTAGCGTTAGCAGAATCGTGATCAATAGTACATTGACTGAGAGCTGATCAAATCACATACCCTAATATTCTTGCTGCTCAGCTGCAAGTCTCAAGATAACCCCTGTATCCCCTCCTCTCTCGGCCCCTTCTAGACTCCTTAGGCTTGCTGCTCTTGAGCGATCTAGATCCTTTCGTCTTTGCAAACCACCAACATATTGGTAATTGGTATTTGTCGGTCCAGTCTCTTCGTCATGTGTGCATTAGCTGTGCTCCGCGTCACAATAATAGGGTGTTATGTCTGCATGGGCCGGTTGCCCAGTTCTGGGAGCAGGAATCGGGCATATGAGTTTGCATCCTGTCTGACAGGCTTGGACTGGAAGCCATGAGGCCTTGGAACCTATAGTACAGTTTACTTGTGCTTTTTCATTGCCACAACGTGCCCGCCAGCGGCCTCACGGGATCTGCTATGAGTAAGATGAGCACATTCGTTCTTGGACTTCTTTGGGCGTGAAAAAAAGAAGTGTATGTCTAGGTATATGAAATGAAACAAAAAGCCACCAGTGTCGTAACCAGATAATTCCTTCCGACCCAGATTTCTGTTCCCTCACCGTCTTCCAACCTTATTCTGCACCCATACTTCCAAGTAACTCCTCGAACCTATCCATAGTCACTCGACTACTTAAGTAAATAGACCTATCGTAAAAGCGCATAGTATGGGCAGCTTGGGAGCCGCCAGACATGAAGACCAGGGAGCCGCCGTCGCAGCGGGGTGTGGTATGGTCTATAGTGCAGTCACGGGCACATGTGAAGAGGCCGATTATGTTATTGACTTAAGGTATCGTAGTAGCCGTTGAGACTGCAGCTGCTGGCATTGGAATCGTTGCCAGAACAGTCTTGGGAAGACTCGGCCAAAGTGTCGAACAGCTGGCGCGGGCTGATGTGACTGCCAAAGGCACATGCGTCGAGGAGGCCGCCTACGAGAAGAGAGGGCATTTGGCTTTGGGATGGAATTTCGTATACTCTGTTTTCATTACCCTCAAGAGAACGAATGTAAGCGGCCATGTTGGGGGGAAACTGAGTGTTTTGGCTCTGATTGAGTGTTGTGCCATGTTGGGCGATAGAGAAATGAATGTGATATGTGCTAGAAGAAAACTGTGATTAGAACATTGAGGTAAAGACAGATAACAGGCACACCGATACTTGCATGTGCATGGCCCTACCATGAAGACGGAACTTTTGGTGCTCTGATGGCGTTAAGCTGGTGATTTTACCGGAGGCCAGCGTGCCAGGTCGACAGCTCAGTATTATTCGGTCCCTCGGGAGATACTAACAAGAGAACTTTATGGTTCAGTATCTGGTGTGATGTTGGAAGCAATTTGGGACCAGGCCTGCATAATCTTATCCTTGGTGTCATAATTAAATTGACTAAACTTGATCATGATCAAACTGAATCGTTACGGATTATGTACTAATGTCTTGAGAATCTCGACTTGCATAACGCGCCTAAGAGGATAGCTCAAGGTATGATAATACGGAGGAAAGTGAGTGGCGAGTTTCCGTCATGGTGGATTCTATCTTTCTTGAAAGAGGCAGGGAGAAGAATAACGCCCCATGATAAGTGGCATCAAAGTAGGGATGAGCGGGGAGGAGTGCCCAGCTGATTCTTGTGCCTTCCTCACGCTGCTCGAGGTCATGATTCCGGGAAGGAAGGAACGACTACGAGCATTGTACAACGCAATAATCCGATTCCACTTTGAGACTCAACCCGTACGATCTTTCGTCCCTCATGATTTTCCCACACTAGAGGGTATAATCTTCCAATCGTCAGTCAACACATGCGGTTCGCTTGACTACTCACTTCTTTTCTGGCAATAAACTTAGACAAAACCCACCTCACTCAGCTGCGCCAGCATGCCCCCGAAAACAGCGAAGAGGAAGACCAAGTGTCAGCAACCCTTGCTACCCCACAACGAGTTGCAAGAAAGTGGCTGCTGACCACACCCACAGCTACCACGGGACAAGAGGATGATCCGTGGGGCCCTCCGCAGGAGCAGCCGGAAAAGAAGAGACGCGCACTGGCATCGCGGACCAAGAACGACGACAAGGATCCAGGACCCGAGACCAATAAGTATGCATATGCATCACACTTTCCCATTCACAATAGACACGCTGACACTCCGCAAAGGCAGTTCCAATCCTGGGCCGAATGGCAGAGCAAATTCAAAGACAAGGAGAGAAACGACAGGATTCAGTTTGCCGACAAGTTCAAGAAGGATATCGAGACCAAGCGGGAGATTGCCGAGACTCTCCTCGGCAAGTCTAGCGAAGACCTGTAAGAAGTGGCACACATCCCATGTTCTCGAGACCGTTGACTGACTGCTCTACCAGAAACGAGGCGGCCTGTAGGTACGGCAAGCTTCTCAACAAGGCTTGCGCCGGTATCGAGCGTTCTGCAAGATCTGGCACTACCAAGGAACATGCGCTGAACTCTCCTAAAGATGAATCACTGGCTAAGTCTAGCCGAGAAATTTTGCAGACCTGCCGTGACCTAGTCGCCGCCCACGAACAGGCCAACGTCAGGACTGTAGCGCAGGGGAATATGCAACTCAAAGAAATGCGAGCTATATGGAGCGAAGACGTGTCACAGGCGGAGAAAGTCCTGCTCTACGGTGCTCAGTATGGCGAGAGGATCATCGAGCATAACGTCGACCTCTTAGCGAATGTTGAAGAACGGAGTCACTTGCTGACTCCACCCTGGGATGCCTTGAAGGGGCCAGGTCAGATAGCATTGGACATGCATCTGAAGAGCGCCGAGAAGTTGATGAAGGGCTCGCCAACCTGGGGAGAACAGGCCGTCATCTGTGTGGACAAGCTAATGGACATCATTGCTGTATCTGGAAAGCAAGCGGATGACATCTGACAGGATCCCGCATGCATGGGCATTCTGACAAGAAGAGAATGGCCAGTCAGGACCATCCCACATTGGTAGATGGGTTCGCTATTCACAGTGTCTTAGTAAGAAATGAAAAGGAATAGCTACTTTACCAGGCGTTTGGGAGTCTAGTGAGTATAATCCAGACACCTGGCTTGGGCATGGCCAAGGCCTACGGTATCAGTCAGAGTCGATTCGTTAGTGGACAAGGTCTATTAGCCGTTCTACTGGAGGATCAGGCTCAGGCTTTTGAAGTCACTGACTAGAGGCTGAGATGGGCGAACATCCTAAAAAAAGTCATTGCTCTAGAGACCTTCTCTCGCAGCCTGTCACAGGGAGCAAGTACAAAATAAAGAAGAAAGAACGGAAGGAAGAAAAAGAGACTGCCCATCCCACACGAAGCCAATATGTTGTTGGAAGGCGCTGTTAATATAGAATTGAATTCCTACGATCTCTGTCACAATAACTGAACCCCATGGCCGTCTCCATATGTGTGGGGCACTGCTTAACCCCTTCCTTCTCAGCGGTTGGCACCCGAAATTCAGCCATGGTCACGTGCAACGTGGTGGATCCCAGCCGACCAATTGGCGTGGAGCCACAGGAACAATTTGCTTTGCTAAGGCTTGCTGCGAACTTTCTCTCCTCAACCCTCTCAAACCGACATCCTCACTAACCCACCCAACCCAGGTCAAATTCAACCCTCAAATCTGGTATGTTTGTTTTTTCCTCGGACCTTACGATCTTCGCTCTTTTGTTGAATCACTGCTAATTGACGTTTTCGCGCATCGACAGCAACCATGGGTGCCCTTAAGTGTACGTCCCTACGAAGCCTCCCCGATTCGATCGCCTGACCGACCTTTTCCCCTGTGATCCAAAAGCGACACTCCGCTGACGAAGTGAATATTACAGACGTCGAGGAGCTTCAGAAGAAGAAGCAGAGCGATGTCCTGCAGTTTCTGCTGCGCGTTCGCTGCTGGGAAGTACGTTGAAATCGCCGACACAAATTTTCAATTGCGCAGAACCTGTGGACGGGCCCACGTTTGTTCCTCTCTGGCTTTGAGACCGCGAGATGGCCTTTCTCCCTGAGAAGGGCGTCTTGGTCGAGCAGCAAAGCAAGGAAAACGAACCGTCTCTGCTATACACTCTGTGAACATTTGCTGAGAGTGCATCAATATAGCTCCGTCAATTGAACGTCATCCACCGCGCCTCGCGCCCCTCTCGCCCCGACAAGGCTCGCCGCCTTGGATACAAGGCCAAGCAGGGCTATGTCATCTACCGCGTCCGCGTCCGCCGTGGTGGTCGCAAGCGCCCTGTCCCCAAGGGTGCCACTTACGGTACGTCCTCTCCATCACCAGAAACGGGGCTCGCTCTTCTAGAGCCACTGTCCCCCATCTCATCTCGCGAGCGATTATTGGGACTGACTCTTTTCCTTTCTTCTCCCTCGCCACAGGCAAGCCTACCAACCAGGGTGTGAACCAGCTCAAGTACCAGCGTTCCCTCGCCGCCACCGCCGAGGAGCGTGTCGGCCGCCGCTGCGCCAACCTGCGCGTCCTGAACTCGTACTGGATCAACCAGGACTCCACCTATAAGTACTACGAGGTCATCCTCGTTGACCCTCAGCACAAGGCCATCCGCATCGATCCCCGCATCAACTGGATCGTCAACCCCGTCCACAAGCACCGCGAGGCCCGTGGCCTGACTGCTACCGGCAAGAAGTCCCGCGGCCTCAACAAGGGCCACCGCTACACCAAGACCAAGGCCGGCCGCAGAAAGACCTGGAAGAAGCACAACACCCTGTCCCTGTGGCGTTACCGATAAGCGGCTCGCCCCTGATACGGCTGCTGTTTGGGAGGGTGATGTTAGGTGGAATCTCGGATTGCTTGGACTGGAGATTATGGTTCTCTTGCTCCTCGAGGTTTTCTCCTGGTTTGTAAAAACTAGGGCAAGGGAGTTGGTCAAAACCAAAATGAGGGTCATTTCATTTTCAGGGCACTGCATGGATGCGGATCTTGGGCGTTTACGATAGCAAAACAAAAAGAGCAAATCGAAAATACCACGACTTACGGCATTGCTGCCCGACCCAGAACCTTGTTTCCTTCTTGCATCCGCTGATGCTGTGTAAGCAAAATCAGTCTGGTGTTACACTGTTTAAACAACCCAGGCATTACTTTGCACATGTAAACGACCGATTATAAAGAGCAGAGGTGTGTAGACAAGCCGCAGGAGGGTCATAGCATGAGGCCGAAGGAGGTGATGGACGAGAATGTACGGAGCGGACTGTCGGGGAAGACTACTCATGAATTTTACTACGTCTAAATAACAAAAGGAAATTCAGGCTCGACAAGATGCCAGGTTGAAGAAGAACGGACTACAAGAGATTAAGAAACTCAAGAGTACGAAGAGATCGGAAGCAGGCTCACTTCAGTCAATCACACATTCACCAATGTCAAGGCAAAGGAGGGCCAAGGCAGTGGAGGACTGAGCGTGATCAAAAATTTCTAATGGTATTGTACTTCCGCATCCCGAAGAATGCGATTATCTACCCTCAGAGCCAGGCCAGAGACTGCCCTTCCAAGAAAAAATTGATGGACGATAACGAGCCCAATGAAGACCTCGTGCGGATGCATCGAGGGAAGAAGAAAAGGTGACAGGAGTCTCGAAATGCGCTGAAATAGAGTACAGGTCATAATAATAGATGCTGTAAGAATATTTGTATGACCTGTATGAAATTTTGTTTGCCATATGTCGTAGAAGGCCGAACGATGGATGATCCGAGAGTATTTTGCAAATTCGGTTCTGGTGGCGGAGATCCGATCCAGTAGATGAGGAGCCCAAAATGGTCCGTTGTTCAGATCCAAGCCAGAGGGAAACCAATGCAGTAGAAAGCTGTGCTTCCACGTGGCCGGCGAACCCAAACTTTCGTCTTTTGGAAGAAAAGAAAAGAAAAGAAAGAAGAAAGAAGAAGAAGAAAAAAAAGAAGGGCAAAAAGCAGGAGCAGTCCAATGTGCGGCTCCGAAACATGCCGTAAAACCCCAAATTTGTTGCACAGAGTAACTACCAGGAGGACAGATGAGGCTCTATCCCAGCAGGGAGTGCTCCGAGCGATGCAATGCAGAGAGACTCGAGGCAAGTGCATTCCGACTGTGGGCTGCTAGGGAAGGCAGAGCCCACCGAGTGCATCGCAACCAGCCATCGTCCGCAATCGAAGAAAGTCGGATGCTGATGAGTTCATTGACGTCGTGGGCCATTGTCATGGCGATTCCGTGAGCCGTGACCAAAACGCCGAGCCGAAAACCAAAGCAAATGGAATAGGGAGGACTGATGCGAATTGTTTTGATGGCCAAAGGGGGATCTAAAACGCGATGCCCGTACCGCAAGTGTTATACAACGGAGGCAGACTAGAAGAAGTTCTGCTCTCCGTTTTCGGAGGAATCAGAAGCGTGAATGCCATTGATAGCAATGCCGTCGCCAAAAGCTGGAGCGCTGTTGACCTTAGCAAAACCAGCACCTGCAATGCGGTTGGCAAACTGCTGAGGCGGGGGGAACTGCTGAGCACGCTGCGGCTGAGGGGGTGGGACCGTGATCATAGAACTGGAAGGAAATGCCTGAGATCCACGGGCACCATTGATGCCGTTGACACCGTTCTGGTAGCTAGGAGCCAAGATCGATGTGTTGTTGCTGTTGGACAATCCTCGCGGGTGAGCCGGGCGAAGGGGGATCTGACCCTGGGTTGGGTCGACTGGAGTCACCTGCTCGCTGTTGAGGCGACCACCGTTGGAGTCGTAGGCGTTGATCTTGGCCTGAATCTTTCGTCCGTAGGGAGTCTGGCGGACGGCAGGAAGAATGGGGCGGATGGCCTCAACCAGTTCCTTCTTCATATACAAGGTGGCGTGCTCCAGGGCCGTCTGAATGACATAGTTGGCGTACGAGTCGCGGATGAGGCGTTCAATCTCACCAGGCGTCAGTAACTCCTCCACGATCATATCCTTGGATTCGTCTGCGGCGCATCGGAGGCACTTCTCTATGACGTTGGAGCTGAACTTGTGGCGCGACAGCTGGGGAATCCTGCCGTGGAACTGCTGAACCAGAGGCTCGGTGAACATTGGCTCGTTCAGGTCGATGATGTACTGCACAACGTAGTTGCCGAAGGGGTCCTGCACAAGGGTCACGGCGTGCTCGGTGATGCGCTGAATGAGCAGGACCTTCTGATCGCCAGAAGCGTGGTCGATGCAGCGCTGCAGCACACAGCAGCCATGACGGTGGGTGCCAACCTCAACGCAGCTGGTGCCAACAGCGTCAAAGATGAACTGAGCGTCGAGGGAGCTGAGCTTATTGAGACACTTCTGGATGACGTGGTTGCCATTGAGGTCCTGGATGAGCTCGACCACGCGGTCACGAAGAGCCTCGATAATGAGCTGCACCTGATCATCATTGGAGATGTGCTCGATCATCTTCTGGAGGGCGCGGGTGCCGTGCTGGTTCAGAGCAATACGGACCATGTCTCTCGAAGCGTTCTGGACAAGGACAGTACGCTCGTCGTCGTTGCAATACTCGAAGAGCTTCTGGCAGAGATAGTTGCCGAATGGATCGGTCATGAGCTCGATCACATGTGAAGAGGTCTCCAGCCAGATCTTGTGGATCTGTTCGGGGTCACGGTTCTCCAGCTGCTTTTGGAGGTAGCGGCAGCCGTGCTGGTCCTTGCAGAGCTCATAGATGCTTCCACCGTAAGCCTCAAGGGGCTGACCATTGAAGCGGCTCATAGCTGAGAAGAAGTTAGCAGTGTCGGGCAGCGGAGTCATCAATGCACTCACCCTCATTGTCTTGCTGACGGCGGCTCTGAATGATGCGGGCCTGACTGTCACGAGGCTGCGGAGGGGCGTAGACAGCACCGTAGCCAACGTAGTTGGCATTGGAGTAGCCAGTCGTACCGTTCAGAGACAAGCCATTCATCTGTGCGGACAGCAGAGGAACAGCGTGGTAACCAGTACCACCATTCATGGGACCGACAGGGCTGGCAAAGTTGGCGGGTCCAGCAGGTCCAGCGGGGCTGCTGAAGCCCACAGAGCTGGGAGTACCAGCACTGCTGTAGCCGTTGTTGCCATAGTAGGCATTGTTGTAAGTTGCAAGACCTTGAGGGCTGGCCATGGTGTTCACAGTCGCAGGCTGGGAAGCCTGAGCCTGGGAGAGGGCCGGACCGAAGGGCGCCGCGTTGGCGTGCAGCGTGGAGCCAAGTGACTGGTAGTTGACGGCAGAAACATTGTCGCGGCCATCAGCAGACAGCTCGCGACTGTGACGGTTGGGCAGGGCACCAGCAGGAATACGGCCCATGCTAGCATTGTGATTGTGCAGGTGCTGCTGCGCAGCGTGGTTGGGGGTGCTGCCAACGGTCGAGCCTGACACCGTCTTAAGGGTTGGAATGTCGTTGGCAGAGAATGACGGCTGCAGCTTAGGAGGGGTGGCAAGTACAGTGGTGTTGTTGGTGGCGGGAGGAGGAGGGTCGGTCTCGACAAACTTCTGCTCAGCGAACTTCTGGTCGATGGGCTTCATCTCGAGGGAGTGGCGGTAGGCGGCAGAGCGGCCACCGATGTTTGAAGTCTCGGAGGAGATGGAAGACTGCGAAGCAGGGGTCAGAGAGTCCATTACGTTCAATTGACAAACAGTGGTTAAAAAAGGTTGTTAAGGGTGCGAGGAGGGAAAGAAGGATGAATTGAGTGTGTGGTTCGCAATTAGCCCATACAAGACTCGAGTCAAGGGGAGAGAAATTCAATGAACGGGAAAGAAGTGATGGAGAGCAGAGAGGAGGGCGGCAGTTATGGTGGTAGGATGATCGGGAAGAAACAGAATCCGCAGATGCAAGCTCCTTGGAAGTAGTTTTGGAACAAGTGCGGAGAGCAGGGAATATTTACAAGCATCACAACTTCACAAAGCTCTGTCGAGACCATGTTGAGTCGGGTGCAAGAGTTTCCGAGGCTGTAAAGGTCGCAGGTGATAGCGTTCGCGTAAAGGGAACAAAGTGACGGAGGCTTAAGGAGAAGAAAAGAATTTGGAAGTGACCAAGATTCGGTGAAGGGTATGGAATTGAATGGAGAAGAGTGGAAGAAATCGACAAACTCAAATCACCCCTAGTTGGCCTGAGCAAGAAGTGGAATGTATGTATCGGCTTTGGACCAACAGCGCTTGCTGTCTTTCCAAATCAAAGTGGAAGGCGAGGGCAAGGTGAGGGTACAGTGGCAACATTCAAGATCCACTGATCACTCACCATATTGGGCCGCGAGACGAGAGAGGAGAAGTTGTCCTCGACGTTGTTCTGGGCGTAAAGTTTGGCCTCAGCTGCGTTGTCGTCGTCGCCAAACAGAAAACCTGTCGTGTTTGCTTGGTCAAGACCAATATCGTAGAACCCAGTGCGAGATTTCGTCACGGGCATCGAATACCGATTGACACTGTCCCAGATGCGTTTAAGTTAGCATGCACCCCAAAGATTGAGATGGCGAAAATGGACAGACAAGAAAGTGCGAACGGTCTAGACGCACGAAGTGGCTGCGAGATGAGAATGACTGAAGCGATGCTCAGGAGGTGGCACTTGTTTCTGCTGCGCGAAAAAGGTCGAAGCAGAGGTGGATCAAGAAAGATGGCCAGAAGAGGTGGGAAATGGGTGCGAGGTGCAGAAGTGCAAGTGGGAGGAAAGGCTTGGGGGTTGTCGAGAAAGTAAAAAGGGTAAGGAAAGGTAAAGGAAGGAAAGAAGGAAATGGGGGAGTGCAATAAGTTGCGAAAAAAGATGTTTTGGGATGTGCAATGTGCCACTTCAAAATGCAGACTGATCAATGGGGCCAACAATCCTATTGTCCAGGTCGTCTGGAATGTTGAGCAAGCAACAATACCAAACGCGATGTCCAATTAAAGGAGGTGGAAGATCGAGGTCGAGGCAGAAAGAACAATAGGTCGAGCGCCCTGCCCTGTCTGAGGATGGGATGGAAGACGGCCGCAGGTCCAAACAATTCAATCCCACTTTTGCTCGACAAAAGTATGCTTGCGTTTACAGCTTGCATAGGCCAGAGCAAGAGCACGCCTTCGCCGTCCTATTGCTAGCCCCAATCTGCCTTGCTGCTGCGAGACTGTTGTGCAATGCCAACTGCCCAGCAAATTTGGGGGGGGGGGGGCACTAACCACCCAAAGATCATTTCCACTTGGAACCAGTGGGCCATCAGAACAAAACAAAAAGCCTACGTACGCGTTGGTTGAGCGATGAGACGTAGGATCCTGGCGAACAGCCTCCTCCTTCTCATCCTCATCACTATTTCTTCTGGACGTCTGTTGCGACCACGACGGTAACTGGTCGTCGAAGGCAAAACGATTCAGCGAGATGCCCGACTGCGGCGATGCGAGGATGGACCCCGATCGTGCTGAGCGGTTGGTCATGCCGGGCGGAGACGTCAGGCTAGACAACGAATACCGATTCGGCCTGGAGAACATTGAAGGAAAGCCGGTCGGGGTCTCGCGATACTCGGGGGGTGTTGTTGGCTCGGACTGATGCCCAGCAAGTCTGCCGTGCTCCTCCATCATCTGCGAGAGCTCCACCTCGTGTTTCGCCATCTCAGCCTCGAAAAGTCGCTTCTGTTCCCGGATTTTCTCATACTCCATCCGCTTCTTTTCTATCTGCTGCGCCGTCAGTATTTGTCATTCCTGGGCAACAACACTCGCCATCAGGGTCCCCTGAGGCACAAAGAAGCATTTCACGCCGCCCTGGCGGTCTTCTTTAGTACAGAGCCGAAGGAAGTTCGAAAGTGCACGCACCAATTGCAATCGCTGCATCTCCTGCTTCAGAATAGTCAGCACAATCCTTGACCAACAAAGGTACTGCAACTGTCAAAAAGCAAGAGCAGCTCATAAAGCTTATATTGGGTCCTCGCCTGGGGTCTGGGCCAGCCCGAAACAGACGCGCAACCGCATAAGCACCGACCGCGACCACGCACCTGGTACTCCTGATCTGAGCCGCGAGCGCCCATGTTTGATGACAATGTTGGTACACGCCCCGAGTCAGTGGTGAATCGGCGGGACAAGTTGGATCGAGGGTCTTGGGCGGGCTGTTGGAAGGTCTGGGAAAGGCGGTTACGAGGAGGAGAAACGAGGGAGTTCATCGTGGTGGCATCGCTTCGTGGAGACTGCTGGGCTCGAAATCGCAACTCGTTGGGATCCATCCTCGTAAAAGTGTTACGTGAGAACAAGCCCCCTGAAAAGGTGTGGATTGGTTCCGACGATGTCTTCGGATCGATCTTCTCGTACACGGCCGCAATGAAACTAATATCTTGTCTACTATGCCTGGAGGTTGGTCAAAGTCAGCATCGTGAGCCCTCAAAGTCTGAAGCAGCCTTGTGCTGGGCCCTTGCTGCCCTGAGGTGGGGGTGTGTGTGTGTCCAGTGCTCTCGACTGGGGGGGGGGGGCCATTGAATCTGTCGCATGAACCAGATTGCGTCCCGGGATATACACCAGAAGGATGGCTGCATTCTGTGCAATCTCTCTCACCTGCGAAGAGGCTCGTCCACCCCTCCATAACGGGCCAGCGGGCCAGCTGGCGAGCAGGAGGGCAGCGACTTCGCTATCGATGGAAATGCGGCAGGGTTGCTCTGATGCCCAGCCAGACCAGCGCTGCAGAGGGTTGGCATCGACTCACCTAGACAACAATATGGCAACAGTCTGCGCCCTGGAAAACCAGGAACAGCAAACTGGAGAAGAAATCCAAACGCTGTTCAAAGCAATCCGTGCTCAATGTTGGGATAGGAAAAAAAGAGTGTGGGTGAAGGATGCGAGAGACAACAGCAAGGAGAGCGGAGGAGGGGGGTTGGATGACTTGCCCAAACGAGGACATGGAGGAACGAGCGTACCCAGCCGCAAGCGCTGCACCTGCATCTGCGCCTGTGTCTCCGTTACCTGGGCTCTTCTGCGTTCTGGTCTTCACGCCCGCTGGACGGGGATGGAGGGATACTGGCTAGAGACGTGCTAGGCCAGGGGTCGTGGAGAACGGCACAACGCCTGCTGGTCCTTCCCGGAGCATGATCCCTTGGTACCCCTGGACCCTGCGCACTAGCATAGTGGACACTACCACATGCCTACTTCTCCTGCAAGTATTCCTCTTCCCTCCTGCAATCGATGTAAAAATTCCTGGTGTTGGTCCCCTTGATGACCAATGGGCCTTGTTCATATCCGAGGGTTGCCATAGATAGCCGACCGCCATGACTGCAAAGGAACTTCTTATACAGGATTCGCACGACGTTTTCCATATAGGTGGATTCGCAGCCTTACTATGGCAACAGTGGTTTGCAGCCCCCCCCTCCGGGGTACCCTCTATGCCTTTTCTCCTGCTGGTACAACACTCGAGCACAAGATAGTTACATCCACGGCTCAGATTCGAAACCAGCACTGCAGGGTGGCTTGGAGATACATCAGCCTAGCGGCAAATCAACGAGTTCAACCGCCATCGGCGGTGTAGAGCGACGGCGTTTTTTCTGAGACCAAAACGGCCTGCCTGCATAGTAGCAGGCCTAACATTTTTCCTGGGGTTGTATGCTAAAGTATTTAGCAGTGTGTAACTTCGTGTATGTGTTTGCCAGCCACCTTTTGTCCACCTTGGCAGATTGGGGGCTGGACAGGACAAAATCACGTGGAACTAGGCGCCAATTCACAGCGACTTGATTACAAGAGCTGTAACTCGATCCTTCGTCAGGCGCCTTTGAGGGGGCTCGAGGGGGCCTCGAGGCTTACATATTTGATCGACCAGGCGCCGTGCATTGGGGTGTTGCCAGTGGGCGAATGGGTGGATGGATCCTGGGGATCAGGACCCAGGTGCCGCCAGCTTTTCCCTTCTTCTTTTTTTTTTCTTTCATTTTTCCTTGTCTCCTGCAGCGGCGCTACGACTGCACCCCTCCTTGGTGCAGCGCACTCGCATAGTATTGGGTCTCCTAGGACTCTCTCTACCTCCCCTCGCGTGTAACCTCATCTCTCAGGTACCTCTCCACCTGCATTAGAAAGAAGCTTGATGTCGTGCGGAAGCGAGTCGAACTCTAAAATAACCAGTGTCAAGTCCACCCTCGCCCCCCTCCCTCCGCGCATGTACAATGTATAGAGTAGACCCTGTTACGTACCATAGTATGTCTGTAAGTCGTGCGGGCTCCGCAAACGCCAGACACGAGATCTTTGGAAAAAAGAAGCAGAAAAAACTGCATGCTCAACCTACTGTAATTTTACTATCTTGCGCGCGCACATAGGCGCACTATGGAATAACTGGTTTTGAAAAAATTGCCTTCCGATCGTCGCACGGCCACTGAGGAATTGATTAGCCAATGGGCCACGATCTAGAAGGAGATCGACCTTGCTGACCTACTATAGTACATACGGACATAGTACGGACGGAGTCCTCTCTCTTGTTCTCTCCCTCTTTCTGCGGAGGGAGGATTCTAGACGCTCCCGTCTCCAGTTGCTCACCGTCGTGTTTCGAATGCAGACAGTCTCGGGAAGGAGCTGCCCATTCAGGCAACCCTAAAAGTACCTTAAAAAGGACCTACATAAATTTGACAATCCATAGCGATGATGTCGCGAGGTCGCCATCCACACCACATTCATCCCTTGCCACAATCTGCCGAGCCATCTAGAATCACCCGAGCAGCGAACAAAAAAAAAAAACCAATGTGTACGAGGGTTCAAGGTCCTCGGGCCGTTGAATCAAATCTCAGGGATCAGAGCTGACCCGAACGAGACCTGATCCCCACCTTGGGGCACTTGCAGGGCATCGCGTCATCCTGGTCGTGGATCGATTCCAGCAGGGAAGACACTGTCAGACTGGTGCACGACTGGCATCGCACAGAGCATGTCGCGGCTACTCGTGATTAATTTTATTTTTCCTCTGCTTCTTCTTTTTCCTCTTTTATCTCACCTCTTCATTTCCTTTTTCTGTTGTGCCCCGTACCCAACCACAAGCTCCATCCTAACTAACAGCCCTTCCCATAGCAAAGAGAGAGAAAAATGGAAAATCAAAGCCTGCCTACAAGTGGGCCAACTTCTAGAGATATCCTCCCACTGCACTGTGGGTCTGCCGCAGGCCGGAAGATCTGCATAGTACCTACAGTATGCGCATATTCCCACTCCCCTCGTGGCTTGCCAGCATCGTCAGCGAGGATCGTAGATCAGCAAATAGCATCGCGCAACGTAACGAGAGCTTGTAAGAGGGAGTGGCAACGGAGGCTCAATGCGGCCCCTCATTCACCGACTTTTGACGTATGCCGGTGGGGGAAAAGAAGGGGGAAGCGTGCTTAGGGCTGCAGTCAAGCGATGCAGGTGCAGCACCAAAGACGTCAGTTAACCTGCCACGGCCGAACCTTCTGTCGATCGATCTTAGAGTGTGTTATAAGCTTCTGCTTGTTCCAATATGGATGAGGGGGTTCGGGGTTTCGCTTGAGTCAGGGGACCAAACGCTCCGTCCTATCAAGAGAAGGCCACTTCTCTCAAGGCCTCGAGCAAATGATACATGCAGTAGTGAGCGGGCATCTCTCCGTGCGGACTCTGCCTTCCTAGGCTCCGCTCGCAATACAAACGGAGGAAGAACCGCAATCCGTTCTTCTTGCTGAACACCGAAGATGTGACATATGAAGGTGCAGAAGACGTAACACACGAAGATGCTTTTTCTGCTTCCTCCTCCCTTCATCTTTGCGTAGTCGGTTTGGGTTGAAATGCTCGAATATGAAGAGCATAATGGGTCGGGCGCCCAGTCTCTGACACTTACACTACAAGAAGCTATGGAAAGTGATCATGTGCAGAAATGACATACTTACAGAATAAGTCTACAGAGAAATTGTTGGCCTGAATAGCAACTCAAACCTCCACAGGTATACAAGGAGGACTCGATAGCCCTGGCTCAGGGTTCAAGGTCGAGTGCATACCAGATCCCTGCTACAGGCCGAATTTCTGCAAATGAAAAGATGCCTGCTGATGTGCTTAAAGATCAACTCTGGTCAGTGAGAGCTGGACCAGAAATTGTGTAGCAATACTATAATATGAAATGCTAAGAAAATGAGTATCCAAAAACTGTGACATCTCAAGTAACCTTTGACTTCTACAATAGTATGCATACAGGTGTTGGGTGTGCGCTAGCAGGGTTTACTGCTTCATGAGGCCCTGGCCAGTTTTTGTTATCTTATCGACGAGGGTGGGTATTTGCTACCCAAAAAAGTCCCCGCGCAGTGAAAAGCCTCGACCAGTTTCTTGAAGGTCAACACTCGCAAACTTCACCTGAACCACAGGCAACCATGAGAAGGGGGCCAAGATGCCCATGATTCAGGATGATGGCTTCGAGGCCCTTTTGGAGCCTTTCTACAATGGCAAGAAGCTAACAGATCCTATCTCTACCAAGGAGGACAAGTACCAGCTCCTACCCGCATTCCTCAAAGTCAAGGGTAAGTAGCCAGCCTCGTCATCTCGTTTGTTGCGGCGCCCGGTCGGTTTGCGAGACCGTATGACTGATGAAATTGTTTCCAGGTCTCATCAAGCAGCACATCGACTCCTACAATTACTTCGTCGAGCAAGATATCAAGGAAATCGTCAAGGCAAACCGCATCATTCGTAGCGATGTCGACAGCGGCTTCTACCTCGAATTTCTCGACATCCGAGTCGAAAAGCCCACCAGGGCAGACCAGGCCTCGTCCTACAAGGCCAAGAGCCATGTTACGCCTATGGAGTGCCGGCTGCGAGACATGACCTATGCGGCTCCGATTGTTATGGACATCGCATACATTCGGGATAGGAAGAAGATCATTCGCCGAAACGTACTCCTCGGTCGCATGCCCATCATGCTCAAGAGCTCGAAATGTGTGTTGGCCGGTGCACCGAACTCCCAGATGGAGCTCATGAACGAGTGTCCTCTGGACCCTGGCGGCTACTTCATCATAGGAGGAACGGAGAAGGTCATCTTGATTCAAGAACAGCTGAGCAAGAACCGAGTGATCGTAGAGGCAGACGAAAAGAAGGAGACCATACAAGCTTCCGTCACAAGCTCCACACACGAGAGGAAGTCGAAGACATATGTGATCCTTAAGAAGGACCGCATCCTCCTCCGGCATAACATCATCGTCGAAGACATTCCCATCGCCATTGTCCTGAAGGCCTTGGGCGGTCTCTCAGACTACGAGATCATGCAGCTGGTAGCCGGTCCAGACGGCCGCTATCAGGATGACTTCTCCCTCAATTTCGACGAGGCGACCAAGGTCGGTGTATTCACACAACAACAAGCCCTCGAGTATATCGGCACCCGAGTCAAGATGGGATCCAAGGCGAAGCCACAATTCGGCGCTGCCCCTCGCCGCAACAACATCGAGGAGGGTCTTGACGCACTTGCCAACATTGTGCTTGCCCACGTGCCCATAGAAGGGCTCGATTTCTACCCAAAGGCCGTCTACGTGGCCATGATGGTGCGAAGAGTGCTCATGGCCTCGCACGATCCCAAGTTGGTCGATGATCGCGACTTTGTTGGTAACAAGCGCCTCGAGTTGGCGGGGCAGATGCTATCACTTCTCTTTGAGGATCTCTTCAAGCAATTTCAGGGGAATCTAAAGAACCTGATAGATAAAGTGTTTAAGAAGCCCACTAAGGCCGTGGCGTTCGATCCTCTTACCCACATTAGCTCGTCAGGAAACTACATCACGCAAGGCATGAACCGAGCGATCCAGTCCGGTAACTGGACTGTGAAGCGGTTCAACATGAGCCGAGCTGGCGTTACGCACGTGCTGAGCCGCCTCAGTTATATCGCAGCTCTCGGAATGATGACGAGAATCACCAGTCAGTTCGAGAAGACACGGAAGGTATCTGGACCCCGAGCCTTGCAGCCGTCGCAATGGGGCATGTTGTGCACCTCAGATACTCCCGAAGGCGAGGCCTGTGGTTTGGTCAAGAACTTGGCCTTGATGACTCACATCACCGTGGAATCTGGAGAGGAGCCCGTCAAGAAATTCATCCTCACCATGGACTCCGAAGTGGAACCGATCCGCAACTTTTCTGGATCCGAGATACATCAACCAGGGACATATATCATCGCTGTCAATGGAACTCCATACGCCCTCACTAGCCATCCCAAGCGATTTGCCGCCAGGTTCAGGACCATGCGGCGCCGCGGCTTTATAGACCCCTTTGTCAGCCTAAACGTAAACTTCCACTTCAAGACGATCTTCATCGCTACCGACGAAGGGAGAGTCTGTCGTCCATACATCATCGTCCAGAACGGTGCCTCCACGTTGCAGCCCCACCACCTCAGGCTCTTACAGAAGGGCGAGGTTGGCTTCGACGATTTTCTTCGCAACGGTATCGTCGAGTATCTTGACGTCAACGAAGAGAACGATACTCTCATTGCTCTGTACGAATCGGACATTACGCAGAGCACAACTCACATTGAGATCGAACCTTTCACTATCCTTGGAGCTGTTGCTGGCCTCATCCCGTTTCCTCATCACAATCAATCTCCTCGAAACACGTATCAGTGTGCTATGGGTAAACAAGCCATTGGTGCTATTGCCTATAACCAGTTCAACCGGATCGACACTCTTCTCTACACATTGGTGTACCCACAACGGCCGATGGTCATAAGCAAGACGATCGAATTGACAAGCTACGACAAGCTACCGGCCGGTCACAATGCAACTGTTGTCGTCATGTCCTACTCGGGCTACGATATCGAAGATGCGCTGGTTCTGAACAAGGCATCCTGCGATCGAGGATTCGGGCGATGCCAGGTTTTCCGCAAATATACTGCAGAGATGCAGAGGTTTACCAACGGCCGTTCAGAACGAGTGGGTCAGCCAGAAAGCGACCCAGTGACTAAACAGAAGATTGCGAAGCATGAGGTTTTGGATCCTGATGGTCTCGCGAGGGTCGGCTGGCAAGTGCATAGTGGCGAGACGATGATCAAAAAGGAGACGCCGCTCGACACTGGACAAAACACCATCCCAGGTGACAGAGGAACCAATGACTTCCGCGACACCTCCATCTCTTACCGCATTCCAGACCCGGCGTACATCGACAAGGTGCTTGTCACGCAGACGGAAAAGGAGACGGTCCTCGTCAAGGTCCAAACGCGACAGACTCGGCGTCCCGAGCTCGGTGACAAGTTCTCGTCTCGACACGGACAAAAGGGTGTCGTTGGCATTATAGTTGATCAGGAGGATCTACCCTTCAGTGATAAAGGTCTGGTTCCCGATATTATTATGAACCCTCACGGTTTCCCCTCCCGAATGACAGTCGGCAAACTGCTTGAGTGTCTGACCGGCAAGGCCTCCGTCGTTCACGGACGCAAGCAGTATGGCTACGGTGACGCCTTCCGCTCCCACCCCGTCGAGGAAGTCAGTAAAGTCCTCGTCGATTACGGCTTTTCGTGGGAAGGCAAAGACTACTTCACCTCCGGCATCACGGGTGAGCCCCTCGAGGCGTACATCTTCAACGGGCCTATCTTCTACCAGCGTCTCAAGCACATGGTGCAGGACAAGATGCACTCTCGAGCCCGCGGCCCGCGCGCCATCCTCACGAGACAGCCCACCGAGGGCCGTTCGCGCGATGGTGGTCTGCGTCTGGGAGAAATGGAACGTGATTGTCTGATTGCCTATGGCGCATCGCAGCTCCTCCTCGAACGGCTGATGCACAGCTCCGACGGCACGAGTATCGACATCTGCCAACGGTGCGGTCTGTTTGGGTACAAGGGGTACTGCCAGACCTGCAAGAGCACCAGAGAGGTTACGCAAATGACCATGCCATATGCTGCGAAGCTATTAGTGCAGGAGCTGATTTCGATGAACGTTGGTGTGCGGTTACAAATGGAGGACGAGTTCCCTCACCCCAGGTGATGGAGAGGTGTTCTATTAGTTTGGGACCTTGAGACGAACACCATTCCCACGGCTTCCTCTAGCAGAAGATGAGAGACAAAAGAGAAAAAGAAAAAAAGAAACAATGTCCTCTTGCACAGCGACACGGCGTCTGGAAGCTTACATGGGCCAAAAAAACAAAATCAAAAGAATCATTAGCCAGGTAGACAGGACTATTAGGCTTGGCAGCAGCAATTTCGATAGAGAGAATTGATACTTCTACCTACTGACTGAGGCGTTACAATTCAAAAAGGCAATCCTTGGCCGTAGAATGCTCAACTCACTTTTGACGTGTGTGCTGAGTTGCCAAATGTATCAGTCATTCATGTACACTTCCACTAACACTACTGGCAACTCTTGAGAGAACAGGAGGGGAGGCTTGAACCACAGTCGCAAGGTAAGCAAAGGGCAGGTTAAGCTGAGCTTTCATGCAGGAGGGTCGTTATTCTCCAGCAGAGACGATGGAGGTAAACAAAGGACGGTATGCACACTTGCTATCCAATTTCATTGCTCATAGCATCATTATATCTGCTACACCTCAAACCCTTTCCTCCGTGGATGGCTACATGCCACCTCCCTTCTACTTCTTCGACCCCCTCATAATCCCCTTCAACCCTCCCATGTTGATCTCAAATTCCGTCGCCCCCTCCAGACCGGGTCCCGACTCCTCGACATGAGGCGCGAACACAATCTTGGACCATCGCCGCCACGTCTTGATCATCGCACCGCCGCCTTCCTCCTCAGCATATCGTGACCGTCCATAGCGCGGCGCCTTGTACAGTGCGATTCGGCATGCCGTCTGTGTCGTCCAGATCAGGCCCAGGCTGGGCGTCTTGAGGGACCCTTGCGTGGGATCGTCGCCCCAGCCGGTGAACCAGCGCTGCTGGTGATCGAGCGTCAAGGCGGCCGGTACAGATGGGCCTACAGCCTCGTCGGGCGGTGGTGGTGGTCGGCGTGTGGGAGGTGGTTCTTCTTCCTCCTCGGCATCGTCCTTCTTCTTCTGCGTTTCCTCCCTTTCCACGTCGTGTGCGAGAGACGAGCTTGATCGCGGCAGGGCGTCGGCCATGGATGAGGTGGGCTCGACGGGTGGCATGGGCGGCAGTGGGTTCTTACTCCGCGCCGCGAGGGGCGAGTCCTCGATCCCTGGCCCGCCTCGAGTCCTCTGGACCCCCGGCGTGGTGATGTTCCGATCAGTTGTTGGCGGTAGCGGCGGTTGCCTCCTTCTAGCCAACAACGGACTTCTCACCGAGCCGAACCGATCCGCCACCTGGTTGGAAACGACCACGGCCAGGTTATGTTTCCTGGCCAGGTCGCGGAGCAGCATGCCCAGCCTGACGAGGTCGGCGCCTCGAGCGCCCATGTTTGAGCCCTGCGCCCTGCTGCCACTTCTGCCGAAGGTGGCGTTGGCGTTGCGGTCGAACTCGGCGCGGTAGTTGGCGGCAACACTATCGAGCACGATGAGCCCGATATCGCGGCGCTCGACCTCGACGGGCACCTGGTAGGTGAGGATGTGCTCCTGAGACTCAAGATCCGGGGTGGTGGTGCTGACAATAGCATCGAGGGAGGGCGGTTGCTGACCTGGGGGTAGGGAGGCCAGGACGGGGTTGTGAGCAAGCATCTGGGTGAGGCGACGCGTAGATAGGGGTGCCTCGGTGGAGATGTAGAGGGCGCGCCGGCCTGTGCCGTGTGGTGGGGGTAGCTGGACGGCCAGGAGGAGGGAGAGCAGCACCTGGGTCTTGCCGGCGCCGGCCTCGCCTGTGATCTCGGTGATGTAGCCTGTGGGTATACCGCCGCGGAGGGAGGCATCGAGGGCCGGGTCGAGGGTGCTGATGGTGGACCGCTGGGACCTGCGCGTGGCGTGGGTCTGCCGGAGGGGAGAGGTTTGCTGGGTCTCAGCTGAAGCAGCAGCAGCAGCATTAGCTCCAGAAGCAGCAGCAGCAGCCTTCCCTTTGATTCCAGCGGTGGGTGCAAGGCCATGGTCGTCGTCGTCGCGGTCTGTGACGCCCAAGTCTGCGTGCAGTGCGTCCAGCACGGCGTTGCATAGCCGCTTCAGGTCCAGCAGTGGCAGATGAGTCCGCCTGCAGATTTCTGCTACTTCCAGGGTGAGCAGATCTGTAGTTGTCTGTCCAGTCCAAAAGCTCGGGTCAGCATGATTTGTGTCCTTTTATACTTCGTTGGGGAGCCTGAATGGCATTTGATGATCCTACCACCTGTTTCTTCTCCAGCGTCTGTATGAGACTTGCATATTGGCTGACGGGGAATTGCGGCAAGACGCGTAGTAGATCACTCATGGGTAGATGTGCGTGTGTATACGGTGCAGGATTGTGACTTTTGGCGTGTCAGAAAAGTGCTGTCTCAGTCCTTGATGACAGAGTTGTTGCTTAAGTTGATGTATTTGATGCTAAATTCACCACAATGTTGTGCTGCGGGCCTGATGCGGTTGGAGAACAAGCGTTAACCAAACCCAACCCCCCCCCCCCTTTGACAATCTCCCTGGAGCCTCCTTCTCTAACGACGGCCTCGTCCTGCCTGTCCAACCTGCAAGAGGTAGCGATTGACTTCGTCAAGGTTAGGGACAGCCACTCCTGGTTGGAGACATGATCGTGACAGCTCAGTACACTACTTCGGACTCGAGATTTACTTATCATCATTCTAGTGCGCAGCGTTGTGTGTGCCAGCCAGTTTCGAGGTCTCATCTTGGCTGGGCAGAACTTTGGAAGCCTTGGCAAGGTCTCTCAGCCTTGAAGAAAACCTTGGATAACTGTCATGGAAAACTTTATCAAGAGTATTTGCATTTGAGATCTTTCCATTTATTTCTTATTTTTTGAGAGAAAGATATCACAAACGACTATAAAGCTTTGCTCTCTCTCTGGCACTGAAGGTAAAAATCGGGGACTGGGTAAGAGGGCCCGCCTGCCAGAAAGACTCTTGCCAGAATGACGTCCAAATGGTGTCACACTTGAAGAACAAAATAAAAAATATGCTCCGCATACATGGGCATAAGGGCTGATCTCTCTAGATGAGGAACTCGCCCCAGAATTAACCGACTCTCCTGGAATGATGTAGAAGAACTATCCCAGGCAGAAAGGAGGAGAAGCAGGCGCCAATGCTTCCCCATTGCCTCTCCCACAGCAGAGGCAACGCCATTAAAGGAGCTTTCCTTGTAGCTTAGTACGTACGTTGAGAAGTGATGGTTTGCCAGGCCAGCGGCGAAATGTTCGTTCAACCAAGAAGGTACTCCTAGCCTTTGTGGGCAAGGAATGACGCCTCAGCCTCACGGAAGGAAAAATGCATGGTAGGCAAACAGCGGCCAATCTCCCCAAAAGGTTGCTGATATGATAACGATTGCCTGCTTAGGTAATCGGCAAGCTTTTCAAGGTACTTTCTACTATGTAGTACATTACATCATGGTCTCGAGGTGGAAGAAAAACTACCCCGCGGGCCCGCCCTGGTAGTAACGTCCCAAAACCGGATGCGTTGTGTAGGATCGTAGCTTTTAAGCTCGAACGCAAAGGAAGCCTGTGACTGCTGTAGAAATGAGAAGCAAAATTGGAAAAGAGGCTGCACTGACTAGATTGTCGCTTCAAGCCTCAAGTCACACTGAGGATAAGCAAGGCAGCTTTCGTGTGAAGGTGCCACGGGGTGCTCGTGGTAGGTCAGAGGAGAGGGGCAGGGGGGGCTGGAAGCGACAGGGATCATTCTACCAGCTGCTGGGCACTGCTAGCAGTTTCGCTGGATCGAATTCGAGAAGCTTCTCCCACCTGCTAGTGCCCCACTTCCAAACTGCTGCAGCTTTGAGCGCTGTTTATATTTCTGCCTCAACTCTCTCCCACTCTCTTCTGACTGGAATTTTTCCTTCCTGCATCAACACAAACAACATCTCTGTCCCTTTCCTACTTTCTTCCATTTCACATCGAGACCCTTTGCACCTTTTGCATTCTCGACCACAACTGCTTTTCTTGTGATACCCCCACCTCCCTCACATAACCGCCTCTACAACTGTCCCAACAACACCTTTTCTGCCACATACACAACCGTCACAATGGCGCCAGCTGTTGGTATTGATCTGGGTACCACGTACTCTTGCGTCGGTGTCTTCCGCGATGATCGCATTGAGATCATTGGTAAGTAATTATCACCCAGACGAGGAGCCGCCTTTAATGGCCATAACCCCTCAGCCTTGTGTGTTGCATCGACAATATGCTAACTTTGTACCTACAGCCAATGACCAGGGCAACCGTACCACACCCTCATTCGTTGCTTTCACGGATACAGAGCGTCTTATTGGCGATGCCGCGAAGAATCAGGTCGCCATGAACCCGCACAACACCGTCTTCGATGCGAAGCGGTTGATTGGCCGCAAGTTCCAGGACTCTGAGGTTCAGGCCGACATGAAGCACTTCCCCTTCAAGGTCATCGAGAAGGGCAGCAAGCCCGTCATCGAGGTTGAGTTCAAGGGCGAGTCCAAGCACTTCACCCCTGAGGAGATCTCCTCCATGGTCCTCACCAAGATGCGCGAGACTGCTGAGGCCTACCTTGGCGGCACCGTCAACAACGCTGTCGTCACTGTTCCTGCCTACTTCAACGACTCCCAGCGTCAGGCCACCAAGGATGCTGGTCTCATTGCCGGTCTGAACGTTCTCCGTATCATCAACGAGCCCACCGCTGCTGCCATCGCCTACGGTCTTGATAAGAAGGTTGAGGGCGAGCGCAACGTGCTCATCTTCGATCTGGGTGGTGGTACCTTCGATGTCTCCCTGCTCACCATTGAGGAGGGTATCTTCGAGGTCAAGTCTACTGCTGGTGACACTCACCTGGGTGGTGAGGACTTCGACAACCGTCTGGTTAACCACTTCGTTAGCGAGTTCAAACGCAAATTTAAGAAGGGTAAGTCTATTTCCTTTATTACATTGCCAGAAAAATTTTTGGTAAACTTTTGTAAAGTTTTTTGAAAACTTTTTTGCTAACAAAAGTTTTTAGATTTGTCTTCCAACCCTCGTGCTCTGCGCCGTCTCCGCACTGCTTGCGAGCGTGCCAAGCGTACCCTCTCTTCCTCCGCACAGACTTCCATCGAGATCGACTCTCTCTTCGAGGGTATTGATTTCTACACGTCCATTACCCGTGCTCGTTTCGAGGAGCTGTGCCAGGACCTCTTCCGCTCTACCCTGCAGCCTGTTGACCGTGTCCTGACGGACGCCAAGATCGACAAGTCTCAGGTGCACGAGATTGTCCTGGTCGGCGGTTCTACCCGTATTCCCCGCATCCAGAAGCTGATCACCGACTACTTCAACGGCAAGGAGCCCAACAAGTCCATCAACCCCGATGAGGCTGTTGCCTACGGTGCTGCCGTTCAGGCCGCCATTCTGTCTGGCGATACCAGCTCCAAGTCCACCAACGAGATTCTGCTCCTGGATGTTGCGCCGCTCTCCATCGGTATCGAGACCGCTGGTGGCATGATGACCAAGCTCATCCCCCGCAACACCACCATCCCTACCAAGAAGTCCGAGGTCTTCTCGACCTTCTCCGACAACCAGCCCGGTGTGCTCATCCAGGTCTACGAGGGTGAGCGTCAGCGCACCAAGGACAACAACCTGCTCGGCAAGTTCGAGCTCACCGGCATCCCTCCTGCGCCTCGCGGTGTTCCTCAGATCGAGGTTACCTTCGATGTGGACGCCAACGGTATCATCAACGTCTCCGCCCTGGAGAAGGGTACCGGCAAGACCAACAAGATTGTCATCACCAACGACAAGGGTCGTCTGTCGAAGGAGGAGATTGAGCGTATGCTGTCAGAGGCCGAGAAGTACAAGGAGGAGGATGAGGCCGAGGCTTCCCGTGTCTCTGCCAAGAACGGCCTCGAGTCCTACGCCTACTCTCTGCGCAACACCCTGTCCGACTCCAAGGTCGACGAGAAGCTTGACGCTGCCGACAAGGAGAAGCTGAACGCTGAGATCAGCACGGTCGTTACCTGGCTCGACGAGAACCAGACCGCCACTCGTGAGGAGTATGAGGACAAGCAGAAGGAGCTCGAGGGCATTGCCAACCCCATCATGATGAAGTTCTACGGTGCTTCCGGTGCTGGTGGCATGCCTGGCGGTATGCCAGGTGGCATGCCCGGTGGCGCTCCCGGCGCTGCCCCTGGTGGCGACGACGGTCCTACCGTCGAGGAGGTCGACTAAGCGATTTCACCTCGCAAAGATTGCATGTCGACGAGGATTTGGAGGAGTTCAAGGCCTTTCGATTTTTACGACATGCTAAGGGGTTAACTTAGACGATGGAGTCTCTTTCCTTTGTTTTTGCCATGACTTAATGATACAGGGAAAAATTCGGCTCGGAAGGGTATACAAGTGCATTGGTCGTACTTAATTCATTCGACAGAAAGGAATTCAATAAAAAAAATAAAAAATCAATAATCTCTCGCCAGGTTCCATGGCTACTTGTGACATGTCTTCTATTATGTAAACATCAAATTGAAGTTGGTTATTGGGAGAACAGAGAGGAGTACAGGTGTAAACGTTCTCTGGAACTCGCCCTAGTATCCCTGGTATATGTTAATTGTTTTAGTCGTCTCTTCAAGATCAATTGTTATGATCCCCTGTCAAGCCCTTTACGTATCCTCTCCATCCTCTCCATCTCCCACCTCTGCAACTCGGCATCCTCTACCTGGGCTGCCTCCACAGGAGCCGAGAAAGCCTCACCGGGCGCGACCCTCTCGGTCCTCTCCCGCCAGACGTCCTCGCTGCTGGGCTTCCCCGGACCGTACCGGGCGAGGAGCTTGGCGCGGTAGTGCTCGCGAATCAGATCCTCCTTGACGGGGCCGGCGGCTTGGCCTTTTACGCGCATGCAGAACCAGAGGTCGTCCCAGAGATCGGTGCAGGCGCGGACGGTGCCGTAGCGGTAGATGTTGTTCCACTGGCCGCCGAGGGACTGGCAGTAGAAGGCTTGGTTGAAGGCGGACTCGCAGTCCATGGTGGTGGGGAGGAGGGACTCGGCTAGGGGGGAGAGGCGGGTTTGGGTCGTCGTGGAGGAGGAGGTGGAGGTTTCTTCTGTTGTTGTCGTTGTGGAGGAGGAGGGTGCGGTGGAGCTGTCCTTGCTTGCCCACCGCGACGACCACGAGGAGAATGGCATTCTGGCCGGCGGCCCTTGATTAGGCGTGGACCCGCCGCCTTCTTCTGGACCTCTCCGCGAGCTCTCGGCACCGCCCATCAGCTCCTCGAGGAACTTGTGCACCTCTGGGTCTGCCTCTGGCGCGGCCTTGTTCTGGGGTGGTTGTTGTGACTGTTGCGCTGCTGCTGTTGCTGTCTGGCGGTCGTCTCGTGGCGGTGTCGCATCTTGCGATGGTGGGGGTGAGGCCGGAGGAGCAGGAGCTCCCCAGAACCAGCCCATCTTTTGTATGTGTATATGTCTTTCCTCGTAGGGGTTTTCCTGCTTCCTCGTTCCTCGGTCAAAGTCTGCTTGCTGAAAAATCTATATGAACTTCCTGGGAGGTGTTTGCTGCTGGGAAATCTTCAAAGAGTTGCGCAACAGAGAGGCAGGCACCGCATTGCATTGCGCTGCCGTGGCTCCTCAACTTTTCGCAGAATCTCTTTGCCTGCCAAGACCCTTGGGGGGATAGCCCTAACCCTAGTGGGCATATGGGGGAGAGGACTTAGTGATGAGTAACTCACCACCGACCTCCCCCTCCCCCCACCAACCTTCTTTCTTTATAGACCAGAATGTCAAGTAGACTGACTTCCGTTGTAATTACTCACAGATTTCAGATACCAGAAATCAGGTAGGAATTCACGTGGGTTTAATTGTCAGGCATAGTAGCTGCTATCACGAAAACATGATGCAAAAATAATAATTCGAAGTCAGGACAGAATCCGCAATACATATACACATATTCGTTTCATTTCATTCCATCTCTATATCCCACCACAATCATTCCGGCCTGGCTACCCAGAAACGAGACTATATTGAGGTACATGTCATCACTAGCCCATTAACAGCACTAAATTGCCCCCGAATCACCTCCGATTGCTGTTTCAACCCTTGAGGCGACAGCAGGCTCCGGTCCTCCTCGAGTTCATCGCCCAACTCGTCCAGGCCCGACATCCTCGTGAACAAGGGTAGCATGCTGGACGTCTTCCAGGAGTCGATGTGCTGCCGCCGCGTGTAGAGCAGGGTGGAGAGGAAGAAAATGATGGCCAGTAGGACCGCCGTCGCGGGGAGTGAGATCCATCTCCAGTCAACTCGGATGTATGTCTTGATTGAATAGGGACGGGGAAAGTCAGCGCTCAGTCACATTGATGTTTCTTAACCGGGTACAATTGGGATGTGGGGGGGCGAGAGGGACATAGTACAGCAGCCGTGAATGGAGCAAGATTGTTTGCCAGTGTAGTATCGCTTGTTTTACTCACCTCTTGTGCAAGGGCTGTACCATATACAGAGGTGGCATTGGGGTTCTGGGCGACGATGTAGGACATGGCCGTGGTGATGTTTTGGATGCGCTCAGTCAGGTTGGATGAAGACAGCAACGCCTTGCCAGCATCCGCATCGGAGGTGGTGGCCAAGCTGCCGTTCAGTTGCTGGATGATGAAGGCGTGGTCGTTGGGGTTGATGTAGAAGCTGGCATTACCCGACGAGTTGTCGGGAGCGGCGATGGCGAACTTGGAGTTGACGTAGTATTCATCGTCAATGTCATCATTGTCATATTTGGTCTCGCCAGGGATGGGTACGGCGACGAGAGCATACTCCGTTGTCAACCCAGGCTCGAAGACACCGTTGACCACGGAGAGGTTCTGGTAGTGGAGCGCAGTCCAGCCGATAGTGCACTCGATGCCCTCAGTCTCGGCCCACTCGAGCGGTATGGGGTCATCCGAGTCTCCCGCTCCGCTGACGGGTACGTTGACCGCATACAGCTTGACCAGCGTCGGCTCTACCCAATTAGCACTGTAATTCCACCCGGTGTGCGTCACGGACCGGAAGCTCGTGGCGATGGCACCCTCGCTGGAGGTGACGCCGACAGTCATGTCAAAGGAGACGTTGCCAGGAAGGGTGTATGTATAGCCCACTAGCCCATTGTAAGAAGGCTTCGTCGCCGTCATGTTGGTGGTGACGTTCAAACACTGGGCCGAGATACCCAGGGTGGTGAAAGGCGCCCAGGTACAATTACCAGTAGGACAAGCCACATTGATGGATGTGTCGAGGTCGTCTGCTACGGGTGTCAGAAGTCTGAAGTATGGACTTACAGAGTGCGAAGAAAGAGAGGAAGAAAAAGGTCACAGACATAAACCACTCATGATGGCGCCCGTCATCGAGGATTGAACTTGCTCAGCCATGACCGTATTAACGCTGTTGAGATTGCCATCCCCATCAACCGCTGTCTGGCGGTAGAGCCCAATGCCGCTGTCATACGCATTCGATGACCCAAAGGTCACCCTGTCGGCATACTCGGAGGCCGGGACCCACCGCAGGGAGTAAGAGATGATTTGCTGTGTAAAAGCACCCACGGCCAGCGAGAGCAAGGCGATCACAGACCCGACCACAGCCAGCTTGGCACGTATGTTGATGGTCCAGATGAACCGCAGGGCCCCGATCGGCTCGGTTGCTTCCTGGAAATAGTCGTAGTCTCGAAGACGGCGGCTAGACCTACTGAAGTAGATCCATTTGAGCTGGCCGACGCAGGCGACAGTGGTCAACATGAAGCCCGCCTCGGTAAGGGTTGAGAATACAGAAACGAGGGTGTTTGGGGCGATGGTGAAGTGCCAGTCGGACAGGGCCCTGTCTCTCTCGTAGAGAAGGACGATGATGATGGCGGCGAAGCAGGCCATGCTCAGCACCATGGAGAGAAACTCCCATTTCCATTCCCAGAGCGCCAGGCGCGACGACCGCACCCCATTCCTTGGCCACGTCCTCTCGGGTTTTGTCGTGGCTGGTTCGTGTTCGCCATAAGGATGAATAGACTGCTCTTGTTCATTGGCATAAGGATAGCCTTCTCCAGGCTGCTGGCCGTCAGTATTGAGAGCCGTGTGGGCATCAGAGGCCATTTCCGAAGAGACCAGAGGTGCATGCTCGTGATAGGTCGGCGGTTGGGACTGGGCATCCGAAGACCTTTGGCCTGGAGCCTCGTGAGAGCGTAACAGATCCATGAAGGCCACACTGACAGCAGCTAGCTTTTTACCCTGGCTAAGACGATAAAATAGCCATGTAGGGAACGATAGAGATAGAGAAGAGAGCTTGCAGAAAGGGCCCGCCAAATCTGGACAATGGACGGGGCCCGGGACATCATATATGCAACGAACAAGTTGCGGCTGAAGTGTGCATGATAGATGGTCCACATACCAGGCGCCAGGAGTATGCAAAGGAGGTGGAGACTGAGTTGAAGTTGTCTGCCTCATTGGCCTTGCAGGACACCCTCACAGGGCCCAAAACTGGGGGATGATATGGAGCCGTAGGATCGGGTGCTCGGTAGGATTCAAGAGGAAGACCGGGTGTGGAGAGAAAAGCGCTATGGGAGGCGACCGCAATGGAGTTGCTGGTCAGCAGCTGGCCTCAGCGGTGAGCAAGATCGATGATGTACTGCGGCTTCAGCCTGCTGGACACAACGTGAAGGACGAGCCGAACCTCCGGCACACGGAAGGCTCACTCAGCTTGAGGGTACACCACAGCCACCAGATCTACATGCGACACCAACATCACGTCAAAAGCTGCTCGACCCAGAACAGCCGAAGTCGCTTATGCAATGTGCACCCTTGGTCATGGCAAGAGCTCTCTGCATTGCAGCATGAGGAGTAAGAGACGCCTTGCTGCAGCGAGAGGGAACTTCTGTTCTGGCGCGCATAATGAAGGAGTCTGCGCTAGACATGAAGTCCGTCTGAACAGGGATCCTGAAGAGTCCGATTAGGTGCTTTCCGAGGTCTTCAAGTCCGATATTTTCTGTTGCAGACTGTCTGCGATAAGCGATGCGGCCGTTTTGTTTTGAAGGGAGGGGGGTGGGTTATGTCGAGGGTTTAGTTAATTTCAAAAAATGACAATGTTGTCTTGTCATCAACGCCGAGTACCGGCACTATGGACACAAGGTAGTAATGGTGGTTGACAGCAACAGTCAGCAGGTCATCCTTGCCTTTGCCAGGCCCACAGCATGTGCTTAGCTGCTGCACTAGACCCTGTTGCGCGAACTGTTGCGCTGATTTAGCGCGCCTATGACCTCACTGGCACATTTTATCAGGCGCGACTCACCACTATCATTTACCAAAACCATGGACACAACTTGGTGGGGTGACAATCTGGGCAGAGACACCTTCATCGCCTCTCCCCAGCGTCCATACCTCGCATCTTGTTCTCACCACACGATCATGAGGAAGCCATGATCCCAAGGCGCCCCCTCCCTCGCCCGGCCTGGACCGATGTCCTTGCTGGGCATGTCCTCACCAGATCACGGCTCCAACCACGTTCAGGTCTTCTTCCTCCTTCGCTTCTGCTCGCCGCCTCGAGCCGCGACCTTCCTCGCCCCTCTCACGCAGGACCTGCCACGACGAGGAGGTGGGAGACCACCACGACAGGAGACCAGAAGTCTGGTCACATCTACTCTGGGCCCAATGAGTCCATCCTCTTCTTCGACAACCTGTATCCGCTGAAGCTCACCTCGGGCGCTCTGAGCTATGCCATGCTATGGAGGCAGTGGAGGACGGACGACGACCTTTCAAACCTCCTCAAGGGCTTCGACAGGTCCTCACTCGGCATGATGAACCCCATCAACATGGTCAGGCGGACCATCCCGGATGACGGGTCGCTCAAGGTTACAGAGCTCATCCCAAGGCCCAAGGACGGCGGGTGCTTTGTCAAGGTATCTTACCCGCCAGGGACGTCGCCGGACGAGATCGAGGGGAAGCTGTCTGCGCAGCTGGCGAAGCAGCCCGTCAAGCCCTGGTTCAACCCCTTTCGTGGCATCAAGGTCGGCCTGGTCAACGGCGTGCCGTGGCTCGAGGATATGGCCCGGTTCCCAAAGAGCAGGCTCAAGATCGAGTTCACCCCGAAGGACCCTGGCGCAGAGGCCGCCGAGCTGTCGCAGGAGAACCTCTTCTCCCTTTTTCGAAGATATGGCAAGATCGCCGATATCATCTCGCAGGCTCCAGACTCCAAGGTCCTGCCAAAATATGCGTATCTCGACTTCGCCTTCACACGGGATGCTATTATGGCGCGGAACTGCCTGCACGGCATCTTGGTCCCTGAGAATCTGGGTGGTGGCAAGGCTGGGACCATTCTCCGCCTGTCCTACGAGCAGAAGGTCAGGCCGCACCACATATGGGACTGGATCAGCAACCATCCTCGCATCGTCATTCCCATCGTGGCCGCCCTGCTCGCAGGCATCACAGTCATCATCTTTGACCCGATCCGGGAGTTTTCTATCAAGGCGCACATCGAGAGGCGCTTTAGCCTGTCAGACAACAAGATCTTCCAGTGGTTCAAGCGGCGCACCAACGACATCCTGGCCTTCAGGAAGCACAAGGCTGAGGACGCTGGGCTGAAGGCGCTCTTCACGCACCGCAGGGATGCCATAGACCAGGTCCAGACGTGGCTGATGGAGTCTGCCGATACTTTCATCGTCGTCCAGGGCCCGCGCGGCTCAGGCAAGGAGGAGCTGGTGTTGGACCAGGCCCTCGGCGGGCGGAAGGATGTCCTTGTGCTTGACTGCAAGCCTATCGTGGAGGCCAAGGGCGAGAGCACCACGATCAAGAAGCTGGCGGGCGAGGTTGGCTACAGGCCCGTCTTCTCATGGGCCAATCAACTGAGCAGCCTCGTAGACCTTGCCATCCAGAGCACCACAGGTGTCAAGTCGGGCTTCTCTGAAACCCTCGACTCCCAGCTCAGCAAGATCCTCTCCAACACCGCCGCGGCTCTGAAGAGGGTTTCGCTCTCGGACCGCAAAAAGGAGGACGCCGACGCAAGCCTGAACGATGATGCGTTTCTCGAGGCTCATCCCGAGCGCCGGGCCGTGGTCGTCATCAACAACTTCCTGCTCAAGAACGAAGAGACCAGCATCGTGTACGACAAGCTCTCGGAGTGGGCAGCCGCCCTGGTCCAGGCCAACATCGCACACGTCATCTTCCTGACCAGCGACTCGTCCTACTCGAAACCACTGTCCAAGTCCCTGCCGGACAGGGTCTTCCGCACCATCGCGCTGGGTGACCTCTCGCCCGAGGTCGCCAAGCAGTACGTGCTAAGCCACCTCTCCCAGACCAAGCCCAAGGACAAGAACAAGAAGGAGTCCGCAGATGAGAACAAGGACACGGCCACCAGCGGCGAAGAGAAGTCGCAGGAGACCACCACCGCTGTCGAGGAGTCGCCTCGGAACATCCAGGAGCTCGACGAGGTCATCACCGTCCTGGGCGGCCGCCTCACCGACCTCGAATTTCTCGCGCGGCGCATGAAGACGGGCCAGAGCCCCCGCCAGGCCGTGCAGGAAATCATCGACCAATCTGCCTCGGAGATCCTGAAGCTCTTCCTGCTCACCAACAAGCCCCCCTCGGACAGCAGCAGGAAGTATTCAACCGAGCAGGCCTGGTACCTGATCAAGGAGATCGCCAAGAAGGAGTCCCTGCGGTACAACGAGGTGCTGCTCTCGGACACCTTCGCCTCCTCAACGGCACCCGGCGTGGAGAACGGCGAGATCGCCCTCGAGAACCTGGCCAGCGCGGAGCTTATCAGCGTGCGCTCGCATCGCGGCCGCCCGCAGGCCATCACGGCCGGCAAGCCTGTGTACCAAGCCGCCTTCGACGCGCTTCTACGGGACCCTGTCCTCAAAGCCAAGATGGACCTGGCCGTGCTAACAGAGCTGGGAAAGATTGAGGGCAAAAATATTAACAAGGTGAGTGAGCTTGATGGGTTGCTTGCCTCCTCCCCCTTCCTCTCGATAGACTGGTCGATACGCCCCCTCTCTTCCGCTAACATGTTATAACAACAATCCAGGTCGAGGCGGAGCTGAGCCTGCTAGCCTCTCTCCCCAAGCAACCCTACGAGACGACGGCACGTATCAATTACCTTCTCGCCAAGCTTGCCGGCAGCCAGACCAAGATTCGGGACTATGAAATCGAGATGGCCAAGCTGAAGAAGGTCTTGATGCAGGAGACTTGAGGAGGGCAGGGTGTAGTTTGTACCTTGTGAGGTGGGATGAGAGAAGGAGGAAAAGGGGGAAAGGGCCAGGAAAACAGGCGGGACGCATTATCGGGAGGTTCACAGCACAGACTTGATGATACCCTCCTCACACTCGGTCAATGAGTTATATTCACAATTGAAACATTTAAATTTGTAGTCTCCTCCCCTTATCTTTTTCCCACGCTACGGACCACTCACGAATATATTGACCAACCTCTGAACTCTGTCCTCATCCCGTCCTCTCCTCGCACTTACAAGGTATCTTGCTTGGCATCAACAGGTTATAACAAGAGAATGGAATCAAGACAACAAACTCATTCCAACACCGATACTCTCGAGATCCTTCTTCTTTGATCAGAAGACTACTTGCTGGCTGGGGATCAGGCCATTTGGCTGACATCGGCCCCCGCCAAACCCGTTACTTCGCAGCCTTGCGAGAAGAAGATCCGCGCGGGCCTGTCTTGTACGTTCTCGATGCTATAGTAATTTCCTGCAAAATAGAGTTAGTTATCGCCGTGACTCATCTCGTGCTGCGTTCAAAAAGCAGTGGTTTGAAGAAGGGGAGAAAAACTTTACCTCTGGGCACGAACCACATCCCTCCCCGCCCAATGCTGAAGACCGTATCCGCCACGGTGACGGTAACCCTGCCCGAGAAGACAAAGAAGGTCATGTGCATCTTGCGCGAGTTCTTGGGCTTCTTCTCGGCGTGCGGCGGCAGGTCGACCACGCCGGACCCGAAGAAGGGCAGGCTGAGGGTCTTGGCAAAGCGGAAGGTGGCGTTGCGGATCTCGCGCGTTGTGATGGCGTTGGCCGACACCGCGATCTGCTCGTCTGCCACCTCGATCTGCTCATCCGGCCCGGGCGGATTCACCTCGTGCTCGGGCTGCCAGACGGCGATCTCGCCCGTGATGACGTCGCCGTCCTCCTCCCAAGGTTCAAGCTCGTCGACGTCGTCCTCGTCCTCGTGGTGGCCGCCGCGCCTCTTGCCGCCGCCCTTTTTGCCAGCAGGCCTGCCCCTGCGTCGCTGCCCGCCCTTCTGATCCGGTTCCGGTTCGTCGATGCGCACAATGTTTTTGATATGCGGCAGCAGGATCGAGGTCTTGCCGTCCTCGAGGATCGCATCGTCGTCGAGCTCCGTGCGCTCGTTCCGCCAGAACTTGAGCGGCTGGTACGAGGTGCGGCCAGACCGCGTCGTGAACATGTTGGCTCCTGCACCTGGGGCTTCGCGTCTCGTAATCACCAGCCCTCGGGATTTTGGCAGCGGGGGGCCGCGTGGGATCTCTGCCACCGACGTGTCGCCCACACCGTCAGAGGTCCGTTTCGCTGCTCGCTTCTGTTTCGAGATGGCCGGCTTCTTAGCGGGTCCCGCCGTCGATCTCTCGGCAGCCGCCGCCTTGGGGCGACCTCTGCGCTTGGGCGCCTGCTCTGCCGGTTCGCCCTCTTCGTCGCCGACATGAGAGTTGCTGCCCTTGGCCTTCTTCTTTGCTGGTTGTTTTTCGGCCTCCTCTTGCGCGGCATGGTTGGCGGGCAGGCGGCCTCGTTTCTTGCCTGCGCGTACCGGTTCCTCGTCGGCGGGCTCGATTGACTCGACAATTCTGTCCTCTTCCTGTTCTTGGACACGCTCTATTTTCTTGGACCGGCCCCGGCCTTTCTTGGTAGATGACGGTGGCGCTTCTACCGCCTCCTCCTCCCCCTGCTGCTGCTGGTCTTCTTCAACTTCCTCTTCTTCTTCGTCTTCTTCTTCCTCCTCCTCTTCCTCCCTTTCTTCCTCTTCCTCCGGCCCATCCCCACTAGCGAAAGCGGAATTATCGCCTCCGCCATCCAACATCGCCATAGATTCCTCCTCTCCCCTCTCTGACTCCTCTTCCGGCTCGGAAGGCGAACTTCTGCGTCCGTTGACAGCAGCGGCCGCCTTGCCCTTGCCGTTCACCCCATTCATGCCGTTCGGCTTGGGCAGGACTGGTTTGGAGGCCAGCAGGTCGTTCTTGAAGTCGAGCCTCCGCTGCACAGACTTGGCGCCGGACGGAGACCCATCGACGAGCTTGGAGGGCCGGAGGGGCGAGGACGACATGCCGGCAGGCCTGCGTGCTGGGGAGTTGAGGGTCGTTTTAAGCGGCGACCTGGCGCGCGCCGGCGGACGGCCGTTCATGAACGCGGAGGGTGCTGGGGCAGTTACTAGAAGGCGAGGAAAGGGAACAGGATGTCGCGTTAGCTAGAGATGCTCTCTCTTCATCATCATGGTGATCTCCCTTGGCTGGATCCAAAACAACTCACCTTCGTCAATGTCCATGGGCTCCTCCTCCTCCTCGCTTTCGTCCTCTTCAGCGTCATCGTACCTGCCGTCGTGGCTCTCCTTGTCGGGCGAGGAGAAGAGGTCGTCCAGGGGTTGCATGCCATGTTCGTCGCGCACACCGGTATCCTTTAGGGTAACTCCGGTCTTGCTAAGATGTGGAAGCAGTTCGCGTCAGTGACAGGGTCGACAACACACTTGCACAGAAGCAAGAATGTGTGAGAGTTGTTGTTGCTGCTACACACCGGCCGCGGACACCCAAATCATGGAAAGCCTCGCTCGCTGCCATGGAGCGACGCTGCGCTGATGACTGGCGCGGTGCCATGATCGTCTTGAGTCCTCCTTCTCGAGCTCCGCCTCCTTCTTAAAAATAATTTCCCGCTTTTCTTTCTTGGTCGAATAGATGCGCGCAAAGTGGTGGGCAAAGTGCGCTGGTAGGACGATGAGGGCGATTCCAAGTAAACAAGATAGATGAGAATGAGATCGACAGCAACTCGGACAACGGACTCGGAAGGGGATCGTGCGCAGCGAAATATGTTGTGCAATGCGATTGCCAGCAAATTAAGTGCGCCTGGTATCAGCTAGAACTTCCTTGCTTTGTCGCGAGGAGAGGACGGATAAAAGCAGGTGGGTGTGTATGTTTTTTTGGTACAGTGAGTATTTGGTTGGTAGTAGAGGGTGTGTCCAGGGGGCGGGCGTTTTGCTCGACACTGGCAGGGGTGGGCCAGTCACTGTAGCACAGCGCCATTGTACTACAGGCGCTATAGCAGTTGGCGCCAGAGCTGAGTTGGGGCTAAACGCGTCAAACTACTACCAGTGCAGCAACTAAGCCGCGTCTTTCCTCACCCCACCCGCTTGGACGCGTCTGGAGACGCGCTTCCATAACTAGGACGGAACTTAATAGTACTAACTACTTAGACAATTTAGCAAGGGCGTCAAATGCCAGCAGCCACAAAGACGAAATTCATTTTGAGAAGGCAACAGACCTGATCTAATTCAACATCACATAATAGACTAGACGAAACACACACAGCCATACATACACACTGAGATGACAGTCCAACCATGGATACCGCCGACGACACCCAGATGACCGACGCCGCCGACCTCGAGACGACATCACTCAACGACATCTTCATCCCGCCCTCTGTCCACCACGACGCCCTCCTCGGCGGCGATAGCTACACACACTTCTCCTCCATCCCGTCCGCCCTACTTCCTTCCGCCCCCGGCGCAGACGACGGCGTCCCCTGCTGTCTAGGCGTGGACGAGGCCGGGCGCGGTCCCGTGCTGGGCCCCATGGTCTACGGCGTCTTCTACCTGCCACTGACCCTCTCCGACCCGCTCCTGCGCCAAGAGCACCACTTTGACGACTCCAAAGTCCTCACCCCCGCCGTGCGGTCCAGCCTCATGCAGAAGCTGTGCACACCGCCTCCTCCTTCCCCTCCTGCAACCACTCCCCAGCCCGCCGAGGGCGAGGGCGACGGCAATGGACACACCTCGCCGCAGCCCACCCTCTACACCCACACCGGCTGGGCCACCACCGCCCTCTCCGCCCGCTCCATCTCCACCGCCATGTACCGCCCCGGCACCGCCTACAACCTCAATGCCCAGGCCATGGACGCCACCGTCGCCCTCATCCGCGGCGTCCTCGCCCGCGGCGTCAACGTGCGTGAGATCTACGTCGACACCATCGGCCCGCCCGCCACCTACCAGAAGAGGCTGGAGCGCTTCTTCCCCTCCGTGCGCGTCACCGTCGCCAAGAAGGCCGACAGTCTGTACCCCTGCGTGAGCGCCGCCAGCGTGTGCGCCAAGGTCACGCGGGATGCCTGTCTGGAGGTGCTGTACGAGCAGCAGCTGGCCCGGGCCGGAGGAGGACGAGGAGGACGAGGAGGACGAGGAGGAGGACGAGGAGGCCAGAATGCTGATTCAGAAGGGAAGGAGGGTGGTGGAGGGATTATGGCGTGGGGCTCCGGCTATCCGTCCGACGCGAGGTGTGTGAGCTGGATGAGGGCGAACATGCACCCTCTGTTTGGGTGGGGTCCCGAGTGCAGGTTCAGCTGGGGCACGGCCAAGGACATGATCGAGGCCAAGGGCGGCGCCGGTGTCAAGGTCGAATGGCCGGTCGAGGACGACGGAGAGACGAGTCGGCTGACGGATTTCTTTGTCGGTATTGATGATCGCGACGAGACTGCTGATGAGCTGGGGTCCTGGTTCGGGACTCCTGTTGCGTTAGAGACGTTCTGAAAGAAAGAAGAAGAAACAAGAAGAGAATACTGTCATGCATGCTTGGGAGTTTTGGAAATAGAGAAAAGGGGTGGCACAATATGTTGGTATCCTATTTTCAGGTGTTGAGGAGTCCATCCTACTTTTTTCTCTTTCGCTCTGTCTAAAAGGGCTGTGCTGTGTATAATATGGAACAGTGGGGGATATCCTATGCTGACCGACTCGGGCAAAGAAGCAATGCAAGGATTGGGAATGAGACCCAGAGAGACATCTATACAATATAAGAACATTTTTCCTCTTCTCTTCCTCTCTCTCTTTCTCTCCTCTTGCTCTCAGATGTCATCTTCATCCTCATCATTATCCTTGCGCTTGCCTCTGCTGTCAAGCGTGTCCAGACTGACAGAGTCGGTGTCCCTACGCGCCGGCATGGCCAGGGCCGAGCGTGCAGTCTCGTTGTTCTCGAGGAACTCGCGCAACTTCTGCTTGCCGATCTCGACGGCCTGGTTGCTGGCGGCATTGGTCATCTGCATCATCGGCCCGAGCAGGTTCAGGTTGTAGGCAACATATGTACCGCCCGCCATCATACAGAGCATGATGAACAAGACGGGGTTGCGGAGAACTTTTGCAGGGGTGAAGAAAAAGTTGTTAGCCAGCCAGATCGTCGATAGATGGGAAAAGAAAGGAAAATAGTAAATACTGACCCATCCATATCTCGTTCCACCCCAGAACCAAGAGGACAACATAGAAATACAGAGGAATCTGTGTGATGCCGCCCAGGGCACTCCTCTTCGCCTCAACATAAACACCATCCGCGGTCTTCTTGAAGCGGATGACAAGGTCCTGTCGCTTGCTCTCGCTGAGGACCGTCATCTCCTCCTCGAGGCTCTTGCCCTCATCCTCGTCGACGCCGCCGATCGGGGCCAGGTCCTCCTCATCGCTGGGCTCGACGCCGTGAGGGTGGCTGCCGATGTAAGCCGGCAGGTCAGGCGGGCCGTACGTCTCTGATAGCCTGAACCTTGACAGAAGCGGGATAAGGGTCAGCGTCGACTCGCGGGCACGGGTGTAGATGCCTTCGATGTCGTCGCTCGGGCGCCAGATCCGCGGAACACCGGCCTCGTCGTACCGGAACTTGTCCTCAAAGTTCTCGCGCAGCTTAAGCAGGATGTTGCCCTCCATTACCTCCTCCTCGATCTTCTCGCGTAGCGCCACCCAGCTCTTCCGCCGCAGCCGCCACAGGCCAATCTCGACCTCGTCTTCGGTAGCCTCCAGGTTCTTGGCTCGGTCCTTGAACCTGTCCTGTGCCTCCTTGACGATGGACACAAAGACGGTCCAGATGCGGTCCCACAGGTCCTTCTCGGTCGGCGGCTTCTCGCCGTCCTCGGCCGCGCCAGAACCGCCGCGTCCAGATCCGAGCTTGTTGAACTCCAGCCCAACAGCATCTCCGAGGCGAGACCTGACCCAGCGCTCGACACGTGTAGCCAGACGGCGCATTTCCTCCTTCCTGAGCCTCGCGCCGACCTCATCGAGCTCCTTGCCGAAGAGCAGGTACTGTGGCTTGAAGTTGGTCCACGGGACGCCCTCGATGGCGAGACTCTGCGCTTCCTTCTTGAAGATCTCAAGCGTCTTGCCCTTTTGCTTCTCGATGATCTCGGTGAACTCATACTGGCCGCCCGCCTTCTGGCCCGCCTTGACAGCATTGGTCACGGCCTCGGTGAAGGCGGCAACGCCCTTCTTGTGCGCCGCCATCAGCTGGCCCTGGTACAGCGGCTTGAGGCGCCCGTCGATCTTCTCCTCCAGTTCCACGCGCTTCCTCTTGTAGACCGCTTTGTGGTACCTGCTCGCCTGCACCTCAAACGCTCGGGTGGTCTTGTCGCGGGAAGATCTGCCAGTGGTGCCGAGATTAGCCAGGACGGCAGGAGTGCCCGCGCGGGCGGCATCTTGCTGCTGTTCCTCCAGTGGCACGATTTCGGTGTCGAAGGCGACCAGGACTTCCCGGGCAATCTCGTCGCAACGGAACTGCGCGAGGAGCTCCTGCTGGGTCGGCAGGTCGAGGTCCTTGTTGTTGACGATCTGGTCCCAGATACCCTCAGCGTACACGGAGAACCCGTCGGCCGGGATTCTGCGATGGTATTCCGACAGAAACACGCCACCCGCAAACTCCTGATCCGGGGTCGAGCGGTGCCCTGTCGTGAATCTCTTGGCCAGGGCGTCGACCTCGGACACGAACTTCTCTGGCTGCAGGATCTTGTGCGGGAGGGCCGCGAAGGCAAAATCGAAGTAGTCCTCGATCTTGGAGTTCTCGAGACCTTGTGGCTTTGATATCGAGGACCAGATCTTGGTAAGATCCTGGACTAGGGTGTTGCGCAGGTTCTCGAGGGGGGTGTTCCCGATGTGATCGCGGATAACGAAGAAGAGCAGTGATCTCGGGTTGGATCTATATTAAGAAACAAAAAGGAAAGAATCTCGTCAGGAACGTCTATGTCTCCAACAAAGGAGTGCCCATGCTGGGTAGATAGGGATAACAACTCACTGTTTGTCCTTGAGGAAGAGCTGCAGATTGACCTCGAAGACGGTCTTCAACAGCCCCATATTGGCGCCCTGGTATAGACCAACCTGGTGTTCCCAGATGTTGACAATCAGGACCTCGCTGGTGGCGAGGGCGAACAGGGCGCTCTTCCTCTCAAAGTCCTGGTCTTCGCCCCTCTCGCGACCATCGGTACCCTCGACGTCCATGACGAGGATGTTGTCGGCCAGCTTGACGGCGCCGCCCGAGGACGATTCCTTCTTGTTCTTGGACATCCATATTCCCTTTGTGGTCTGCCGGCGTTCGGTCTCGGACATGACACTGAACTCGGTGCCAAAGAGGTGGTTGAGCAGAGTGGACTTTCCGGTGGACTGGGAGCCGAAGACGGAGATGAGGTGGTAGTTGAAGCCAGCTGCCGAGACATGGCTCTGGACGAGGTAGTCGCTGAGGTGAGAGCTGTCCTGGGCGTCAACATCACTGTTGGGGTTTTCCTTTGTCTGCTGCCAAAGCAGTCCTCAGGTCGGCAAAGAAAGGAGAGGCGTTCGACTGACTTGTATTGCTTGTCCTCATCAATGACTTGGACGCCATGTTCATATTGCTCAGCAGAGGGCGCATCGCCCACAGCAGAGAAATGGCCGTTCATGGTAGGTTGGCGGTGGACGACAGAGGAGGTGAAGCAGGGTCAAGATTGCAGTAGCAGCAGCAGTAGTAGTGGTAGATCCAGATCAGAAAGAGGATAGGGCCATACTTGATGCCGTGTTACAATACGGCAGAGGAGTTGCTCTAGGAGAAGAAGACAGAAAGAAAAAAGCCAAGAAGAGGCCACTGGTGCAGTAGGAACAAGCAAGCTGGACGACCAGGTCGTTCGGTTCGCATGTGGCCACGACCATGCTTGCAAGCAGCAAGTTGGCATGTCCCGGTGGCCAACGGGACGAGCTAGACATTGACAGGGGTCTAGTGGCCGAAGACAGCTATCATACCACGGACCATAGTAGCACAGCAGTTGGGTGCTATGCCAGAGTATGTACTAGCACTAACAGCACAATAGTGTGGAGGGTACAGAGACACCTCGCAGGAGGTCCAGATCTCCTAAAACTTGTCACCAGGCTCACATCACCTGCACAGGTCTACTAGCTTAAATATCGCAGTCATCTATGGGTACTAGTAAGAGAAGAAAGAGGAAAAGGTTGCCACAGGTTGTCAAGAGGTGAAGAGTGGTCCAGAGTGTGTGCCACAGACCTTCCGAGATCTCATGCTTAAATGGTCATCGTCTCCACGTCCAAGTGCAGTACGTACACTTACTTACACAGGCCAGCCACTCCAAGTAGCCCCTGTGCATGGGGGGAAATTTTTACTGCTACCCCTGTCCTCATGTCCCTCATCTGATATTCATTGTTGAATGTTCTGATATTCCTCTTTGTTGGATTCATCTCATCTCGACTTGTACCATGACCGGAGAAATTCCAATCTCGGGCTTTTACTTCCATTATTTTTGGACAGTGTTCTGATCAAAGCTTCTCCCTAGCCAAGGGTCCAGAATCTCACAAAGTCATTATGGGTGGACATCTAACAGTACATAGTAACAACCCCTCAACATTTTCCACTCCCCAACACTGCACACGTGCGCATGTGGCTCAATAGCCCAATGATTATAATGTTTGAGAATCTTCCAAAGTAGGATAGGACAGATCAAAGCAAGAATCCGAATACTCCTCTCAAGTCCTTCAAAAACCTGGAGAAGAAAGATGAAAAAGAAAGAAAAGAACCAAAGCAGCGCCAAAGAAAAAATGCCAAAAACTGTGCGCAAACCCGGAATCGAACCGGGGGCCCATCGATGGCAACGATGGATTTTACCACTAAACCATTTGCGCATCTCTTGTTTTTTAAGCCAAAATCAATCATTCAAGAACAGATAGGCGGGTCGGCTTGGGTCCACTCTGGCGGCACTCTGCTCAGAGGACTCGTCTGCTACATTGGCCGTGGGATTTCTGCCAGATCGTGAGCCATGTAGACGAAGCAGCGAGTTGTAAAATCATACGTAAATGTCTGCTTACCCATATTTCTTGATGAGCTTCCTCATGATGCCCAGCGCCGCATACCTATATTCCCCACCAAATAATGCGTAGTGGTTGAGATTGTGATACCTGCGCCAGCCCGTCTTGTTAGTTTCTCCCAGAATCGACCGTGTACATCTGTCATCTGTTTGTAGGGGACAATAGGCTCACAATTCGTAGAGCGCCATGCGGTCTTCCCATTCGGCCTTGGGTTCAGCCTTCGGTATCAGCCTTTCATACTCCTTCCAAAAGGCGCTGCCAAAGCCGCCAAACATGCGCATGATGCCCAGCTCGTACTCGGAGTGCCCGTAGACACACGACGGGTCGAAGATGACTTCCTCGACGCCCCCTTGGCCGCCCACGATCCCGCGTCCTTTGTTTCCATTCCACAGGTCGCCGTGCACCAGAGAGGGCGTGAGAGGCCCCATCGTGTCCTCGCCCAGCAGCCGGGGCACAATCTTGGAGGCGGTGACCTCGATGGCCTCCCTTAGCTCGGGGTCAGCCCCAGTGTCCTCTCCAGAGTTGGCATTGAGGCAGGCCCTCCCGATAGCGCGTATCCTATTGTCGGCATAGAACTCGGCCCATGTCGGCTTCCACGAGTTGTTCTGCTCCGTAGCCCCGCAGCACGTAGGCACGGGGAACCCGAACATGGGCCTATCATAGCCTTCGGGGATGGGAACTGGTGCCTTGTGCAGCGCCGCCAGCTTCTGCGCCAGCGAACGACCGGACCCCGGTGGGTCTGTGGCCTGCAAGTCGATCAGGTCTGTGACGATGAAGTAGTAGTCCAGACCGTTACCGAGCTCCCCGTGGCCACGAGATGCGGGACACAAGTCAGGCACGACGGCGTGGATCGCGTTTAGTGAGGCGTGTTCTCCTGGGCAGAATGAATGTCAGCTTCTTCAAATAGAAGTCTTACCTATCTCCATCACTCGCCCTCCCTCCTTTTTCTTCATCCCCTCCCCTCCTCTACATATAAACACATATGAACAAGATTGAAATGGGTGTGATGTGATGGAAGAGAATGTGCGAGTAAGAGCTTACCCCTAAACATAGTCGCTGCCTCGCTGCCTTTACCCTCCTTTGCAAAGTACGTTACCCGCCTCCCATTCTTCAGGCCTGAGAGATGAAAGGTCGCGGAGAAGTCTGAGCCTCCGTAATTTGTGAAAATGGCGTCCTCGGTGCTGAAGCCAACGACGTCCAATATGGCCGTATCTACTGGTGGCATGACCATATGAGGAGCATCAGCTATAGAAGACATCATGGTGAATAGCTTGAATTCAATTGGGATGCCAAGATGGACTGGCTATTCAGTAGATAGAAGGCAAAGTCTTGGGCAACATAAGAGGATAGAGTCGCAAGGGGGAGAGAGGGGGGAGGCCGTGGAGACTGGCCAACGTATGTACCAAGTACTGTTCAAATGGTATTTTAATTAACACAATATGACGTCACAGTCGTACGTGGGGCGCTCTTCCCGTAATGAGGATATGAATTTGGAACGCCTTTTTTCTTTTGCTCCCTCCATATTCTAGCTATTTCAGATACCAGCAAAAGTCCATTTTGTTTCATTTCGTCGACCAATCCTACCGAGCACCCAATTACGCCCATTCCATGTGAAATGCTTCAAAGAAAATGGCCTCGTCAGGCTATATGACATGGCTACGGAGGAAATAACGTCCACTCGTCCAACCCTTCACAGCCTCGAGCCTGCGAGTTTTCTGTGTGAGACACCCGAGCCCGACCCAAATCCCGGCGTTACACCACAGCAGCGCGATGTCTCAAGATGAGAAGTGAAGGCAAAAGCAAATTCGTCCACATTTCTTGCCACCCCAGCCACCACAAGTCTTCCCGTAACCAAACTCCCCTACTCTATCTTCGTCAGTGGTCTCATATCAGAAGCCACCGTATCGATACTCCTCCTCTTCCCCAGTGCATGGCCAAACCTGCCGCTCCCGGCCGCCAGCCCGGCGAACGGGTTCGACAGCCGCAGCCTGTGGCCCACAGGGACGATGATGATGTCGCTCAGCTCTTTGGCAGGAGCCCGGCACGCCTCTCGCAAGGCGCGTTCCTCACTGTCACCGTGGAAGCACCTGGCGCAGGGGCAGACAGGGGGTCGCTCGGTCGTCGCGTATTGGGAAGGGTGGTTTGAGGCGCGAATGCCGAAGGCCATTTTTTTTCTTTTCCTCTTTTTGATGGAGAGGATGGCAAGGCAAGGGTAATTTTTTTTTTTTTCCCCCTCCAAATAATATTCGATGGTCTCGGAAAGACACGGGATTTGTCGTTTTCTTCTTAAGGTGAGAGTCCCTCCCGGGGGTATGTCGGACTTGAGCCGCAATTGTGGATCTTCAAAAACAATGAGACGAAGGTGAGGCGATTCCCAATTTGTGAAGTGAGGGCTCCACTCTTCGTCTTGAGAAGCAAAAGGGTGGATGAGATGGATCGGTAAGTTCTAGAGCTCGCTGTCTATCCTTACGAATTCTCACTTAATTATTGTTTTCCTTTTCGTGGGGGGCCAGCAGTCCTTTATATGTTTATGCATGCTGTCCCTGTTCTTATCTGGCAGACCGCCTTACCATAGAGTATGTATATATCCCCACGCACAATGCCGAGCGCTTGCGAGTCACTCGCGACGCGAAGCCCTTTAGTTTACTTCTGCGTGTTCCTTTCATGCATCGTACGTGCATGATCCCTCCCGTCCATTTTTACTTCTGCTCACATCTCCTGGCCCCCTTCCTCTCCTACAAATCAAGATCAAACACGCGAAAAGTCGGTGTCCCGCCCGTGTTGGGTGACTGGCTAGCTGTACCGACACCACCTGCAGCGGCTCAGCTCGCCCGTGCCGTGTGCCATGGGCCCTCTCGCAACCTTTACTCTCTACATGCAGATCCTCCTCCAGCCACTTGCAAGCCTTCTTTTGTGCCAGAGGAGAAACTGCTGCTGACGACCTGGCGCCGGAGAGGACAAGCTGCTGATAGCATAAAGGGACCCTCCCCTTCCTTCGGCCCCTTTAAACTCTCGTCACAGCGCAACTTGCAAATACATGCTGCATATTAATGAATCAATAGTGATACTACCAGCATTAGGCACGATCACTGGTACTATGCACATCACCTCACCCATGCAACCACCCGCTCACTACATGCCGTGCCTGCAGAAGGGGCCGCATCGGGCGGCTAAACGGCCTCCAAATCGCCCCAGAGTAGTAGCCCTGCTGTGTATATGCATAATTACTGTTGCAATATCATCTACACAGCTGAGAGAAGGAAGGACTTCACAACTTGTGGCTGGACAGAACTTTGGTCGTGGTGTCGAATTGGAGGGATGGGGGGCTCTTCGGCAAAGTACTGCCGATCAATGTATTTGCTTCCTTTCTCCAAATCCTGGGGGCGCGCAACTATTTCCATCCTCTTGCGCGTCGAACTGATGTGTCTATTAGATGCAGGATGATTAAAGTACTCTATGCAGTGATGATGTGGGGGCAGAAAACATAGTCAGCTCACGTAGTACCAACCCTTTTGGAATGACGACTGCGTGCGAGTATAGCCCCTGACATACCATTCACTCTAGCCAACCAGGAGCGTGGAAGTCAAATGCTCGTCATAGACAGCGGAATAACAACAGCAGAACGAGAAGAGAGAGTGAGAAAAACACAAAGGAGGATCCCATTCTCTCGGCCCAGGCAGACGGCTCGACTAAGCAGGGGACGGACAATGCGATGGGACGTTGCGTTCTCAGCGCCGCCCGAGCCAGAGTCGGTCAGCTCCCACTCACCGCTGCTCGAAAATGTCACTGCTGATATTTAGTAATGGTTGTCGATGAGACAAAGGCGTGAAGAATTCCGCCCTGACAATACTATTGTCTCGGGAGGACAAAGGCGGGGGGTGGTCTCTCGGGCAAGTCCCTGCAGAGCAACAACGGCATGCCAATGTGAGAGGGGAAATAGAAAACCACGTCATGAACAAAGAGAATATCCAAAGAGTCCTTGAATCTTTCTTTTTGAACTTAAAAAAAGGAAGAAAAAAAATCAAATCCCCAACTACCTCCCTTTGTACTATTCATTGAACTATATTTTGCAGAGTAATGAAGAATGCCATTGTCGTTAAACTTCATGACCGGACCTATAAGCTCGACACGTACTTCATGTGACCCCTAATACATAATCCTGAGTCGTATAGGCCTGCTGGTCACACTGTCGAAGTTTGTAGATAAAACAAATGCAGTGATACTGACAGAGAAAAAGAAGAAGAAAAAGTAAATGCAAATGGAAATGGAAATGGAAAGAAAAACCTTGTGGCCCAAGATGACAAGGAACCGCCCCTACAGCAACCACCCCTTCGCCCGCACCAGCCCCAAACACCCCAAAACAACCCTCATCTTCGGCCAACACGCCGCCGCCAACACCACAGCCCACAGCTTTGCCCACCAGCCCCCAAAACAACTCCTCCGAGGCAACTGCATTCCCAACGAGCCAGGCTACGCGCCCAACCCTTTCCGCCAGGACATACTCCGGCCCGCAAAGACCACCACCTTCTTCACCGCGCGGGTTCCCAAGGGTAAGACGCTGCCGATGCCGAGCAGCCGTTTCCACAAGACCAATGCAGGCGACGAGATCGACTGGCTCAGGCTTCTGGACCAGCTGCGGCCCATAGCTATCCAGAAGCAGATGTCCTACATCTCTACCTCCCCCGGTAGCACGCAGCAGCAGCAGCAGCAGCAGCCCAAGCTCTCGCGCGCCGTCAAGGTCTTCCTCGTCGTCTCAACGATCCAGCAGCCGGGGCTTGGCGGCTTCTACAGCATGCTCTTGCAGCTCGTCGTCATCTACCTGTTGACCAAGAGGAGGTAACTCCCTTCCGCGCGGCTGCGGGTTTGGAGTGCCTAGGTAAGGCCAGAGACAGCCGTAGCAGAGGCGGTCCCCCTCCTTCCCGATGGCCACGACCATAGTAGAACAAACCCCTTTCTACCCGAAGGTACCCTTTGTCAGAACCTGTGGTGTGGCAAGAGACACCTTGAGGGTGAAAAATCAGCGTATACAAACTGCTAGACTTGACCAGGATTGATGTAGAAATGCGAGATGAGAGACATGGCACAAAAGCAAGCGCAGATTGTTGGAGGCCATGTCCAGGTCAGTAAGGAAAAAGAACATCTCCCATCATGTCTTGATGTAAGTGCCGTGAATTCTCAACCAAAGTCTATCCTTTGCTGCTGCGCGGTCCCCCCATGATGATTGCATAGAGAGAGAGAGAAAAACAAAACCCGCCCCGTATGTGAGATAATACACCGGAAACCGTCCCCCCCCCCCCTGACACATACAGAAACCCCCTAATTAGATCCCCAGAGAGAACTCAACGCCGACATCGATATCCCGCGCTAATGGTATGAATTGTCAGCTCTGATGCCACGAGGGATGTAGAAGGGAGGGAGAGGGAGAGGAGAAGAGGTATATATAGTGACTTACCCATCTTGACAACCTTGGAGAGCTGCACAGACCTCTCGGCAGCGCTCTGCAGGTCATCGATGGAGAAGATCTTCATGCCGGAGTCGTTGATAAGAGCGTGAGCCTGCTCCATGTTGGTGCCCTGGAGACGGGCAATGATGGGGATCTTCAGGTCGAGGGCCTTGACGGTGTTGATGAGACCGTGGGCAATAGCATCGCAACGCACGATACCGCCAAAGATGTTGACAAAGATGGCAGTGACCTTGGGGTCGCTGGTGATCAGCTCAAAGGCCTCCTTGATGGCGGCCGGGGTGGCACCACCACCGACGTCGAGGAAGTTGGCGGGCTGGCCGCCGTTCAGCTTGATGATGTCCATGGTGGCCATGGCCAGGCCGGCACCGTTGACGAGGCAGCCGATGTCACCGTCCAGCTTGATGAAGTTCAGGCCGGACTGGGCAGCGCGGACCTCGTCGGGGTCCTCCTGGGTGGTGTCGCGCCACTCAAAGACCTCCTTCTGTCTGAAGTCGGCGTTGTCGTCGAAGCCAAACTTGGCGTCCATGCACATGACCTTGTGGTCCGAGGTCTCGGACAGGGGGTTGATCTCGATCTGGGTCGAGTCCTTCTCGGAGAAGATCTTGTACAGCTTCTGGATGGTGTCCTTGGCCTCCTCGATGCACTGCTCGCTGAAGCCCAGCTTGGTGGCGATGTCGCGGGCGATGTCGTCGGTGACGCCGACGTTGATGTCGATGTAGTGGGTGTTAATGGCATCGGGGTTCTCCTTGGCGACGCCCTCGATGTCCATGCCGCCCTGAGAGGACGAGACAATGACGGGGCCCTGGGACGCACGGTCCATCAGGACGGCCAGATAGAACTCGCGGCGGGCAAACTTGCGCTCGCAAATGTAGACCGAGTTGCAGAGCCTGCCGCCGGCGCCCGTCTGCTTGGTGATGAGCTTGTGACCAATCATCTGCTCGGCAAACATCTTGGCCTCGGTGGGCGAGTAGATGACACGAACACCGCCCTTGAGGCCGTTGTCGAACGAGCCCTTTCCTCGGCCGCCTGCGAGGACCTGCGCCTTGATGACCATATCCTCGCCGCCAATCTCCTTTGCCACAGCCTCAGCCTCGGCAGCCGTCTTTGCGACGGAGCCCTTGGGAACGCCGATGCCATACTGATGTGTGAGTGAGAGAGAGAGAAGTTATAATTAGCCCCTGTGAATCCTTGGCGCGGTTTCGACAACGATGGGAGAGAACAGACTGCATACCTGGCGGAGGAGGTCGGCCGACAGGTACTCGTGGATGCTAAGGTTTCGTCTTTGTTGGGCGAGGCCGGGGAGTCTGACGGAGGGAGACAGCTAGAACCGTAGTAAGAATAGAGAGTCAGCGAGTGTAGTCTTCTCCAAGGAAGGGCCCATGTCTGTTATCTTCCCGACTGGAAAAAGGCAGAAGAACTTGCCTTGGGCGCGGCAAAGGCCGAGGCCAGGGCTCGGCTGCGGGCGAGCTTGTACATGGCGGAAATGTTTGAAAAGAGGGCGAAAGGTATCAGGGTATCTATTGAAAGAGAGAGAGAGGAGAGGAGAGGAGAGAGGGCGGAGGGGTTTGGTCGATATGTTGTCGTCCTGGTCGATGCTTGGAACGGCAAAAATCGCGTTTTAGCTGACAGGGTGAGGTCGAACTGGTAGCTTGTCGCAGGGAATCCGCAGGGAATGACGAGCTGCCAAACTGTCCCGGCTTAAAGAGTAAGAGTGGGTCTCGTGCGCCAATGAAAGTCCCAAGGCCATCCTCGGCTACGATAAACGATCATCGATAAGGTTTCGCCCATAGGAGGAGATGCCGTGTCTCTTTCTCTCTCTTCCTTCTCTTTCTCTCCAACAGTGCCAATGTAGAAATTGAATAGAGAGACATTGTTGACTCTTTGGTGTTACCCCAATACTAATTCATATTCATGTAAAGAGATGATTCTTTGTGGGCTTCAATTCCCACAAGGTCATTTCAGGTAATGCTGGCCTATCCCCTGTATGATGGATACCCATTCTGATCACATGAAAGAAAGATGCTAATGATCTTTCCCTCCATAGAGATACCATACTGGAGGGGTACCATCTATCTCATCGTTCTCTGGGCTTCTTTTCTCTTTACATACATCATCCTGGCTGATCCCTGGCAAGTTTCAAACCATTCGACTGCCCCTATGGCTCGCGCTCAGTCCCGAGCCATGTTTCAAAAAAGGCCATTTAAGACGAGAGAATCAATGAAATACTACAGTACTTACCTTCACAAGACCCCGACCCCAGCCCATTTTCTGTCTCCATCGATCGCCTCAATCCTTGGGTCTATCTATATCTACTATGTTCATACACTCTGCCGTGCCGTAGATCACCATCAGGTGAGCATGTCAGAATAACTCAGCTGCGGGGTTTACACCCATTCAGCCGTTGCGTCTAATTCATAGGACAACTTCCGACCAGAAAGGAGGGGGAAGGGGCTTCTCCCCGAGTCCTCTGTCATCACGAGAAGCAGCTGACACCGTCTCTCTTTCTCTTCTCTTCCTCTCCTTTCTTCTATGAACATACTCTCCGTCTAGCCCACGAAAGGAAATACGATGCGACGTACATAATTCGTCCTGTCTACACTTTACACTAATGTACACGGCGATCTTTTTCACCTCGCATCCAATTACAAGAGAAGAAAAATCCCAGCATCAAATAGAAATACGTCAACAAAGGATGGGATAGCCATGCACCATTGGCTTCATATGCATAATTAACCTTGGAAGGATGTAGGCAGTCTGACGTTTCCCGAGGTTACTGGGTTTGGTTACCCACTCGCCTACACTCGCCCACACACACACACACACACACACACACACACACACACACAGACACACACAGACTTACACTCTTCCAACCCCTCTTCCACTCAAGTGCAAGGGGTCTTCCTGCCCCCCCCCCCTTCCCTAGTTTGTTTTACTTACCTTACTCCTGCAGATTCAACCCTGAGCCTGTGAGTCCGCGGCTCGTTCATGGTGGGGAAAAGGCCCCAACCCCGGGAAATGCATGTGTGTGGGTTCTCGGGAATGATGGGATACTGTGGTGGTAGTTTAGTAGGGGTTGAGTCTGGAGGATATTACAAGTACATGGATAAAACCACTTACGATACCCAATGCGGGCATTGCAGCCAAGAAACTCTTTTCTTCTCTTCTCCTTAGCAAGGGCCTTGCATCCGTACGCTCTGACACCGGGGGCATCAAAACTCGTTCGAACAACTATCAGACGCATGGTAGTATTATATTAATACCAAAGGCCAAGTCTCTTCTCCTTTGCTCTCCATCATCGATTCCAATCTGATGAGATTCATCATTTATTATTATGCTTCGTTTCTGCCTTTATTCTGAATGAGAAGAAGGCTGGTATCGAACTCCACAAGGACTGCCGACTTATATAACACAAACTTCCATTACATACTTTGATCTTTCAGCACGTGGTATCTTTGGTCTGGCAGACTGGCGCCCCTCAAAAAGATGCTGCTTCGAGACTTCCTCAGCCTTGGGCCTCTGTACCTGAGCGGCCTCATCATCATTCCCCTCGTCCTGTGGTTCATCATCGTGCCTCGATATACAACCCTTCAGATAAGACGGATAGGTGGAACCAGGGCTCACGTCCTCTCGACCAACCCCCTCACGGGCATGCGCTGGCTCCTCGACGCGGGCAGGAAGCACAGCCAAGACAAGCTCCAGGACTTCTTCCAGGATCTTTACAAGAACGCACCCCCCAGCAGCCCCAACTGCGTCGAGATCTCCGTCTTGGGCAGGCGACGGTATATCATCACGCAGGAGCCCGAGCACATCAAGACGATCCTCACCTCCAAGTTTGCCGACTTCGGCAAGGGCAGGCGTTTTCACGAGACATGGAGCCCATTCTTGGGGGATAGCATCTTCACCACGGACGGGCGGCTGTGGCAGGACAGCCGGGGCCTCATCCGGCCCATGTTCATCAAGGAGAAGGTCTCGGACTTGCTCATCTTTGAGAAGTGGACCCAGGCCATGATGTCCAAGATGCCCGCGTCAGGAGGGACCGTCGGGATGCAGGACCTGTTCTACCGCATGACTCTGGATGTGACGACTGATTTCCTGCTCGGCTCGAGCGTCGGCAGTCTCGACAAGTGAGCTTGATAATGAAGGGCCCCGTGCTTCCCTGGGAAAATGACTGTTGTCGCTGATGAAAATGAGTCCAGTCCCAAGCATGAATTCGTCCATGCCTTCACCGACGTTCAGAGAACGCAGATGATGTATATGATCTTATAGTACGTCGTCGTCGGAGATCCCTCTTGCCCTTTCGGTATGACAATTCTCGCTAACGTCGACTCATCATAGCCCCCTGAAGGCATTCATCCCTAATGGAAAGTATCTGCGAGGTATCAAGACGATTGAGCGGTTCATGGAGCCATATATTGCGCAGGCCCTCGCCATGAACCCCGAAGACCTCGAGAAGCTCTCCAAGTCGGACAAGAACTGCACCTTCCTACACCAGATCATGCGGTATAGCCGAAATCCCAAGGTCCTGCGGTAGGTTTCCCCCCTTTCTTAGTGAGAGTGAGTTGGGAGATTACTTCAAGCTCGTGCCTTTTCTCTCTCTCTCTCTCTCTCTCTCTCTCTCTCTCCTTCCCTCCTTCCCTCCTTCTAACGTCGACGGTGGCCCGAGCAGCGACCAAATCATGGCGATCCTCCTAGCAGGCCGCGACACCACAGCCGCGACCCTCTCCTGGTGCGTATACGAGCTCGCGCGCTACCCAGCAGTATACGGCCGGCTGCGCGGCGAGATCCTGTCGACGGTGGGCGAGTCCCGTGCCCCGACATACGCGGACCTCAAGCGCATGACCTACCTTACGCACACCCTCAACGAGACCCTGCGGCTGTACCCGGCCGTACCGTATAACCTGCGCGCCGCACTCGAAGACAGCACGCTCCCTAGCGGCGTGCCGGGCCGCCCGGACATCGGATGTCTCAAGGACGACATGGTCGTCTACAGCACCCTTGCCATGCAGCGCCGCGCAGACCTGTATCCGCCTGTCAGCGACACCTTTGCCGACCCGGCGCTCTTCAGTCCTGATCGCTGGGATCACTGGACTCCCAAGCCGTGGCAATACGTCCCGTTCAATGGTGGCCCGAGGATTTGCGTTGGCCAGAATTTTGCTGTGAGTTCTCCCCCCCCCCTCTCCTCTGTCCTGTGCCTTCTTGTCCCTCTCTCTCTCTCTCTCTCTCTCTCCCTCTTTTATGCACTTCTTTTCAAGGCGGCATTGCAAATTTCATGAATTTCCGGTGCCTCTTCCTTGCCAGCTGCTGATGACTGAGCTTCCCACCTCCACAGATGACAGAGATGGCATACTGTATGGTTCGCCTCCTCCAAAAGTACGACCGACTGGAATATCGAGGAGACTGGTCTGCACAATGCCACAAGGCTGAGATTGTCGGTTGTCCGGGCGATGGGGTCCCTGTGGCGTTCCATGAGGCTGAGAAGGGTGATATCGCTTGAAGAGTAGCGGTGACGTAACTATGAATAGGGAAGAGTACAGAAATAGAAGGAAGAAAGAAGAAGAAGAAGAAGAATATAAAGGAAGTGACGATTTGACGACCTGAGACGCTAGGCCTATCCGTTGACGATTAAAAGAAGCCTTGGCTCCGCAACAAGTTATGAACGCGATTTTGTGACTGGAGACTCTCTTCACCTTTCATCAGTTTGTCTATCAATATGTACTCGTGTATTCATATATGATATAGACCAGTCATTTCTTGAGGACAAACTGCCAGAAGCCACGCTGAGACATTGACGGGAAAAGTGCTACTTCCGATATATCTGTACATCGTGTTGGTGTAACAGGTGCTAAAGAAACACGCACAGTGTAATGTTACAGAGAGAGCTTGACAGGGGCTCAAGGTAAACCCCCCCCCCCTCTGGGCCCCCCACAGCGGCTCAGTCCGCCGTACCGCTTTTGTCAAATAAGCCTGACCATACGGCTCTTTCGATAAAGAGACGTGAAATCCCTTATCGTGGATTTTTCAAACTACCTGTATGTACCATCTCAGCATCCATCTCAAATAAACTGGAGAAGGATAAAATTGCAAAGCAATAATTCCACACAAGGCCACGAGGTAGTAGTCCTCTCCTCCACCTGAGCATAGAACGAAAAGTCAAGTACAACTTTCTACCCAAAATGGCAACCCCAAAATCAGGCGGCACCAGTCTCCCCACGGCCAGAGACCACGCCGCCACCGTAAACAAGATGAACATGCTCCTCGCCAAACACCAGAACACAATCAGCGCCCTCAAGAGACGCACAACAACAACACCAACATCACCATCGCCTGCAGACAAGACCACAGACGGCACCAGCACCAGCAACAAGCCCAAGTCAAGCTTCTCCTCCCTCGCCGGAACCAGGGTCACAGCCTCCTCACCAGCCGCCAGCAGACACGCTCCAGTATCATCAAGGAACAAGAATGACGACGACGATGACGACCTCCAGGTCATAGCCGACGGCGCAGGCGTCGGATTCGTGCCGGCGGGCACCAAGGAGGCCCAGGACTCGTCGGCCAGGGCGGCTGAGACGCGGGATCTGCGGGGCAAGCTGCTGGGCAAGAGGGCGCGGGAGCAGAGAGAGGACGCGGCGGCGGCGAGGAGGCGGGGGGAGAACAAGAAGAAGCGGATGATGGACGGGGGCAGTAGTGACGAGGAGGGAGGGAGGAGCTCCATTGGGAAGGCGAGGGTTGGCGGGGGGAAGAAGAAGAAGGGGGAAAAGAAAGAAGGAGGGGAGTAGGCGGGTGCGGATAAGGATGAGGATGAGAACAGAAACTTGCCGATACGCAATGGATAGCATCCTGTAAGAAAACTTCCAAGATTGGCATGTCCTTCACAAAGAGGGAGAGAGGCAGAGAGGGGCCATATGTCGTCCTAGCGCATTATGATGGAGTGTGTGTGCTCTCATTGCCCGTGAGGAATGATTCACAGGCTGCCCACCAAAGGCAACCTTATAATCACATCTATTGTCAGACAAGACAGAAGCTGCATAGCTCAGGGGAAGAGCGCCGGGCTCATAACTCGGAGGGCGTTGGATCGAAACCAGCTGTAGCTATGTGTAATTTTTTGAGCTTTTGCTGGGTTGATTTCTCGTAAGTTTCTTGCGTCTCTCAGCGAACATGGTTGGCCCTATCACTAACATGAAGGCTGAAAACTCAACAATATATACTCAACATGTATAATCTTGAATGACTAAGTTCTGTATAAAAGACTGCATGGACAAGAGGGCCGTGTTGCTACTCACTGGTTGAGTGGTATGAAGATATCTAACCCAATTTGTGATATATAAGAAACAGTATTTCTGAAAACATGCACGTAACGCTATGTCATTGCCTTCCTCTACAATTGTCAACTACATGAAACTATGTTTTCAGTGTCCCCAGGAATCTGCATCAAACACAGGCTGGCCGTATCCTCGTTCACCCTGTCCCGCTGTGGCCCCTCTTGCAGGCTTGTTTGCTTGTTTTGCTCGTCCGCTCGCTCGTTATGAAACGCCCCTCTGACCACACAATCGACCGAAGAGAAAACAAGAAAGGATATCCATCATAATAATCGTCGCATTGAAGGAGAAGAAAAGCCAGACTGCTATCATCAAGACACCGTTGCCTCTAGTTACAACCCCGTCATCCATCGTGAAACATTAACCAAACACCCAGGTCTCCCTAGCCCTCGTACAACATCACCTCGCCCCCCTCGCTGCTGGGGGTCACACCACCATCAGACGTCGCATAACCCACCCCACTGACCTCACTGTCTGTACCCGAAAGGACGCTGCTTCCGACGGCACTCTCGGTCCAGTCGCTGGCTGATTCCGAGTACATCTCATCGTCTGCTCCCTCCGAGTTTGTGAAGGCGGCTGACTGCAACTCAGAGGGGCTATACTCGCCCGACTGCAGCTCAGAATGCGTATACTCTGAGTCCGTTATCGTCCCCGTGCCGCTATGCAGACTCGACCGCCGCAGCGTGCCAGTTTCGCTCTGCACATCGCTGTAGGTCTCGTAATAGTCCTGGCTAGGATTTTCAGACACAGTGCTCGCAAGAGGTGCAGCATCAGTAGGCGTGGCAAGGACGACTTCACCACCGTGGTGTTCGTCCTCCTGGTTGTAGAGCTCTTCTTCGTCGCTCTCTCTAAGCGCAACGACGTCCAAGTTGACATTCTCCTTGTCGCCTTCGTCACTATGATGCAAGTCTCCATAACCCTTCTTATTGTTCATTCGCCCACCCCAACTGCCCTTCCTGAATGCGCCCGCGCCCCCGAGCGTCTTGACGCTCTGGCTCCTCTTGAAGGCCGTGCCTGCATTCGCTGTGCTGTTGAAGCCGGGTTTCTTAATCTGGCTTAAAGAGAGGATGCGGCGGGCTTGTTGTTGCCCGTTGAGAGCAGACTGCGGATCGAGCACGTTGCGGTTGGAGTTCAGCGCCGTCTTGAACGCGACAGTGTGCTGGGCCTTGGGTGTGGTCTGCTTCGACTCGGTTTCTGCGCCCCCGTCTTCGGCGGCTGGTTTTTGAGAGGTGACCCGCTTACGGCTCATCACATCACGTGCAGCTTTCTTGGATGACTTCGCCATGAGAAGCAGCCGTGACTGGTCCATGACACCCTCGAGAATACGACGTTCGAGGCCTTCCGCGCGATGTTCCATCTCGTGTAGCTCCTCCCGCCGGATATTGAGCGCAGTCTCGAGTGAGGACACGTCACCGGTCAGACTGACCTTCTGCCTGACCAGAGACTCCTGTTCCACCTTAAGGCTCACGATACTCTTCCTCAGGCGCTCCTCCTCGGCTTGTAGACTTGCGACGGTAGCCTCCGCCTCATCTCTCTGCACAGTGCGGCGCTCGAGCTCGAGCATTGTCTCGTGAAGGTTAGATTCCATGTCCTTCATGGTCTTCTGTTTGTCCTCGTGATCATCTGCGATGCGCTGCGTCTGCGCGGCGAGGAAAGCGGAGAGCTCGGTGGCCGTCGCAATGACCTGTTGGTGGACCTTGTCAAGCGTGCTCAGCTGCTCAAAGGCCTTATCGGCTGACTGGGTGTGATCCACAAGTCTGTCAAGCTTCTCATGGACGTGGCTGTCATCGTACTTCTCAGGAGCGGGAGGAAGCATGAGCGGTTCTGGCTTGGCCTCTTCGATCTTCTGGCCAATCTTCTCCTCGATCTCAGAGACGGAGGCCTTGGAATGCTCAAAGTGCTGTCCGACCGTGTCGAGAACACTCTGGACAGCCTCAAGAATCTTGGGTTGGTACTCGTTGACCTGTCCCTGAAGCCCTTCAAACGCACCCATGGCCTCCTTGACCTGATCACGGGTCTGCGTATGCTCGGACTTATTTTGAGTGTGGTTGTCATCAGTCTTCAGAACCAAGTCCTCAACATGTGTAAAGACCGTCTTCGAAGCCTCTTCCATCTTTTCGAGTGACTCGGTGACGGTAGAACCGAGTGTATCGATGAGACTCTTCAGCTCCTCGGCCACAGCCTTTGTGCCAACGACAGCACCCTCGAGCACCTCGTCGCGAGCTTCGCCCGTCTTGTTGCGCTCGTCGATAGCAGACTGAAACTCCTCGTACTTGGCGATCACCTCGTCAATACGTTCGTCAATCTTGGTGCGCAGGGTCTCGGTTGTCTGCTCGAACTTCTCGTCCGTCTCGAGTTTCGCACCAACCACTCCAGCCTTCGACTCCTCGAACTCAGTCTTCATGGTTTCAAACATTTCCTTGAGGTCAGAATGCACGTTTGCGTTTTGCCCAGCCGTCTCGCTCAAGGTCTCCAATGACTTGCTTAGGCCCTCGACACCGGTGATGCCAGTCTCGAGCTTCTCCTTGACAAGCGTCTGCATCTCCTCGAGGAATGCCTTGACCTCCGTCACACGCTCACTCACACCCACCGTCTCTGCCTGACGTTCTTCGAATTGTTTGGCATTTTCCTCAGCGTGCTGCTCTGACAGCTCCTTGAGCTCGGTTGCGTGCTTCTCGGCGGCCTCCTTCAGCTCTCCCGCATGTTTTTCTGCAGCTTCTTTCAGCTCGGTGGCTTGCTTGTCGGAAATCTCCTTGAACTCTTTCACCAGCGATTCGAGCCGCTCAAGGTCTTCTTTCGTGGAAAGAGAGGCAATGTCCGACTTGACCATCTGCTCGACCACCCCCTTGACGTCCAGACAGACAGCCTCGATCGCGTCCGTGTCCGTCTTGGTGACTTTTTCGGGATCTTCGAGCTGCTTCTCGTGACGCTCCTTCATCTCATCAAAGGCACCAATAACTTGGGTGACGAGGGACTCCACGGCCTGGGTGTCTTCACGAAGTGCGATCTTCTCAAGCTGCTCAGTCAGACCGCCGAGACTCTCCTTCGTCTCCAGTATGAGGACCTCGAGGGCGTCGACGTGGTCTTTCCGGACTGCCTGCTCTCCATCCATAAGCTCATCCAAGCGACTCTTGGTGTTTCGGAGAATCGTCTCGATAGCCTCGACATCCTCCTTCGTTGCAGCGTCAGTTGAGACAGGAGCATCTCTCACCGTGGCGGCAGCGGGCTCTTTGCTAGCAATTTCTGCAACCTGCTCCTTGATATTGTGCAGCATGTCCTCCATGAGAACTATATCATCCTTCGAAAGTGAAGAGCCTGTCTCGGATGCTGCCGCAGCCGGGACTGGATTCGGTTCCATGGCCTCGACCTTGATGCGGAGCTGCGAGATGAGCACCTCGAGGTTCTTGATATCCTCGTGCTTTAGAACATCAGCAGCAACGACCGCATCACTTGCGACAGGTGCCAAAGCCTTGCTCTCCTCTCGCAGCTCTTCGATATCAGATTTGACACCATCAAGGCCGGTTCTGAGGGCATCGAGGATCTCGTCATTGGCAGTCAAATCTGCTGGCTTATCACTCAACTTGTCGATGCTGACTCGCAGATCGGTAAGACCCTCCTGTAGGGCATCGAGAACTTCATTCGTGCCGGCGACTGGGCGCTGGCTGATTTCCTGCCGCAGACTTCCGATTCCCTCCTGAAATGCCTGGAGAATTTCGTCGTGATTGACTGACGAGGGCTGCGAGGATGCAGGCACCATTGAAGTGTTCACTGCGTCACGCAGCGACTCAAGCTCCTCCCGGATGACATCTTTTGAGCCGTCCGACTGCTTGGCGACCATGTCGGCGATCTCATCACGGAAGACATCCAAGCTCTTCAGAAGGTCCTCCATGAACTCCTCTTGGCTCGCAACTCCGGTTGCCCGGTCGACATAGCCCTCAATGTCGGCACGAAGCTTCTCGAAGCCATCTTTGGTGGCATCGAGGACCTGCTCGGTATCTCGACCATTAGCAGCTACGTTCTGCTTGGCCTCATCCGAGACGGCCTTGAACTCCGACTGCATATATTCCATGATGTCGTGGAGACGTGCAACGATCTCCTCACTGTTGCCTTGATAGGGAACCAGTGGCGCACCGTCCTTCGCATGTACATCCATGTTCTCGAGGCCTTGCTTAACGGCATCGATCATGTCTTGCTTCGAAAGATCAGCGTCGAGAGCGGACGCAGCCACAGGGAACTCAAACTCTTCCAGACAGTCACGAACTGCCTCGATGATTTCATCGCGAGATAAGGTCTCCGGAACCTGGATCGGTGGAGGCGTGAAGTGCTTCAAACCTTCCACTACCGCCTTATAAACCTCTTCTCTGGTAGCTCCTGGTTCCTTGTCGTCCCTTGGTGCATGCTGCATGAGACCTTCTCTCAGACAAGCGAGGACCTCGTCTCTCTCGAGACCGATTTGCTGGACCTCGATCTCGGGCTTGTAGTTCTCCCAGGCATCCTTTACAGCTTCAATGACGTCCTCCCTGTGGAGCGCAGGAGCATCGTCCTCAAGAGCCTTAGAATCCTTAAGAGCTGTCCTCAAGGCGTTGTAGATCTCCTGGTAGTCGACTTCGGGGGTCCTGTTGGCAGTGATAGCAGCGGCAGACTGTCGGAGGTGGTCGCGCGTGAGCTGGTTCATATGATCCTTCATCTCCAGCAAGCCTTCCTCCACGACCCGATTGATCTCCCTACTGGTCGCAGCTGCAGTCCTACTCTGGTTGGTCTCAGAAACCTCGTCCAATTTGCGGCCGATCTCCCGGCCCATGCCGAGGACCTCGCCGCGAAGCTCCCGGACAAGGGCCTTAACCTCGGCCGTCAGACCGCCTCCCTGAGCGACGCTGTCCTTGACGGTGCGGATGATTTTTACAAGGTCATCGCTGATGACATCAGCTGCGACTCTCGTCCCGGGAGACTGATTGTTGTCCTGAATGAGCCGTTCGACGCGAGCCTCAGAGCCGTTCCTATATTCATTGGGACCATCACTAAAGCTCTTGTTCCTGGGGCGGCCGATCTTGCCTCCGCCAGCCCCACTGCCGCCTTGGGCAAGAACTAGAGACTGGTCCATGTTGGTCCTGATGAGGCGTTGAAGGTCGTCAACCTTTTGTTCCACGTTGAAGCCGTCAAGCTTCCTTGCCAGATCAGAGAGTCGAGACATCAGCTGCTCCTGCCCGTCCTTAGTACTCATGTCACGAATGATCTTGTCAAGTAGGCCGATCGTGGCGGACGCATCTGTACCAGCGAGTGACGGTGTGCTTATGTCGTCCCGGTCTAGGGATGCCGCAAAGCTGTTGGGTGAAGGTATGCGAGGTAGAGCGAAGGGTCGCATGTTTGAGCCGGCCCTGGAGGATGGAGACAGTGATGCTGGGGCGTAAGGTTTGTTCTCAAGCAAGAGGGGCCCTCCGTACATGTCCCGCGATGCTGAAGAAACGGTCCTTGACGACACCTCTTGCATGTTGTGCAGGAGATCACGCATATTCTTCCTTATATCCTCGTCTCTGGTATTTGTTGCCTCCTTCAAGCTCAGAAGGTCTGTCGCGTTGTCTCTGCTCCGTCGACTCAGCTGAGCCATCTCCTTCTGCAGAGCTGTTGCAATGTTCGTCAGGGTGAGGATCTGCCCGGATATGTTCTCGATCGATTGGGGGTTCTTCGTTGGGGACATCGAGCCATTAGTGGCGTTGGCCAGGGGCGTGTCGACATCTCTTTTGGAGGGCATTTCTTTGGGGGCAGACATGTTCTGTAGAGCAAGCATGGTTGCCGACTGCGGTGGTGTGTTCTCGCCCAGAATACTCGACTGAGGCCGTCGCGGCATCGGTCTTACAACAGGCGTCAAGCTGACGACGCCTGCTGGAGTGAGAGAGGCCCGCTGCTCTGGGTCCTGCTCGTCGGATCTCACGTCGTTGAAAGGGTCGGTCTTTGATCGTGCTGGCGTGACGGGCAGCTCCCTGTCTGTCTTTTCGGGTGACTTGCTGAGCTGCCCCCCCTCGAGCATGTAGCCCACATCTCTCACAGAGGCCGGCTGCAGAGACTGCATGCGCCGGTGGGCAGCGCCCTTCGCCAGTGATCTCTCAGGAGAAGAGTCGGTGGGGCGTTTTGTGAGGGGATAGGGCACCAGGGCGTTTTCCCTGGCCTTTTCGCTGAGGGCGGCATGTGCCAGCTGGATAGCCGATGATGTGCCTGTACGGGAAGTAGCCGTGCCAGGCGACTGCGGGTTCAGAGGCAGAGGAGGAGGCGCCCGCTCGGGATCTGAGCTGTCCCACCTATTTCTACTCAGCTTGCGGAATAGGCTAGGCATGGCAATGTCATGACGCGCTGGAGAGGGTCGTCGTCGTCGTCGTCCGCCTTGTGCGTTTGGGGGGGAGGGGTATGATAAAACAGAGAATGAAGCCGACTTACATGGGCACTAGGGCTCGACTGGCATCGAAGGAGAGAGATTGGGTGGAATTTCGGGCATGCCTCGAACTGGGACGTTCCGCATAGCTGGCGGGAGCGTCCCTCTCGACGGGAGGCATGATGTCAGATTGTTTTGGGTAGGGGTGCGGTGGATGTTGATGTTTTAGGAGAGGGGCACTGGAATGTGACAATATCTTTCCTAGGCCGTACTTGGGATGGTCTTTTCGACCTTGGAGGTATTAAAAAGAGACTGGATATCGTGAATTGCCCCGGAGAGTGACGCTCAGGACGGAAGAGAAGAATAGGAGAAGAGCTGGGAAGCCCAAAAGAGCTCGAAAGGATGACAATACCTGGCGGGTTCAAGAAAATCTGGAGATAATCTGAAAGCTAGGGAGAAGGAAAATCAAAGATCAAAAATTATGAAAGCATGAACTGTTCGAGCCTGATCAAGCCTGAGGGCCGGACCTGACATCGATTCGAATCGAGAAGGGCCTTGTAGGATGGTTGGTTGACATCGCATATGCAAGTGGGTGGCTGGGGTGTCGCCGGGGTGTTGCTCCACCCCCAGCCCAAATCCGTAATATTTACTCGCTCCTGCCAGCCAACACCCCAGCAACCGACCATCTAAAAACCGCGACACCGCGACTGGGATGACTTGGCTCCACAATGTGACTTCCCACTTGCGCATCCTTCGGTTCGCTCCGGGAAGTCAGTGGGGTCCTTAGAAAGACAGGGGTTCTGGTCGGGCCTGATAAGAGAAAAGAAGACCGCCACGATAAGGTTTTTTGAGGCATTCGTTGAAGCAACAGGTAATATGTGAGAATGTGAAAGGATAGCCTGCGATAGGAACTGCGAGGCTAAATAGAGTTGGGTATTGTATTCGCCAGGTAGACCCTTCAAGTCTTGTCCATACACAGAATGTATGGCAGCCACTTGAGCAGGTCCAGGACGCTCTTGAGTACCGCTCACGACATCAAGCATATGTAATATAGTCTTCCTCCCCAACAAAAAAGCCAAACGCCATTCTCCATCTTATCTATCATGTAGAATTATACACCTTGGCCTCCTTTTTCCTTCAATTTTTCCTGTCTCGCTGGGACGTTACTTGCCGGCGATGACCTTGTCGAATGCTGGGATCAAAGTCTGAGCGAGCCAGAAGGAGAATACCAGCTTGGGTCCGGTCATGAGGAGCTGTGGTGGTTCCTCGGTTAGCAGCCGGCGAGAGGTGATTTCGATCAGACTGAGAGAGGCACATACCTTAGGCACAAGACCCTTGAAAAAAGCACTTATGCCCTCGTTCCGGGCCATCTTGGTCAGGATCTTGAACCCGCCCTCAGGATTTTCAAAGTTTCTGTTCTGGATACGTGTCTTGATGACATCGAGAGGGGCAGAGACTACCAGAGACGCCGTGGCGCCAGCAATCGAGGCAACAAAGTTCTGGAACCACGATGCCTTGTTGTAGTCCTGGAGCTTGAACAGGTACTCCTTGGCGAACGCAGACCCTCCAAACAGCTATTCCCGATCTCGTCAGTCAAAGTCATCCTCGACACCCGGCAGGACAGCTCACTTACCGCGAAGGAGCCAGGAGCGTTCCGTGCAGCGGTCCAGCCCCAGCCTCTGTACAATCCGAAGCCCTCATCCGCGACAATCTTCAGCACGCCTCTGCCACGGAACGCCTCAGGGTTTGTCTGGCGCTTGATCTTGAGCACATCCAAGGGAAGGAGCACGATCTCGCCAATGCCGATCAGACTACCTGCTGTCGAGTGCAGAATGGCCTTGCCCGTCTTCTTGCCGAATGCCGCCTCGAAGTCTGAGCCGTAGTGCTTCGTCAGGTAGTCGCGGGCCACGGGCTGTCCGCCGTACTTGTATATTCTCTGGAGGACCTGTACATTTCCCAACAACACCATGCTCAGCATTCGAGCGATCAAGTTTCATGAAGCCATGAGTAGCCCTGGAGTATAGCGACGGACCTTGTATCCGGCAGCGTATCCCAGGCCAGGGAACAGCGACACGAACTTCTTTCCCACAGGCGCGGCCGCCTTGTCTTTGAAGATGACTGCATTTAGCTGCGACGAGTTTTTGATCTGTGTGTGTCGTGAACCATATTAGTTCTGGACCCGGGCGCATGTGTGTGACGTCCCAATATTATCGTACCCGAGTCTCGTTGCTCATTAGGCGCTTCGCGATGGTGTCAACCTGCAGGAAGTCCCGTTAGCGGAGAGGATTCTCAAGACTGCGCACACGATTAAGGTTCATAGAAGCTCACGGGATGAAAGACAGCGAGCTCAGAAATACCGGCGGATCCTGAAGGAGTCAGCATAGTTCCATGTCCAGTCTATCCGTGCAAAGGGCCGCGCACCAGAGCCCAGCAGACGCGCCAGGTTGGACTCCCTCTCCGTTGCGCCCGATGGAGGAGACATCTTCTCTAATTAAAGAGTGATTGAGAGGAGGTGAAATTGTAAAGGAGGGAAATCTGTCGGAACAACAGAGAGAGACACAGACACTCGACACGGTGGTCGTCAAGAATTGACTGTTGATCGTGTGCACGAAGTAAGTTCAAATGCTGGTGGTTTGCTAAAGCTCCGAATCCGCTCAGATTTTTTTTTCCCCTTTGGGGGGCCGGTGGAGAGCTACAGGGGGGGGGGGGGAGTGGGAGCTCTCCACCCGCCAATTTGTGACCATCGACCCTGTGCACGTAATAGCTGTTCGTTATAATTTGGACGCTTTAGATGGTGAATTCTACATTGCGTTGTCTTTGCTGAAAGCCTTTGTAATCGATTATTGGAGAACTCTCATCTCGTGGTATCTATGCTCTCACGATGCACACAAGGAACGCTCTGTATGATATATCTATCATCTCTGCCGCAGTCCTTAAGCGTGAGTAAACGTGAGTAAATCCGCCGACAGATGGGCAGACAGCCATCAAACCCAACTCATGAACGCCATCACTGTGTCAGACCTGTTCTGCACTTTTCCTCTTATAAACGCCGCCGATGCAAACTGAAAACTTTTTGGTGTGCCAAAAACTCAAATGCATCCGATGCAGACCATGTGTACCTCACCAAGTCGACATTCCCAATTGGGAAAAGAAAAGGGCAATGAACAGGGCCTGCGCTGCCATGAGTAGCAGTTCAGAAGTCCCGCAGTGTTCCCACGAGATTATCCAACCTCATGACATGAGCAAGGAGCTTCTCTTGTACCTCCGTCACTCGTACAAATCTGTTGTAGTAACGCTCCTGCATCATCTCTTTTTCACGACCTCGCACGTCGTCCCGACTGACAAGATCTAATACGTCGGCCTCCATCTGTCGCTGCACCTCGAGTCTCTGCAGGCATCGAACCATGGTCTTGTAGGTGTTGTCAAGCACACGGTCGAGACAACGACCGGTATCCGTCCAGTATAGGAACAGGGTGCGGCTAGGCGTCCTGTTGTTGTCTCGAGGAACCTCCTGCATGTCGACATAGCCCAACATCTGCATCTTGAGCATAATCGTCTGCACGTCTCCTTTGGGTAGCAATGCAAGCGTCGGAAGAGTCTTCTCGTCCATCTTTCCCACCCTGCGCAGGATGCGTACCAGGCGAAGCCCCGTCTGGCCGACACTGCGCTGGATGACAGTATCTAGCTCCATCACCTGCAGAGACCGCACCAGTGGTTCGAAATCAACCGTCCATTGTTCCATTGCGCAGTGTCGCAGGAATTGATATTGGCCCTCGCACAGTAGAAGCAGGTGCTGGCGGAAGTGCTCCTTGCGAGAAAGCTTCGCGGGTCCAGCATCATTGAATTTGACCTTGCCCTGCTTGTTCCCGTTGACACCGTTCGTGGTGGGATGCTTATCCTCGCCTTCGTCATCATCGAAGGCGTGACCGTTTGCTTCTTCAACATCCTCTTCGTCCGAGCTCGCCTCACCCGCCACCTCAGCCTCCTCATAAAGCACCTTGACTCCTAGAGGCTGATCCTGGATGCGGTTGGCACTCTTCCGATCCGTCATGCTGGCGCTGACCTTGCCAATGCCTGAGGATACATCCAGGGAAGGATCGAGCTTCTCAAAGACCTCGTTGGTGGATATCCTAGCATCGATCCCAAACGCGTCGTCATCGGCTTCGATGTCCTGGTCGAGCCGACACCGCGATATCTTCTTGCTCAGCTGCTGCAGTAGGGTCGCATACACACCGGCGGTAGTTTCACCGTACAATTCTGATACGAAGTGGACGAGCTGCTGATTTCGGAGCTCCACGTCGCACTTCTCGTAGTTCACGCGAAGGACAATGTCGCCCTGTTCCATGTTAGCCAAGCCCGCTGAGATTCCGGCCAGAAAAGACGTACATCGACAATCAAGTCGCCTTCTTCGACATCATGACCTGCGTTGACAGAGCTCCACTCCGACAGCTTCCTCCGCTTGTTCATCTGCATCTTGGTGTGTAGCTTGCGCTTGACGTTGAAGGGGTCATCGCGCACTTCACGGAGCCTTTTGGACAATTTTCCTGTAAACTCCTCCTTTCCCTTGGCGCCGCGCACCCCGCCGGGGAAGTAGGTGGTGCGCACCTCATCCTCGATGGCCTTCCGGGTGTCCTCCCAGCTGCGAAATGAGTTCTCGGTAACCGCCGACACCAGCTCGGCCTGTATCATACGGCATAGCACTTCGTCGAGCTCTTCAAGGGACTGGACGTGAGAGCCAGCCCTGGTGCCGTGGTTCGTACCTTCGTGTGTGTTCTCATTGTGTTGCGTGTCGCCGTTCGTATCCGTCGGCATGCCACCATTGACTGCTGTCGCTAGACGAGCGGCCTGCTTGAATTTTGCCTCATAAGCATCCCTGAGGTGCTCAACTTTGGTATGACCCATAGACAGCAGGTTCTGCATAACCTCTTTGGCTGCATCGCCGTACACAGAGCCTGTCATGTCCAGTATCTTCCCGGTGCGAATGAGGGCGTAGGCAGCATCGGAGTTCGCGGTGTAAATCGCATGGCCAGACTCGATCTGATAGTACAGGAGATTGTTCTGCAGGAGGACGACGAGGCCATGTCGAAGTTGGCGGGGGTTCAAAGAGGTATACTGGACGAGTTGCGGGATCGAGGAACGGCCCTTATTTAAGAGGGCAGCAAATATGCGCTGGGGCGGGCGGATTGTCAATAGATAATCGCAATGACATATGCAAGATGCGACCAGCTTCTCCACAACACCAAGCTCGCGATGGGAATTTGGGAATACATACCGAAGGCAGCTCACCGAAGATATTGTCGACCAGCAGAGTACAGAGCTCTGCCAAGTTCTGGGTGACCATATGCATGGTAACGGGATTGGAGGTGGATGGCAGATAGGGTAGCGAGCGCTGGGATGGTGTTGAGTAAGAAGGAATAGGTATGATGAGGACTGATGCGATGGGTTGCAGGCGACTACTAGGAATACTCTCACTGTATTCCTAGGTGGCCTCAGGCTACCGTCTTGGAGTCATCGGGGAAGATTGAACCAACCCGCGACTGTGTAAAGATTTAGAAAAGCTTCTGCAATGAATTTGCCTTTGAACTTGAACTTTTATTTTAGGTGGGGGAAAGGTCCCCTCTGAGGCGACGGCAAAACCACCTGAAAATCAATGCCTGCCCGGCGCAAGCCTGGTATACCTGTTTTTGACCCGGGGGGTGCAATTAAGAAGCAGCAAAATTTCAGGCCCGACAAGGCAGATTGAGACCCAAAGATGGAAAGACCTTACTTCATCTATCGAAGGTTCGTTCAGGTCCGAGACTGCTGCTCATCTGGTTATGTTCTCTTGATGTTCCTTTTGCTTCACTCCGGCCCCCCTTCCCTTTTCTTTTATTGAAAAAAATAAAAATAAAAAATTTCTCTCTCAGCTGTGTTCTTTTGGCGAGTTGCAGAGCAAGCGAACTAGGGGCTAAGAGCCCGCGCATGTTTTAGTCACTTGCGGAGGTTCAATTAAGCGGGCTCTGACTAGCCCCCAGCCTGCCGAATCACAGCCCGTCTGTTGTAAGCCTTCCCGGTCCATTCCGCTAGACTTCAAAACCCAGAGCTCGCACTCTAAACTGAGCGTCGCATACAAAAACACAGACCGTCAATTGACATCACCACCACTCCCTCTCGCAAAATGATCGGCCGGTCAGCTCTGACGAGGGGAGCCAAGCTTGCCCTCCGGCGGCAGGATTGTGCAAAGCTCTCCCAGAAGCGTGCATATGCTGCTGCTGCAGGCGCCTCCACCGAGACTGCGTCGTTCGACTCGACCGACATCAACGGCATCAAGGTTGCCTCGAGGGACCCCCGAAGCCCGACCACTCGCCTCTCTATCGTTGCCAAGGCTGGCACCCGTTACCAGCCCTTGCCTGGCCTGTCTGTAGGACTGGAGGAGTTTGCGTTCAAGGCAAGTAGACCTGTCACGAGTGATCTTGGCGGGAGAGGCCGGAAAAGAGAGTGTGACAGAGGAACGATGAGCTAATTTGTTCATGCGAGCGCAGAACACCGACAAGCGATCCGCGCTGAGAATCACGAGGGAGTCTGAGCTTCTGGGAGGTCAATTGAGTGCATACCACACCCGTGAGGCTCTTGTTGTGGAGGCTGCCTTCCTGCGCGACGACCTGCCCTACTTCACGGAGCTCCTCGGTGAGGTCATTACCAAGACCAGATACACCAGTACGTGAAGGAGGCCCCTCCATCTCCCCTTACAATCTGAGAGGCTGTTGCATCGGCTGACTTCTCCCTATCTAGCCCATGAGTTCCACGAAGAGGTCGAGCACGTCCTGCACCTGAAGCAGCAGAAGCTGTCCCACAACGCCCTGGCACAGGCTCTCGATACTGCCCACGCGGTTGCCTTCCACAAGGGACTGGGCTCCTCCATCTACCCTTCCACCTCGACGTCCCTCGGCCCCTACCTGAGCGAAAATAGTGTCGCCGCTTTTGCCGCCTCCGTCTACACGAAGCCTAACATCGCGATTGTCGCCGATGGCGCTACCCAGGACTCCCTGTCCAAGTGGATCGAGCCCTTCTTCAGAGACGTCCCCTCTTCGTCTGAGAGCCCGCTGCAGCTGTTCACCCAGTCTTCCAAGTACTATGGTGGCGAGCAGCGCACCTCGCTGTCTGGCTCCAACGCCGTAGTCCTCGCCTTCCCTGGCACCAACCTGTCCGCAGACAAGGCCGACGTTGCCGTTCTGACGGCTCTTCTCGGCGGAGACTCGAGCATCAAGTGGTCTCCTGGCTTCAGCCTTCTCGCCAAGGCTGCCGCCGCCGCCCCCGGCTCTACCATTGCTGCCAAGAACCTGGCCTACACTGATGCGGGTCTCCTCACGATCCAGATCACCGGCACCCCCCTGGCGGTGCGCAAGGGTGCTGCGGAGGCTGTCAAGGCTATCAAGAGCGTTGCTGAGTCTGGTGTGACTAAAGAGCTCCTGACCAAAGCTATTGCCAAGGCCAAGTTCGACCTGCTGTCCGCCAACGAGTTGACTGGTACCGGTATGACCGCAGCGGGCAACAGCCTGATCCACGGTGGCAAGATCTTCCAGGTTGCGGACGCTCTGAAGAGCTATGAGTCAGTGACGGCTGATCAGATCAAGGCGGTAAGTCCGACAACCAATCCCTTTCACATTTCTTGGCGAGAACTGACACGTTTCCTTTGTAGGCTGCAAAGTCGTTGTTGGATGGCAAGGCGACGGTGGCATCAACAGGTGATCTCTACGTTCTTCCGTACGCAGAGGAGCTCGGCCTCAAGGTGTAATGCTCTTAGACGGTTTTATGGGGATCCGGAAAATGTATCAACAGTTGGGACCGTTGTAGAGGAGCTATCTATCAAACACTGTGCACATAGCACTTCTCTAGACAAACACAAGCATCGCAAAAAAAAAATGGTTTTCTCAGCATTTACATCATTCATGACTTGTGAATTTGTGTTATGGAGAGATGAATATCATTATAGAGGTTATTCTCCACGGAGACCTGTTGCATCTATGCTTTCATCCACCATACTGAAGTACTCGCATAAAAAAAACAAGTACTCAGTATGCATGGCGTGGTATTCCATGCCCATGGAGTCAGATGACTAAGCTAACATGTTTCCTTGCACCCATGTTACCTTTGAGCTTTAGCAAACTGTCCCATACGTCGCAAAGCCACCCTCAGTCCTTTCCTCAACAACCAAAGTTCCAGGAGATTACCGACGAGGGATCAAGCGGGTAAGAGAAAAAAAAGTTTGATTATTTGTTGAACTTGTCGTTCCCAAATGCTAACGCGTCGTCACACCCAGATTTCCTGCGCAGCACCCAAGACTTACTTACCTCAAGCCACTCCTTACTCGAGCGCTACCTGTCCTCTCCTCCATACACCTCGACCAAAACCGCAGTCAAAATGATTTCCGACGACACTCTCTATAAATTGGCCAACTACCTCGGCAGCGCTGCGGTGCTGATGATCATACTCTACCACTGGATCGAGGTCAACGCCAAGGGTAACGAGAAAGCCATCCCCGTCACCCCAGCTGGAAAGTCGACTGCGACTCTTAAGTGATGGATTGTATGTCAGCATTTCAGACTCAGACAGTGTGAGCGACAGCTCTGGCAGAGGGTCTACCTTTTGTGCATAGAATTGTGGGGCTCGGGACGGAGAAAGAAGTCTGCATCATGGACATCACGAGCAACGGCTACAATGCCATACTGCGGGAGCATGCGAGGGCCAGGCTTGACGGAAGTGATCGCACGTACCACACAGGCGGGGCTCCCTTCACTTAGGGATACATCGGTGACAATGATACCAATACAGAACAGAAGGAGTGTGGGTCGATCACACTATTTGTAGTGACGAGGCACTCTTTGTTGCGATCTATTTGATGGTCTTGAACTGTTTTGAGCGCACACGTAATCACATGTGATGGTCTGCGATAGGAATGAGAATCGATACTCAAGCGCTACAAACCCGTTGTCTCAAGTAATCCTGCGTCAAACATATTGGACCAGGGCCGGTCCAAGTGACCTCGTGGTCTTGCGTTGCTACTGCTACTTTGACGTGAGTATACCACTGCGATAGAACATTGTTGTACATAGTAGCTGCCGTCACAATATCGTAGATGCTGCTGTGATTAAGTGACTCTGCTGCGCCAGGCCTAGATGTCAGGCTAGCACGGGCCACCGTGGCATGGATGGGGCTCTGCCTGCTGACTGGCGGGACCGATCCCTGCACTTCGCCCCCAGCTCAAAAAGGCTCCGTTCCCTTCGCCTCAGCTTTCCCTTGATTCAAACCTCATCCCCATCACCCAACCGTCAAAGACTGCCAATTCTTTCTGCCACCAACCTCTCGAAGTCCCCAGCCACTCTCCCACACGGGCTTCTTTCCTTTCATAACATCACTGCGCCGACCTAGATCGCTACAAGTCCACGCGATCGTATCGCAATAGTCACGCTGTCAAACAGCGTCTGCCATCTTTCTCAGCTGCCAGCCTTCTTCTTCGTGTTTGTCGCAACCCATCACGGCTTACGCGACTCGACCATTTTCATCAACGCTCCTTGTCACATCTACGACCAGCGTGTCTGATTGAAAGCAATTCGCCGAGCGATTACTTTCGTCAACTTGCATCTCTAATTACGAGTCGCAACTAGACACGCGACCCGACCGCCCATTTTTTATCCTTCAGACCAGCTACACTCATTCTTCCGTCCCTCGACGTAAATTTCAACATGTCTACCAAGCTCAACCAGTCTCTCGAGGAGATCCTCAAGACCAACCGCAGTGCCGGTCGTGGCCGCGGTGGCCGCCCTCGCCGCAGCACCAGGCCGACCAAGACTGTTGCTCCTACTGGCGGCGTCAAGAAGAACACCAAGCCTGTCGGTAAGGCTGCCAAGCAGGCTCCTGCCAAGGCCACCAAGGGCCCTCGTGGCAGCCAGATTCAGATGAGCAATCTGGTAAGTTGCGCTTATGATCTACTTTTCCTTCTTGGACGAGCTTTTCGCTAACTTCTATCGCAGCCCAAGGACGTCTCCGAGACCCAGATCAAGGTATGTGATCGATGAGGCTATTGCAGCCATACGGGGCTTCTTTCGGCATCCACTTCCATCGCGTATAACATCGACCAAAAAACCCTTTCCCTCGGTCGGACAGATGGCGGTTTTCCATTTCGCGTCCACCTATCCGGTGGCTTGGTCAGACCTCAACAACGTCTCCTTCCTCGCTCTCCGCGGCGCACACATGCTTTGACGCTGCGAGGTCGCGTACAGGAAGTCGAGCATCGCGTGTCGCGCATACACAACAGCATGCTCAGATAGCCTGGCAAGCATCTAAAAGAGCGCTGTCTGCGACGAGTCAATCGCGAAGGAGTGTCAGCACCAGAGTGTCTCCCTCCGCGGCCCTACCCTTGGCTGCCGTCCTTGATGAGAAAGCGTTCCATCACCTATTTCGCGAGCAAAGCAGTGAGCAACAGCGAATTCCATACTCGACACTTGCGGCGGCACACGGCCTTTCCTATCGCGTCTATGGCGGTCTTCTTTTTCTCTCTTAGCACGATTGTCGATAGCGGTGGCCTTTTGTGTGCGAGGCGATATTGTTTTGCCTGAGCGGTAGCAGTCTTCTTCTTAGTCGCAGTGATGCAGACTCGAGAAGTGGCTAAGCTCCTGAGGCCTTCTCAGGTTGAGTGTAAAATCTCCACCTAGAAGAGAGGCGAGTTGGCATTCGGGGTCTTGGTGGCATAGATTCCCTTATTCTCCTCGTCCGGCCAGAGCCGTTTGTCAGCTGCCGTGAGGTTGATGGTGGCTCTTGACGGTTCTTATCACTAACGCTCACTGCTTTGCTCGCTCGATACTTGATGTTGGAAGATTTTCGGTCTTTTGGAAAATGAACGGCGAACACTGCGATTACGACCAAGCGACCTGTCGACTGGAGCGCACTGGGGATACTCTCAGATTGCTTGCTAACACGTGTTTCTCTCCTGTTCAGGACTACTTCGCAGAGCTTAACAAGGACACCAAGAAGGGTCCGGTCGGCACTATCGTGAAGCTCGAGTCATTCTCCAGCGGCACCCGTAACATGTTCCAGGTTGCCTTCAGGCAATCTGATGCTGCCTACAAGGCCCTCGACCGTCTTAAGGACATCAAGATCGATAACAAGCCCATCGATGTGAGCAATGCATGCCACCACGACACCTCGATTGTGCTAGAGCTAACACCCTTTTCAGGTCAAGATCCTGGTCTCTGGGGACGCCGTTCCCGAGCCTCCCACCTTGAGCCAGCGCGTCACCAGCGCGCCCAAGACGGCTGCTCCCACCAAGGCTGGCCCCAAGCCCAAGAAGGCTGCTGTTGGTGCGAGTGTCAAGGACGCCAAGAAGGGTCGTGCTGGCCGCGCCAAGAACGCGCGACCGGCCAAGAAGACGGCGGATGAGCTCGACGCCGAGATGGCTGACTACTTCGACGCTGCTAAAGCCTCCGCTGAGGCGAACGGTGCGGCTGCCAACGGCGATGCTCAGATGGAGGACGAGATCATGTGAGAGGCACCTTCCAATCAGTAACTAGAAGCGGTATCCGCCTGAGGAACGCATCTTCAACCGGTCAACCTGTTTCCCAATTGATGGGGGAAACGGGGGTAGGAAGGTACATTCGGACAGTACTTTTCTTTCCAAGAGTGGCGCATTTCTTTCTTTCCCTTTCCTTGTGTGAGGGGATTTCACTTGTCCGATTTCCAGACGAATGAGATCGAGGTGGCAGCAGATTGACGATGACCAGAATGGGAATATTCCATCGTAGCAACCTAATGGCGGTTTTTTGATTGCTAGGGAGGCTGTTCATGCTATACCACTACAACTTGTATAGCGTACACTATGTGGAATGCACAACACATTTTCCGCCCATTCTTTCCATTGACTCTTCGTGATGTCGTTCCTTCTAGCCTACCCAACCAATTGCATCTACACGACTCACCACACTTCCTACATCGTCGACTCAACCCTACAGCAATTGAACCTGTTCCACACGCCAACCCCCCCCCCCCGGGGGGCGGAAACATCAACCTTACCTCGCATCTCTTCATATGCTAGGGATATCCTACAGTCACCTGTCAATTCAGACTCACCGTATAACCATCGTCAGAGGATCCGTCTCCGTCAATGATGCTTTTTTTGCTGCATGATCCAGATGTGTCGGCAGGTAATCCTTATTGTCTGCTGGCCCTCTTTTGCGGTGAACATGATCAGCAGCACGGCACTGGTAGAATCAGCGAGCATAGACTAGGAGGTTTGAAGCACATCCTCGTTCAGTGAGTCACCGAGGGTCTCTTTCAAAAGAGGACGGCGTACTCATTGCTACTGCGCAAGGGATTGGATTGATGTGCGTGAAAAGTCTCAACTCATGCGGATGGATGAATAGATGCTGGCTTATGAGTTCCCGCGCCCCCCCCCCCCAAAACTATAGACCAACCAGATTAGGAGCGCGGGATTTGATTCATCCATTCGAATGTATGGGGGGGTTAACTTCAAGGGCGCCGCCGGCGCAATCTGCTTGTTTTACCTGGCGAGCTACTCTTGAAGCCCAGATTTTGGTGCTGGAGCTTGCCATATCATATCATCACCAAACTCAAAGAATTCATAGTTACGGGGCAAAACCAGCCATACTTTGGTTTAGAAACCGAAAGCAGTCCAAATGACAAACAGAAGCTGTCGCATAGCCATTTTTACCTTCCCCTTCTCTCAGAGCCTCTCATAGCAGAGAATAATCTCGAAAGGGACTGCAAAGTCTTGGAAAGGCTGTCAGACAATCGCGTGGATGTGATGACAGTCATGTGGTCCACATGATTTGGGGATCATCTCACCAGACTTGTGATTGCAAAAAGGTCATCTTTGCATCGCATGTCTGAGGTCATGTTTCGACGTAGCGAAAATGACGTATGGATGGGCGGCGCATGGTAAAACACTGGGTAATCAAGGATTTGAGAGGGCTGTGTGTTATGCAATTGTAAAGTGAGGATAACCCGTAATCAGATTAACTTAGGAGGAACAAAAGACCTCGCCGAATTTATCTGGCCCTCGCTGCAGACCTCTCCAGAACTCCTAGGGTCCGCCAAAAGTGGCAGGATGAAGTCTCACTCTCCCGTCCCGAAGAAGCGATTACGTCTCTCTCAAAGCTATCATGACAGAGAATTGGGCGTGGATGAGCCCAGATTAAGAGTCGTGATTGACTTTGGTAATTTAGGCAGCGGCCTTGCTGCCCTCTGCAGCCTTCGCTTCCTCGCCCTCCAGCGCGGGCATGTCGTCATCCTCCTCCTCGTCTTCCTCCTCCTCCTCCTCCTCACCGCCCAGGCCGGCACCGCCGCCGAGTTTCGAGAAGTCGATTCCGCCGAAGTCGTCGCCGCCTAGACACGAGCATGGTCAGCATTTTCGTTCCACAGGAATTCGCACTTAGCTCCTCTTTCTGTAGCACCTAACGAAACAGGTCTATGTCTGCTCGTCCGAACATGGGATCAATCTGCTTGTGACGTACCGCCCATACCAGGCATTCCTCCTGCATAGGTACGCAAATTTCTCAGCTGACTGACATCGGGTTTGGGAAAGGGGATGGTTTGGGGAAGCGAGGGGATGGCGAGAATCTGAAGAGGGCGGGGGAACACCACAAGAAGCCATCCCAAAGCAACAGGGGGGGGGGGAGGACCAGGAAGAAGCAGTCCGTTGTGGGTTGTTACTTACCCATGCCACCAAACTGCGAGAAGTCTTCCTCCACAGCCTCGGTTTGCTCGTCCTCATCGACCCACTTGTCAAAGTCGGTGCGAAGGAAATGAACCTTCTTTGCCTCCTTGAGCAGGCGGGGCCAGTAGGCCTCGTTCAGCTCCTTCTTCTGCAGCTTGAGCTCAACATTCTTGCCAGTATGGTTGACCTTGGAGGCCTTCTCGTCGATCTCGGCATAGAGCTCCAGCTCGAGGTGGTAGGTCTTCTTGAGGGTATCAGAGTGGCCGGTGAAGGTCAGGCCGCTGGGCTTGAGGTCGAGCTTCATGCTGGAAGCAGGGACGTCGGGGACAGTGATTGTCAGGTAGACAAAGTTCTTCTCAGCATCAGTGCTGGATGAGCGTTGCGCCCAGAGAACTGTATGGATGCGCGCTGTGTATTAGCCATGGCGTCTGCTAGTTTGGGGTGGGGGATGGTGGTCATGCGCAAGGAGGAGGCTGAGGCAGCAAATTGTGGTAGTGCGCCGAGCTTGAAGCTGTGCAATGACATGAGCATATGAAGCTGTCCAACTTACCCTCAGGAGTAGCAGTGGTAGCCATTCTTTCCAGGTGTATAGTGACTGCAGGATATGTGAGGTTGGTGAAAGAGTGCAGCAATCAATTAATTCAGCTTGTGTTGAGGTCACAGCTGCAGGTTAGGTTGGCGGAAGTTTTGAGGTGGGGGCTTGTCCAGTAGACGGCTGCTGACCTGAGGCAGGGCTCGGTCAGTCAGAAGGAAATGAGCTTCCAGATGACAAAACGCGGGGTAGTCAGTAGGGAGTTCAAATCGCAGGACAGGAAATGGTTTAAAGTCCAGCAGCACACGACCAAGCAACTAATAGTTCCACAAGAGATGAAATCAGTCTGAAGGGGGGTATCTCAAGACAATTTTGAAAAGAATGGAAAGAGAAGTAAGTTTGCAGGAGAGAAAGAAGGCTGGATCATCAGCACTTTTGGTGGCAGTGATGCACGCATGGAACTTTGAGGAAGCTCACAGATGCAGTGACCTCTCTTTAGTGTGTGCTAGGGTGTCCTGAACCCTGTACCTCTTATGCACAATAGTCTCCGTCCAAAGGGAAGCTGAACGTACCAAAAGCCCTTAGCAAAGAACACTCCAGAGCTCAAGCCCTGTCACTGCCACAATTCTGTGCTACAGAGAGGATATTTCCACATGCATGCATACTCTGTAACATTGTATGTCTACTTTAGGCCTGCATTTTTGCCAACAGACTTGATTAGTTTCCCAGGTACAACTTTATTCACAGTCAAACCACAGCAATATTATGTGTAACTCTTGATTTGATTGATGAGGATAGAAAGACTCACCATGATCTCTTCCCCTGAAATCGTGGCTGATTTTTGAAAGTACATTGTGTTGGGGCGTGCGCAACAGGCAGACGCGCATGCTTTGGACTACAGGCCCATCTTCTCGAGGCTGTCACAGGCCCATCTACCCAGTCCATACAGACGCTAAGGCAGAGCCGCGAGCCGTCTACTGTACAGTCCAAGGCTTGCAGTACCTTGGCCATGCCAGCCATCAGCCGCTGGAATTGACCCACCTACTGGCAACAGGCGTTACGTCAACCCTTCCATCCTACCCATCCCATTCATCCTGCGCGTCTTCGTCGAGGCACACCGACACGCCGCGCATCGCCAATTTTCGAGCTGTGTTAAGTCGCCACGAATTCCCAATCGCGGGGCACTTCTGTCTGGACAGCTGTCTGGAGTGGACTGCCCAAGATGGAGTCTCTCAAGGCTCTCTTCGTGAAGCCGGACCCTGCAGCACAAGTGAGCCCCTTCTTTCCAGAGGCATATCATCGCTCCATCGAACAGCTGAAAGGGCTGTCTCGCCGAGGGCACTATATGGAAAATACTGACCTTCTTTTTCTTTCGTCCTTCTTATCGTTCCCAGCTTCGCAAATGCAACATGATGCTGCGCCAGAACATGCGCAGGCTCGACCGCGACATCGCTTCGGTGAAACAAGCCGAGACTAAGACCAAGAACCTCATTCTCGCCGCCGACAAGCGTGCACAGAAGGACCCCTCGCGCGCGAGGCAGGCCCAGAAGGAAGCCCGGGAGTTCGCGAGAGAGCTGATCCGGCAGCGCAAGACCTCGGCCCGCCTCGTCACAGCCAAGGCGCAGCTCAACTCGGTCCAGATGCAGGTCAACGAGGCGTTCGCGGTGCGCAAGATCGAGGGGAGCATCCGCGCGAGCGTCGGTATCATGAAGGATGTGAATACCCTGATACGGCTGCCCGAGTTGGCGGGGACGATGCAGGAATTGAGCAAGGAGTTGATGAAGGCCGGGGTCATCGAGGAGATGGTGGAGGAGACCCTACCGCAGGATGATGTCTTGCTGGAGGAGGACGAGGAGGCCGAGGGCGAGGTGGACAAGGTGCTGGGCGAGATATTGAAGGGCAAGATGGAGAAGACGGGCACGATGCCCGCGGCGCCGCCGCAGCAGGTCGAGGAGCCGCAGCCCGTGGAGGAGGAGGACGAGGAGGACATGGAGGCAACGATGGACCAGATGAGGAACAGGTTGGAGGCCTTGAGGAGTTGAGACGTCTTGAAGGTGTCGCTTTTACTGCTTGAGGAGAGATGCGATCTCTGTATCGCCAAGTTCATCTTCATTCATATGCAAGGAGTCTGGAGTTGCTGGTGATCTGTCAACTGCACCAATATCACAGTTTGGATCAAGGTAGTTTGGGGGAGGGGGGGTGCCAAAGGGAGCCCGGGCGATGAGCATCCAAGAAGGGATGGAGCCTTTTCATTATTACAAGAGAACCACTTGGTGACATTTGAATCGCTGTCCTGGTGCTTCTTGGACGGTCTGCCGTTAGGCACTTTCACATCGCTTTCTCCTATCCAGAAAATATTCTGTTCTAATCCACTTTACCGACTCCAATTTGGAGGATGGGATCAATGTGATCAAATGACTGACAAGAGGGAGAACTTCACAGCGTCACTTGTCGTAGGCCCTCAAATCACCCATGTGAGGAGGAACGAATGCCCCTTTCGTTGCGAGATGGCTACCTAAGGCACCTGCCCTTTCTGTGCCAATTTTACATCCATTGGCAACAGCGACCCTCGAGCTGCTGTCACTTCCGTTACCACACCTCGCCTCTTTCCCTCTACATCTATCTAAGCGTTTCTTCACGTCTTGGCTTCAGCTCGATGTTTCTATTGTTGAGAAGAGGATACATGCATACTGCACGCCATGATCATGATTACTCAATCTCAGCGTCATCCACGCCCGACAATGACAAAAACTGACAGACAAACGACCATGGCATGACACTGATCTGCCAAGCACGAAAGAGTAAGGTCCCATCCTGGGTGCCATTTTCATGGTAGGTCGCCGAGTTCCAGAGACTCGTGTGCTCCTTCACGTGAGGCGCCTTGTTCGTAGCAAAGCCCTCATCTAGCCTTAGCAAGCACTGAGCCACGCCGTCGGGCTGGATGTCACGATATTCTTAGGCGATGCAACATTCCCTTCGCGCTTGTCCCGGCACGCGAGGCTACGTGTTCTGCGAGAAAGAGGAAGAAGAACATTGACAGTCTCGCCGTGGCTCTCTTGCCGACCATCAGGCCCGCTCTGCTAGACCTTGCTCTCACCTGTCACCACCAGCCGCCAATTCTGGGTGGGTGGAGTCACGACCCAGCTTGATGAACTCTGGCACGAATCAACGTATGTTACTGCCCTCGCGTGACTTCCCTATCTTCTTCAAGCGATGTTTTGAAACAGCTTGCATTTACCCAAAGGTCGAGGTGGGTAGCAGGTACCATGAGGTTCCAGCTCACATGTCTATCAATCAGATGTTTGTGTTGGATGCTCGTACGCAGCGACGCCCAAGGAAGTTTCTGTCGAACCGTTGAAACAAGGCGGTTGGCGACAGCAAGCGCAGCCAGGGCCTCGGAACACCCAAGGAGGCCCAATGGTTGACCGGGCCGCAATTTGATTTGGCCAAAATCACTCACTGGCTAGGCATTCGGTGTACAGCCACACACCACGCAGGTGAGGTGTTCTCTTCTACGAGACGATACGTCGGGCACTCGTGCAGCGCTCGCACGCATGCGAAGCAGCCCAAATTGTGAAACGCGCAAGATGCAGAGACAGCTGTTCTTCACCCTCCCCCCCCCCCCCCCATCCAAAACAAAAAAAAACACCGCCACGCTCTGGAGCCTTACAGAACCGGAATTGTAGGTACCAGTTGGCAGGTCACAGGACCGACGCTCGAGGTGGTCCTGGTGGTTGTCGTGGGGGTCAGGTGGGCACATCCCACGACCACGATAAAAACTCGCGGAGGTGTACCGAGCGCGGGGTCTGTTTGACAAAGATGGACAGAACGAGCGCAAGCGCCTATCTCACAAAGTCCGGGTCCTGTTTTAACATGTGAGAACCCTTTTTGCCTATAGTGTGGGGGGAATGGTTTTCCAAGATAGGCAGGATCCTCTCCGGTATCTGGCCGGCCCCGGCTTCAATCGCAATCGAGCCGGTCGCCGACGCACCCGCCATTTTTCAGGTCGAGACAGCTGGTTACTGGGAATGAGGATAACATGGTGACCTCGTGCGTGCTCGGACAGTCATCCCCTCGTGGGAAGGCAGCATCGACACACCCTCCTGATCCCACGAAGAGAGGAATACCACAGAGGTTCCAATCTCCCACATCTGACACCGGATCGCTCTGGCAGCCATTCAAATTACTGCAGTCAGAGCGGTCTGTGACTCCCTACCCCCCACGCCTGTGAGATTTTGACACAGACCCCAAAGCAACTGCATAGCGCTATACTATAGTACATGGAGATTTGCTCCAGCCAAAGGCACACGGCGAAATGAAATCCAAATTGGGCACCTGGGGTGACACGGTCCACGGAAGATCTCCCCCTGTGGCTTCGTCTGCAGAAAAGATTTCTGCAGCTTTGCAATTTCGGGGGTGATGGTTTCGCGCCCCTGCAGAGCAGACCGACCCGTGCAGCAGTCCGTTTTCTACGGCTTCTAGAAACATTTCTGTCCGACAGGATTTTCGTCCCATGCAGGGTGCCGAGGAGTAAAATCCCTGCCAGAGGCGTGTGCACGTCTGAGCGGCCCTGAATCTTGTTGGCATGTTTTGAATAAGGACGTGTGTCGGCGTTGACTCGTTCACGGCTTCTGTTCGCAAGCAAAGACTTTCTGGAAAAGTACTCTTCCACCGCGGCAGGTTATTCTTCTATGGATTCTGGAACCGAACACGGGTCGGGTCTGAGTTAAACGCCATTGCTCGAATCGAGTCGAGCTCACACGGCAAAATTGGCAGGCAAGAGGCAATGTGTGACGTCGATGAAGTGTTTTGCTTCTCAGAAGTGTGATAATTGCTTTTTTGGGATGTTCGCAAACTTTCGCTTTCTTACTCATGTGAGGAGGGGAGGCTAGGTTGGCTGCTGGCTTGACTCTCGAAGATTTCACATGCCGACGGCTGAATCCAAGAAGACTGACTATCGTCTTGTTACAAGGCATCCATTCTGATGCAGATGTGCCGAGCAGTGCATTTTCAGGGTCTCCTCTCTGACAGGACACGGACTGGTCTCTCCTTGAGAGCTTCTCGATGGAAACCACCACCGATACCAATAACACCACCGGAGCGTCACCGCTCAAGCAGCAAGTGTCGCGGGGTAGCTCCTAGGGCCCGAGGGCTAGAGCTTCGCATTCATGCGTCGAACACTGCACGGAAGATGCAATGGTCTCGGCTCGTCAGGATCGAAAAAGGGATCTGGGTCAATCTAGATCCGGGCCCATCTGCATGTGGGGCCTTGCTTGATTATGCCCTGCGTGGGGAGTTGGACCCTGATCCGCAGTGCGGGCCTGGTCGATGGGCGACTTGGGCGTAGGACCTGCTAATCTTGGTCATGCCATCCCTGGTCAGAAGGCTCTTTTCAGTAGGCCAGCGCGGGGAGGGCGGTTGATCCCTATTGTTCTCCCGCAGTCGGTTCACGGGAGCGGGGGGGTACCGGTTGTCTGAGAGGCGGGAGAACCATTTCTGTGATGCGCTCGGCCGAGGGAGGCGTCGGATACCCACAGGTTCATCATCCGGGCGCGGGAGAGGGGAAGCTCATGAGTGGACCAAAACGTCCAGAATATGAAACAGGCACTTCAAACGCCAGCAAATGCTGCAGTACATCCACACCGTCAGGTGTGTGCTGTCTGAGAAAGCCGCACCGCCCTGTCGAAAGCTGCATCGAGTAATGTGTTTTTGCATTGCCGCAAAGAAGAAAAGAAAGATGAGAGTGAGAGAAGGAAGGAAGCGCTGTTCCCAGAGTGGCTGGTTCTCTGATGCTGTGAGCCTCGACCCGGCCGGCGGATCGGAAATCCTGCGAGATAAAAATGAAGTACCCGGCGAGGGAAACTTTGGGCGGGGAGGGGGGTCTGCGATCATCCATGCCAGGTACTTTGGCCCTGTACATTCCAGCAGGGCCCGCAAGTAGCAGAAGGACCGACACGACGAACACTAGCGAATGCAGAGTCGGCGAGATCTGGGTTACAGGCGAGCGAGGAGAAGCATGCTTCCGGCGCCGTGTAACCATCCAGTAACCTCGATCCCGGAACCGAGCCTCTGCAAATAACATTTTTTCTGGAATGACGCAGTTGCGAAAACTCCCAAGGTCACATCTCGTTCCGCATTTCCCCTCCAGGCCGCCTCCCACTCCGGCTGGCAAGGCATGGGCAGGCAAACAACACGAAGGAAACAGTATGCGAGGCGGCGGGTTGCCGTCCATCATGTTATTATTAATACTGGGAATGAGGAGTTGGTATGCTGAATGAGCTTGCGACATCGCCACGACGCTGACTGTATGTCACCCCTCGACACGAGTTGTCATCCCCGTCTTTTTTCTTACGGCCCGCGGCACACGCGCATATAGTCGGTGAGGTACTTGCCCACCAATACCACCACCCTATGCAAGACGATCTGACTCACCTGCTGGTCCTGCCCTACCATCTCCCTATACGCTACGTTTGCGAGGGAGTAGCACAAGACGACCAAGCCCTCCTCCGCGTCTGGGGGAGACTTTGCATTACTGATGATAATGATGAAATCGCGGAGAAGACCAGGACATGTTTGTAAGCTTCCTGATTACAACAAAGCCCCGCCGGTAAAACAAGTACCGTCCAGCTGTGCAGTCGGCGGAGGAGACTTGACTTGGAGGGCCACCCCGAATTATCCCATAGGGAAGAAGGGGGGGGGGGGCATTTGTTCTTAGCGAGGACATCCCAGAAGCAGTACTTACCACCACACTGCGACCACATGCTTGACAGTGCTACCTACCTGGTTTGAGTCACCGTGTGCGTAGGGTGCCCTTTGAGGGCGCTAGATCTGAGGAGGGTTGTTACCTGCGAGCGGCAGGTGGTTTTGGCGACTCAGCGATCGGAACTCTCGCCTCGAGCTACGGCACGCACAGGTCTCATCTCATTAGGCAATGTGACAAGGCAACTGGCCACAACCTATCCAGAAAGTCCGTGAGGACGGCGACGTGGACTTTTGTGACTCTTTACCGCCGGCTTGTCCTGCCCAGCTGGATGCGACGGTGCGACACGACACGACACAACACGACACAACACACACAAACACACACGCCATTGTCCAGACCAAAAAAACCAATATCAAGGTTTCGAGCCAAGCGCGCCGCCAACTTTCATGGCAACTCCGTATACGTAATGATACGTACCTGGTGTAGGGAGGACGGCGAAAGAATGTGCGGCCCTGATTCGGTCTGCAACCAACCAAACAGTGCACGGTATCGCGTATGGCTGGTCTGGTTGGTTCTTGGGGGCTGTAGCCAGTGTGTGATCTGGGCCCAATGAGCCCCGGTGCCAACCAGGAGTCATTCCGGGTCTTCGGCCCAAGGATTATTAGGCTGAGAAGGGCAGAGACCAGGGGGGTTGGGGGAGAAGAAAATGAAAGAAAAGAGAAAAGAAACACGAAAAGGAAGGAAAAAAAGGAAATAAATGAACAAGAAGGGAGGGGGGGAGAAAGCAAAAAAAAAAAAAAAAACAAGTTACGACGGCAAACCAGCGGACAGAGAGATTCGATGACGCTCAGAAGTGTGGCCACTACTTGATTTTTCCTTTTCCCTTTCAGCCACAAGTTGCGCAAATGTACCCTCCCGAAACGAAGGAGTGTGTGTGGGGGGGAAGGGCTTTTTCCTTTTCTTCCTTGGTTGATGAGAAAACGAGAAAGAAAAAAACCATTCTGCAACCATGCCTAATCCCGGATCTACAGGCGGCGGTGAGCATGCGTCTATGGTAACCAGGGAAGATGGGAAAAGCGGTCGCGACACTGCTTTCCCGACAAGCTGGGACGCGAGAGTTTCCGACGTGAAGAAGATCTGCGTTCGGAGAGCGATTCAGGATATGTTCAAGGCCAATGACAGGGCTGAGCTCGAGTAATTTCTACCGAAAGGGGAAAACCAGACGAGGAGAGGTGTGTGTGTGTGCGTGTATGTGTGTGTTGCCAGAGGAATGCTGAGAGAGAGGGACGCTTTCGTGAGCAGAGGAGACCCCCCCCCTCCATCATCCTCCCCCCTCCATGCTAAGGTTGCAGCCTGGGAGGTAGGGCGGTCAGACGCTGCACACGGATTACTCGCACCTGTCGACCGCTACTTTTGCAGGGAGGGCGACGTTACACTCATATCAGAACAACGGAAATCGAGACCGCTTTGCTTCTGCGTCCGGACCCCCCCCCCGGTTCCCCAGCCCTCTCTGGCCTGGCTTGTGTGTGTGGGGGCCACCGACGGGTTCCCGCTGGGCTGGACTGGCAGACGGATTCAGGCGAGAAGGGAGTTGTTCATAGTTGGGATTTGGGTTGTTCTGGTCTCGCGTCTGACCCCCCCTTCCCGAAAGCCGCGGTGGGAGGGAATGTTCTTGTTTCTAGACCGTACACACCCTTCTCTTCCGGCTTCCCTACCTCGCCCTGTCATCTGTATCCCTGCCCAAGCTTCGGTCTGAGTCGGGCACGACCCCTGCCCACCCCCTTGAGCCTTGTCAAATGTTCAGCCTGTTGTTACCTCGCTCGCACGCGCAGTATCCGGATGATTCATATATCTCCCTGAGGCTCCCTCCAGGTGACCAAGGCTTGCCTGCACTCATGTTTGAAAATACTCGATCATCATCATCAGGACATTTCTTCTCTTGACACAACTTGTCTACGAAAGTCAAACACATCGGCTCTCTTGTTCTTTGTTGTGGACCACTATACCATACACACAACATCAAGGTCTTGTTACCACCACCCTTCTTATACCAGTATAGGGGACTTGTTAGCCGGACAATACCCCCTACGAAACACTTGGACGCACGGCAGAACCCGACACGCCAGCAAATAGGCAACGCGTCCTAATACAATACGCACATCATCACCATCACCATCAACAACAACAACAACAACAACAACAACAACAACAGTCAAAATGTACGGCTCGTACGGCTCGTACAGTTCGACACCAGCCATGGAGATCCCATCAAGAAGCAACACATACCGCTCGTCGGCCTCCCTCGACGCCAGCTGCGCATTTCCCAGCTGGCCCCGGCGCGACTCGCTGGGCGACGACCACCACACGCCCCGCGCGAGCTCGTACATCTCGGACGAGGACCTCGCCTTCCTCTCGGAGCCTGTGTTTGCGGATGAGGACTCACACTCGGTGTCCAGCTACGGGTCCCAGACCCCGTCGCCGCAGCTAGCACCGGTCCGCCACATCACCGACGAGGAGATCGAGGAGATGCGCCGCGAGCAGGCCATGCGCCAGCGCGAGTACATCGCCGTCGTCATGCGCGAGAAGGAGCAGCGAAGACGGGCCAAGGCAGCCAAGCAGGCCAAGAAGGGCTCTTCCTCCTCCTCCTCCTCCTCCTCCTCCAGGAAGGGTTCCAGCCCCCAGCCCAAGAGCAAGCTGTCTGCCATGACGCCTATCGCCGAATAGCTGCCCGCCGAACCAACCAAAATGGAAGGGTGGCCCCCAACCAACCCTCGCTGCTGCTGGGCCCGTGGCGAGGCTTACGCGGTGGCTGCACCAAACAATGTACGTATCAGCTTACCTTTTTTATTTGGGTTTCTTTTTTTTTTTTTTTTCGTTTTGCTTTTTTCAACCACACCTTGTCTTGTCTCGCCCTTCCTTCGCTGCCACCCCATACCGAATCCCACGTTGCGTGTGGAGGAGGAAGAGGCGGCCGGAGGAATGGATCCTTGTGTGTGTATGCAACCGCACTCGGCATCCTGCGTTTCTCTTCCAAGCTATTTTGTCCGAGCAGGAGAATGAGAATGATTGCTGACCGCGTCCTCCAGCTTTCCATTTTAGTAATCTTTGTTTCTTTCTAATTATTCCTCTGACCACCACGGAACACTCATGATACCCTCCCTCAAAGAGATCCACCACCAACCCAGCAAAGACAAAGTCTCGGCTTACAGGAGACTTCTTCCTCACAGAATACACAGCGCCGCCTGCACCACCACAGTTATCCACCTTTGGATTCCAAATCCGGTTTTTGCCCCCAGTTCCCCATTCACCCATCTCAACAACACCCACCCAACAATAGACAAGGCACTGCGCTGGACGCACACCGCCGTCTTATCAAGACTTTTACTATCGGCTTATTCTTCGCACCATTATTTCTCCCCCCATCTGGAGAACTCGGACCACAACCATCCACGCGGCCCTGTCAGCCTGTTTACGCTGCAACTCTTCGACACACTACGAATTCTTTTCGGAGCGAGACGGATCGACGGTGCGGAGTCGATCCATGATTGCTCTCGCCCCCTTCCCTTGTCTCTGCTCTCCCTCCCCACGGGGGGGGGGGAAGAATTTAACCTTTTGACTATCACCAACCACCCCTCCGATACACACTCCGGGCTGGCAACTCCCATTCAGCCGAGTTCATCCTTCCAGTGGGCCATCGGAAAACATTTCCCGACAAACCTTATGTCTCTGGTTTTTGCCGACAAGCCAGGGCAACCTCGGGATTGTATTCCACACTATGGATGAGATACTCGCTCATCTCCTATTTTTCACTACGAATTCTTTTTTTTTCTTTCTTTCTACATCATCGCCTTCAGCAGATGAGATGATGTAACAACACCCACACACACATACCCGCTCCATTCATCCATCCATTTGACCAGGGGTGTTGTGTGTCTCGGGAGCTTCTTGTGGACGGTCGCGTCAACGGCAGTTCATTACTACTCACTCTACGATTCATACGTGGAGGAGGGAGACATTTTCCTAGGAGAAGGCGTCACAGGGAAGAGTGATTATCATTGAGCGTTTTCTACCAGCTGGGAGTTTTCTTGGTCTCACGATATCATCAGCGAGCGATTTCTTTTTCTTTTTCTTTTTTATTTTTCGGCTTTCTTCTTTATTTCTTTTTTTGCTTTTTTGATCTTGCTCTTACCCCAACATGGAATGGATATGGACATCATCAGCAAGTCCGGAGTTTACATGTTCCCAGAGAACGGCGCAATACAGAACAAGAAAGAGATGGGTTCATTTTTTTATTTTTATTTTTTGGGCCGAAGATTCAATCATCTTCATCATCTCAGGTAGTTTTTAGCATTAGTCGGTAGATACCCCCCAACCCTCCTCGGTTACCTCGAGTGAGTCGAAGTATGTTTTTGCTTTTCATCTTGCTTTCATCTTTTTTTTTCTTTTTCAGATAATCTGAATACATAATGATTAGGCAGATGCCAATCATACACACACACACACACACTTCACTTTGATCGGTGCCTTTTTTTGTGATGCTTGAACTCGGTGACATATCATTGCTTTCTGTCGATCAATCAAAATCGCCCGAACCGAAGGACGCACAGGTGGCGAGATGGAATATGTGAGATACATGGAGTATCTTCTGCTCCGAGCGAGCAAGTCGAAGGGCACACAAGTTGGGCGGATGAATGTGAAGTGTACAGAGTAAGTCCTGCCCCGAGTTGTCTCAGTCTTCTTGCTCACGTCTTCGTTCGTCTCTTCTCTCCCTGCCTCCCCACACTACTTTCCCTCTGGAATCTGTAGAGGCAAGATCATGCATTTTACTATGATCATCGACACCAGTTTGCCTCCTCATCTTCCAACGTCCATCCACTCATTGGTCCTCCCATACACTAATCTATCCTCTCACCCCCTAGTTCTCTGTCATGAAGACTCCCTCCCATCGCACAGTTTCTGGGGCGGCAGAGCTGTGCTGGAGCAGCTGGCTCTCATTATCATCATCATCACCACCATCATCATCCTTACTAGCAGAGAGCATATCAACATGCCCCTCCCCCTCTTCCTCTATCTTTTCTCTCACCGTGAGACTATGCGAGGCCTAGCGAGTCGTTAGACCTGTGCATAGCCGGCTGGCACCTGCCCTACGGCTTTCTGCAAGTACATGGCCTCAACCAGCCAGCTGTTTCTCCCTTTCCCTTTCGCTCTTCTCTTCTCTCTTCTCTGACGCAGTCCCCAAACCAAAAGAGCCTTTCCATGGGAAGTGCCACCACCTTGAACAGGACGATGAGGTTGAATTGATGGTTGAGGGGAATTGGCACGGGATTTCTTTGGGTGTGCATTTGTATGCATTGCTCCGGATCCTGGCTTGCATGTCATGATGAAGGGGGACAAAATGGGACGAGAAAGGAAGTACTCTTTCTCTCTCTCGGTGTACAGTGAGTCTGCCACACTGGGTGCGGCGGTCAGGGACGGTAGCTGGGGCTTGTATCTACCTCCACCTCGACTGGACCTTGAACTCCCGTGTGTATGAGTGTGCGAGGAGGTGAAAGCTGATAGCCCAGGTAGGTCAAAGGGAGGAGGGAAAGGTCTAGACGGATGAGCTTGAAGGGAGAGAAGGGAGGGAGGGCAGGCCTCATCTCTTTCTCTCTCTCGACTATAATTCTCTCACAAATGCTGGACCAGGTTGGCAGGACAGTTATCTACGCATTGAGAGGAAGGAGAGAGAGAGAGAGAGAGAGAGAGAGAGAGAGAGAGAGAGAGAGAGAAACAGGAGGGTGCTTCACATCGACCCCAGGCCCCCGCTTTGGACTCTTCCTCAGAAAACAAACACGCTTCAAAATCGTCACCAACAGCAACCCACGAAGAAAAGAAGACAGCCTCCTCATAGCCAGCGGAGGACGCCGAGCACACTCCTCCCGGAGCTCGCCTCTTTTTACTAGGTTGTGTATCTACGTCCAAGGATACACACAAAACAACAACACCAACGATGCCCGGGTAGAGAGCACCAGAACGAACACCGGCAGTGAGCAAGGAAATGAGCACAAACTATCACGAGCCTGGCCACAGGTGCGCAGATGCATCTACCCGCCCTGCTTCCGATCGAATCTCCTGTAGTCTCCGTACGCCAGCCCGATCCCGCGGTGAGCAGCAGCAGCAGCAGCAGCAGCAGCAGCATCCCATCTCCCTCGCCTAAAGAGAAAAAAAATGTCGTGCTGGCAACATCGGAAATCTCTTGGGGTCAAATTACCATCCTCGCCTCCCACCCCTCCCCCCCCCCACCCCAATCCAAACAAATTCGGGAGCAGACATATGCGTTTCCATGATGAGATCGGAAACACAGCAACGAAGAAGCTAACCTAGGACACAACAGAGTGGCTGAGGTTGGAAGGCAGGCGGTGACGGCGTGGACAGTACGCTCTCTCCCCCCATCTCCCATGTACCCTCTGGGAAAGGCGACTTCTGCCTTCCTACAACATTGCTTGGATGATGAAACTATCGCGTGTTGCTTATCAGAACATCATTCGATGGACAATGCTTGTGACCGCCCCCAATGGTCCACACTGGCCAGTCGTTGGCCGTCAGTATGGTCTCGTCGCAGCCGCTCACGGCGCAGGCAAGAAACTGCATTTTCTCCATTTCTTTTCCATAATCCTCTTTTGAAGCGGCGCATATACTATTTATTTGTACGCTTGAGCAGAACGAGGTGTGTGGCACAGTGGTGAGTTATCATTCCGTAGATCAACTATTTGAGAGAATGAATACAAGCTCTCTTGTACTCGTTTATGGACAGACAGAGCCAAGTTGTGATGAAGAGACACGACTCGGACAGCATTGCAAAATAGGCCTCAGTAGTTCACAAGGCAGCTTGCATTGGAACATAGTCCACTGAAGCTGACCTAGGATGCAGAAGAGACACCCCCCCCCCCCCCGGACAGCACAGTAAAGTACACTCGTTCGTCATTCACTTGGCATCTCTCTCTCTCTCTCTCTCTCTCTTTCACTCTCTCATTCTCACTCTCATTCTCATACCTCACATGATCTTGTCCCGTCTTAGAAAGTTCCGATCCTGCAGGACGGCAGCCTCCGGAGGACCCGCGTGAGTGTGGCTGTCGAGACCTCGAACTGTGACGACAGATTTGTGACGACCTCCTTTAATCACGCACGAGATATTGGTCATGTGCAAGCCCGACAGCCCACTCCGTGCAAGCCCGACAGCCCACTCCGTGCAAGCCCGACAGCCCACTCCACAGCCACATCTTCCATCGGGTGGAATGCTTTGAAGGGTAATGGTCGATAACACACGCCGCGCACAATGCTCACACCCACCCACCTCGGGCCCTCGCATCCGCCCTTTTGGGACGACATGCAAGGCCAATCACGGCGCCAAAACCCATTCCCGCGATCCTATTCGCTCCCGTGAAAGGGGGGGCGGGAACGAAAGGAATGAATGAAATAAAAGAATAACTGCAACAAGCGCTTTGCGAAGGGGAAAAGGTATCACAATTTCATATGAGGAATAAGGGATGCAGATCCAACTTTGCGCATAAGTGGTTCTGACCTCACTTTTGTATAGTGGACTGACTGCAACAAACTTGTGTGGTCCAGACACTGCGCACACTGCTGCTGTATCAGCACCCCTCGCGATCGTCGATACAGGTGTAAATAGGGTAAGAATTGCGTAGAGGGGTCTCTGGGTGTGTGTGAACCCCTTGATCAGATCG